CGTACTATTATTTACATATACATTAAACTATATACATATATCGATTATATGAACCATCTAATCAATTATCGTTTTATCTACAGCTGTAAGAGCCACGCCAAGTTAATTGTGTTTAAATAAATTTTTATAAAAAAAGAGAAATTTTTTTTATTCAATTTTTTTTTCTATTTTCAAAATTTTAAAACGTAATAAGGCTGTCAACTATCTTCAGGTATTGAATTTTTTTTTTATCTTATTATAAAGAGTTTGTCTTTGATTTATGTAGAAAATTACATAATAATTTAACGAAAATTAAAAAACATTTCTATTTTATTTTATTAAATATAATTAATCTTTATGTTTAAATACTTGGCTGCAATGATTTCATGCATTTTTGTAGTTGTTCGCATAAAGAAGTTTTATAGAAATCGCACTTGATGAACGATGATTATCGTCTTCGTTATTCATACTTGGCGCGTATTTTTGTGAAGTCCGTCAGGGCTGTTTTTGGTGTGATTGTAATTAAAGTAAACACCAGATTTAATATTAAGTAGTTTTTATTATCAAAAACAGCACAGCTCGTGTAACTTGAATCGTAGTCAAACAAGAAGTAAGTGCATGTGCGCAGGCACTCACTCATAGCATGGGAGGAGCAAGCACCGGACGTCTTTAACACACTGTGCCCTCTACAAATTAAGTAGGCGCTCAACTCAAAATTTCTAACATTAAGATTTGTAGATCAATAATCTCGGCGGAAAATGGCTTTATTTAGAGAAGAAGGTAGGATCATGGTCTGGTCTTTAATATGGTCTATTTGTTTATTTTGCAAGCACGGTGGGTCTCCCATCAGCTAACCCACATATATATTTTTGAAAATCAATTTTTGGCAATAAACAGAAACTTCGAAAAGTGACAATTGATGATAATTCAACAGAGCAAAGTGTGATTGAGTACAAACAACAAATAACCCATAATCTTACCTTTTCCGCTAGTAGAAAGCATAACATAAAATTTTTCCACAATCAAAAAATAAATTTCAATAACTATGTGTTACATCAAACTGAAATATTAACTTTGATTCAAAAGTAAATATTCTTTTAGTGCTATAAATAACATTTTTTTAAAAAATATAGATTTATTTAAATTCATGGTTAAATAAAAAAAAAAAATTAACCTTGTTATTCTAATCTAATTAGTGTGATTGGAATTGAAGAAGAATAACAAGATATGTTATCATGACCCCAAACATCTGAAAAAATGATAAAATTTTACTATTATTTGATAAATGTTGATTTCACAAAAATCTTACCGAATACATTAAAGAACCATCTAATGTAATAATCCCAAATGTAGTAAACTCAATTTTTTGCCTCAAAAGTCCATCAGAAAACTGGATCAACTATATGAAGATAATTTGAATTTCAAGATAAATGCTGAATAAAGTTTTTAAATTCAGTATTTATACTACCTCATATTCAAGTTCTCCTGTTATTTTACAGAAATTCAGAACTAAATGAATATTCTCACTAATTTTTTTTATCTACAAAAACATTAATCTAATAAAATAAAATTGAAATGGAAAGTTTACGGAAAGCATAAATACTAATTACCTCTACCATAGTACGGTGTACGCCTGTAGTTAAGATAAAAAGTGAACATGATATCATTATTACCCAACAATCTTCTAAAGCATTATGAATTTCATGTTCAGACTGTCGACATATTACATAGTAAAGACACACAAAATATAAACCGAATGTTAACAAAGCTCCAAGATAGATTATGCACACCAATACTGGATATGCATAAAAATTAATCAAATAATAGCATGCATTGCGTAGTTCTAAATGAACATATCTCATATTTACGATTGCTGGAATAACTAATTTATTGATAGGCAATCTGTTGATAAAAAATATTTGAAAATCAAATTCTTGAGGGATATTTCCAATTTTGAGAATTATTTCATTTATTTTTTTAAATCGCCTATAGATTAATTCCAAGAAAAATGAGTACTGCACCAGAATCCAAAAACAGAGAATAGCTGAAAACCCTCGATTTAACACTGCTGCAAGTGGCCATGACAAAAATCCAAGAGTTATAGTATATACGCAGCACACAAGATTCATAAAGTATAAAAAGTACAATCTTGTACTTTTAAACGGTTCACAATTACAACAATTATTAAATATTTTATCTACTTTAATCAATTGCTTATTGAAATTAAAAATCATTTGTTGACGCATCACATACACTAACCAAATACTATTGATGAAGATATTTTTTACAGATGTAATACTTATTCGGAAATATCGTACTTCTGTAGACATAGGACTATTTTTATGATATTTAAAGAGGGAAGGTATTGCAAATCCTACGCTGATACTATGTATTAGTATAAGAAAAATACTATAAATTGATCCCCAGCGTGAGAAAAGAAATACCAAATTTTTTGTATTCTTTCGAGTACTATTATTCTTTTTCGTTACACTGAACATATGTACATTCCATGGCATCAATCCAAAGAGTTTGTATATCCACATAAAAAAAATTATCCCAAATTTTATTGTGTTTCGAAAAAAATTTCTCTTCACTTTTTTATTTTTAAGATGATTTTGTGATGCAACAATCATGTTTCTATTTCTATCAAGTAATTTAAATCTGTATAACAGACTTCTGATAAACTCTATAATACTTATGTAATAAGAAGTACCAAAAGTGTTGGTGAAGATGATAATATTGATTATCAACTATAGTAGCAGTTTGATCTTTCATTAATGTAATGCAAAAGTGAAACGAAATACATTTTCTTGTCATTTCTCATTTATAATTCTATTGATCGTATTTGTAATATGCATTAGAGAACTTGTTAGGTTGCAAATATTATGCTCTTGCGTAATTATTGCACATTTTAGAAATAATAAAACTTTCGTTAAAAATATCATTGATTGAAATAATTCAAAATTTTTAAATCAGATGAATGATAAAAACATCATCAAATTATCATGAACTAATGGACTCTTTTTGCTTCAGTTCCAATCAAATGAACAATAGTCTCGACAAACATTTTTACATACTAGTAAGTTTTTATGTACTGCATCCATTATTTTATCTTCAAATTGAAAAATAGGAAACACTGATCCGTTTTGATGTAAATTAAATGATCCCGGTAAAAATCTAAAAGTATTAAGTATGAACCGAAAAGTTGCTATTCCAACTTGAATGTAATTTGAAGTTTCTTTAATTTTACAAACAAGAGGACTTCCAAGAAAATTCTAAAAAACGATATTCATGTTAAAAAAATAATACAAATTCAGTTAAATTATTAACAGATAAATTGCATGATCAGAAAAATGATCAATACTTACTAATCGATTTGTATCAATTTCTACTTGATAGCCGTCATATTCGTAGCTTATATTAGTAGTATTATCATCAGGTAAAGTATGGAAATTTTTTCCTATAATGTAGTCTCTGTCAGTCTTGAGTTGTTCTGGATCCAAGAACATGTGATTAAAATTCTCCTTGTAAATCGTTTTCTTATATAAAACTGTGATTAATCCTACAGAAAATTGTAAAATTACAATTATTTTTATCGATGGTTCTAGTGGAAACAATACTTACTTTTACGTCCACTAGAATTTTCATGCAATCGCATCCAACGAGGAATAAAACAATTTTCCCTGTCAATATCATCAAGACTCGTTGCAACATTGATAGTGTTAATTGTATCCGTAATATCAAACCATTTTTTCAACATTAAAATTGCATATCTTTTTTTAGAATTTCGATTATAAGGATTATCTTGATAAATTATTTTCTTGACATCTCTACTTTTACAGTTTATCAAATACGGTATTTCTTTGTCATCAATTTTACTGTGTAGCTGACATTTGGCCTCAATACTTAAATTTTCACTGGTATACCTACAAAATTATTCAAGTGAAAAATAAATAAAATATCGATTCTTCATTATAAATTTACCCTCTAATTGCTTGAGCTGATGTTAAAACTGCTTTAAAATGAATAAGTGAGCCATAACTAACTTCTGTAAAAAAAATTGATATTTTAATTAAATATTAATAAATCGGGTCCACTAAAATTCATAACTATTTTAATAAAAATTTCAGCTTTCAGATTAACAATAAAAATATTAAAAAAAACTTAAGTCTACAAAGTCAGCATAAATAATTGATGCATACTGTACATGCTTTCATCATTTTTGTCTTTTATCACAACAAGCCATGTAAATTCATCGGCATAATTTCCACTTATTTTATCAACATATTTATAATAATTAGAACACTGTGATAATTGAATTGAGAAAACTATGAAAAATGCTTTTTTCAAAATATCCATGATAGATATAAAATGTAATTGAATAACTTGTCCGATTAATATTTTATCAAAATTAATCCCAAAAATTATTATGATTCAAATTTTTAACATTTTCTAAATTTAGAAACAAGCTAAATAAATATGTTTTTCGAATATATTTATTGCTTTTATCAACCGTATGTAAACTAAGTGAATTTAGAAAGGCCCTTTTTGACGTATTTACTCAATATTATAATTAGTGTGAAGCAAATCGTCTGCTAAAAGTAATATAAGTCAATAATCTTATCGAAAAGATAGAGATAATTTAAATGAAATAATTTAAATAGCAATAATGAGATTACACTTACAAAAGAAATAGTGTAGTATATTTTTTATAGTTAAACATACTCTTGTCGATACAAGTGTTAACAGAATTAAGTTTTAAAACTTTTAAAAAGTAAGAAGTGTCTTTTTAAAATTAAAATTTTTAACCAAAACTCTTCGTCAAAATCCGAAATATTCTATGAAAAAAACAAAATTGACAATAAATAACTTAAGATAATAAAAAAAATATATTAAATTTTTATACCATTTCGGTTGTTTATTGTTAATGAAATAAAAATGTATAGTAAGGATTATGAATGTGTCATAATAAGGGACATTTTCGACGCACTTATCAGGTGAATAATCAATAATAAGACGGGTTAAATGTACATTTAATTTATTTTATTATCCATAAAATCAATTTCAGCCAAAGTATATGAGTAAAAAATTTTTAACATTGGACTTTTCTTCTGAATGAACACCCTTCAGTTAGACGTGCTTTTCCACCAGTCGGAGTACATAAGATTGTTCGGCAACCATCGCATTCAACGGGGCGTTGAGCATGTGAGAAGATTGTTTTTATTGCATAACATCCTGGACATTTGACGTCCATGAAATAGCTATTCGGCTTTTGAACCAATCGCTTCAATTTGTGTTTCCTTTTTTCTTCTGCTGGACTTGGATGCAGGAAATCTTTTGCTAACGGCATTCTGTAATTAATATAAGTTGGTTAATATCATACATTTCTGAACAATAGTCACTCAATAAGTGACTATGCGATACTCTTCCCTACTAGAACTCCAAAATATATTAACCTACTCTTTACGTAAATAGTAAATTCATTTGTTATTTTTCGTTAAAAATAATTTTCAAAATTAGTTTTTGCTAAGTCATTTACAATAGCGATTGAAATTTGTACATAAGATATTGACAGCACAACCATTTAAACCATTACTCTATACACATTTCCTGAAGTGTTAGGTTATGTCACATACAGCAAGAAACTTATAAATTAAGAACGTCTATAAAACGAAATACTAAGACTAGTAAATTATTATTAATATTCATTGAGAAAAAAACCAAAAATACTCGATAAATTTCTTTTTTTAACTGTAATTATTTAATCAATGAGCGCAGACAACTGACTGACGTCGATCAATGATATTTTATTGAAAGTTGACACTATTTACACCGTTTTATAACTCGTTTTTTTCTTAGAGTTTTTATCAGTTAAAAAATCATTGTTTTGTCTATTTAATAACTTACATTGATTTTTATAGATAATTTTTATCCACGTGTTTTCAGAACTTTGCCAATGGCCGGGTCATAACCACATATAGTACAGCTGATTCAAGCAAAAACGCATATAACAATTGCACCACGAAGAATGTAAAATTCCCATCAGAGGGAAAGCTGTAATTGACTTGGAGAAACATGAGTAAATCCATAATAGTTATTTCCAAGTTTACTCGCTTGGGGCGTTAATATCAAAAGGCTGCGTTCAAGTGATTGTTAACATTAGGTGTTTTAGAAATAATTAATGAGCGTCAATAAAATTGGGAAATTTGTTCAAATTGATTATTATTATGTCACGAACTTTTTTTTCTTTATAACATTGCAGGAAATTTTAATGCATGTTTACGTTTACTTACAATAGAATGCATGCTCATTTTCCATTGTAAATTTGATCTATTTTTAATATGATCTAGTTTACATTCAATCGATATTATGTTTTCAATATAGAGTTAGGAAAAGGTCAATGAAAATAATCATTGTTATAAAATTTATTGAAAAATCTTGATCAATTTATACCAAAAATAAAAATCAATCGCGATTTTTACAAAAACTCGAATCTTCATTGATTCAAATTCAGTGTTATTTACGGAAAAATTAAAATAAAATTTGAATTCTTTATTATCAGTCTTCAATTAGAAGTCAATAGTTTTGATTCGTTATTATTTAAATTTCAGTTATATATTATGTTAAATGGTATTCACAATTACTGATTTAAAGAAAGATCATGTATTACTATAAAAAAGTATATCAGTACAAATCTTAAAACTTTTATATCGTTTAAACTTTAATTCTCAAATTTTTCTCAAAAATGTGTATTCTTCTAGAGAATTTTTTTAGTATTATAAGAAAATTTATTTTGAAATTAATTTCGAAGTTAGACAGCTGAAATTGAATTATTGCTTTTTGAAATATAAAGAAAATAAAATTAATACCTATCTCAATATTGTATCATCATCAATCATTAAAAAAGTATCCCGATTCTACTATTAATATGATCATTTAGTAAAGACTTTCATACATTTGTAATTTTCTTACATAATCTTTTTATTGATACATTTCTTTGTTTTTACACGTGTACTTTTCATTTTGGAGTTTTTGCTTTCTCTTGTCTCTGGATGATTGAATTCCATTTATATTGTCGAGGAACGACATCGACATTATACTTATAGTTTACACAAGTTACTTCTGCTGAAGAAATAGTTTTCAAATATTTATGAATGTATCCCAAGGAGTCGTAAAAACATCATATCATTTATTGAAGTTTGATCCACTTCACAAATCTTGTTTTTATGGCATACAAAATTTATTAATGATTAATTCTTAACTATCTTATTCGAACATCGATAAAAGTGTTCTAGATTGTTTATGCCTCTCGTTCTAATGTTTTTCTTCCATAATATTTTATGAAATTTTGTAATAATAAAAAATAAATTACATTCTAACAGAATCACTGCATAAAGATTTTTTTCTGTTTGACATGAGTATCGTACATATTTTATTAGATAAAGCAATAGAAATTTCTCAAAATATAATCGAATACTTCGACACAGTACAATATTAATTCATGCAAATCACATTATAAAATAGAATCTAAACCATGAGAGCAATAGGGCAACGCTTCACTCTAAACCACTTTGAATTCACTATAATTATGTAAATTACGAACATGACTTATAAAAATATTATAAGCATGAATAAAAAATAGCAATATAAACTTATACAGTTGTCTAATTATTAAAAATTCAACATCACATTAAATTTATTTAATTAAGAATATTTCTTTCACAAATTCTTGTTAACTAAAGGTCATTATAAAAAACATGTAGGAAAGAGTGGCTATAAGTAGCGTATATACCCTACAATTTTTGTAAAATTCGAACGCTATGTTAAAAATAAATACTTGAAAAAAATTAATTAGAACGAAGAGAGAATTTCTATGCTGTTAACTAATAGTTTTTTATTGCAATGTCATAATTATTTATATTCTTCACATAGAGCTGAAAAATGGTGTGAGTTGAGATTACGCTCATGATTAATACAGTAACGATATGTTTGGAAATTTCATATCTTAGACTGCATATATAAACGTTAGATTCAAAATAACATTAGAAGTTAGTCGTCACATAGCTGAAGGATATTATTCTACAGCAACTATAACGCATTAACAATGTTAAAATTCCGAAGTAATTTGATTAAAATTTTTTAAATACAACTTTTAATTTGAAAAACTATCGACCTCATAGAATAGAAATACTGAATTTTTCTTTAAAATTTACAATTTTCCATTCTACGTGATTAATAATTTATACATTATATTGTTGCATTTAACAAAATCATAAATATAATTATTCATCATTTTTAATCAATCTTTAGATATAAAAAAATCGTTACCATAAAATTATTTTCAAGGCTATTTCGGAACTCAAATAATTACAAAAAATTGTCAACAATCTATTTTCAGTATTTTCCGTTCTTTGTAATAGACAAGATAAAGTTTATGGCCGATTGATAAGCGATAAGATTTGTGATTGGAAATCGTACATTATTTGATCTAAAGTTTCATAAATCGTACTTTGTTATCGAAGTTTTTAAATTATAAGCTTATTATATCTCTACTTATTTTTTGTTTTTTTTTTTAACTTTTTCTATGTAAATCTTTCTATTGCCAAGTTAGCAGAGCGTATGTTATTCAATTGTCGTCCATTTTTACCGTTCTTCATTAAACATGTTATTATACCCTACCGTTATCACTAATCATTTCATTGGTTGTAGTTTTTGTCAAATTTTTCTTTCAACAATTTTTTTATTACATGGCAACATCAGTTCCTTTTCTTAGGCAGGCAGTGCTGAGAAAGAAAGTGCCGATTGTTGGGTGACTGACCCCTATTTACAAGTATATATTTATGATTTGTCAGTTTTTAAAAATCATGTTTTCTCTTTGTATAATAATTTTAATAATTATGTTTCATACATGATCTCTGTTCTCAGTAAACTTCATTGTATCATTATATACTTTTACTCCCTCCACTTTCTGTAATGAATTTATTATTTTATTTTTTTAAATTTTTATTATTCTTAATATCATACTTAAAAAAATATAGCTAATAAAGCATTAATTTTGAAAATTATTGATTTGACACATCGAAATAAATGGTATCCACACCGAATGATAAGAAAATGAATATATAATTCATAGCGTAACCATCAACGAAAAATAAGAAGAAATATTGTAACAATATTTTCAAGTTCTTATAAGCAACTTTCATTCTTTAACAGTAATTTAAAAAAAAAGTTACTTTCATGAAAAATAAAAAGTATAATAGTACGACATTAAAGCATGTTTAGGCAGGATGACCAAATGAATACACATGTTTAGCTTAAACCAGAAAATCTACTGATTCTTTGCAAACTACATCACTCAATATCTTATGATGTTTTAATATTTTCTTAAATATAAAATGATTATACAATCAGATTCAAATATTAAAAATAACCATTTTTAAAAAAATTTATGAAAAGAAAAAATAAAGCTAAAAGTAACAATAAATGTAATTGGTATGCTTTGTTATATCTTCAAATTTTTTTCGTTGTAGTTGCCAATATTATGGCATTTATTATGTTATTGATTGTTTTTTTGTTTTTTTTTTATCATTGGATGTTTTACCATACTTATATATTAGTTACGGTTCAGCTAAATATAATAATAATATTGAAAATTAATTTTGAAAAAATATAAATGATATGAAAAAATAATTCGATGCCTTTATGTTAGCCGCTTGGTGATGCAATAATGGCTGAATTTGGACGTTCTAAAAGAGTAGATCGAGTTTTGAGGCGACGCTGTATGAGTTTACTTTCACTCGGTGGTGATAGACCAAAAAGTTGAGTCAATGAATTTTTTCCGTAAAGTTGACAATCAGTAGTCAATTTTGTGTCGTTGAGCTCAATTATCGAATGCATGGAGAATGATTTACGTCGAAAGCTTGAGTCAAATTCTGTTGATGAATGAGTTACACAGTGCTTACTGTTTTCAGACAGTTCACTACTGGAATCTGACAAATGACCATAAGGATGATTATCATCATCTGTGGAAGAAGTAGAAAGTCTTGGCTCACGATTTTCTGAGAGATCTTCAAGATTAACTGAGAAATGTTGATAAACAACACGATTTACTGCCATAGCAGATTCGGCAAATGCTGAGAGTTCTCGAGCTGAGTTGTTCCTTCTAAAAACAACAATGTTTCATTCAATTTTTTTGTACTTAGAAAATAAGTAATAACATATTAATAGAATTTCGTGAAAATTTTACCTGATAATTTCTGGAGTTATTAGTGGTCTGTTGCCAGCAACAGTAGCAGGTGGTCCAGGATTAATCCATGGATGTTTGAGAACACACTCTGCACTCAGTCTCCGATAAGCATCTTTGACCAATAATCCGCGAATCAAATCTTTAGCATCTTCAGATATTTCTCTCCATTCTTTATCAGGAAAATCATACACCCCTTGTTGAATACTAGTGAATAATAATTCTTGACACGCTTGACAGTTTTCGCCTTTCTCCCATCCACATTCTGTACCACAGTTTCCGTAAAAAGGTGGATAACCACATAGTAAAATGTACATAATAACACCAAGACTCCAGAGATCACAACGTTTGTCATAATAACTGATTTCGCCAATAAAAGCTTCAACAACTTCAGGTGCCATAAATTCAGCACTTCCAACTGGTGTAAGTAATTGTGGTGTTGCTACTGGACTCGATAGTGAATTGTTAAACTTAATACCAGATCCAAGATCAAAATCACATACTTTAATTGGTGTTAGTTTATCAGGATGAACACAGAGGATGTTTTCAGGTTTTAAGTCCCTGTGTGCTATTCCTATATAAAAATAGCGAACAAAATAAGAAACGTGAAAAATAATCGTAGTTTTATAACAAAAAACAAAAAAAAACCAAATTATGTACCTTTCTTATGAAGAAAATTTAAAGCTTCCGCAATTTCTTTAACAATCTGACTGGCCTCTCTTTCACTGAAATGTACGCGTTCTTGAATTCTTCTGAGTAATTGCCCGCCATTAACTTTTTCAAATACGAGATAAAATTTTTCGTCATCTTCAAAGAATTCAATTAATTGGATGATATTAGGATGCCCTTGACAATGATGGAAAGTCTCAACTTCTTTAAAAACCCTTGTACGTGCATGTCCAGGAATTTTATCAATAATTTTTACAGCATACTCCAAATCAGTATAAAGCGAAGTGCATGTCTGGACCGATGCGTATGCTCCTTCCCCCAGTACTTCTCCAGTTAGCTTATATAGCTCTATAAATTGAAACAAATTTATTTCATGAATCATTTGTATTAATAGAATTCTCATAAATAGCTTTATCAAGTTATAGTATGAATTACAATACTAATGATGAAATTATTTACTATGTTTGAATCAACTAAATCTCACCTTGAAAGCACGATGATACAAGAGAAGATCCTGAGCGATTTTTACGGCGTCTCCTACGCCGAGCTTCTTCTTTACGTGCCTGTACTGAACTCAGTGACTCTCCTGTAGAAGTGACTTCATTTCGACTTTCGTTCTCTGAAACAAACATACCATGATACATGAGAAAAAAATAAAATTAGAATTAGATTCGCAATATTAAAGAAAACAATAAATAATTAGATATGACTCTGAAAAGAATATGTTCGAAATGTTTCAAAATCAGAAATCTCATTTAAAAGAATTATGTAATAGTTCAAATAAAAAGCATTCTGTAGTAAACATGTAACACGCTTTTCTATAAGTATAGTAATGTCATGATACCAAGCCTTATCTCATTAGATATTCCAACTAACATAGCTTTCAGTCAAAGCAGGTAATAAAGTCTGAGAATTTATTGTTTTAAAAGAAAAGTACATTAATAGAAATAAATAGGATCTAACATGTGATGAATTTCTAATTAAATATGAGCAATAATGAATATAAATTAAGGATTCTTACCTCGAACAGGATTTGGACATTTGTCGTTTTCTTCTACTATTTTTTCAACCATTTTTAATCCAATAGATTAACACAGTAATTTTGGACAAATGCAAAAACTTAAATTTAATTCTACAGAAAAGTCTTATTTATATTTATACTGTTCTTGCTCCAATTTTTATTTTTCACAGATAAATATTGATAGTTATAAAAAGCTCAGTCGTATATACAAAAATAACTACTTGCAAAATTATGTTTCATTGATCCATTGACAATGGAAGATTTTCATGAAGATCATTAATGCTTTTTCTGATACTCAACACAATCTCATTATCTTATTCCTTTGAAAACTTCATCTCTCGATGTGGCAAATATAGCAATAATAATAATAACCCTATGTAGAACCTTCTGCTTTGTGAAAGAAAAATATATACTTTTTTTTCTTCTTCACAACACACAGAAAATAGTAATTAACCACTAGTTGAAATCTTGTATCACAGATATAAATGAATATAAAAAGCCTATCTACAGATTAAGACTACTCAGTGACGTGTTTTGAGCAGAATGGGTATAAGACGTTGAACTTGTATTGGTTGAATTCCAGTTGAACTATTTTATATCACTCCAATAGATACTATCACAGATTTCAGAAGTTCAATTTTACATTGATTTCCCTTGTCATTATTTCATTCTTCTACAGCAAATTCAAACAATGATGAAATGAGTTTGACATAATTCTATACCAAAAACTCATCACCGATCATCAACTGAATAGAACGTAATAAAATTCACGTATTCTACACACACTGTTGTGAACGGTGTTGACTGGACAATTTCGCGAGTATACAGTAATTCAACTTCACTATTTTGGAAAATATTGATAATTTTATAAAATGTATACTCTTTGTCGCTAAGATTTTTGCACAAAAGTGACAAATAAGCGCAGATGCGCAATAACTGCTAGTCGCTAATACATTTGGCTAAACTTACATTGATCTTTCTCACTGCTCAGTATTCAGCAGCTGGTTTCCGACTAAATCTAGAAATGGTAGATAGCTTACAATGGATTACTTTCCTACTATACTCCCTCCACTAATTTTGTTCGAGTCTGTTCTCTACTCCCTACCACACAAGCTACTTCTTCAACAATTCAAGTTATTTCCCCTATCGTCTCTCACTCTACTCGTCAACTATGATCAGGCGACATTGCCGACGCCCTCTGCTTGCTCCTTTATGTCACGTAGGCACGGTTATTTAGTTCTGATTGCTTTAAAAATTTCTATTTTACATATAATTTATGTATAATATATGAAATATTTATCAATTTATTTTTCAGTTGATTTATAATTTATGTATCTACATTTAACGAATTTTATTTGGTCTTTTTATCAAATCTTCAAATGATGGCATTAAATGGATAAAATTGATAACACTTTTGAAAAAGTAAGGAACACTGGATTTAAATCATAATTGATGATTTTTGAATGCCGGTAAGAAAACTTCTAGAAAATAATTGCGCATTCCTATGTATATGTTCAAGGTTGAGTTCTATCTATAATAATTATTTACTGATTTATTTCGCCAATGAAATCTAGTTCTAAATTATATTCAAAGCTTGAGCCAAAAGTAAATTGTAAGAATGAAGTAACTGTTATTGTTCGGATGTAACTAATTGAAAATATTACATGCTGAAGTGTTTTGGTACGACATTACACGATGCGTGCGCAGTTTTGCCACGTAAACTTATACATATGTCATGTAGGCAAAAACAAGATACAAGTAGATCGTAGAATATAGAAAGATAAGCAATGAATACGTGAATAACTTTATTGTAAACGTGGTTTCTGATAAACATGTTTAAATTTGTTCTGTATTAATAGGATACTTGAAGTATGTAGATGTTTGTTGCAAATTGATTTATGTATGTAAGATAATTATAAAGAGTTAAATTATAAATTAACAGTATAAATAGATGCTCTAGTTAAAAAAAATTATCTTATTAGACCTCTTCTAATATAATTTAACCATGACTCATAGCCAAAAATTAAATTAATAATGGAAATTAATTATATTCCTCATCATCAATTTATTTATCATTAAATTACACTTAACTTTTATTCCGAAAATAATCTTTACTTTTTGTTCACATCTTACTGAATATTTTAATTTTGATATTTAAATATTAATAAATAAATATTAAAATCGAGCATTAATGATTTGCGCAATTTATTCTAAACTTGCTCCAAAAAAAAAAGGTTTTTAAAATAAAAAAACTCTACATTTATGATAAGTTAAACCTATCCGATTAAGTATTTTAATTGGTATTAGTGATGCGTATTTTTTCCTGTTCTTAAATACGCTAATCGTTTTATTTGAATTGTTATGATAGTAACACACATGACCAACGTAAACAGCTAACCGCTAGAATGTTGTCAAGTATAACTTTAAGTTTTATTTGTACTCATCAACTCGTAAACAATGAACGAAAGTTTGATAAGATTTTTTGTTGTGAAATTTGATACTTCATGCAAAAAATATTCCATGTGTTTATACTATACATTGTGATATTTATTATAAAAATATCAAGATTCAACCCAATTCGAATTATTCAAACAATTTTCATGCCATGTTGCAATAGTAAATATTTTAATTAGTAGAAAACGTAGGTAATAGGTCATTCACATAGATTTTTCTAGAATTTATATAAATGTTGAGAAAAAAATAAATAAAAAGGTAATGATAAAGCATATTAGAACTGAAATGGCTTCAAATATATATCAATATGATGAAATTTGTAAGAATGATGAAATAAATGAGTAATTTGCAACAGTAAAAATTTTACTTACTTGTTGGTGTCAACGGAGAAATATCAGGACCTACTTTTTTATTGACTGTCAATGTTTTTTGATCATCCTCGTTAAACTTTGACTCCTGCTCCACAACATTCTGAAATATAAAACAAGGATTTTTTATCTTTCGTATGAGTTTTGAAATATTAACTGGACAAAAAAAGTTTTTTTAGCAACGCTGCAGTAGCAAAAATATAAACTTGATATTAATTTTGTTTAAATTTTATTAAATCTTGCATACGTTATAATATGTAATAGAATTTTTAACTCATATTTGAGCAAGTTTATAACCAATGCGAAAATAGTACTCCGAAGGTTATTATTATCATACTCTAGAGCTCTCCTACATTGTTGTTGACAGAGATATTTTAAGTAAGAAATACGAAGAATTGAGACATTTGATATTCATACAATTGTTTTGATCAATATTATTATTTATTGATCTTATCAAAACATAAGTTATCTGTAAAAAAATGTTTTGTCTTCATTGTTGAGTAAGAGAGTAATTATAGATGTAAAACATTTATAGCTATAATAAAAATTAGATAACTTTAATAAAAAAAATTTCAATGACTAAAAAGTTGAGTCATTCAAAACGGAGTGAAATTACTCAATTTTGAATAGTTTATAATCAATTAACATAAAATCATTAAACAAGTAGAGTAAAGTTGCCAATAATGAACTTTCAGTCAGTCTTTAGTCGTTCTATTGTATTGTTCTTAGTTAACGTGTTAGACAAAGACTTTGAAATTTAAAATGGAAGGCTGATTTTTCAGTTTGATGACCCTCAATCCCCTAACATAATGTCTAATTCAAAGAAGTTATAAATACATCAGCGATTATATTTTCATACTCCAAAAGATAAAAGGTAGATTGAAATTCGCCTCAGTATAAATCGGGACTTCTGAAACCCTATGAGTTCTACAATTTTCGAAGAACTCAAGAATTACCTGAAATTCTAAATTTGTTTGCATATAACCTATTGTGTATACCAAGCCACATAGTAATTACTTACAGTTCCTATACCGGCCATCTCGAATCTCAACAACACTCATTGCACGTTTTACGTCATCTAATTCAATTACATTACACAAATTTTCATTCAATTTACTTTGAAAAATCTTCACATCGTCTAAATTCAATATATTTATCGTTCATTAATTACATTATTAATGAAAACGCATCACGATTAAACCGATGCTGTGGATCTCTCAACTTGCTACATGCTTTTGCATATAGTGGCTGTGTTCCTGCATTACAAACTCAATCTTTGTTAGTGCCAACAAATTTTATCGTTTAGTTTTCATGAGATAAAGATAAAAATTAGGATAGCTTAAAAATGTTATAAAAAATATCAGTAATCAAAATTTCATAATTTTCATAATCAATAATTATTGCATGATATAAAATTTGTAATATCAACAATTTTATGGTTTATGGCTATAGAGAAATAAAGTAATGAGAAATATGAAAGATAATGGCGGGAATATGTTATTTTTCGATTTGCTGCATGTGCTGCCGGCATTAGTATGTTTTTTGCTAAAATACCAAGCCGTAATGTCGACATAACAGAACAATAGCAATTTCTACTTTACCGCAGTATATTGATTTAGTTCATATTTTTCACGCGATACAATATTGTAGACGAATCTATATAACAAATCTCTACACTACACATCTGTAAAAAGTAAACTATGGTTTTGCATCGTTCATACATCAAAAATAATCTTTGTTACACTCCAGAATATTTAAAAATGTGCACTAATAATTGTTTATTTTAGGCGATATTTTTTTTTGAATACACTTTCAGTTCATTATCATCATTATGGGATGTTGTTGTAGTTTATTCAATAAGGATAATGGCCCACAGGTAAAATAATACTTCAAAGTTGAATCTTGTTTTGATTCAGTGTTTATCATTTATGACAAAGCTTGATAATAAATTTTCCTATTCCAAGATAATTTCTTTATTATTCATTTGAAGTTCTCTACTCTGCAAATCAATATTGTATTTAATATTTTTTTAAGGGTGGTGAGGCAAATGAAAGAACTCATTTACTGGTGGATCCTGTGAGCAATAACACGAATATTCCACGAGTTCATAGGTAAATACATTTCATGAATAAATATTTCTTTTCATATAAAAACTTTATTATTTATACACTTCCTCTTTTAGTGATGATTATGTCAATCAGTACGCAAACTCTCTTCCAAAAAAAACAGATGAACAAAGTGCTCTTACTCGAATATTACATGAAACTGCAGCGTATGTTTTCAAGTGTTTATGTTATTCTAAAAATTATTCTGTAAATTAATTAATATTATTATTTTTAATAGAAATGTGATTGACGTGGGAGCATTAGACTCACATAACTTAGAACAACATGAATACATGGATCGATCTAGAGCGTACGCAAAAAGAATTAAATCTGTAGAATTCAAAATCCCAGAGATGTCAAGTTGTTTACTCAATGATATACCTGCACCAGAAAAGATTCTAGCATCAGAGCCAATTGCCCCTGAAGATGAAGAGCTGGTACGTATAATTTGATGTATAATACATCTTATTAAGATCAACCTTCAAAGTAATAACAAACCACATGCATCTAAAAAGCTTCTAATTATAACAACGAATTTTCATTTTATTTTAGATCGTGAATTTTCTCAAAAAGGCTGTCGATGCATTAAATGACATTAAAGTTGAACACAAAGAAGACTTAGTTGTTTCTTTCCTATCGTGATCATTGTTTAGGAATCTCTTTTAAGTACACCTAATACTAATAACGAACCGTTAATAACACAAATTATTTAACCTTATTAATTTTTTATTTTTAATAAATATGTCACTTTCAAATAATTATTAAATTACTCCAATTTATTGAAACAAATAATATTGTATCATAAAAGGATGGTATTAGTAAAAATTGTATCAGCATATAATGTTAATTCTTATGAAAAGTATTTCAATGTCCAGCCAGCATAATTCAACAAGTGACAAAAAATCTGGACTAAAATTGGAAATATATTTATTGTAAGTTTTTATATCAAAAAATAAGCAGTAACGAAGATGATTCCTTTTGTATGTTAAATATCCAAAGGATCCATATGTAATAAAATTTGTGATAAATTTAGATTTATTAAAACATTATGTTTACGAACTAAAATAATTGGTCACTTTTTACAATTTTGTGTTGATTATGATTATACGAAAGATTTACTATTGGACTTTTAATACAATTTATATATGATATAAAAAAAACAAGCGATGAAGCGTTATCAATTTTACTATTAAAATGTATCTTGTAAAAATATGTATAATAAATTATGTATAACAATTGTGATTATTGATAATCTAATCAATTTATTTATGTTCATTAATAAAAAAAGAAATGAATATTTCAAATTCCCGCCACAATCTTGGTTTTTGTGTATAAAAATAAACACCCAGTCATTGCGCATGATTTTATTCTCACTACACCTGTCAGTTTACTGCTGTGTACTATTGTTATTGTTACTACAGTCTGTCATTTTCGCATGGATTGTGCGTAAACAGTGTGTGATTTAGAAAATTTTTAAAACATCAATTAAAGTATCTATCCTTAAAATTAAATTATTAGTTGCTATCAGTGATAAACTGTTTGCTACTCTGAAATAAATATTTTAATTCAAATTCATAAGATTTAGATCAAATCATTGCGTGAATGGTCCATAAACGAATTTTCTGGAAAGTTATCTAGTACTTCGTTATTGTCTTGAGAGACCATTTAAAAAATTGATTCATTGGAGTAGAAAAGAAAAAACTCATCATTGTTTTACCATTTTCATAAGATTATAGGTTTGTCTTAAAAAAAATATTCATTTAAATAATAAGGAATCAATGCATGAAAAAATTGTACAAGGTTAGCGTCTACTAAAGGATGAACAGAATGAAAGTTTGTAGATTTATGATTAAAGATAATTTATTTTTTCTCAAATGCTTTATTAATCTTATAAAAAACATTATAAATTGATAATAGAATCAATATATAATAATAATTCGCGAGGGAAGAATTAAAATTAATATAAAAAATGTTGTTAAAATATTTATACTTAGCACAGAATATTCCATTTCAGAAAGTGATAAAATAGAAAGATGACTATGCCAACAACACAATTTCAAGTAATGAATTCTCCAACTCAAAATCCAATAGCTGGAACTCATTTACATACACCATCATCAATATTTAATCACATGATGGCTCAACAAAATATCCCTCATGAACCGGGATCTTGGAATCAAATGCCACAAGTCCCTCCCATGTATATGCCTTGGAGTGTACCGAATCTTCAACCGGCTCAATTGATGAGATTTACTGGAGAAAAACCACCTGTATATCCTCCTCCATTACATCATAAAAGGAAAATAGAAGTTCCAGATATTCCAGATACGTAAGTATCAATACATAAATTTTATTCACTCGTTCAAAAGAATAAATAGAAAATTTAATATAATCAATACACTTTTCTGTGCAGGAGACCAACAAAACAATTTATTTCAGAAGAAAAAATGGCAGCTCACTTCAGGGATATGCATATCAGCACAAATTACAGTTCTACACCTCTGACAACAGCATCTACAAGTTATAACATTCAGCCTCAACCATCAACTAGTAGTCAATTAGATATAAATGTAGACACATCTCCAGCCGCTTTAGAAAATGGAAAAAGTATGCATCCAAAACTTGTGATATCTGAAGAACTCAAACGAATTCAACAGGAACCTATACTTCCGGCTTCTCTATTATCTAAATTGTAGGTTTGAATAATAGTTATTGAAGTTCACTTTATCTCTTGAAATTTTTAAAATCTGTTTAACTTACACAGATATTCTATTTCAGGGAGCGGCCCTCCATGGCTCTAGTGCTTTGGGAACCACCGAGTAAACATCTCAGAATGTTACGACCACATACGGAGTCAGTTCAAATCAACGCTCCATCAGAGGACAATGACAATAACAACAACAACAACAACAACAACAATAGGAGTAGTAGTACTAATGATAATAATAATAATATTGCGAGTGACAATAATATTATTCAGAACAACAACAATCAACTAATGCCTGATTTAAATCAAATGAGCGCTATTCAGCAAAATGATGTTGAGTTTGAACCCATGGATGTGTGAACTTATTTCATGTTGCGTACTACTTGTTTTAATTTTCAGTGCAAACAATCGAAAGTAAAAAAGTACATTAGAATAGATATTTTTTTTGTTATTGAATTTTGTCTCATAATTTTTTTTCATTTCCAACAATTTTCATTTTATCACATAATATATTTTCATTTTTTTTATTATCATGAACATGATAATATTGAACTATTAAAACTATATTATGAATCTAAATAATTTAGTACTATATAGTTGTATACGAGTATGATAATCAGGTGTAAAGCATAGTTATTTAGTAATTTTATTATATTCAAAAGGCTGAGTGTGTCTGAAACAAACATTAATGTGTGTAAAAGATACTGTGTTCTTGCTGTTGGAAAAAGCAATGTTTATTACATTTGGAAGGTGAATGATATAAATTTTCCGTCTTGTATATACAATAAATGATTTTTCATTAAAAACGATCATTTCTACCCTTCATTTTTTTTACTATTAGATATTAGGACGTAACAGTTTATAGTGTAACAAAATGAATAAAACAATGACTTAGACTATAATTAATAAAACAGCTGTCAGTTCATTATCGAACTGACAATTATTTGAATATAGATTAAACTAAGATCTGGTGTGTTGTTGTTGATCAAGAATCGGAGTAAGAATTTTTCCATCTTCCATAATTTTAGCTTTGAATGCTTCAGCATCTTCAAGTGGTTCTCCATTGATGGCTGTTGCAATTTTCAGATTATCTAGAATTGTTACATGATTGCCATCAATAGTATAAACTTCAACTTTTTCTCGAGTAATATTACTAAGCCCATAATCTCCTGTAACACTTTTCAAGGTTGGCATTGATGGTTTTAAAAGTAAGATTGAAGATCTGAGAGGTGGTAAATCAGAAATATCATAATTTTGAAGGGCAATTAAACGATGATAAACTGCAGTGCAAATTTTTCCTTGACGCTCTGGTGATATCTGTAAAGACTCTGCAGGTAAGAAATGTAAAAACTTTTCCAGTTTTTCTACCCAAGATAAACACTTTTGTAATTCCACGAAGAGCTGAAAAATTAAATAAACAATTGTAAAAAAATGAGCAATAATTAAAAATTATATTATACCATCTGATAAAAATTATTTACCTCTCCACTTAATGATGGAGAATAAATATCCATAATTCCTACAAGTACATTGGTTTCTAGCTCCTCATCACTAGCTGATGCTAATTGTTGATCTTTAATGGCTTTCATAAGCTCTGGTGCACCATCAATTAGAACTAATCTTCCAGTTAAACCTTCAGCTTCCAACTTTCTTGCCAATTCAATAGCAACTAACGAACCGTAAGAGTACCCAGCAATCACAAAATCTCGACGACCTTTGTTTCGTTGTAAGACGTGCTAAAATAATTCAATGGTAATAATTAAATAGCTCATCCTCTTAAATATTAAATCATCACTCACCGGCAATAATTGATTTGCCATTTCAAAGATAGAAAAATATTGAGTAGTCATGTTATCTAACTGTAAACATGTTGCTGGTGATTTAATATGCTCTGCAAGACTGAAAAAAACAGATCCACAACCTTCTACTCCAGGAATGAGAAATACTTCATGCCTTCCGACTTCTTCTTTAGTTTGAAGCTTCAGACATATGTCTGAATATTCGTCTGCTCGGCCGACAACTCGAAGAAGAATCTTCATGCCTGTTAAAACTTCATCACCACCTGCACTTCTGTTTTGTTTATTTCTCTCTGTATTCTTTAAATTCATTTCTAGCAGTTTTGCAAAATTGAGACCTCTAATGTCCTGAGAAGTGAGGAATATTTCGAATTCTCTTTCAAGTGTTTGTTTAATTTCTACAGCCATCATTGAATCCATACCAAGCTCTGCTAAAGATGTATGATGACTTATAGTTTTTAAATCTTTTACTCCCATGATATTTAAAACAGTATCTACAATATTGAGAGATCCAGATCCTCCAGCTTTCTTTTCTGCCACAACCATACTTGCTACAATAGGATCATCTTGCGTAAGAAAATGATTGAGTTCTTGAAGACATGAGGAAATTTTTTGTTGAAGTGTACCACCAATGACAAGCTCTTTATTATCTTCTTGCATGTCAGCAACTATTCCAACATCTCCAATAGCTCCCCATTGTATCGCTAATGCAGGAAAACCATCTTCCTTACGTTTTTCACAGATTCTTTCCATAACAGAATTAGCCATACCATAATTAGTTTGACCAACATTTCCACGTCCACATGAAACTGAAGAAAACACTACAAAATGTCGAAGCTGAGGACAAATTTCTCTTGATAATTTATCAAACATTTTTGTACTCCAAGCCTTGGCTTTAAAAGATTCTTCAAAATTTTCTGCAGTCTGAGTCTCACACAAACCATCTTTAAGTACAACAGCAAGATTGAAAATTGCATCAACAGGCGCAAATTTTATAGCTGCTCTTAAAATATCTTCGCATTCTTCTTGAATTGCTACATTTTTATTGACAACCACTTTTACTTTTACTCCATAATCTTCCCATAATTTTATTCGCATTTTCTGATATCCATTTTTTAATCCACTTCGAGAAGTAAGAATAAGATATCGAGCACCTCTTAGTACTAACCAGTCGGCTAATTCTAATCCAAATCCACCAAGACCTCCAAGAATGATATAACTTCGATTTTGTAAACAGTAATATCTTGGCAGAGCAGGGATTGCTATATTTTGACAGTTTTTTTCATCAAGGACATTAATTAGAACTTTACCAATATGTTTTCCAGCTCCCATAAATCGAAAGGCTGCTTCTAGCTGATCTTTCGGAAAAACTGTCCTCGTAAGAGGTTGAATTGAACCATTATCTAATCCTTTTTGTAAAAGTTTTTTTAATTGAATTTTTTTTTCAGCAGGAGCGTCGAAAAGATTATCTAATAGAATACCATGAAAACTGATTTCATTCAGAAAAGCAGCCATTCCTAGATGACTGTCATTTGCCATATCGAATTTTCCAATTTCTAAAAATCTACCACCTTTAGCTAAACAGCGAATTGAAGCTTGAAGTTTTTCATCAGCTAAAGAATTTAAAACAATATCCACACCACGGCCATTCGTTTTTTTGAGAATTAATTGTTCAAAACTGGTATCACGTGAATTTCCAATATGATCATCAGGAATTTGTGGGAATCTTTCTCTAATAAATTTTCGCTTATGAAGCGTGCCAACGGTAGTAAATACTTCACATCCTTCATTCAAAGCTAGAGTGATAGCTGCTTGACCAACACCCCCAGATCCCGCATGAATTAAAACCTTATCTTTTTTCTTCATGTTTCCACTTAGGTACAATGCATAATATGATGTAGCATAGACACAAGGAACAGTTGCAGCATCTTCAAGAGTCCAACCATCCGGAACTGGCCAAGATAAATTTCGATCGATTATAGCTTGATTGGTGATGGCTCGGAAAGGAATTAAACCCATCACTCTTTGACCTGTGCAGTCTATTCCTGAATATTCAAATCCAAGAACGCATTCTTCTTGGGCTCTAGTCTTTGCGACGATTTCAATAGCGAGCTTACCACTAGCTAACATGATATCACGGAAATTGATAGCTGAATAAATAATATGGACTAGATCTGGATGAGTAGTATAAGATTCAATTGGACCTTGAAGCCATTGAAGGGAACTTAAATCACCTCTAACAAGTTGGTTAGCCCAAGCATGATGGAAAGGTTTTAGAGTCAATGGTGGAAGCTCAAGATGTCTATAAGATCCCCAAATTTTATTTGGTCGGAGAACATTCACTGCAAGATCAAGCTTAAGTTGATTAGTATATAAAGGCAATAATAAAGAGAAGTCTGGAGCTTTTTCATCCTGAATTAAAACTCCTCGAATCATTTCTCCACCAGGTTCTTTACGTAGACAATTTACTAATCCCAGTAAACCACTTTCAAAATTTTTTTCGCTGACGATGATAATTCTTGCACCACTTCCCGACTCTCGTTCGACTTCTGTTTTTAAAGTATCTTTTAACTCATCAACCCAAGAAAATGTATTATGTTTTATATTCACGATTACAGATCTCTTAGGTAATTTATCGCGTTTTCTCAACAATAAAAATGTTGAGTTATTGACCACCTTTTCCAGAATTATATCTAAATTATGTTTTTTGGTGACTTCATCGCAATCTTGAATATTCATTGATTCCAAAGTTAAAATAAAACCTCCATCTTTAACAGAAAGTAATAGTTCAGTTAATATTGTATTTTTTTCATTGAAAAGAAGATTCCGGCCAACTAACAATAAAGCATTAGTTTCAGGTGGAAGTTTTTTTACTTCTGTTATATTAATTTTTGAAGGTACATCATTTTCTGTAAATGGATTCTCTGTGCTAAGTACAATATTTAGATCAGCTTGTATCAATGGAATATCTTCAAGCACATTTGATATAGAAGACAGAATTAAATCTTGAACTGAATATTTTTCATTAACACCCAAGTGTTCTAGAGCCTTTATTCGGATTCCTTGATGATTTTCTAGAGCTAAATGTGTTGCTATTCGTATTGCTTCTTTCAGAGAAACCTCAGTTTGATCTCTATGAGCGATAAATTTATATGATTCTAGAACAGGTTCACCACCAGGTTTTCTACGAGCAATTGCACTCGCTTTTAAACCTCGAATTTCTACTCCTCCTGCTATAATTAAATCTAATGTTTTGTCGCAATAAACTTGGAATTCTGAAAAACAGAAAATTTTTATAATTAAATAAACTAATTACATATTATCTAATATTATTAATCAAACTAACCTTTCATATCATCAGGCATAGCTCTAATTTGATTTAAATGCATTTTAGTGTCAATAACAAGCTTCTGAATTCCAGTAGGAACAAATAAACCACGTGAATCCATTCCGAGTATTTGCATCTGTAACATATTGTCCATAAAAGCAACCCAATTATTAGCCCAAGTAATTTTTCCTCGAGTTCCATTTGTTGTCGCACAATTAATGCTTCGAAAAAGTCCATTGTAATGATATCCACGTAAACGGAGCTCTTTATAAACATCTTTGCTTTGCATTACTTCTTCGCAGTCTTCTACTGGAATTTTTGGATTCATTTTCTCTGATGATGGTTTAGCAGTATAATGAATGTATCCTGTGACTACAGCAACATCACCTTCGATCACTTCAAACCTTCCAGTTCCTTTTTGAATCATCAATGTGAATTCAATTTTTCCTTCTTTAGGAATAGTCGTAGCTCGAAGGAATTTTACATCACTAAAGATGACTGAAACTTCAGTATATAGCTCTCCCCTTATCATGCCTATAGTTTCCCAAATTAAAGAGAGATATCCAGTAGCAGGAAATAGATTTCTACCATCAATCACATGACCTGCCATGTATTCATAGTCTTCATCATTTAAGGACACTTCTACCACTCGTTCACCAGAAGTTATTTTTTCTTGCATTCTATATGATGTTACATACCATTCATCAGAGTGTTCCCATCTAATTAATGGTGAGATCATTGGAGTACCACGAGATACAGGGAATTTAACTTCAGGATATAAATTTGATATTTGTGGTTGAAGTCCAACACTGTAAAGTTTACCTACAGCTTGAAGAAATACTTCGACATTATCTTTATGTCCTCGTTGTGTTAAAGGAATATTCGTAATACTAGGATGTAGAGATCTCCGTAAAATTGCTTGCAGTAAACCGTGAGGAGCGATTTCAATAGTAACAGCATCTTTAGGAATTAAGTTTGAAGTTTCTTCAAAAAGTACAGCACTGAGAAGATTATTAGTGTGATATTCTGCAGACGATAGTCTAGCTTGAGGTGTGGACCACTGACTACGAGGAACTGAAGTACTCAACCATTTAGGGCTTCTTGGTTTGGGTTCAGGAATCACTTCTCTCAAATATTTTAATAATTTTGGTCCAGCATCTGCGATATAACGACTGTGATAAGCAATATTACTGCAAGGAACTTCACGTGCAAATATTTGATTGGCTTGAAGTTTAGCAACAAAGGCTTTCATTGATTCAGCTGGTCCAGAGATGGTGGAGCTCTCAGGTCCATTGTGACAAGCAACTTCAATATCCGGTGGACAAAGATCTTTGATATCTTCATAACCCAAACCAACTGCAGCCATTGATCCAAAGATTGTTTTAGTTTCAATTGAAGCTAAACCTCTAGAATAAGCAGCTAAAACCATTTGTTCTGCTGTAAAACAACCATCTGCATAAGCACATCCAAGCTCTCCCACAGAATGGCCTATTATGTGATCTGGTACAATTTTTAGCGATGTCAAAAGATCTACAAGTCCGATTTGAATAGCAGCAATTCCAACAAATGAATTCAAAATATTATCAAAAGTTGATTTACTTGGATTGGTTAAGATATCATAAATATTGACTGCACGAGGTTTTAAAACAGTATCACATTTTTTGATAGCTTCAGCAAATACAGGAAATCTAAGTAATGCAGTTCCCATGCATGGCCACTGAGATCCCATTCCAGAAAAAACAAACCAAATTGGTCTTTTAGCACCTGGATAATGTTCAATATCCCTAATAAACTTCTCAGAAGTTGTTTCTTTTTTTAACACACTATATCCTCTATAAAGATGCCCAGGAATATCTTCTGAATGGATATCATGAAGAAGTTTCACATACTCAACATCAGGAGGTCGACTTTCAACCTGAAAAAATATTTAATATATTAAATGAAGAATTTGCTAGTCAAGTAAAAAATAATTAATTAAAACGTACATCCTTTAAAATGCATTCAACAGCTTCTTCTGTTCTTCCAGATGCTATTACAAGTCGAGGAAGATCATCACCGGGAATTCCATTATTGACTTTTTCAATGGGATTCGATTTAAGTAATATATGAGCATTTGCTCCACCAAATCCAAATGAGCTGACACCCACATAACCACCTTTCCATGGCGTTGGCTCCGTGATTACTGTAATGCGGCCTTCTTCTAACGCTTTAACGCCTTCACGTGGACGTTTATAATGAAGATTTGGTGGAATAATGCCTGATTCATTGGCAATAATAACTTTAGCAATGGAACACATTCCACTAGCAGGCTCAGCATGGCCTAAATTTGATTTAATTGATCCAATTCTTAAAGGTTCAGTTCGTCCAATGCAGAAAACAGAGTCGATAGCATTGATTTCTTCAGGATCACCTACTTTAGTTCCAGTTCCATGAGCTTCAATATAAGCCAAGCTAGTAGGTGGAACTTTACATTCTTCGTAAAATTCTCTTAATAATACACTCTGCATTACACTTGATGGAAAAGTTATTCCTTGCTCTTTAAAACCATCACAGTTTGTTTTTCCGTGTACTAATGTAGCATAAATTCTTTTCGAATTTTTAGCTTTTTGAAGGAATGCTACACTCACCGTTTCACTCCTGGTATATCCATTTGCATCAGCATCAAAAGATTTACAGCGGCCATCAGGTGACAATACGCCTGATTAAATAATTTATTTCTTAGAATTAACTTAATTAAATTGTTATAAATATTCTTTGTTACGATCTCTTATGTAGGTAAATATTTAAATAATGATAGTTTATTTTTGTTACCTAAACGTGAAAATTGGAGTGATACATAAGGATGTAGACACAGATTAGCACCTCCAACGAGTGCTGCATCACATTGACCATTACGGATAGCTCTATAAGCATGCTCCATAGCAAACAAACTTGAACTACAAGCAGAGTCAACAGTATAACTTGGTCCAGTTACTCCCAACCAATATGATAATCTGTTAGCTAACATTGCTCTACTACATCCAGTAATTCCGAATCCATTTACCTATCGATAATGAAATATTATTTATGGTACTTGACCAATAATAATAATAAGATAAGATAAGATTTATAATAATTACTTGAAGTTTTTCATAAAACCATGTCTTTTCTGATTCTGAAAAACAAGCTCCGATGAAAACTCCAGTTCTGGTTCCTCTTAACTGTCTGGGGTTAACACCAGCATCAACAATAGCTTCATAAGCATGCTCCATCAGCATTCTGCACATCGGATCCATTGTGTGGGCTTGTTTAAAATGAACTCCGAAAAAGAGAGCATCAAATTTACTCACATTATTTATTTTACCAGTCCTTTGAGGAATTTCGGGATGATCTAAATAAATTTCGAAATTTTGAAAGATATTTTAGTGTGGATTTTAGATATTATCGTTTCACTTACCTAATTTCCAACGACGATCATCATCAGTCACAAGATCAACTTTGTTAAACAAGTTCTCTTGAAAGAGTCTCATATTATCAGATTCAGGAAATCTTCCAGCAATCCCCGAGATAACGATTTCTTCACCAGGATCCATTGAAGTTTGAGTACAAGGGTTGAAACTGCAATTATTTTTTTCCACTTGGTTCTTCATCTTTGATTAATTTAATCAGTCACAAAATTCACGAAATTTAGAAACACCAATACACCACCAGACAACAAGATTTATTTCAATTAGTTTACAATATCGTTATCACTAAAATCACATGTAATTAATACCTTTTGAAAAAACAACACATTTCCACCAAGAAGATGACTAACAACGATTAACAATAAATCGCTATTGGGCTTTTTATAACCGTGGTTACCCCACTACAATGGTAGGTCAAGCCAATAGTTATATTTTCCACTAACATATTTAAATGTAAATTTTATTTCAAATTAACCTTTGCTCGGCATCCCTACTAATTAACATGCTACAATGAATGACCGATGTCAAATAAAGTTTGTTATTATTTTAATTCGATTGAATATATTTTGGGTACATCTTCCTTAGATTTTAATTTATTTTATACCATCAATAATAGATTGACGTTTTTTGTGATTCAACTAACATTATTATGTAAAAAATCATGAATTTTCAAAACATAAAGAACATTTATTTGCTCCATGGATCATTTTTAATTTCAGATTATCGATTAGTTTTAATTATTCATTAATTATTTAATAAATAATGTATCATTATAAATAAGTTGTTGATTGTTTAATAAAAATTTATTCAATTAATTCAATGGTAAAAATAAATACACAAAAATGATTCTATGCAGTCAACATTGAATAAAACTAGCCAACGATTACAGAATAATTTGTTAAATTTGAATAGTCTAGTTGTGACGTAAATTGAATTGAGATCAATGAACTTAATGTTGTAATTTTCAGGGTTATTGTTCAATAGATACTCAATGTTGTCCATAATAAAAATACTTCAAGTTTAGCAAATTTTATGAATATGCGATAGCGAAATTCAGTGTCAAGGGTTGCCGGATGTCGCATTATTCTGCATCAAATATCCATTGTTAGTATCAATTAATTCTAGGTTTTTTAAAAATTTGATGACACTTTACTTCCAGATATTTTATTATAATACAGAATTTATGAATTTATTTAAAATAATTATGAGTATTTTGGTAAAAAATACAAAAGTTTTACATCTGTACGAATCGTTAAAATATTTATATATATTTATTTTATAATTATATATTCACGTATATATAGTAAATTCTAAAAATAATTTTACGTTAAATTATATTTAATACATAAATATAATAATTCACACATCTCAAATAATTCTATGGTAATAGTAGTATAAGTACTTTAATACTTTATGTATTAGATCTTTATCAAAAGATCTTTCAAATTTCGTGTTCATTAAGTTTATTTTTAAATATTATTCTAAAAAATAAAGTTCAAAAATGATTAATAACTAAAAATGGATCAATGGCAAGAGTTTGTACACTTATTTTTTAAATTAGGTAAAAAATGATAATTATCAATCAAATAAGTTACTTGATGAATTAGTTGGTAGTATTTATTAGCGATATTTTATGTCTGATTGGATAAATTGGCGAAGTGAACCCTTTTACCAGGATTATCCAACGCATCTAAAAGACTGGGAGTAAAGCTGAACTCTGAACTGTCATCGTCATTGTTACACCTGAAATAAATAGGGTTGTTGAGAGAAAATATTGTGAATAAAATCATCATAACTTAAAAACTGTAAACAAAGTGAATACTTACAATGAATCGAGACTTGATATACTAGTACTTCGTCGAGAAAGAATTGAAGCTGCTCCATCAATTTTGAGGATATCTAGGGTTGCATTGGTAACAGCGACGTAGATACTTTTCATTCCAGCAAAACCTAAATATCGTGGATTATTCAACTCTATCAATGTTTTTTCTGGTACTTTGGTTGATGAGCGGAAAGCTTCTGGTGATAATTTTATAACTTCCACAGATGAAAAATGCACGACAAAAAGGTAAGGCTTTCGAAACGCTATAAAAAGTAAATATAATCAATTGAAACCAGTGTCTATTAGTGATGTACATAATTAATATATTGAACTTACCGAATGCAAAAGGCAAATGACTCCAAGTTGGATCTATACAACGAGTTCGTTGACCGAATTCATTGACAAACACACCAAATTCATTATAACATAATAGCAATTCAGTTGATTGAGGCGAACTTGAAACATTAAGTACAGCAACGGGAAAGATTCCAACTTTTGCAACTCCTGCTAAAGCTGCTTTGACGGAGCTATCATCATCTTCTGGGAAATCATCAACTGTATAATTTTTCGTATCTATTTGGAAGAATTTCTGACATCCTACGATAAGATTATCTTTCGTAAAAATAGCACAACTGCATGGCTCTTGGGTTTCTATTTCTTTCATGGCAATAAATTCTCCAACATCTTCATTACTATGCCATTTGAGTAACATAACATATGATGCAGTGGCTGCACATAACATGTCCCCTTCTAACTGATACAAATGACAGCTTTCAGTTCCAGTGAGAACTTTTGTTGTTGTAATAGCAGGCCGAGAACATTCAGCAGCTAATGCATTACTCTTTAATTGTCTCAAGTCACAGGAAACCAGTTGTCGATCTTCACCAGCAATCATCAAGGCAAGATTCAGATGAGAATGTAAAGTAAGTTGATGCACTTTTTTAACTCCTCTGATGGCGGTGAGAACTTTAGAGTGAGATGGACGGTAGGAATAAAGACCTTCTTCAGCACCAACTAATAGCACATTCTCATTTTCCACTTCAACAATGCAATTTAAATCCAAACGATTTTTTTCTAATTTTAGGATTGTTTGTAACATCGAACTTTTTGCTACTTCTTTTGTTCCATTTCGATAAGCAATCGATTTGATAGCATTAAGCCAACCCTTTTTATCTATTTGACTAAGGGCCATAATATCTAAACGTGAAGTAGGCCAACATGTGTTGGAAGTATTAGATTCCACTCGTAAAATAAAAGGTAAATCAGACTTTGCCGTTCCTGGTACATCAGCTTGAAGAATATCTTCACAGATGGTAAATCCACTTTTATCACTCAATTCGATTCGATTAATAGGGCCCATGCCAGGAGTTGGCTCATGTTCATAAATATAAAGAGTGGAGTCTTCTAAACGTAAATATTTTCTATCCCAAGATGCTTTTCCTCTTCCAGGAATTTTCACCCAACTTTCCATTGTAACACTTTCATTTTTTCTTGGATTTCCAGAATCTAACTCAGTATGATCTGGTTCGTCAATTGTTAAAGTTTGTACACTGCCTGATAGCGTTGAAATACTTTCAGCACTATTTTTCCATGATTTTTCTTCTAGATGTTTAGCAAAACCACCAGGAAGTCCACAATTAGCTGGTGTTAATAAAGAACATTTTAAATGTGTCATTATTTGACATTCACTACATATTGCTGAACGTTTACCAAATTGAATTGGTTCCAAGCAAGCAGCACATTTACCTGCTCGCATTGAAAGTTCAATGTTATAACGATGTGGAATGTTATGACGGATTCTTTGCAGAGACATTTGTCTTGCCAAAGTGTCTTCAGATTGATCATTGGACTGTTGAGCAGATTTTTTGAACTCCGGACTACGAAGAGTAGGTGATACAGGTGCTGATGTTGCAGCAGCAGTTTTATAAGCTAACAATTGCTCAGTCAAGGCTTTGACCTTAGCACGTTCTCTGGCTAATTGATTTTCAAGTTCTCGATATCCAACAGGCATTCCCATTCCTGTCGGTGGAATATTTTCCTTTTGTTTACTTTTAAAAATTTTTTCACAAACAGTTTTCTTTTTTTTACTGGACTCTTCAAGTTTAAGTTGAAGATAATCAATTAATTTAGTTTGTTGTTGTCTTGTACCTTCTGATTTAAGCTCGTGTTCTTGGTAGAATTGTCGCATTTCCTCAAGAATATTCTCCAACTCAGTAATTCTCATTCTCAATTCTTGGCCTTGGTCAATACTAGCTTGTAAATCAGCTACTAGGTCTTGATTAATATCTTTCATTTCATGAAGATGAGTTAAATGTTGAGAACATTCTTCTTTAACTACCATTGCCTCACCACGGGCAGTATCTACAGCTCTTTGTAATTCTGCAATATCACATTCAAATTCTCCACATTGAGAAGTTAATTGAGCAACTTGTTTATTTAAATCTTGAGCTAACTTTTTGTATTGATCTCTTTGAGCTACTAAGCTATTTCTTTCACTCTCCAAATCTTGGGTTTCTGACACCAATCGTTCCATAGATCGCTCTGCTACTAATCTTTTGGTTTTCTCTTCATTTTGAGCAATCTTAGCTTCTCTCAACTTTTGTTCAATATTCTCGAGTTCTTTTTGTAGTCTCATTTTGTCTTGAATTAAAGTATTTTCACGAGTTTCATGGTCACTTGTCAATTTTTCATAATCAGTCAGTTGTTCTTCTAAAACAGTACATGTTTCTTTCAGCAGATCAATATTTATTTTATAACCGTTGGCTTCTTGTTCTAATTTTTCAAGTTTAGATTCTAATTCACTCTTTTCTTCATTATGCTTTGAAATAGCCATGGTTAATCGTTTATTTTCAGCATTGAGAGTGTCAACACGATCTTGGTTTGTTCGTGCTTGTTTTCGCGCAGCATCTAATTCACGTCTCAGTGCAGCACTTGATGATTGTAACTCTTCAACTTGTTTATTTGTCTGAGTTAAAGCTCTCTGAGCTGAGTCTGCTTGCAATTTATTTCTTGATGATTCACGATCAAACTGAGCCAACGATGATTTAGCAGATTCCAACTCTGATAATAATTTTTTAGCCTTTTCTTCCTCTTCTTTACACTTTTTATCCAGTAAATCTCTCAATCTTTTCTTTTCTTCTTCCAAATTTTTAATTTTTTCTTCTGCTGTTTTAACTTCTCTTAATGCAATACGCTTATCCAAGTTTGCATCTGATAACTCTTTTTCTTTTTTCCATAAACTACGTTGAGCTTGTCTTGCTGCTTCTCGTTCAGTTGTTGCATTTTCACGAGCAGTTTGCAACTGTTTTTCCAATCGTTCAAGTTGTTGTTCTAGCAATGCTACTTTTTCAGATTCTTTTTGATTAGTTGAGGAACGACTGGTGCTTGGTAATGATTTATTTGTTGATCTTCTGAGACAATCATTTTCAGATTCTAATTTTGCTACACTCTGTTGAAGTCGTTGAAGCAATTCTTCCAGAGTATCCATTTTTCGTAGCTGTTCATTTTCCTTTTCTTGAGATTCTTCCAATTTTTGCTGCAGTTCATCTTTGACTTGCGCTGTTTGTTCTAATTTCGAAGCAATGCTTTCACTTTTTTGGAGATTTTTGAGAGTATCATTGAGATCACTCTTTGCAGTCTCTAGTTGAGTCTTCATCTGATCATTTTCTAATTTAAGCTTGGCTATTTCATCTTTTAAATTATTAACGACTCGTTCATATGATCCTATGCTTTCCATCTGCTTACTTCTTTCTTTAAGTTGCTTTCTTAAGGTTTCGATTTCTTGATCACGAGCTGGAATCATAGCCTGAGTACTTCTCAACTGTTCTTGACAATCTCTTAGCTCAGACTGAGAAAGCTCCAAAGCAACATTAATACGAGACAGTTGACAATGATGTGAGTCTCTTTCATTTCTTAACTGACTTTCAAGTTCTGTATTTTTTGCTATTTCCATTTCTAATTTCATTCGAACTTCAGCTAATTGATTGTGAGCTCGATTAGCAATCTCTTCAAGTTTATTTTCTACTCCTTGAACACTTTGACGTCTTAATTCTCGTGTTTTTGCTAAAGATTCTTTATATTGAACTTGGAGATTTTTCAGCTTATGAAGTTCTGCTTTTGCTGTTTCTAATTCACATTGGGTCCTTTGCAACCTAGAACTCATATCATTATTACTAGTGCATAGTTCAGTAATACGCACCGTTTGAGCTTCTATATGCTGATTAAGTCGAGCTATTTTATCTTTTTCAGCAGCTTCCCATTTTCTTTTAGCTCCTTTTATTAAATCTAAGGCAGTAGTTTCTAAATCTTTTCTTTCTTGTCTCTCCAATTCTAGAGTTCTCCTTAATGTAGCTATTTCTGATTTAACTGATGATAATTCTCGTTCTAGTTTATCTCTTTCTTTTATTGATGCTTCAAGTTTTACATCTTTTTCTTCGAGTTGCAGTTCTAAAGCTGTTGTAAGATTAGCATCATTATTCTGTTCTTGGAGGGCTAATAATTTTTGCTCTCGGAGCACTAATTGATATTCTTGGAGTTCTTTCATTTTTTCTTCCAATTTTTTTTTATAACTTTAAAGAATTCTTTTAATGAACTTAATCTAGTACACTCTGCTTATTAAATACTTTATTTTATTGTAAAAAAACACATTAATTCTATTCAAAAGACACAAACAATAATTTAATATGGCGGTTATATTTATTTCATACTGGACTTTTTCAAATAAAGAAGTCAACTTCAAGTAATACATTTAAAATTACTATAGTCTCATTTAATTTTTCTATAGCATAAATTTGAAATGACAATAGTTTCATATTAAATTATACATACACAGTTGAAATGATATAATTTATCATTCAGTTTTGTAATTTAATTACATCAATAATTAAATGATAATTAAAAATTAAATTTGATTTAGTAATGGAAAATTAACAGCGCTGGGGAATACGATTGTCACACGCCTCAGGGCAAAATATTGGCACTGGATGGCAGCACAATCATTTTTGAATACTGTAGCAAAACTAGGAAACATTTTTATTGATAGTAATAATGTAAACAAATATTCTGTTTTATTGACATGCCATTTCTTGATTGTCATTCATCATCTAAATTTAAAAAAGACGGAGTTGACATTAAATTATTTATAATATAATTTATAATCAACATTTTGATAAACTAGCTGTTTACATAAGCAAAAAACAAGTTAATTATATTTACATCTATTGATACGCTAAAAAAATGCAGTGAAATTATCGGGGTAAAGGTCATATTGAATGGCAATACGAATGGTTATGTAAATAATTCAAAGATTAGATTGAAACTCTATCAGGAAATACATTAATTCCGGTTGATCAACATTTTTTGCTTTCACATCAATATTTAACGAGTTTCTACTGGATATTATGGACAATGCATAAAGCGCGTGCTTACACATGGTCATCGATATGCTGAAGAGAAAGTGAGAATCAGGAACTGCTGGAGTACAGTGTTCGCACACTTGTGATATCATACACCAAGAAAAAGCTGAGTAAATTGACATCAATGCGGCCTCGTACGTCCTGCAAAATGTCAGGGCCGCAACCGATTCTTTTTCTGTTACTGCTATGTACATACTAAATGAGTAATCATTATCAAAGGTATTTGTTCAGTATTCAAATCTTTATTCTTCATTATCAACAAAAACTAATTTTCTGTTATTGAACAATCTTTTTTTACTACAGCTAACAAAGAAACCATGACTCAATGAACAAATTCAAAAAGACGATATTTGTTTTCATAACAATCTATAATTAAGAAAAAATTACAAACGATGATTTGAACTTTCTCATTGTTATTCTCAGTAGTTTATAATTTAAAATTGACGCTCCTAAGTGCTCTTTTCTTTGAACATAAAGTGAATCTTTTGCAGAGTCCTTATATAAAAGGAAGACAGAGTCAAGAAGATGTTAAGAACCTCTCCCTGTATCTTTAGCAACGCGCAAGATTCAGTCGTTTTAATTGCCTCTGAGAATGGTTCTTTCGTGCGCATTATACCATTCTATCATTTTAAATCTATGGGTAAGTGCATGCAAACACACTCAGTGTCAAATAAAAAAATACAAAAATAAAACAAGTAATGGTATATAAGAACGTAGGCGTAGTCATTCCTGTTCAGATGGTTTATGACACGTCAGTAGCTTCAGGCTACTTATGTATATTCTTATTTTTCTTTTTTCATTTTTTTTTCATCTCTCTTTATTACATGTACATCTTCTTTTGTTTTACTTGGAAACTTTGGTGCTTGCATAGTTTTCAGGCATAAAATCTAAATAAAATAATGACATAATTCACGTTTCATGTACGATAAAAACTACTTCATATAAACATTGGTCTGATAAATATTTATAAAGTTTAATTATTGCTAATTTTTCAATTTACACGTTTAATTCATTAACATCTTCATATTGAAGGTTGAAGGCATAATAGAATAACTCATTAACTTATAATTAAAATTCCTTAGTCACTCCGGAGAAATTTCTATAGAGAAATTCGATATGTCGGTCATCAACACGCTTTGACATTCATGAAGTCTTATTCTCTTATTCCTGGATCTAACATTAATGTAATTGTAAGATTTCAGATAGAAGATCATAAACTTTCATTCAATATAACAGTTTTATAGTCTAAATATCATAGTATGATAAATTATGGTTTTTTAAAATAATCAAAATAACTTTCCCTCAATCAATTTACATCAAAAATAACAAGCAAAATTGACAGCTGATTATTTTTGGGTTAAGAAATTTTTTTCACATAATTTAAAGAATTTTTTCCTTTTCGAAATTAATTTTTATAATTTTTATTTGGTGATAATTTCTTGCTCATTGATTTCATCAATCTCCTTCAAATTCCTAATGTGAATTTGTGCTCAATATAAAGAAAGTTATTATACATTTTGTCAAAACATGTATCTTCTTATTACTCTTGACATGTTTCTTAACATAAATAATGCATCGTTGATATGTACGTGGAAAGAATGATTTAAAGAATAAAAGAATTTGCCAACGATTTCCATAACGCACAAATGATCACATAAAAATTCACTTTTTCTTCATTTCATTGAGTGTCATTTAATGTTATTTAAATTTCAAGATCAAGCTTTGTTTGAGTTATCGCAGGAAACAGACTATCCGTTTACATATCTCAGTTCAATTACCTCATGTTAATACAAATTTTTTTATGGCTAAAGTTATTGAATGTTATACGAGTCTTGGACATCATGCAAAAGTTTTATAGGATGTATATACTATGTTTTGTAGAGTAATTCCATACATCTTAACATTACATCACGTAGGAACTTTCTACATGTTTTTTAGCATTACATGGACGTACATGGAGTCATAACAAAAACTCATCTTTAACACTAAATCATATGTACCTACTGAATAAAGTAGATTCTCTCAAGACATGAGTAAACTAATGCATTGCGTAGCTGTTACAATACTTATAAATATTTTATATATTAACTAAATCCGGCTGCAGACGTATTTATAATTACTTCCACCATTTGTCCTCTGTACTGTTGTTCTCGCGAGTTTTTTCAACAATGAATGTCTTAGAGCTGTGTGAACTAATCCTTAAATTTCCGTGATAACGTAATCTTCTGTCTTCTACTTAATCACTAGATTTAACATCATCACCCTTTTTCACAATACTTTCCTGATAATATAACATTGGAAGGGAAAAATGTTCAGCTGCTACGCATAGCCTTATCATTTTAGTGATAATTCTATAACATAAGTGCGTACTATTAACATCCTGCGCAGGTGCTAGGTGATTACACAGAGTTATAAGAAAGATACATGCATTATTTTTTTACTTCTTTAATCACTTCGTCATGTTTATTCCCTTGAAATATATATCTTAGGGGTTTATCACTAACACTGTAGAAGTCATATATTTTCAATCAAGTTTTACGATGAGTTTTAAGTGAGCTTAAATTACAGGAATTCAAGGTTTACTTTTATGATAAATTGTTCTAGGATAAAAAAATATATTAAACTTTTTATTAAAGAAGAAAATAATGTAATCATAATTCATTCTGAATACAAAGTTACTTGCTTACTCAAGTATTAATGTGCCGCACGAGTCGCACGCAAGTCTTGCAACAAAGGTAATGAAACAACGTAAATAGAAGTAAGTCATGACCCGACCGATATCACAGGTATTGTTTCTTTCACTGGGTCGGTCCATGATCCTTGCACACATCTGCTCGATATTCATACCTTTATTAAATTGTTTGATTATACTAGAAAGAGGAATGTATAAATTATATATTTCATTGTATCATCATTATCTTTTGCAATGATTCCCCGTTTCAAGAAATAATAATATACTTAACAGGTGTCATCAGTCAAATATAGTGGAAATTTCTAGTAACATCACATGATTTTAGAACCACATTGGAATGTCACCTTGGGTAAAAGATATAGCAGTAATTTGCAGGTTATTGACTATCAATTTTTCCGTTGCTTTAATTATATGGCTAGATGATAAGAGTATACAACCGGGAAATAGTTTACGAACAGCAGAAATGTACTGATTATTTTACATGTAAGTTCAATGGCCCGTTTTTCTCTAGAAATTTGCTCAGACACTTCCTGAACAATATAAAACAAGTTATTTTATCTACGTCCAAATGATCAGTTTATGGATTCTGGCAGCAGTGATCATCTGAAGAGCTCATCAAAACTCAGGTTTCTCTTGCTTGGTTTACAATAAAATATTCAACGCCGTTATGCTTCTCTCGCGTATTATGTTTATATCGTACTTACGCACCAACTTGCTGCTCGAAAAGTCAGGTAGGCATCAATCATCCTCGAGGCGTTGTGAGCATCGTAAGAGAAATGTGACAAGATTAATGCCGCTCTATTTAAGCCAGTTGCATGCTGAGAGTTATAAGAGACAGACTTGTACTTTCGCAAACGGCAATTGAGATTTTCGCAAGGTGCGGCTACCCAGGTGGTCCATGAGTTTAGGATAATTCTCTGTTGATGATAATAATCATTGTCTATGTCATAATCATCTAAATTAACTGTTGAGATTGGAGATATTATCGTCATCATCATTACGTAATGACACAGTCAGCTTCTGTTTTCATTATTATTTCATACACCTGAAAATTTCATATAAAAGGTCAACTGTTATATAACTAAATTCAACATTTAATAACATCCATATCTAAACATATTTGATTAAAAAGATATTATTAGCTTTGATCCATATTTAATTTATTTCAAAAATCCCATGTCTCTTTCTTGGTCACCCCGTATAAGTACTCAGTTCATTTCGAGCGCGATGGACTTCTGCCCACGAGTAGCTTATCCTCCTCATCGAAAGAGATTGTTGAAAGAGTGGGGTGAAGGCACCACATCAAGTTTATTCTTTCCGTGATGGTTCTACACTTTCCAGTGCTCTTTAAATGGTTACATTATAGCTTGTCCGAAAATAATACCTGTTTTGAACTTTACCATGAAATCAGTATATTTTTAAATATCATCCACATCCTGAAGGTATCATGACTTTTCTACATTCACTGACATGTCTATGAAGATAATAGGTAAATTATTGAACTGGAAAAATTTGGAACAAGGTATTCTCTTGAGCGGTCTTCAGTACATCTTGGAACTTAATGTTCTCTAGTATTGATGTTGATCGGACACCAAGGTGTGGCGAGAGCGAACTCTCCTCCTCGTTTGACGTTCCTCCGTCTCTTTCCCTACCTTTTACTCCTGTCTCTTTCTCTATTCCCTTCTCTGCACACGTCCCTCTCTCCAGTATGTCTGCACGCCAGCCCCTTCTCCTGGAAACAACAATTCAGTAGTGAGTTCGTCGCTGGTTCGGTCCATTGCGGTGTTTTGCGCCGCGCTGTTGACACACCGTGTTCTGTTATTTTTTACCACGTTATTAAATTACTGTTGTAGATATTATTTCAAGATTAAACCATTTATTTACAAGAGTGCAATGTATCGGTGATAAGAAGCCAACACTCCCAAGATTCGTGTCAGTGATTCAAGTGTTTAAAACAAAAGGTGGATGATTCGATAGTATTTTATAGCAAAGTTGTTTTTCTGATTTTCACCACTTGCTTGCGGTTATCTGCTATTTGTCTTTTCTTTACTTTCATGAATTGACATTGTATCGTGGATTTACCGTGTTATTATTTACTAGAAACGAATAATAGACGCGCATTCTCGGGCATTCAGGTGAGTTGCGTGCGGACTTCTTTCTTGGGCTTCTCTTATTTCCTTTCCTTCTGTTTCTTTTCTTTTCTTCTCTTGTTCTTCTTAACATCTACCGGGTTGTATTCTTGAATTTTATCTTCTAAGATTTCCCTTTCATGCCTAATACCTTTTCTGTAAAAATAACACAGCTCAATGCACTTATATTTTTCTGGGCTTATTCGAGAGTACAAACATGGTTTCTCTTGGTTCTCTCATGCTCAAGAGAGAAGCATCAGCCAATTGCTCTCCTGCGCTGATCGGTGGGAACTTAGCAATTCGCAGGAGATGGATAACATGGAAACGGGTTTAAGTATGAAAGTAATTGAGGAAGTGGACGGGTGCACAAAGTACCTGAAGCTACAACGGACGATTGGTGCTTGGGTAAAGCCAAGACGTAAGTGCATAGAAAACCAGTGAATCGTCGGCAGCAAAAGAGACTTTGACAGCAAAACTACCCAAGCGGTTAAAAGTGTGATTACCTGTCTGTACAAGACTTTGACGTTACGATAAAATTTACATAAAAAATTGTGAAAAAATTCAACTCCTTTATAAAGTTTACGATAGAAAAAAATCCTCTAAGAAAAATAGCGAGAGGTTTCTTTTTCGTCTTGCTTGCAAATTGTAGATTGAAATAAAAGTCAACTATCACGAATAGTTGATTATAATTACTGTAATTTCGTTTGTTTCAGGTGAGCGATGGCCTTGAGGCTTCGCAGTAGCAAAGATGTTAAGAAAAGCTCATACTACGTATGGTATTTGGGAGCGAGGGAGGCTAAAGGCGTGGATGCGATGCCAGGTGCCATAGCATATCTCCTCGAGCGTGAAAGACTCCAAGAACCTTTCAAGGTCACACTGCAGGTAAGATCACCAACGGCGAAAGAGATGGGATTACGATTTTGCACTCAGTGAATCCGGTTTTTTGAAAGTATCAATTCAATTGGTGCTTCACAAAAATTATTGTCATACGAGTCTATTACTCGTCAAAATTACACTTTCTTATCTCTTCCCAAAAAGATAATTCTAAACTCAAATCTATTCTAAGTAATAAATTTTTAGTCATACTTAAAAATATCTAATCAGTAACCATGTATTAGGTTGTAGAAAATAAAGAAAAATTTATGCAAGAATTCAGCGTGAAATCTAAACCGGACTTTTGCTACTTTTATCACAAATTTATTGCTGAAATCCATTTGATGATGAACTTAATTGCCAGTTTGATGTTTTGAAGTAAGCAGAATAAGAAAAGTAGTGCAATTAAGGGAGAAAAGAGGATTACTACTGAATTACTAGTCTTGAAATTGTTATGTCTTGCAATTAGCTATGAATCCTATCATCTTTTTGAAATTAGTAAATCGTGGTGTGTTCTTCTTCTGCTGCTTCTTTTCTTCACTCTCATTTCCTGGCAATGAATGTTTTTATCTGAAAGTGTTTAAAATAAAATTCGGTGTGTGATGGTTGTAATAGTTACTAAGAGCTGGAAAATTTAAAATACTTACCAACCGGTTAACGTGGAAGATGCAGATACCAGTGAAAAGAGAAATGTTGATGTGTTTTTAAATTACATTGAACTCAGAGGACGTGTTTAAACATTGGAATCTAGAAAAGGAGATAGTGGCCCGGTTAGTCGGATTACTCGATGCGGCCGAGTTTACAATGCAATAAACCTCATTATGTTTGAAACTATCCTCTGTTTTGGTGCCAACGATAATGCCATGTTCTGTAATATACACACACGTGAATGCGAATAATTGGAAAGCTCAATACGACTGACAACATAATATTCAACCTGCACGTACAAAAGAAGTCAGGACAACTTTCGCCCAGTAGATTGTGTCGCGATTATTGTTAATTCATACGTTATTTACACGCTTGTGATCAGATAGGGGTTGGTTACGCTCGTGGGAATCATGTAAAAAATAAATTATCATTTTTATGGAGAAATGTTTTGTTGACAAGTAAATTACTTAAAAACGGTTATCAAAGAAAGCAGCGAGAGCATTTTCCTTGAATTATATTTTGATTTCTCTTCGACTGGTGAATCGAAGTAATAAGTGTAGAGTATATAGACTGACTCGTTTGCTCAAGTATCCGTAAACTAACGGGTTGCGCTTCAAATCATTCAATTACTCTCCGATAATGTATTAACAATATAAATAGGTATTTTTTTACATAAGAAAATGCCCGAGTTATCCACAGACATAGTTTGTGTAGAAAGTTAACACACATGATTTAATGAAAAAGGGAACGTAAAGTCATACATTTATCAATTGTCTAGAGAATCTCAAGAATTGCGTGTCTTCCGCAATCAAATGGCAATCGTTTTTCAAATACAGATTATTATTGTGACAGAATGTAAGTACGCGCATCTCGTGTAATTGCGCAATTGTAATTGCACATCCACTGACAACGACGACAAAGTCAGGCGAGAAAGTTGGAGTTGGTGATTGCTGATGTCTACCTCAAGCCGGTACTAGGTGACTAGAGATCTTTACCATGATAGACAAACTCTATAGACACGTCAACATGATGAAAACTAATGGATGTATATATTTGTATAAGAAGATAAATAACAAAATACCTTCTATCTGTTGTTCTTAATATTTTCATTACAAAAAAAACTCTGATCTTTTTTTTTCATGGAAATTTTTTTCTTTCACCAAGTATTTTAATGCCAATAACCTCGATGTGGCTGTGAAAAGTCTAAGCTTCCGGGATATAAGTCGTTGGTTGGAGATAACGGTGATGCCGATGACGCTTGCGCGCACAATGAGTCTCTATTTATCTGTAAGAGAAGTCGGTGAGCGATCATCGGTCACGATGTTTCGTATCGGTGTATTACGACACACTAAAGAATGGTCTCTCTGCTGATCCTAGAGGATAAAAATTAAAAATACGAATTAAACATCTCGTGAGCATTCGTGCCATTCTAGGCCGCCCACCAATCGACTCAATAGAGAGATTGTAACCTTCCAGGGTATACTCACCCAGTCATAGGTGCAATCAGTAAGAAAATGATCGTTTGTGTGGCTTACATGCCTCTCCGTACTATCAAACTTGCACATTAATCGATGAATAATAAAGTAACATGATTAATCACCGGCATTTACATCAATCGTTGTGCCAACAGGTCAGCAGCAAAGGCCTCAAGATCATTCAGACCGTTCATCCGGGTATGTCCACAAAGTCTGCTGTAAAACATCTTGTGCCAGGTCACGCTGTTCTTGCTGCTGTACAACGGGAGGACGTCGTCGCTGCAACTCTTCTTCTTCCCAATCCAGCCACCAACAATCCTGTTCATGTTCACGCCTACAGGTATTTATCCATGCACTTGTTTTCTTAGACAAAGTGGTATGAAAACTCATTATATCGTTTGATAAATGAGCATCATTTTTCATCGTATTAAAATCTCATGTAAATAAAACAATAACATTATATTCATAACTGTTTTGAATAGTTACAAAATAATTTAGTTTCTTTTTAAGACATGAATAATTAATTAATGTGAAAATGGAAAATTGAATAATGAAAGTTTGTTAAAACTAATAATAACAGTACGGGATTAAATTATAACTTATTTTCGTTGATAAATATCTGCATCAAAAGTAAACGAATTAAAGTAATGGTGAAAAGATAAAATTATTGTCACGCAGTGTTATTAAGAAAATAATTAGGAAAATGAATACAGTTACTTAAAATGAACTAAGTTGAAGATTATTACAGTAGCAGAAAAAAAGTGAAAATAATAATATAATAATTGTCATTAAGTATCAAATTAAAATTTTATTCACTTTTTAAACTTGGCATAGCTTTTATGGTTCATCTAAATAATACCCAAATAAAATTTATATTGTTGTTGAATGTCTAACAGATTGTGTTCATTCAATGATGCATCTTACTCAGTAATGAAAACAACATTTAGTAATGTGCAATTTAATGAAATGAAATCCAGTAGGACAGGATACGGTAACATGGGAATACAATGGTACTAGAGTAGAGTAACATAGAATTCATTAGACTGAAATTGAGTAACGCAGGACACGACAGTACAAAAATGCAACGATACATAGAATACAATGGAGACAAGTATTTCAATGTTGTTCTAAATTCTATTAAAGTATATTATCTCAATAGTAATAAAGTTAAAATAATAAAAAACCAGTTAAGAGCATGCAATTATTTTTGTACTGAAAACAGAGCAAGATGAATCTGCTACCAGGAATCGTTTTTATGCAAGCTAATTTTTATGACCAAAACTTATTTTTCAAGGATAAAATTATCTTCCATTTCCGAACATGATGAGATGAATAACCGTGCAGCTAGTGTGTGAGAGTTTATTCTCTTTTACGTGCGCGTCAGTCTATACAAATGAAGGCCATACAGTTCATCGCCTGAATGCTTACTTCGGGCTCATTACAACCTCGCCTACCTTGTTAATTAACGATTTTCACGATTCCTAACGGTTTCTTCTCGTGAAGGGACCTCAAAGTTCCTGAGATGTTCATAATTTGTGTATCAGTAGTTAGAAAATTACTTTATCTTTTTTTTCACACATTAACTATACACTTAATGTTTTGAAGAATTAGTTACTTAGACGATAAATTTCATTCTAAATATATCACATAATCTTCAAACTCATTGCGACTTATGCGTCTATCAAACTAAGAAAATTACTACGAATATGTGGGAATTACTCATCTCACACCTTATGATCTTATTTAAGTTGTATGTGGAATTTTATACACATACTAGATTTATAATTTATTTAATAATTACACGCAAAGCTTAACATACACAATTGACCTAGATGCTAAAACATCACGTCTGATAATTTAATATTCAGTAATATAAATTATCGTATTATGATAAAAGTGTGAAAATTGAATTATTCAGAATAATTTTTTCTTCTATAATGTCTATTATATGGTTGGAATTTTTTTAAAGCCTATTACAAGAAAAAAGGTATATAAATACTGATAAAATCAATAGAGTGATGTCATTAAATTGAAAAAAAAAAACATGTTTTTCAATAATAATAAATATTCTGGTAACCTCTTTATGAAACACTTTCTTACATATGTTTTCATTCCTTAGATGTGATTCTGTGGAGACAGCTGAACTTCTGGGTGGACAATTAAAAGTTTTAGCCTCGAATTCTGACAATTCAAGCAAGATCAATGGATCTGATAATAGGATCAGAAGCAATTTAGGCAGTGATGGTCGTAGTACCAGAGAATCTGAATCATCAGAAGGTAGTGGTGAACATAGGCATATTCCAGTTCAAACTACTACCATTTATGAATCTCTGGCTGCTGAATTAAGAGCAAAATTAGGTATTACTTTCAGACTACAAATTAATAAGCAATTTAAAATAAAAAGACTGAGATTAATCTTACAGTGTTGATGATTTTTTTAATGAAGGCAGAGGAAACTCTGGCGATAATGATGTAGGACCTATTTTACTGCCACCTCGAGACTATGACACAGTTCACAGACATCGGGGAAATCTTGCTGGGATCGAATTCCGACGTTGTCTCAATCAAACGATCGTAGGTGGTAACACCGCGAATGAACGAGGCGGAACGCGGAGCGCAGCAAGCAGTGGTATCGGTTCAGATAGCGCAGCTACTCCGCCTCCATACCAACCACATCATCCTCTAGGTCCACGACCTTCTCGACCATCTCGAGACACTTCATCTGGTAAGTAATTTACCTATATAAGTAGAATGTTCAATTCTCATTTAAACATAACAGTCTTAACGGGATTAAATACTTATGTTTTCTCATTATATCTATGCTATACTATACTTATTGCTGGTTTTTGGATCTACTACTTCGTATTGGAATTAGTGGTAAGTGTTTTGGACATGTAGTAAATTTCTCTTATAATGAAATTCCTTCTTAATGTATTTATAAATGCTAAAAACGAGAAAAGAAATGTTATTAGCTAGAAGAAATCATTTTACATATCTCATTTGCAGAAAAAAATGTGATTTCTAATCGAATAAAATTAGAGAACATTAAATTATCCTTTTATTTTATATTGGTGAACGTTAATTTAATGGAGAAGTTGAATTCACTGTTATGGATTGTGTATTAGAAAATAAAAAAATAGAGAAACACAAATCATTGAAAAGATAGAAATATATAATTGTTAGACTCTAGATAAGGAATTTGGACACTTTCTACTCGCAAAACAGGTACACATCCATTTGAATGTGTATACTTATTGTATATACTTGGCTTACGTTACGTGTGAGCAATCAAAAGAAAGAAAGAGAATATACTTAGCTGAACTCAAATCTTTCTTATAGCGTAGAAACCTGCCCTGTTAACCCAGTTCAAAGGATAAATGGTGACTTTTGGAACACCAAAAAATTCGAAAGAGAATGAGATTGAAAGGAAAGACACTGACATGAGAATCATGAATCATAGATTTAATTTCATCAATGTCACGAAGAATTTCAATTTTATACTATATGGTACCACATTATACCATATACAATCATAAATACCCATTTCTCTTGGACGAAACGAAAAAAATATTCAAGTCATGTTGGTAGAATGAAAAAAAGGGAATAAAATGTTGATAAATATTTTCATGAGATTTGCACGGAGAAAGGGATATCCAGTCTTCTTAGATCAACAAGGCTTCAATGCATGACTTCGCTCCCTCTATTTACGGCTGACGGCACATTTTTAATAATGCATAACGTCTGAGACCAACTAACCCAGCAGACAACATATCAAGTGTATTCTCTCATATGAATCGTATTATACAGCTTTGCGTTAATAAAAGACACCAGAAATCTTACTCAGTCATCGCGGTCACGCAATTTTAATGGACCACTAACCCACATGAAGAATGTTGTGCGTCGACAAGTAAACAACTGCCAGGGTTTTGATGTAAAAGCTGTGATATAAACACTAGTTATTAATGCTGCCAAATTTGTAGTTGGATATAAGAGTGGTGTTGAAAAAGAAAATTAAGGGGGAGGAGAATGATAAAAAAATAAAACATGGACACCTGTTGCTGTATAAAGAATACCGTTAGGACGTCGTACATTGGCGACAGGTAGCACCGTGGCTGATGTTATATAGTCGCGCTTTAGTTTATAATGCTAGCACGAGCTGCCTACTTTTGATGGTTATGCTGAACACATGGCATACTTTGTTTTGTTCATAATTATCATTTGCAATATTTGCGTAATTTCCGCTCTCCATCTTAGTACTAAAAGAATTGTCGAAGAGGGAACGTGCTGCTATGCTGACAGGTCATTTACTTTTGTGGAAACCCCGTTAACATTTTTTTCATGCAAGTCTGCAATGTAGAATATTAATATAAAAAGTTTTGGAATAGAAATCAAAACCGGATATGGATTTGTTGCATAAAGCTATCTATTTTTTTTATTGAGTTGTAAAAGACCTCCACAATGTATGAAACAATGTCTAAACTTACCATCTTCAATGAAAAAAATACAGGAAGACGTTATCTTGGAATACCAAGTAGTTTTAGAGAGGATTTTATATTTTAATGTTAAATGAATCATTATATGAGTCAGATTAGGTAACAGACACCTTGAAATCCATCAACTTAATTTGTAATCTTGCGTAATTTAATATTTATAAAGTTTATAGATTTACAAATGATGATGGTATTTCAATGAAATAAGATATAGTTCTTGTATAGAAGAGAAGAAAATTAAAAAAGATAGGAAAATATTTTTTTTCTACGAAAAAAGAAACTTTGTTATAAAAAATTAATTCAATACTGCACTTCAACTCATACAATTTGATACGCTTTTTTGATGAATTCTTCAACACAATATCGACTTTTAAAAAGACCTATAACTTCCCTGTTACTTTCTTTTTACTAAAAGACTCATGAAAAATTAATGATTGTGCAGCTTATGAAAAAAGTTTTGTAAAAAACCAAAGTTATTTTAGAAACAAGTACATGTTGAAATTTGAAGAATAAACTGCGAGTACATGAAGAAAGTTACATGGAGATACAAGTAAAACAGAATCTCTTAAAGTCTAACTCGAAGTCAAGATTGATGTGCTGGCGGCAAAGGTACATGAAGTGGATAGTAGAAGTGTTAAGACAATCATGTTGGGTCATTGAGTAGTCTACTTGTCGAGTTAGTTACCATATTCACTCGACAGTACTCAGGACACATAAGCCAGGATCGTAAATTTGTGTGCGAATCAACATGTTCTCTGTCCTCACGGCGTGAGAAGGTTCCGCATTCTCGGCCCATAGCCTCCGGCATCTTTCAGTCGCTTTGAATCTCATCGTGCCCTCGACCTGTACACATTGCGCTTCGTATGAAGAAAGAGAGAAAAGAGAGGCTACCCTCTCCTCAATATCTCTTTAAATCTCTTTAATATGGTTGCTTGGTATTTACTGGAAACCTCATGGCCTCTTTGTATCAGCGGTCTTTCCACTCCTTCATAGTTTAAATCTCTTTTATCAACTCTTAAGACTGAATATCCTTTATTTGTATGTCATTCCACCTCGTCTTCAACTCCTCCAATATTTTTCTTAACTTTTCTATCTGTATTTCTTTTCACATTATCACGATTTATCTTCCAGTAATGCATGACATTTGTTAATTTCAATAGTAAAAGACTCATTTTATACTCTTGATTTCCTTCACACTCAAGTCGTTAACAAGTTTTCCAGGATTATCAACTACTACATTGGCACCCTGCAACAGATAACATGATGTCATTTGAATAAAAATTTCTGAAGTTGGAATTTAAGAAAAATCATTTAGCAAGATTGTTAATTTATTGATATTTAAAATGTCTCCGTCGGTTGTAAATAAATATATTTTTAAAAATAATAATATCATCATTACAAGACCATAAAATCATGGAATTTATTTATTTACAGATGAAGATTGGGGAGGTGTTAATGAGGATAATGAATATCTGCAAGAGTCAAATTCCAATATGGCTTTACCTCGAGTTACAAGGAGTCCGGAAAGACCAATTGGTTTGACTAGAGGAGTATCACCGAATTCTAATAGACTAAGACGAGCACCTGAATTGAGACAACGATCACCAAGTCCACAGTATCAACCTAAAATTGATCCTATTGAAGTAACAAGCCCAAGAGAAAGATTCCAAGATGCCAAGGAGATGTTTAAGGCCATGGAACGAGAAAATAACGCGAGGCCAGTGATTGTTAGATCTAGAGAAACTAGTGAGAGCCATGGAAAACATAAGTAAGTTGTAATTTTCATTATATTTATCAAAGTAAAGCACACAAATTTTTATAAAAATCATTTGATAAATTAAACGTCATTTACTCATTATTAAATTACAGTAGGACATCATTAGAAACCTAAAATAAAGTAGTAAATGTCAATTAGTAATTACAGAAATTCTTTTAAATATGAAATAACTCAACAAAGACATAATTAAAACAAACGTTGTTTACAAGATTTTGATGCTAATTAATGAGTACAAATACTTACGCAAAATGTTTCACATGGTGTAGCACATTATGCATGAATTATAATGAGGTAATAGATACTTTACTTTGAAAATTGTCTGCTGGTTTAATGTGATGGGGTTATGATCATGGTAATAATCTTTTAATTTGCTGGGCTGAGAATTAAGTTGAATGCTCTTAGAAGGCTAAGGAACTTTGAAAACCCGTTGCACAGCGACAATAATGACAGGTATGTGCACGACTGCCCAGTCGCGTGTCAGCAAAATCATGCTTCTCAAGCACAAACTTAGTAGATGACAAGCCGCACGGGCAAGTTATATTAATATCAAGTATAAAACTAAATTAGTTTGCTAGTAATGCAGTTTTTATATTCATATTATTAATGTTGTCAGAATGCGATCAGCAATACGTATATGATGATAAAAATAATATTATCAGCAGGGAACTTAAAATAAATCACTTTGAATCTATTTTTGTCAGCATCAAAATGTTGTCAAGACCACATACTTTGATAGAAGTAAAGAGGAATTTAAGGTACAGAAGTTTCACTAGATCTTTACAGACTATTTGTTATGATGAAAATTAACGATCGATTTGAAAGTTACTTAAATAGATAAAAAAGAAAACTGGTTCAGAGAAAATTTTTCCTTTAAAGGATGATTTATTGACAGTAATCTCTTTAAGATTTAACCGAATCAATAAATGATAGTGAGTTGATGTGTGATAAATGATGACAGATTAAATGATTTGTTTCTTTCACCAGGTTGGAGCAATCAAGGTTACATGATGAAAGAATAAGTCGTCACATGTTATCCAATGCATCGCATTCTGCTCCAGTACATAGTGACCATATGATAAGAAGAAGCCATCCTAATTTGGATCGAGAAAAGGAACGTGAGCATAGTGATTTTGTATATAAATCACGCTCCAGAGGACAGAGTTATTCGACAGATCATCTCGAAAGCTCTCGACCAAGACCTAGAAGTTTTTATGAAAATTCATCAAATGGAAGAGAACAGAAAGAGCAGAGACACCATGTTATAGATTTGAGAGAGGTAAATGATTTATAACTTATTGATTAAATAACAAAAATGATTCAATAATGATAACTCTTCAATTTTAGACAAAAGAAATAAGAGATCGACATTCTCGTGAACTTCGTGAGAAGCAGCGAATACGACCTATGGCTTACCAAGAAATCCCGAAGCACGATAGATATCTAGATCGTGAAAGTACTAGACAAAGTTTTGATATCTTGCCCACACCAGGAAGATATCGTCATAGTTATGCTGAACCTCCAAGACTTGGACTAGCAGCACTTGATCCGTACTAAGAGAACAAAAAAAGAAAGATATTTTAATAAATGAAATATGATTAAAATATTTAATTAACTGATATACTGATCGTTTATCGTTAACGTATCATTATATCATCTTTTAATGCTTCTGTCATTATTGGCTGTAAGGTGTACGCCATGGATCTTCTCTCTTTCCTTCTTGCTGAAATCATCTCTATGTCTTAATATATTTAATTAATATCAACATTGAAAAGACATGCGGGTATTCGATAAAACTTGTCGTTAAGCTAAAACATGAATTAAATTATGTTATAAATAACAATTTTATTTTGATTTAATATCGTTATAATTAGAAAAATTGCAAAAAAATTTATCTTAATCCTACGAAGGAAAGATAATGAAGGAGATCAATTTCCAGCTTCGCCAAACAGCCAATTTTAAATTGTTCTACGGCTTACATACACAAGCTAAGCCATTTGAATAATGTGAGACATGTTGTAATTTTTTAAAAATATTTTTTCTGTATGTATATGTTATATTTGTAATTGTTATACGAGAGAACCTCACTAACGACAATAATTATAGGTCTTCGTACTAAAAAGATCTGCATTGCTGTTTTTATCATTTTCTATATACCTTTATATTATACTCTCATCAAGAACCATGACAGCTCAGTTACTGCAACGAATTGCTCAGTTCTTGTTCCTAACAAGTATTTAAACCACACAACGACCTGTTTTGATCGAATTATGTTCATTGCGTGAAAGTTTCAATGCCACGAAATATGATTTCTGTTCTCAATTTTTAATTTAACATTCAAAAGGATTAGATCAAATATTATTTAGTAATGCCTAGAAGAGAAATTTCACTTTCTGATCAGTTCATAAATCAAAACAAAAAAAAGATAAAAAATCAACACGAACGGAAATTGATAGTTATAAAAAGTGAATAGTTATTATAAGCTACATTAGAGATATAAGAAGAACTGATTAATGAAATCTATAATCTATAAGCTAGACAAAACTTGATTGATAAATCTGTTTAGATAAATACATATTCGTATCACGAATCCACAAGTGAAATCGAAATATTTCAAAATTATCTATTATGCAAAGAACGCAATGGTGCAAGGAAAACCATTTACACAACGTGGTCATAATATTTATTGTATATAAACTACCTAATTTCAATTTAATAACTTTTCATCACATTCTTTGAATTCTTATAAATTTTTTCAATAACATTGCGTGTGAGTGAATTATAAATACCTGAATTTCAATTCTATTTCTCAATCGAAATATAAAGGTTATAAAAAATACATAATTAACAAAATGAATATTTTTGTGATGTAAAAAAAAATATTTCATTAAATATTAATTTAATTAACGTGAAGTAATCGAAGTATTTTTAAAAGGGCAAAGTAATTATCTGTTCATGATCAAATTACTAATATGGGTATTTACGCAATAAGTAAATTGATAAAATCATTTGGCTATTCAAGCAATAAAATAAATTCTTTGAGTACTTCATGATCGTAATTAGTATGTTCCATAGCTGTATATTGCTAAATATTCTTTTATAGAAATAAACTTATTTTTCTGATAATTATAATTATTTGTTGTTCAGGTAGCAAATAATTGCAACAAATGATTATTTACAATTTTATTTGAATAAAAATTTAATTTCATAATTTATAGGCTATTACTATTTAAAAAATGAGAAAATTATTATTTTTAATCCTACATGAATATGAATATCTCCATATATGTATATTTCCTGTGCTCATTATCAGGATAGAATGTATGATTGGTGATTAATTTCTACCTGAGCTGAACAGAAAATAGCTATAATGACACTGTTCTCGGCAATTTGAAACGAATTGATCTAAGGAATGAGTAGAAAGTCTGGTTTGTCACTGGATTTTTCTCCATTCCCTTTCTCTTACGATGGTCTTTCAGTATTCGATTAAGAATACTTAACTGTAAAATTTTACAAGCGCTGATGCACTTGTTACATTTTTATCGAGGTATTTCACATGAAATAAATTCGTTAAAATAGCGGAATCTATTGAATAGAATAGTTTATATTCAATGCAAATAGTATTGGCTAAGCTTTTATTTAAAGCATCAATATTTTTCTTCGCTTCAATCACTTTCAGAACGTTGTCGCCATCTCGTTTTACTCTCTGATGACCATCACTGCAACCGGACGGAACATTGCTGCTTTATGCCTTGGTGAATGTACTAGTTGATCTAAGAGTAGACTGAAAATTAATTCACTTTCCGAGAAACTAAAATAGGAATCACATCAACTGATGCTCGATAGAAACTGCTCTTGAACACCAAGAGGTCAAGTTGAATCCAAAAGATGGATAGAATTCATGGTGGTCGATGTTGCAATGCTTCTTATCCATAAAAAGATGAACCTGTTTGAATTCTTGACGGCTTTACCCTGTAAGGATTATCTACTATACTTCCTCTTCTTTATTTCTAAATTTGTACGGTTGAGAGTTAATAAATATTAATTATTTTTCAGTTGAACTCTATAAACAAGTTACTTTTTGTTAATTTTGAATAACATTATAATTATAAATACTCGGCTTTGTTGATGTATTCGTTAATATTTCATAATAAAACAATAGAAGACCAATACACAATAAAATATATATTCCAGGTAGATTGTACGGTAAATATAAACATGATCATGCCTCTCTATCTTCAATAGGCAACATTGTGAGTCGTCATGACCCCGTGTCTATCTATAGAGACACTAGTACGTGATAGAAAAGCGGATAGCTCTTGTCGGAAGTTCCGTTGCTCCCGTTGCTCTTGCAAAGAAAAATTTTAGCACGTTATATATTTTATTGTAATCTTTGCAATGCGATTTTTCATGCTTGAAAAAATAAAATATAACAACAAACGATTCTGGTATTTTTATTTTTATAAATAATAAAATAATGATTTTATTACAACTTGTGCGACCCTTATTCAGCTTTCGTGCTCGCGGCAAAATCTTCAGGGAGGTACTACTTCCCAGGCATTTGTGTCTCCCGTTATTCTAATCGACACTGCTTGGTACGCATCCACATTACTTACAAGTCTACAATAAAATAATTGCAATCAAGATACATGTCCAAGTATTATTAATGATTTGTAAAGAATATTTATAGCATAATATTTATAATCTTTTTGATACGTACCAGGTGTTTAAGATATTCTTCTCTGTGATAAACATCAGCCGCATGTTTGATAACTTGGCATAAATAAGGGAAATAATTACTAAGAAAAATGTCTAGTCACAGGTGCAATCAACAACTTGGTCCTTTATGGAGATTTCAAATTATTATATCGTTTAAAGTTCTCTTTAATCGAATAGAAATAACGTGAAATGTATATCCATGTGAATGTGGTAAGATTGTATCCATGTATAAGTCAGAGGAAAGATAGGCGTGCCTCTACGCATTAAATACTAGAGATTGGAATGCTAAATATGCGTATAAATTGTTGGAGTGAAAATTCCTAGTTTTTTAAACTTTTACATACTTGTTGAAGCCAATGTAAGACAACGGAAGAAAATTGTCATGGTTAATGGGGCCAAAATTTATGTTTAAATTGAAATTATTCTTTTTGTTAAAAAAACTGAGCAATTGAAAAGAAAAAAAAGGAATTTTCCCATTTTTTCACTTTTTAATGTAAAAGTTTCGCGAGAAAGAAATCATAAACTAAACACTCATTAAATTTCTAATATTTGATATTATTATACACTCGCTGAACTTCAACATTATAGTACGAAATTTATGGAAGTTGATGGCGCTAAAATATATATCATAGTCTAGAAGAATCTGTTATATTACCTATTATAATGCTCTTTTTATTGTGAGGGTTTTAAATAAATTGATAGGCAGCTTGCATGCGGAAGTGGACTTCTCAGAAATAGAAACTCTTGGGTTCATCGTCGTAAAAGAGCTCGTCAGTCTCTTGTTAATCTAGCACTTTCCTGATCTTTATAGTCATGCTCATATATATCTAAAGACATAAAAAAGAATATTAATTATTAAGCTAAACTAAGTATAAATATTCATTTAAGGTATTTTTAGTTGCCATTAATAAACATTTTACTCCTAAGATGTATATTAATTCTCAAGATATATAACCGCGGAATTTCTCTGAATGTTTACAGCACGTATGCTGACTATGAGTAGGAAATTCGAGCGAAATTAATTCTTGTGGTATTACAGTCAAGATAGGCAAGATGTAGGGAAAAGAGAAGAAATGGAGAAGGAAATATTGTCACGCTCGGACACCGCGATGCACACGATTCCATTTGACGATTACAGCAGAGTTTCCTGTCTCAAAGCAGTACTGCATCAAGGGAGAATGGCGATGAGGTTACAGAAAGAAGTACTTGTGATGAAGAAATGGGAGAGTTAAAGATCTCACCGTCGAGCCAAACTCGTCAATGCGAGAAAAGAGAGACAGAGACTCAATTTTAAAAGATGGAGCAAAAGAGCAGATTACTTGTCGAGGAGATATACTTGGTATACAAGAGAGTTGATGGATTCCAAGTAATTAACATGGCGGTGACCTACTGACCCACTCGATGGAAATATTCGTTTGCGAATCGTATTCATCATCTATAGCAATGATCAGTATACCAAATCGATATCTCTATTGCAATACTATAAAAGTACTTTGTCTAAAAACAAAAGAAAATATCATTAAACATATTCTGTAATTATTTGAAATATATAATCAAAACATACATCATTGAGCTATTCTTTGAGAAAGCTATCACGCATGAATATTACTTTCATAATCTTTATTACATCATCTTTTCACGCTGCTTCATCGTCATAAATAGAATAAGACGATGATGATGATGATGGTGATGGAGACATCCAATTGTTCTTCAAATTACATCGTGAAATGTAAAAATTCATGTTTCATTTTTTCTTAGTAGGAAGAGATATGCATCACCAGCGTGAGAAAACTCAAAAAAATATTGTGACCTTTTGCAAAGGAATCTCAAACGTCTAAAATAATTCCGGATTCTTATGACAACTCATTAGAATTAGAAAATATCCATTCTGAAGGAATGAGTGTCGACTACCACAAAATAATACATTCTTTTAATGTATTTTCCTTCCTACATAATGTTCTTATTCTTGTCTTGGCTATCAATTTTTTTCCGTTAATGTAACAATTATCCGTTAAATGAAATAATGGTATACTGCTACAGACAATATAATGAAAGGTGATAAAAAGTTTAATGCGAGTTTATAAATTGAATATAAATTATATGATTGGCATACTTACGGGTTGAGATATACGATCATCATCCAAGTGTAATGTCTTCAAGACATGTAAATTTTTGGTACCAGAAATATTCCCACGGATAATTTAAAATTTTTTACTTTATTTTACTCATCTTTTCCGTTCGTTTGTTCCACTGACATGAAAAATCCATACATTTCCGGCAACATATCGGATTATGTTTTCTAACAATAAACTGTTCTTTCATATTCCACGTCAAGCATTATAATTTGAATATCTATTTTATATTTTATTATCTTTATTATTATTTTGCCTCAATATTTATTCTTATTTTATTAACAGCTTTTTATTTATTCTCCGATCCGTTGCAATTTATTTTTGGGACCTTTCTCGACTTTGAAACTTATCTTCAAACTCCAAACTTCTTGAGTTATAAAATCAAACCGGTCTTCTTGCAGACTATAAATGCCAGCTACAACATATCCTTAACAATTCTGACGCTATTCTCTCTGTAATTTGGCAAATAAATTTCAGATGTTTGTCCGAATTCAAGTATAAAAATTCCTGAGAGCTTGTACAAGGATTTTGGCAATTAATAGACTTTGGCCAATATCTCCTATGTAAAAAATATTATCTTTTCACAAAGCACTTAATAAAAATAACAAACATTTCTGCACCTAGTCATGAGAATCACACGACATTGGTTCTCAACGGTCAGGGTCTACGATCACGCGACCCTGATTTCCCTATATGTAACTCTGGCACGCATAAGATAAATCTTTGTAGGTATGGTTCCACTTCATTACATTAGTGCTGACCTGTAAGCTTTGATTTTTTGTTAATTTAATTTGCATCGAGTTACATAAATGCATATGTAAAAAATCACCTAGATGGAATTTAAGCCTATGCAATAAGAGAATGGCTGTTTTGAGTATCAAGTATCAACATTCTCCTTAGTCTAGGTTGTAATTGTACTTTAGCCTTTACCCACCATTAGTATGATTTTAAAATGTACCCTTAAACGGGTTATCATATTTTCCATCAAGTTTGCTCCATATTCATTTGTTATTTTCTACAATTCTTCAGCGTCTTTCCCAAGTTTTTCATCTTTGAATTCTTTTTCCCCTCAAGTAACCTCTGACTCATTAAATGTCTGGTACCTTTGTGTCTCACAAAGAGGATATCCGACCGCGGATTCATTGTGTGTGTTTGTTATGAAGCCTACGTATTATTATTAAACAAATCACGTAGATGGTTGGGAGGCTTTTCAAGGTCCTTTTCTATTCAATTTTATGAGACTGATACAAATTAAGTAGTAGGCAGGAGGTAGATAATACAAATGTTTTGGTAAAAAATTTAATTTCTGTTTGTACCACATATAATACGCCTTTCTTTACTTTTCACCAGTTAATTTTTTGCTTTTAAAATAATGGGGCCTTTCATTCCAAAATTTCATCATCTCACTGATTTTTTACTTGATCCATTTTTTCTAATGAAGTGGCCTTCGTCATGCTTGAATTATTCAAACTAAAACGTTTCATTTCTATTGTGTTCAGCTACAGGTTTTTGACTAGGGCAATATAAAATCCTAGGAAAAATATATTCTACCTGTGACTGTGAACTGGTCATCGGTCGAAGAGACTTCTTGGGGAATGTTGGCAAGTCGCATATAGTCGTAGAGCATACGTCGTATAGTACGCGGGCACAGGTATACATAGAATCTATAAGTCCGTGGGTGGGAATGAGAGGTAAGAGTAGATTGTACTAAGTAAGTTAGAAAGAGATAAAGAAAAAAAGAAGAGAGAAGGGGAGACACCGAAGCATGTTAGCCGGTTCCACCTATACTGTAGCTGAGCTGTTTTCCTCATCGGTTCCCGTCAAGTTCTCCAAAGTCTCCGCAGTCTGGCACCAACCGTCAACATAGCAAGACCTTGTGCGTGTGTTACTTGATTTTTATCGTGTGTGCAAATTTAAAGGTGCCAAAGTTTGTTATTGAAGCGTTGGCATTTAAATAACTCACATAAAGAAATCCGTGTTCTGGGGTTTTTAAATTATTTTTACGTAATTTAAAAATTGTTTGACGGCTCGTGGGAACAACCAAGAATTACCGGGTAGATTAAGAGTGCACGAGACTTGACTCTACGGGCAACCTTTCAAAACTGAATGGTCGCATTTTAATTGATGAGTTTAGTGAAGGGAATAGATAGAGATCATAGGAAAATTATTATGGAAAAGCATGTGTGAATTGTCGAGACCTAAGAAGAGGAAGAATATATAAGAAAATAATATCAGGAGCCGCACCTTTAGATTCCTTGGTCGACTTGGAGCCAAGTGAGAGGTGTGCTTTCGTGAGCTGTAACAAGGAAGAGAGTAGAAAAGAAAAGAAAGGAGATACCTCCTGAGAGAGTAGGAGGAGAAGGAGGACGAATTCCAAGGGGGCACGTATGTACAGCTCCGACGCCACTGGTTAGCCGCATACCAAGCGAGCGAGAGGTCTTGTGGGAAAAGGGGAGAAAAAGGAATGAGGAGAGAAGGACGTGTAGTGTGGGGAGTCACGCTGTAAGCTACACAGAATAAGTGGAGGGATCACCGCCGCGAGTGGGACAGTAACTCGTCACGAGGAAGTGAGTGAGACAGAAACTCTCTCAGGTAAGAGAGGCTTGGTGGCGAAGAAGGCAGCCATAATGGCCTAACGCGATCTCCGTGAGGCAGCTACAGCTGCTGCAAAATCGTGATCGGTACGAGAATATCCTGTAGAGTGATTTTGCAACAAGATTGAGTCACATCTAGTGCTATTAATCTGCCAGAAGGTCCTTTCTTACGCAGCTGTGCAGGTTTTCGACATCTGAAGTATTTTTTTCTTCTGTCAGACCATTTAAATCTTAAGCTCAGGTGCGTGTGACAACATGATTTTATGTAAAACTATAGTCAAGTATTATTAATAACTGTGTCAAATTTGAATTTATTCTTACCTATAATCCTTTTATAATCCAGGAAACAATGAGGGGTTCAAATCAAGACACTGCGACTCCTTATTGTCGTTGTCGAGTCCTTTATCTTGGCAGTTCAGTTCCTCATGCAAGCAAAGAAGGGCTTCTTGGAGTGCAAGAGCCCTTACGTGAGCTATATCCGGAACAAGGTGCACTTGGAGCACGTGGTATTGATTCCTGGTTAAGTGTGTGGAGCAATGGTTTACTTTTGGAGAATGTTGATGAACATCGGAAGAAAGTTACAAGGTTTTTTCCTATCGAATCATTACATTATTGTGCAGCAGTGCGACATGTGAAGGGAGGTAGTGGTGATTCTTCAACTACTAGATTTTTACCGCTTGATTCGCCGTTTGCTAGGAATCCTAGCGCTAATCATCCACCTCTCTTTGCGGCTGTATTACGTCGTACAACCGGGATTAAAGTTCTGGAGTGCCACGCCTTCATCTGTAAGCGTGACATGGCAGCCAACGCCCTGGTAAGATGCTGCTTTCATGCGTATGCAGATAGTAGTTATGCCAAAGGTCTTGACCCCTCAATGGCAACCATCACAAACAGTGAACCACCAGCAAGTTCACATCACGCCAATGGAACGAACGGTAATGGCAGTCTATATCACACACTTGGTGGTTCAAGTACTACCTTAGACAATAATAGTCCTCTGGGAACTAGATTGGACACTGCATCTAATGATGATATCAGTCTTTATAATGGTGATGAAAATCATAAAGTATGGGCAAAGGGCAGAGATGAAGTTGATGCCGTATATCAAGAGCAAGGAACTATGAGAAGCACTCGAGGATCACGACCGAGACAATTAATAGCTCCTCCACCTCCGCCTCCACCTCCACCACCGCCATCTCAACCTCTTCTTACAGAAGAATCCACATCTTCAACTAGAAGAAAAGCAAATAAAAAATTAAAAAAATTAAAAAATCGTACCGCACATGAAGAACCTATGCAGATTACTCATCATCCTCATCAAATACATCCTCAAGCTATTTATACAAATGGTCATGGCCATCATACTCTTGGACATCCAATCAGACAACAGCATTATCACTCGCATCAAATGCCACCAACTAGTAGGTCTGTCGCAGGTACTCTTGCTAGACCAGCTCCAGTGCTTTTAGTACCAGCAGCAACTCTTCCGCGGAAAGCTCATCATCATCCCAGAGGTATACGACCGATACCAGCAGCAGCACCAATAGTTCCGGTTTATGCTCCTTTACCAGTAGTGCCACCGCCACCAGCTGCACTTTATCAGCCTACTTATGGCACTTCAGGTAATCGAGGAAGACGACATCAGGAGGTTGATTCTTCTACTTTGGGTGTAAACAGAAGACTTGCAGCTTCACATGCAGATTTAACAGCATCTCCTGAAAATACGAATACTGACAATCAAGATAATGATTCACGTTACGGAACTGGAATATATAGACGCAAAGGTCATTTAAATGAACGAGCTTTTTCCTACAGTATCAGAGCAGAGCACCGTAGTAGAAGTCATGGAAGTCTTGCATCACTAGGGTTCACGTCTCAGAACGGATCAGCTCTGCCTAAAGAAGAAAAGAAAGACCGGGAGATTGCACAAATGGTTGCTGGCTTGAATCTTGATGATGGCCATGATAAAACATCCTATAATCGAGCTAATCATCATCCACCTCAGCCCCTACCGAGACCACGACCTCGTTAAACTGTTGCGGTTCATTGAGTTATTGGAAACGGGAAGATGTGGTAAAATCAATCAATACATACGTACAGTGACAATGATTGATTTATTACAGATGGAAATTGATATTCAAGGTTTTTAATCATCATCGATATTATCTGGATATTAAATAGATATTGATTATCTATTGCCACTGATCGACGAAATTGATACAGGGCATAAAAAATCAATGAGATACATTGCTCATTGCTCATTAGTCGTACATTGACTTCTTCATTTTATGACGATAGATACTCATTTCAACAAGAAAATTAAAGAATAATCTTCTGTATGTTGTTTTCAAGCTAATTGAGCGGATGGGAACAATATAATTGTAGTCACGCTGTCATGTTATACACCTAATGCTCGAGGATGTTGACTTTACGAAGCGCAACAGAGTTGCACAGAAAATTAAACAAAATGTATAGGATCTTATAAAAATTTTTAATATAAATCTTACTTCGAACTATTACGTTTTATATATAACATGTGAAACTATTGAATAAATTATATCGGGCCAAATGGCCTGAGTGTACATACACGTGATTACAAGTGGTGTAAAGATGTATGGTATGCAAAAGGTAAGAGTCAGTTACAATTATACTGTTTAACGCTAATCAGTTATCCAGTCTATTTATAGAAATGAGCTCTGAGTAAATAAAATTATTTTTTAACCACACTGATAATACGTATGGCTGGTGGTTGGAGCCAATCTTTTGTGCAGGAGTCAATAAAGCATGACGTAATAATGAAGGCTTTGGTGAACATCAGCAAGAAGAAAATTTAATATCAAGTTTTTATGTCACATATCATAAAATAAAACGAAAAGGATGCGATTACATCATCTTCACAGATAATAGAAATGATGACAACCAGATGCAATTTTGTTATTCATGGTTATATTGTCGATGAGTTTCGAGGTCAATGTGTAGCTTCTTCACTCTCTGAATCCTTATCATTATCATGCAAAATAATAAAACGTTTCCCAGTGCCCGCATAAACTAAATTTTATAACGGGAAAAATTTTTGTACGCTGAGAATTTTCATTGCTCGCATATTGAGCTCGTCGACTGAAAAATAATCTACAATTTTCATAATAAACAACTGTTAAATCTATACTTATACTATAGATTACATACTTGAATTTTTTTCAATATATTTACCAAATGAATGAGTCAGTGCAAAAAAGATTATATTGTTACTATAAATAAAATGGCGCCATTTATTTTTAATTTCTCTTGGAATCATGATAATTGATATTACTTAATTATTAACTCTTTAATAATGTATTTATAAATTTTTATCTTTCAAATTATCTATTTTAATTGGATACACGTAATTAACTTGACATTCAGGGACAATGTTTGAAATCGTGTTTACATAAAAATATTAAAAGTGATAAAAAATATTTAGTGTACAATGTCATAGTTTGTCGCTTAGTCAATGGAAATCTAATATGAATACTCATCAGTGTTAGAAAATTAAAAACATTTTTTAAGTATTTAAAAAAAATTGTCCCAGAATTCTTATCAGCAACCATAGGATTTTAGTGAGTTAACAGTAAGTCAAGAGCATAATCAATAATATTGAAAGTGACTGGTAACACTTTGGCTTGATTCTGATGTTGGATGGATGACACTTGATGTCTTACTTTCTAAGTCTTTAATATAATATGCGTATATTACGTAATAATACTCGACCATATGTATATGTATTTAATCAGAAGTGTAGTTTATCAAATTGCATATCAATGTAACATAATAATCATTAAATTAAAATTAGTTAACTCACCTAGGATCCTCCAATATGCATAATGCACAGTCATGAGCATAAACAAAAATAATAGCAGACGGAAAGTGCCGTATGTTAAATATAATCTGTAACATTTAAAAAGAACTATTTTAGCATAATTATACGTACATAAGTATTATTGTAAAATGTCCAATATGGTTACGAAAAGTAAACTCATTAAAAAAGAGTGTGCGCACCAATATGAATGTGCCATCGAAGTTATGTGAAGTAAGTTCGCGTAAATATGTGCGTTGGACCGTCACATGTGTGTGAATGATCTAATAAATACATGTAGTTTCTTAATTAAATCATTGATCTGTAAAATATGCAAGAATTGAGAGGGAAAAATGAGGTCAATGACCAATGACATTTATATTCATTCGCAACTTGTGCTACGTTTCTGTACGCCATCATCTTATATTTATATAAAAAAATAAATTTATAATATAAAATAATTGACGTGTGTAAGATTTTTCTTGTACACGATAATAATTGCAAATAATAAATAAATGAAACTAATTAATATAACTTATAGTGTTCCATTTATTTTTTTTATTATCATTATATTTTTTTATTATTCTGAATTTAAATATGAATAAAACCATTTTTTTTTCTACCACAAACTAAACACTAAAAGCTTGAATTACAGTTACAGGCTAACGTCATAAAAATTTTTTTCATATACAGTTATCAGTTAGGCTACTAACAATTAGGTCAGCCGGTTGAAACACTTTTAATGAAAAGCTCCTTTACTTCTACTTACCATCTTGACTGCTTTGAATGATCAATTATCACGATGAAATTAAACGTTGGTGAAAATTAAAATTGCTAACGGTGCTTTAATGCCTCAACGCTAAAAAAATGGTAAAGTTGTTGCTAATATAATCACATAAAACTGGTAATTTTGCAATAATATTTATCTTATATAAATAATAGTCATAAACCGTATTATAGTAATCTTCAAGAAAATGATCTAGTGATGAAATACATGACGCAAATGTTGTGTAGTATTAATTATAGAGATCTGAAGAGGTGTTAATCGAATCTATCTTATTTCCTGCACATAATTTGTCCACATATTTTTTCCATTAGCAATCTAATTACACTTGCGTTTTATCGTACTTAGATGTTTTTATTTTTAAATCATTCTGGATTGACGCGCTGCTGACTTTCACAATTGTTCCAGCTATTTTTGTGCCATCTTCTTTACTATCTCAAGTGACAATCGCACTTGATAGTAAGTTCCTTTTCGAACGAAGCAGACTGTGTAATTATACAGTACTAATCTTCCAATAGATAAATCCTGGAGTCTTGAAAAAAAATTATAAAAAATATAATAACTACACAAATTATTAAGGTTTTTTGGATCATTACAGAAGCTGTAATAGTCATAATAATAATCTTTATTCATCGAAACTTACAAGTTTTTTTGGGCATCGAAACTTACAAGTTCCATACAGCCGTGTACAGAAGTAATTTAATAAAAACTACAAACATAAATGAGTAAGTTACAAATTAAATGTTAATATTTGAATCTTTTAGATGTCATAATTATATCACTCACAATACAGTCGGATAAATCGAAAGGTACTAAATTAGAAAAAAGTAAATTTATTTATCATTCGTTGTTAATTTCAGATGAAAATAAAAAACTGACTCATTATCTTTTTGGACCAGTTTTTATAAGTTGATAATTACAATTGTGTATGATTTATGTGACTTATTAATTACTATTTAATTAAAAAAGTAGTTGGTGTTTAGAATATATTATTATCTTGGAAATTAATCATCAATCAAAATTAATCATTAATGATAAAAGATAAAAGTTATCTAGAGAATACATTAAGATATGTTTCAAGCGATCAAGAACCCTTTTAACATTTGAATAAAAATGTTAAGGACATCAATTGAATCATTTACAATTATTTTCCGTGACGGCACGGATTACGACCGTAACGGACTTTCGTAATTTACGAGGCATCGATATTACGTTTCGCATATTTCATGGTCGTTTAAACATACGTGCTATTATGCGTTGATAACTGAATTTTGCACCTTCTTTCATTTCTACCATCTACCAGTTTTATTCTTCTCAATAATCCTTTGACCAACTACGTAAAGTCATTTAGATAAACAAATATTAGCCAAAAAAATTTTGTTTTGTCTAAATTCAACAGAGAACCGTTGAAGATCTTCTGAATAGAAAAGAACAGTTCCTTCAAAGGTGACGCATAACAGATGCTATATGACTATGGACTATCCAGAGTCCAATGCACTACACTTTACCAGAGGACTCATAGGTGGAATTAAAATTTTTCTTCTTTTCAACGGTCCAAAGCTATTGAACTGTGTAGTTTGTACTGATACCGTTGGATTCATGATACTCTACAAGTGCTTATTACAAACACTTAAAAACTTTTATTACATCTCATTGAGAAAAAATTTTAATGGATATAGCAGATGATGATGTGAATAATTTGAAATAAATCAAAGATTATAAAGGAATTCGCAAGAATTTTCATAAAATTTGAATAAATATTCAATGCTCTAATTACCTTTCTTTGTAGTGATTTAATAAAAAGGTAGCATCCTTGAGTATATCTTTTTTTCACTCTTATTAGCTTAATCAGCCTTTGTGACTAATATTTACTTATATTTACTTATTTATTTATGTCGAGGTATGGAGTTTGCAATATTTAAATAAACTGAGGTAATTGAATGAATTTTATTGGTTGATTTTTATCAATGCAAATATTATAAACTGTGACTGAAAAACACTATCGCCTATTGGAAATAAAGTTAAAGAGCAAAATGAAATCATAATGCTGACATAAATAAATAATTTATCAAAATGACGAGAACAAAAAATAACTTCTTTCGATAATTCAAGCGTTACGTCTGCTCAACCATTTCTTCCGCATTCTCCGGAATTTCACCCTTTCTGTTTTTCAACATGTTAAAAAAAAACAATTCTAAAAACACTCAAAATGATTATTGGTCTGTCATGAACCAAATATAAAAGGAGAAAACGAAGAAAACATCAGATATAAGTCGTGAACATCACGCATGGTTAGAATAACAGGACTCTCATGTAGGCACGAGTGTGGCTCGGTGAGTCTTGAAGACGATCTGGGTGTACCGTTACAGAAGTTGAGCTCTCTTGAACACCAACAGAAGTAGTTGCATCTCCTCCATGAACCCACAACGTTCTACCTCGACGTTTCCCGTCATCTTAAGCTAGGGGAGTCGCCTCTTTACGTTTAATACTTCGATGTTGTTTCACTGTTCTGTTACAATCTAGTGTACGCAATGACGTCTTTGCGATTCAAACATACTTGCGGGCAACTGTAGTAGTGTTGACAATATATTATTTGTGATACTTTCGATCTAATTTTTATATTTATATCACTAAATCATTGATTGACTCTTTTTTTACCATATTAAGTGCTAATTTTAGTTCTTGTGACTTTTAGTCGCTCCAATTCCGATTGCGAGCAAAATGCGTACCAGTTGGTCTGATTAAGGTGAATTTAATACTGAAATAATCTTCTTTATGACTATTAAAATATCTGTAAAATATAAAAACATATATTGATGAGAATGGCAAGTGATTCTGTACCGATCAACGAATGGAGTAAGGATTAACATGATCCAAAAATTTAATGAATACTTTGGTGAGTTAAGATAAAATAAATGTTGATATTATCGTTACTAAAGATAACTAAATGAAATAATTACAATATGATCTTTATGTATTCGACACAAGTGACCTTCGTAAATATCTTTAGTCAAAAAGTTCTCTGAAAGTAGGACGACAACTTTCTTTATATTTGGTTTTTAATCTACATATTCGATTCCAAAACTACTGATGCGTTTGAGAAGTCTGCAAAACTCATAAGATTGCATTAATTTTGGAAAACGACCTTCAAAACATGTTTTTAAAAGAACGAATCAAAATTATAGACGACCTCATTTTTTTCATTTTTGCTTTTTCTAAAGCAACGCAATCGTTTAACGAAATAATTATCTGATTAAATACATGCTCGAGATTTAACAATTGTTATACATGTAAAAAGTAATCATTGAAATACTTGAATCAATTTTTTCTGTCAATTAAATTTCAATCTTCTTGACTTCAATTAACGATGTACTTGATGAGTTTTTAAAATGATTTTTTTCAAATAGAAACTTTAAAATCTGCTTCACTTGCGTTATACAATATTCATGTCTTTCTATAAAATCGAGAAAGCTTAACTATTTTTATGATGATAAATTGAGAAAAAAAACATTAACGCATGTACGTTTGCCAACAAGTGAAATAGAGAAATTTGTACCAATTTTTATGCTTCGTCTTCCAACAGCGATTCCAAGATACATACGATGATTTATAAAAATGATAAGACATTCTTACATCTAAAGTTATTTTATCATATATAAGCTAATACAAGATACAGACTACGGAATTTTCTATTTATTTACAAAACGAAATTGATCAAAAAATATCTTGACAAACGTTTCCACTTACAGTAGTTGTAAATGAATTTCTCTGATGCATATGATAAACATAACAGCAATAGAGAATGTGATATAAAGAATAGAAGCATTCACGCATAATTTTTACATGCAACATTACCAAGTTATTGAAAAACACAAAATTAACAATAATTATATTTCATGTTTCTTTCAGAATCCAGGCTAATCATAAGCTCGACAATGTCTCAGGGCGAATCGAAATATTTTCAAGGCTTGTTTTATAATTTTCTACACTATCTAATTTAGCAAAGCTACAATTGACACCAGGAAGCAACTAACACTGGCAATTGATATACTAAGAATTATCAGGTAATGGTAGCAAAAATGTCCTGTTACGAAGGAGGTTTTCGTCTAAATGACGCAGCATCTGAGTGTTCAATGAAGAGTAAAGCAAGGATTGACTCATTATTTGAGGATACCAAATCAGTCTGCAGCTCTACTTATGGAGATTATTATAGTACTGTATGTAGGCAATCAACTACGGGTGATGTTACTTTAGATGAACAAAACAGAGCTAATAATGCAGTTCAAGCAAGAATCGAAGCTATGTTTGCATCTGTGGAAGCAGAAGCTGGTAGTAAGGGTGAATGCGCAGCTGCTATATTACCTGTAAGTTCCTTAATTAATGCTTGTATCAAGTGTTTTTATCACATAAATAATTATATAAAGTTTACCCTTAACTAGAGAATAATTGATCGTTTTAGGCTTATTAACTTTCTAATTGTATAGTTTAAAAATGGCATTATTTTATGGGAAGTAAGTTTTTTGATTAGAGGATTATATAAATGAAGATTCTAATTCTAATTATGATACCAAAAAAACTTGATTAATTATTATTAGATAGAAACAGTAGTCTTAATTTAGCTTTCGTTATGCTAAAACATTATTTTTTAATGCAAATTTTTTAATCAATTGATTAAACGCATTCGAGTACTGATAAGAATATTATAAATGCTCCATTAAAATCACTTAAGCTTTTATTTCCTTCTTTCTCTTAAAGTTGATGAGAACAATTCTTTTCATTATAATTTCACTCACTGTACATCGATTTTCACTTATGGTAATAGCTATCAGACCTTTCCCCTTTGTACGAAATTTAGACCCAGTGACAATGCTATTTTTATGATAAATATTTTCTAAAATAAAAGTAATTCTTCGAATCATTGTCGATCATTTTTTTTATTACTTGGATGAATAACTTCATGTAATATAAGCTTTTCTCTTCAAGTATATTCATTAGAATATGATAATTATTGTGAATCATTTCAGATTTTCTTTACGCTTTTACAATTATCTTTAATATTGAAACAGTGAAACGATCTAAAAACAATTTCTCGAAAAATTATTTGCAAAAAACACATTTTATTTTGCAAGACAAATAAAGAAAGTGAATACTTTCTTTAAATTTACTTCTACATTGTTCACTCCTTTTAAATATTCTTTTTCAATCCCGTCGCATCACTTTCATTCGTTACCTACGAGCTGCGAAGTATAACAATCATCAGATAATTCGTGATACCTAATAAGAAAAATCAACATGGAAATGAGTAAACTTGAATCTCATGAATATTTTTTTTTACAAATATCAAACTATTTTCATAAATATTTAGTTTATCCATAATTTACGATTATTAAAATTCGTTAAATATTCACCCAATACTTGAAAATCATTTTTCACTGGACTTCTAAAATAATTATTATCTCAGAATAATTTATTTACAATTAAATATACATAAATATTTTTTTTTAGGTGAAATACATGGGAGCTGCACCAGTTGGTGGTCGGATAGCAAGTGTACGTGGTCTTCAAGAACCTCTACGTCAATTACTTGAATGTATGAACAGTCCTGTGTCAGCTGAGTTAGAGATTTCTCGTCGTGGTTTGACGTTTCGAACATCAGAATTAATAGAGAAAACCAATCCTTTTCGACGAATAGCAGTATGGAGTGCATTAAAATTACGTTGTAGAGTTTCAACGTCAGAAAATGCTTCTGATGAATTTCACCATGCTTTCATACCTTTAATTGGTGAAGAGCAGACGCCTAGGAGTGATGAAAAACATGCGGACTTGTATAGGACAATGCGAGGTCTTTCTACAGATGTTAGTTGTTATCCACCAGTTTTTGCAGTGGTTATGAGACGGCCTGGAGCAGCGAGAGTTCTTGAGTGTCATGCGTTTGCGTGTAAAACTGAAGAGGATGCTATAGCAGCTGCAGCTACACTCTATCGAGCTCTATTAGCTGATTTAGAATCCAACCGCAGACGTCCAAGGCAAAGTAATGGTTTGGGATGTGTCAGTCTTGCTTCTGTTGCTTCGAGTGTTGTTGATTATACTTCCGTCATCAGTAAGAATACTTACAACAATCTTCCACCAAAGTCAGTTTTACCTCATCCAATTAGACCACCTCGAGTTAAGAAAAACTCTACGTCTGGCTCTACAACTGATGGTGGATCGTCTAGATCAGTAAATGTTAAAGTACCGAGGAAAAAAAGAATATCTGAAATCATGCCTGAAGACGTCGTTGAAGCGAGGAAAAGGCAAAATCAATTAAAAGAATCAAAAACAATTCTAAAGGAAATTACCGATAATTCAACAATTCCAGTTACTCAAGAAAGAAATAAAGAAAGTAAAGAAAAAAATTCTATTAACAAAAATGAAGATATCAATAATTATCGAAACAAACTACATTCTGTTAATGAAACAAAAGATGGAGAAAAGATTAATGATGAAAATAAATTATCAAAAAAAAATAACTTGTATGAATTAGAAAAAAATTATTCTTTTATTGAAAAGAATGGAATTATTATTGGTGAAGTAGTTAATGCTCCGGAGGTTCAGTTATATGAAGAGAATCAAGACTTTCATAGTATTAATGAAAATTGTCGAAGAAATGGAAATTATGCCAGTCAACTTGGAGCACTTTATAGATCAAATCAAGATATATCTTTACTTCATAAAGTTGAAGATAATTCAAAGTATTGTAAAATTCCTGCTCGTGATAGGAGGCCTAGAAATAATCGAAATAAAAATAAATCATATGAAGATCATTTTAGAGATGCAAATAAAATTTATAGTCTTGATCAAGATGATACTGAAAATTATGAAAAAACAAGAAATTTTCTAGCTGATAATGTATCGTCAAATCGTGGTAATAGTTCCTGTACAGCTAATAGAAGAAATAGTATAAATAGAAATATGAGACATCGTGAAAATTGTTGTGCATCCCAAAGAGTTTCTAGAATAGATGAATTTTCAAGAAGACAACAAAATTCTTCTGGTATTAATATTACAGCAGATCATGGTTGTCAAAAGATTAGAAAAAGGGATCGTGCTGGAAGTGAACCTCCATTGAGTAGAACGGAAAACGCAACAAGAACGAGTCAGGATATTAAACTGAAACGTTCTTTAAGTGATCTAGAAGTAGAACGCGGTGATTTGATGACAAGAGTGGAGTTACCTAGACGAGGAAGCTTTCTCAAACCAGGCAGTACTAGATTGCCTAATAATATTCATGGTGGAACACCGTTAGGATTTACAGAGTTATTTGATGAATTTAGAAACCAAGAAGGCCTAACTAGTGTTGACGATATTCTTGATGTTATTATCGGTAGGTCAAGAGATTACTGGAAAAATGTTTTTCTTTGAAAGTTAAAAAAAAAAAAGTAAAAACGGATTCTAGATTATTTTTTTCTTTTAGATCCCGAAGGCATGTCATTCAATGAATTAAAACCTCTATATAAGGAATTTTTACTGAAACTTGCTTCAACATTAACACAAGATGAATTGTATCAACGTTCAGCAAATATTATGAAAAGAAGGAGATGTCCTCAGCGAATGAGATCAACGAGAAAAGCTAATCTACTTGGACGGGCTATTAAAAGATCAGTGTCAAAATTAAAATCTGGACCAACTGAATTTACGTCGGTAATTTTTCCAGCTAAAAAATTTAATGAAAGCTTAGATAGCAGTTCATCGTGTGATATGCGAAATAGTCGCAACAGAGTTTTAGCTAGCAGGTTAAGCAGAAGAAAATCATCTTGGAAAAGACCTAAAGGATTAGCTACATCTGAAGATAGCGATACATGTAAATTTTTATTATATTACCAACTGATTTGAAACAATGATTCCAATAATAAATATATAATTTTGTATTTTCATTTTCTTTAAGGCAAACGGTTAACTAGAAATGCTGGAGCAAACAGAAGTAGTAGTGGTTACGTGAGTTGCAGTGAATGTAGTTATGATTCTGAATCTTGTACTTGTACTTCTGCCGATAAATGTTACTGTTCTTTACCACGGAAAACATTGGAACAGCTGACTAGTAACAATATTATTGTATGTAACTGCGATACAGATAGTTGTTCTGAAAGCAATAAATGCTATTGTTCACGACGTCCCACGTCCCAACCAACAATTTTAGAGCAATTGCGTCAAAGAGGAATTATTCCATCTGAAGGCAGTCTTAGTACAGAAGGTAGTCCTGATAGAATACGAGGATCAAGAAATAGCAAAAGTCATTCATCTTCACAGAGCTTAGAATTTTATAAGGTAATGCTACTAAATTAATGAAATTTGCTCTTAATTATACTAATATTTAATTTGTATATCCATTCTTTTTTTGTTACAATTATAGATGCGCCCATCTCCAGCAAGAAGTAGTTCAGATAATTTAGCATTGGATTATGATTTATTTAATCCAGGAAAAAAATCACAACATTCGAAAAATGAAAAAATATTAGTAGTAAGTGCAAGAGATCCTCATGGTCGTTTAGTTTACGTTGGTGGAGCCGAAAGGAATAAAAAATCTAATTATATTGGAGCAGCTAGACCTACAGCTCATCATGAAGCTCTCTCAATTAAGAAAAGTGCTGAAATTGCAGCTGTATTTGGATCAGAGTCAGCAAGAAGCTGCAAAAGGACCAGTAGTATTTCAAGCATGAGAAGTTCAGTCAGTTTAGAAGCTGGCTTAGGATATTTACCATAGAGAATAACTTGCTTTATTAGATTAGAAATAATCAGTTATATAATGTTCATAATATTTAAGACTGTTATAGAATCTTTTACATGGTTAAAGTGTTGCCATGTCAATCATGCCTTTTTTCAGCATTATACGATAGGCTGTTAGTACTTTAGGTAAGAATTAACTTTAGAGAACGTAAACTACTTTTCAGTATATCTACTTTCTTTCAATCAAATTTTTCATACGGGTCAGTGCAATTACTTACAGATATTCTGAGAAATTGTACCAAATGTTCTTTTTTTTGTATTTGAGTAATAACATTTTTATTGTACAATTCATTGCATTTTTTTAAATTTATAAAAAATATTGTATAATATCACAGTTTTATGGAATATTTTTTTCAACTTTTAAAATATTCTTCATCTATTTCATTGAACTTTTCAGAATAATCCGTAGGAACCTCCAAGAGTTTTAAATTATCTACACCTATTTCTTCCTCAGTTCTAAAAATAATTAAATCAATTTATTAATAGTCTAAATGCTCAATTACCCAAAAGAGGTTAACCAAACTAGATACATAATCAAATACCTAATTAAAATGTTTATAACATTTTCAAGTGCTAAAAGCGCAGCTTTATCTTCTTCCCGTTTATGATATTCTCGAAGTATCACGTAAGCATTTTTATTTCTCAAAATGTTACGTGCCTCCTTCGTAGCACATAATTGACAGAGAGCTTCTAAAAGCATAATTCTGGAAAATTCATTATTTTAATTCAAAATTTCATAAATATTTAATACTACTAATGCATTTTCATACCGAATATCTGGGTCAGGTTCTCGTTGTTTAGTTTCTGGTAAATATTGCAAATCAAGAGGCAATTTTTCATTATCTTCATCATCAAATTCTTCTGGACCAGCCAGTGGTAGTAATAAATACGGTAGTATGTCAACTTCAGAGCTCAAAAGCCAATTATGATTATCAATATCAAAGCAGCAATTTTTGAGAGTTCCTATAACACCACCCCTCCTGACAAGACTTTCTTTGTACTCTACGAAAGGAAGGAGCTTGTGAATAATAGGTTGATTTCGATCTGTTAGACGTCTAAAAAAATTTCATTCTACTTTATAAGATATTATCAAAATGCATGTCATATATTGTACTCCACTCACTTTCGTACAATTGCTGATTGACTAAGATTGCTTAACACGGGACCAAGATAATCAAGCTTTGCACCTTTAGTATTGTATTTATCTGCATAAGCAAAAGCATAAACAATTTGATCCCATTTACAATTGACTTTTTCTGTTAGAGCTACTATTCTGTCCACCAAAATAGATGGTCGAGTCATGTTTGATAGAACCATACAACATGGATCTGCGAGTGAGCAGTCTTTATCCAAAATGAAGCTAAAAATACGAAGTAAATATATAAATATATGTAAGCAACATTTATAGAATAAAAAAAGATCATCTTTCTACAAATTAGTAGCAATTACTCACCGAAAACAAACATAAATAAGATTGTCAGTAGGTTGATCGGTACCGACTACTTTAGAAGTTTCTGATATAAGTAATAAAGCGTTCGCACCAGCTTCATCACTAGAGATATTTATTAAAGCCAATACAGCATCTTTAGCAACTGCTAATCTCTTGGAATCAACTTGGCAAAGTAAAATAAGTTGTTTTAAAATTTCTGGACAGCTCAATAGCAATTCCCTACTTTTCTCATCATCAGTAAGACCTAAGCATGAATATATTTATAACATAATTTTAACGAAAACTGTAAGGAACTGTATTTTTTGGAGTCACCATTAACCAAGTCACATTACCAAGAATACTTTGAACAGCAATAGATTGGAGATCCAATCGGCTGTCGAAGTTCAAATATTTATTTATTTCTTCCAGTGACTCCATGATAAAAAATTAATTAATGGTAAATGATAGAAATTATTATTAATTTCTCTGTAACACTTGGAACCACATAACAAGCATGTGCTTGTTAGAAATCCAGGTGCCTTGAAACGCTTTATTACTGATGATTCCGCGTGTAACGACTTTCCACCAATCACAGCGAGTTTTTCCCGTTATAACATCCGGAATATGACGCTAGCGATAGGTTAGGTTAAGAATCAGGAACGTGACTATACACAAAGGCCCCCAACGGTCGAGTCCATTTTTCCCAATAGGGACGGCACGCACTCTCACTTTGATTTATCCATAAAGACTATAATTTCTCAATAATTCTAAATTATTTTGTTGAATTAATAATTTTATGTTGAACAAAGTGACACACAAGACTTGTAAACTAATTTATGATGAAAATAAAACAATTTGAAGAAAGATGTTTTGTGTATAAATTGTGAGTGACGTTGATTGTAGTGAACTGGACGACCACATGATGATGCTTACCTCCCCAAAACTGAATTTGGCCTCGCCCCCGTTCGCGGTCGACCCAACAGTTCACAATCGGTCACCTGCATGAACGGGTCTAACTTTTCGTGTGTAAGATGTGTCAAGATTTATTGTTGAACAAAAGCTATAAATTTATTATTGTGAGTATATTTGAACTGTGTACGTTAGATTCTTGTGAATTTCCAGTTTGTCAAGACGAAATTAAAGTGAGGTTCAAAAGGTTATCATCAGGTAAGTGTCTCAAAAAGTATGTTGTAAGTGTAAAGAAAGCACATTTTTCGTTTTACTTCATTACAAATCCGATATTTTCCTTTTCTTCATTAAAATATTTTAGTTAAATATGTTTTTTCGTTGTGGATCGCGATAATTTTTGTTTGTGGAGAAAATAAGAACAAATAGTGAACCTGGTGAAATAATACAAGCAAGAGAAAAAGTTGTTTTCATGAGACAAGCGTAGACCGAACGTTTACTAAAATCGCGTCGTGAAACCGATGCAATACTTGTATTCACTCGGGCAACCAAAAATAGTTAACAGACTGTCAAAAGGGATCGTGGTATGCTCGAAAAACCGGTCGAGAGGCTTCCCCGCGTCGTTTGGCTCTCCTTGGCGACGACGCTTCTCGCCTCCTTACGCGTGACGCATTTCATTTTATTCGTAACTTCTTCCTTTTCATTATTTCCTTTTGTGCATTCATTATTATCAGGTGTTACTGAGGGAGCTGGGCTTCAGCTGATTTTTTTTAATAACAATCTGTAAAATTATTAGTGCCAGTAAACAGTTCATGTAGTGAAGATTTATTTTATTATTATACATTCAGTTTTGACATAGATCCTTCATTGTCTTGATGATTCATCTCTTCAGTTAGGATCAACACAATTTCGAGTATTCGATTTTCTATCACTTTAAATAGAAATAAAAATTTTTAAATATTTTAATTTAAAGTACTACATAACGAAAAACTTGACAGATAAGAGTTAATTTTTTAGACAATGCTAGTGATAACGTATTCATAATTTTATTACTCTAAATTTATAGCTATGATTATATTAAAGATTTTATAAATATCTTATTTTGAATTATGCATATTTAGTTAAAAATAATAATAAAATTATTTCAACTGCAGTCATATGATTAAAGTCATCAAAAATATTTTCTAGTTGTGTTTAATTTAAATTTAACATAATAAAAATTTGAAGAAATTAAGTAAGTAACACAGAACACATATTTTTTATATCATTTTATAAATATCTTTTTAAATATTAAAATACAAAATTTCTAAAATTCATTTATCACAAACCAGATTAATACTCAAATAAAGTTTCTTTTAATTTACTTAAAGTTTCATTCCACTTTGTAGTCAATTTTGTCATTAAAAGTCACATTAACTCATAAAATAGATGGGAAAATATATGAATAAGCACGTAAGCATACTGGACATAACAATTTACTGAAAAGTGACGAAAACTGAGTTTACAAATATTAAAGTTCCTTTCACCTGCTAAATAGTCACAGGTGATTGTAGTTAGAGGCGATCAAATAAGTATATTTCTTGAGGATAGTTTGAACTTGCAAAATATACAAGTCTATCAACATCAGTTCCGCTTTCACCCGCACTTAGAAGCGCAAACGATAAGCGGATAAAGCCTCATCGATGAGTCCCACCCAATCGAGCCACTTGTATTCCACCTCTGTATAACATTTCATACACAGAACTATTCACTTCCCATCGTTCCTCATGCAGCTCGATCGACCGATTCCGTTCCCTTTGAACCTTTCCCAGGAACCACACTGTTCCAAGTGTTTCTTCTCCCCTTCCGTTTATAAACACCAAACAATACATTTCAATAATGACGAATTTCAGTCGAAAGAGAACGACAATGGAAAAAGATGTACAGAGAAAGTCTTTTTTAGGTAGAAGACATGGTTGATTGAATGTAACAAAAATATTCTAGTGAAAAAGATTTTACTGAAATCTTGAACTTTTTTTGTCATTACTGAACGATCCTTTCCCCTGATAGACACTTAGTCGATTGGACTATTTTAAAAAAGAAATGTACACGACATTATACTGATATACACGACAGTGATAAGCAACACACTTGAACGTACAGTATAGTTAGTTCTTACGGATTTTAATGAAAAATAAAGAGGGGCGAAACCTCTTGTATACACAATATTATATGTTTCGTCGTCCGTCGTCGTCGTTGTCGTTTCGGTGAAGTTCGCGCAGAAGAGAAGGAGAAAATGAAGAGAAGGGAAATGAAGGTAGATGCAGTAACAGCGCGGTATCCACGAAAGAACCTGAGCTGAGCCAATCAGCGTACTCTTCTCTTACTATTCATTGACGAATGTAATAATCACTAATAATTGCCACGTTCAATCAGTTATTTAACATTCACGAATTTTTCGCTCACGATTGTGTCTCACATTAACCAGTTTTTCGCGATTTTCACACGTCTGTGTTACGAAAATGCGGTTTTGCGCAGTTTCCATGACCCAGATTGCCAATGGGGAGTTTGCTCGGCGCACGGAACAGCTGTTAGCCGCGCGAACATGTCGGCTGCAAGGAAACGGCTTGGATATTTCGTTGGTTGCGCGCGACTCTTGGCGGCTTCGTCGCCACAATTTTCAGGAATGTATCTATCTGAGGATGTTGAAGGACCATCATCACTGGGCCACCAATAGATGAACGAGCTTGTTTTTTTTCTTGAAAAGGTTCATAATACCGCGCTAAATTTTAGCTTGATCAATTATCGAGTTTCTAACTTTACCATGATAAGTAGTGCACACTTCATAACCTGAAAAAAATTATGATAATAAACATAATTATGTATTGATAGAAAAAATCTACGTACCTTGATTTTATTTAGGAATCTCTTCAAAGATTTTAAGTTTACTGACCTCTGGCAGGTGTTTTTTGAAAATATAAAATGAATGACTTAGAAATATTGCCACAGCAGTTTCAGTTAATCCTATTGAGATATAAAATCACTTGGTAGGATATATATGATGAAATGATCATGAGAATTTTTAAGAAAATAAAGATTCCATTACATCATAAAAATGACAAAGAATTTAAAAGTTACACCAATTCTAGTGCTGGGAGTCCACGACATGAGCGTCTCTTGATACACTCCTGTGTTCTCCCCTCCATGAAAACCATCTTGCTATACGACCAGTCAGTTCCTTGTTTGCCATACAAAATCCAATAGTTTGCCTTTGGTACTCCGAACGTGTCAGTATGCTTCGCAATAGAAATTAACATCCGTAATTTGTCCACTGTAAAATAATTCTAATATTATCAAAATATTATAAAAATAAGTGTACAAAAATGGAGAAAACATTGTTAGAGTATTGGTATTTATGTGGAGTTAAGGTTTATGTGTATGCTACACGAGAAAAGTGCAAGGGAGCATAGTTGTTTCCTGTTGTGAGGCTGGACCGGCCTGTCGTATGATTACGTTAATTTTTTTGCAAAGACACGAATAACTCGTCGGAAACGTAGAGGCACGAGGACGAGTAAAGAGGCATCATCAGCAGTTGCGCGCTACTTTTTCCCAATAACATTGTCTCGAAAAACATAAAAAAGGAAGGATAGAAATTGTGGGCCAGTGGTGAAGACGAAGAGAGAATTGGAGGAACAGCGTGTAGTGTGTGAGGGTGGAAAATGTGGTAGTGTGAAGAGTAAGGTGAACGACTAAAAGGCTTATCCTTAAGAGTGAGGAGTTTCTGGTCGTTAAGAGGTCCACACCTCAGCTTCGCTTACTAGGCAAGTGTCCTCCTCTGTGTTTCCCTGGAGCACAAGAATACAATCGTTGCACGTTAAATGTGTTATGTATTTACGAAGAATACATTGCGTAACGTCGACGGCCGGAAAACATTCGACGTGTGTGGCATCGCAGTTGAAGAGTATAATTTGTGAGGAAATTTTGTCGCAAAAGTCTTAATTTCTTTGCATCTTACTTCATCTCGTGTTTGTGCGTGGACGAAATTTTTCACGCGTCCCTCAGCGCGCAGAAAGCTACCACTACATCATCAGTACACTACTACTAACCAGGGCGGCCCCCCTCGATCGTGTGTCTGCCTTGCCTTGCCCCTCAACTTTGTATTGTGTGTGTATCTTGTACATGTAGTTGTCTCCTCGTGTGGGACCGCTGGTTTTGCCGGCAAATTCACTCCTACGTTAAAAGTACGCGTTTATTCTTATACGCCATCAATAGTATTAACTTTATGACAATTGTCTGAGTTTTCTGGTAGTCGTAGTGTCATCTTTCAGATGTTTAAGACATAGTAAACCAATAATATAATACGTTAAAGAAAGAATAAGATCATTTCATCATCAGTTGTGGTTTCTTCAACCGAGTTTCAATCAAAAACCAGATGGAAATCGGTAAATTACTTTTTCTTTCATGCTAAAAAAACCAAATAGATGATTAGTTTTTTGTAATAATTGATCAAAAATTTATTAAGATCTATTACAACTTTTCTTTTTAACTAATGCAGTTTATATAATCTTTCGTTCTAGGGCTCATTGATTCACCTGATTCCACCTTTATCTGATAGGTAAGTTACAAATAATTTATTCTAAATTAATATATCTAATTTTGAACATTTGTTCTTTTAATTTCAGATTTTCCAATGTAATTTGAAATGAAACGAGTTCGTGGGGTGGACGAAGTAGCATCGCCAGCAGGAGCAACACTGAAGCATTCTTCAATAGGTGGAGGTCTTGGAGTTGGTGGATTAGGAAGTGGAGGCGGTAGTGCGAATTTAGAGTATCATTCTGCTAGTGGAATAGGAGGTGGAGTTACTTCTGGTCAAAGTGTTAGACCTTTATCATCCAAAGAGATGCCTGGTAGCATACAGTTTGGAACTACTCAAACACAACAGCAATATGCGGGGGCTATTGTTGTTCCAACAGCAGCCCCATCTCCAGTAAAGGTAAATTACAATGTTTATTATCTACTCAACCACTATTTGTCAATAAAAACGTTGCATATCTCTTCATTTACATTTTACACGTAACCTTCTGACACTATTTCAATTCATATATTTCAATTAGAGTATAATTCTTGATGGTAAAAATATTTTAATGAACTTAATAAAATTCTAGTCAATTATTTATATTTTTTAAAAGCAATATATGATGATAATACAATAATCAAGTATGTGAAAAATAACTGAATATATTGATTTTCAAATTAATTTTAACTTTTAGGTGCACTCTAGTAGTGCAGCCCCATTACCGCCTACACCACCAGGAGGTAGTGTTAGTACAGGTGGAGGATCTCAACAACAATTCCAAAGGTTGAAGGTCGAAGACGCCCTATCATATTTGGATCAAGTGAAATATAAATTCAGTGATCAACCACAGGTAATTTCATTTAACTATTCTATATAATTGCATCATTAAAAATAAAGTAGCTCATTCTTTATACAATGAATAAAAATTCTGTTATTTATTCTAGGTGTATAATGATTTCTTGGATATTATGAAAGAATTCAAGTCTCAAAGCATAGATACTCCTGGTGTAATAACAAGGGTTAGCAATTTATTTAAGGGCCATCCCGAATTGATAGTAGGATTTAATACATTTTTACCGCCTGGTTATAAGATTGAAGTACATTCAAATGATCAAGGCCAACTCTTCTCAGTATCTGTAAGCATGCCGAGTCCAACACCAACGCATATAACAACTATTTCTCAGCATCATTGTACGGCAAATGTTGGTTCACCACCGGTTGCGAGTCCTCCGAGTCAACCTGCAAAAGCTCCGTCTGTTTTACAAATAATGCAAGGATCCACTAACATACATCATACAATTGGAAATAATATTTCAAATAATAGTTTGACTGTTCACGCGCCGTCCCCTCCGCCAATACAATCGTACAACAATTCTCACATCAGTGCAGCGCAAGCGCAAGCCGTAAGTCAAGCCCTGAGCCAGGCGCAGGACGGTGTTCAGAATAGTGGACAGACGCAGCAGAGTCAACCGGTCGAATTTAATCATGCCATCAACTACGTCAATAAGATTAAAGTGAGTATCATTGCCATACACTCTGTTTTTGACGTCAAAGACATACAAATATATATCTGTCATATTTCTTTACAGAATCGATTCCAAGGTCAACCGGATAAATACAAACGTTTCCTGGAGATTCTTCACACATATCAAAAGGAACAGCGTAGCCTGAAAGAAGGAGGAGGCCTCATGGGTGCTGGTAGCGGTGGTGGTGTTGCTTCAGGAGGGAAGCATCTTACTGAAGCAGAAGTTTACAGTCAAGTAGCTAAATTATTTGAAAATCAAGAGGATCTTTTGGCGGAGTTTGGTCAATTTTTACCCGATGCATCGAATCAACAAGGAGCATTAGTAAGTATTTTATTAATGAAATTACTCAAGCTATCAAAGTTTGTGAAATCATTTTCCATAATTGGCTTGAGATCATTAACTTAGACTCTTGAGCCTTTAAAGATATTGAACCTAATTGGTACTAGGCTAAAATGTTTCAGGGCAACAAAGGCTCCGCAGTTAACGATCATACTACAATCGTTAAGAAGCCACTTGGACCAAAAGCACCTTACAATAATGCTGGTAACATACCACGAGATCACAGAGATCCTATTGGTACTGTAAATCTTGATCGTGACGGAAGAGATCATCGGGAACGAGATCGTGATCGAGACAGGACTGGAATTAGAGATTTGAATAATAGTCAAAAATTCGGTCATAATGTTAGTCAATTAAAGCGAAGCCCGTCCTTTTCAACATCTGTATCTACTGGTAACTCTCATCATGTGCCTCATGGACCTCCTCCACCTAAAAAACACAAAGTTACAGCGTCTTCACGTGATGTTACTATTGCTGAAGCTGGAAAGTATGGTACCTTAAACGATTACGCTTTCTTTGACAAAGTGCGGAAGGCTTTGAGATCTCCAGAAGTCTATGAAAATTTCCTAAGATGTTTAGTTTTATTCAATCAAGAAATAGTGTCAAAATCCGAGTTAGTGCAACTTATTACACCGTTCCTTGGTAGATTCCCAGAACTTTTACGTTGGTTTAAAGATTTTCTTGGGCATTTACCAGAATCAACAAATTTAACCTCGACCAATCCAGCGGGTAACATGAACATTGAAGCACTTCCTAATAATGTAGTGAGAAGTCATCAGGAACGGCCACAGGGTGATCTTGCTATGGAAATAGACTATACGACGTGTAAAAGACTTGGTGCTTCTTATTGTGCATTACCTAAGTCGTATATGCAACCTAAATGTACAGGAAGAACACAACTATGTAAAGAAGTTCTGAATGATACTTGGGTATCATTCCCTACGTGGTCAGAAGATAGCACATTTGTTACTTCTAGGTATTTCAAATATTTTTTTATCTTTTTTTTTTTTAATTTTTATCATTGATGTTTATTATTTTTTATATTGTTGTTATAGGAAAACACAATATGAGGAATTTATATACCGCTGTGAAGATGAAAGATTTGAGTTAGATGGTGTTATAGAGACAAACGCAGCTACGATAAGAGTGCTTGAAGGTGTTCACAAGAAGATGAGTAGAATGAGTCAAGAAGAATTGCAAAAATTCAAACTTGATGACTGCCTTGGTGGATGTTCGCCTACGATACACCAACGTGCACTCAAACGGATATATGGTGATAAAGCTGCCGATATAATCGATGGAGTAAAGAAGAATCCCGCGGTAGCAGTACCTTTGGTGCTCAAGAGATTGAAGAGTAAAGAAGAAGAATGGCGAGAAGCACAAAAGGGTTTTAATAAAATATGGAGAGAACAGAATGAAAAATACTACTTGAAGTCGTTAGATCATCAAGGCATCAACTTTAAACAGAATGACGTTAAAGCACTCAGATCTAAGAGCCTTTTCAATGAAATCGAAACTTTATATGATGAAGTGAGTATTTTTTTTTCTCTTAATGAGAGATTTTAATTATATTCTATAAATATTCATTACTAATTTTATTTTATTTAATAGCGTCACGAACAAGCTGACGATGCAGCAAGTACAGGACATAGTAATATTGGACCCCATTTAGTGTTGTCCTACAAAGACAAGTCTGTCTTTGACGATGCAGCTAACTTGTTAATACACCATGTCAAAAGACAAACTGCTATCCATAAGGAGGATAAACAACGAATAAAAATTCTCCTTAAACACTTTATACCCGATCTCTTTTTCCATCCACGGCAAGAATTAAGTGATGATGAGCGTGATGACGATGGTAAGCAAGATATCTTTTATTGTCTATCTATTTTCTCTACGATGCAATTTAAAATTATTTACTTATTTGATTACAGAAGAGAAAGAAGATACGGGTATTACACCATGTGGTAGTAATTCACAAACGTTAACAGCATCTACAGCTACTGTTAGTAATCTTCAAAATGCTAGAAACAAAACACCTCAATCACCACCGAATGCATCGATAAAAATAGAACAAGATATTAAAGTTCCTGTTCATGCAATGTCTGCAGATCCGGAAGAAGCGTATACACTATTTATGGGCAGCAATAGTTGGTATCTCTTTTTGAGGTTACACCAAATACTTTATGAAAGGTTGACGAAAATGTATGAAAGAGCACAAGCATTAGCAGAAGAAGAATCAAGATATAAACAGCAAAGAAAAGAAAGTACAGCTGTAGCATTAAGGTTAAAACCAAAAAGTAAGACATTTTTTCTATTATTATCTATTGATTTTTAAACATATATTGTGTAGAAGAAAAGTTATCAATAATTTATAAGACGTCTTTAAATGAGAACTTTCACAATAATTGGTTACATTTGATTTGTCTGTTTAATAGGTGAGCTTGAAATAGAAGACTATTATCCTGCCTTTCTCGACATGGTAAAGAATGTACTTGACGGCAATATGGAGAGTACAGTCTATGAGGATACCTTACGAGAGATGTTTGGCATTCACGCCTACATAGCTTTTACACTCGACAAGGTTGTAACATATGCAGTGCGACAGGTAATAATTGATGAAAAACTTTAAATGAAATGAAACTTATTACTTAGTGTCTATTATAATCGTTAACGTTACTCGAGAGCATAAAGTATTATCGTATGACGTACAATGACATCGGACGGTTAGATTAGAAATTCCATTTAACCGCATTATTGGATTCTCATTACATTATATCTTTTGTATGCGCAGTTGCAGCATTTGGTTGGTGATTCAATATGCCAGCAGTGCATGGAACTCTTTCAACGTGAACAACGTCAGCCAAAAGAAAATTGTGGAGCGGGTGGACTATGCGCAACTGCCCATTTACGAGCTGGTGCTGAAATGGCTTATCAAAGAAGAGCTGAAAAAACGATGGCTGAAGAAAACTGTTTTAAAATCTACATAGTAAGTATAATTAATTTATCGATTACCCATCATTTCCCATCAAACTTGAAGCAATAAACATGTCACTGCTTGAAGCGCGAGCAAATATCCATATTGATATTTGCTATTCCTTGATAACTTATATTGATAAGTTTATCATAATTATAAATAGACGGTTATGAAAAATAATTCATTGACTTTTCAGTACAAGAAAGCGTGTAAAATGACAATAGAACTGTTGGATACGGAAGGCGAGGAAACAGCAGAGGGTTGCAACGAGAGAGAAAGAGAGGTGAATGCTTCAGAAAAATGGTCGACATACGTCGAAAGGTTCTCGACACCGGTTGCTCAAACCAGTCCGAAGGAAACACCATCGACATCACCGAACAATGAGCCAACCACTAATCATCCTGTGAGTAGCGACCAGGCAGCAAGGGGGGGAAGGGGCAGAAAGCGCAAGAACACTGACATTAATAAGAAGGTATAGGATCCACGACCCCTTATCATCAAATCATTGCCGCCATTGTAACTTGCATTCGTTCGTTTATCCCATAATTGTGAATTGCAACCGAGAAATAATCACCAAGAGTTCATGCGTCATGCGAATGGACGCCATCATCACCATCTCCGACGATACTCATAATTTTTATCTATCTTATTCCTTCTATTTTTCATACCACGGCATTTATTATTCAAATCAACTCTAAAGCTGCTATACCTTCAGTGCTCTTTGTATCATGAATTTCTTTTTTTACTATCTACTTTTATTTTCATGTAAATCGTCGAATGAGAATTAATTGACTTGAAAAAAGTTGAAAAATTTACTCATTATCAGTTTCAAAGAGTTTCTATAATTATCAGATGCCTCAAGTAACCAACAATTGCAATTTACTAACTGTAATTGTTATTCTTTTAACTATTACCTATCATGATTATATACATGTCATTCCATCGCCCCTTCATTGACAATCCAGCCTGTGCTTTCTTGCCCCTCCTTTTTAAGAATTTATTTTTCTATATACAGTTATATATTTTTATTCTATAAGACTTTTTTTATTGTTTATTTATGACAAAATACCAATTACTATTGGTTATATTTCTTTTTGTTCTCTACTAATAAGCTGGTTTAATAGGTACCCAAAGCTGCTCAAATATTCTATTTCCCGCGAAATATGATAAATACATTTTAAATATATCATTTCTGTAAAAAGTATTATCTAAAATAATTTCATAATAGACAATTACAGTTATCTTTGCAACATTGGTTAATAAAAGTAAATATTAAATAGTAAAAGAGACAACATATCTGAACATTCTTATCAATAAAACTGTAGTCTCATTGTCTATATCAGCTTAAACAGTAGAAAAATATTTTTTTGTGTTGTCTTTAAACGAATTAATATTTTTTAAATGATAAAATTGTTGATTTTTAATGATTTTATAATCGCGAAAACGTGAAGTCTATGATGAAGAAAAAAATTCTACTAAAAAAACTCTTAACTGAGCATGTACTAAGATGCCCGTTTTTTGGTGATGGTAATAATAGGAGGAACACGGGGTATTTATTTCCATGCATGAGATCTGGAAGTCTATAATTCTGCACTAGTGTCAATTTAGAAGGATTCAACACTTGTGTGAATGTCTTTTAACACGTTTACTACCACAACGATGTCTTCCTTAGGGTGTCTTGCCTTTATTATATAAATTAGTACATCGTTTCAAGTGGATGGTGGTCAACGTGTTAAATAAATTTAGTGACGTGTCTTTCGCACGTGCAGAAAGCTACAATTGTAAGCCCCTGAGGCTTAAAAAGAAGAGGTCAATGCAACGAATCGGAAACAATTCACTATTGATAAGTAGTCATGCAAGCGACAATCGCGCATACGATTGACTGTGACTCTCGTACTATTATAAATACTTATTGATAAAAATTATATAAAATAGAAACGATGAAATCTTTGTATATATGATTGAGTTAAAGAAGAAATTACGTATGTAAATAGATTTTTTATACGTATCGCGCTAATTTCTCTAGATTTGAATTAATTTTTTAAGAAGCGGGTTATCAAAACAAAAAAAAAATAACAAGAAAAAGAATTCATCGGGTGTAATTTTCATTACAAATTGTTAAAATATCGTACTATTAATAACGTAGTGTACTAATACATCGTACTACATCGTTAAACTGTATGAAAATATTTTTTTTACGCGAATGTTTGACTAGGTGAAAAAAAATGAAAAATTCAGTTATGAAAAGATGACTTATATGGCAATATATAGGGATCTAAAAAAACTAACTCGAGCAATGTTTTTTTTAACTTTTCTACAGTGAATATAAATTTTAAAAAAATAATTAAAGAAGAGATAAAAAAGTTCAAAGTAAATTTATATAAGTTAAATTTTTTATGTAAGTAGAGAATAACTTGTACAAAGTTAAGACACGGAAAATATAATAATGTACGTGTCAAGTGATAATTGATTAATATCTTAAATTTTTTTTAATTCTGTTAAAATAGTCTCTGATTAACGTGGCATTAATAGCATAGAAATTTAAAAAAAATCATCTGATTATCATCAAATTAAACGTACAATTTAATTGATAAAAATAATTCTGCACAATTTGGTATATAATTAAAAATAATTGAAAGTGAATAAAATAAAAGATAGATTTATGCTTAACGAAATTCGTGTGACAGATGAAAATAAGATAAATAGTCATAATGAGAGTAGCACAACTGCCACCAATTTCTCAACATACATTTTCCATTGCAGTTTATTTTGTCAAGTCGAGCTATTTAAACTTGAAGTAATGTTATAGTGCACTGACGAACATTCCATCCGTCTGGGCATAATATAAATAATGGGCAAAATAGTGTAGAAATAAATTAGGAAAAAAAAAACACAAAACTGAATATAAGAGAATGATCTGCCTGTTTAAAAATGAATGAAATAAAATATATATGTATCTTGCATACCTGCCGCAGGTCGTGCGGGATAATTGGCAGGTGAGATCATTATCTTGATCTACCTGGTACTCGAGACAAAACAAATCTTATCAATAAGGCAATTTTTTCCCGTGTGTATAAAATAATCAAACTGAGTAAAAACAAAAAAAAACAGATTGAAAGCAACAAAAAATTTGTATAAATTGCCGCGTAGATTCGGTTTCGACTTTCTTTATCTTTGTTAATAAAATTTGTAACATATTTTCATCGAGACTAGTCCGTCGTCCGTACTATCGAGTTTAAATGTGAATGTTATGAAGACGCCATTGATCCCTTGCCCCTTTCACGATGTCTATTTAAACAAATTTTAACCTCTATAATATATATATAAGATTATATATATTATACATACATATATATATATATATATATATTTTGTAATTGTAACTGTATATGAGTAAATGATATAATGATATAAATGACAACAATATTGTATAGAAGAGAGATATTGAAATACATGAACGATGCTTTTAAAAAAAAATATCGTCTAACATCATTTTTATACCACTAAATTAATATGTTGCTTTTAATCGTTACAATTTATCAGTTTTGTTTATTGCAATAATTTTGTTTTAATCATTTTCCTTGTATTCATTTATCATTTTTGCCACTGATAAACCTTTTGCTATAATGCTTTTATATGTAGAAGTTATTCAAATGAAATCCTTGCTTTGAACAAATCTTCACACACCTATAACAAGAATTCATTATTATTATTATCAAGTTCATTTTCAAGTGATTGAATTTTTCTTTATCTCTACCATCAGTGTTTTTATATAATCATTTAATTATCGAAAATATATATCTCTTTTCTAACATTATGATTAAAAGATTATCTCGGCAGAATTACCCTTTTCGAATTTTTTTTCTTCTATAAAAAATAACTCAAGTGAAATCGATCGTTGAGGAAGCAATGGAATTGAGTGAACTTCAAAAATCATTTGTACAAAATGTACGTGTCTACATAGAAAAATATATAAATTATGAGGAAAAGTGCGCATGGGCTCGTAAAATAACAAGTAGGTGTATTTATAACACGCACCGATATAAAATTATTTGTTAGGTGCACTGCGATTTATTCATTTTTTATTTCATTTTGTTCATTTTATATTTCATTCACTTTTCGTGGTAGTTTTTTTATTAATGCATCAGCGTTTGATAGTCGCTCTTTGATTTTTCTATCGGCCGGGTCTATACACGAAGTCGTCGGCTTTCCTTCAAGAAGTCTCGATGAAAATATGCTTCTTTTATTTTTTCTTAAATTATTATTAAACAGGTATTACCAGATAAATTATTCAACATAGGATCTAAACTTTCATTGTTACTGTATATCTTCGTTTTAGACCCTTCCGATTGATGAAAGAAGCACGCTTTTTATCATTTTAATAATTGCTTTATATAGATTATTGTATAATATACAAAGATATTTTTATTATTTTTTTTTTCACTTGTATTTATTCGTCTGCTTTGCTTCGTATTGGATGGTTATTCTATTCAGATAGTTTGCTTCTTTGTCACAGTCATGTATTAGAATTTCATCTATTCATATTTCCAACTATCGAGCATGGATTTGGTATACTATCTTTACTTTGGCCTGTTTTACCCCACAATAATTTTTTTCTGTGGAAAACTGCCTGACAGTTGTCAATTTTTAAGTAATAATAAATTTCCTACAACTAGCCAATAGAGAACAATATTATTAATATTTATATTATAAATTATGCATCAATTTTTGGTTTTTAATATTTAAGTTGTTATTAGTTTTCAATAATTTATTTAGTAGTATATTATTATTTTATTATTAGATATGATGAGTCAAGTATAATTATAACATAATAAATTACCATAATTGTTGTAGATCGAAGGAAATGGTTGGAGTTCCTTAAGCAGAATTATGGCTGGACGAAAGCCTGTGTTTTTATATAGGAATGTGAGACAGTGGAGAAAACGAGCAGCTAGGACGATGAAGCCTTTGAGGAGTCAATCTGAAAAAAATACAGAGTATGAATTTTATTTAAAAAATTTTGTTTTTTTCTCCAATTTCAAGTGGAACTAAATATTCATTAACACGATTTTTACATTTCAAAGTTCTGCCGAAGTTGATAAAACTGAACAAGAAATGGACTCAGTTGGGCTGTTATTGAAGAGACCAGTTACCTTGAGAATGACAAACACCAATGACAGTGGAGATATTATCACATCAGATGATACTCTATGTACATTTAATCCCAATAGTTATCATATGCTCTATGTTGCAAGTAAAGAAGCTTTTCTTTATAAGCAGAATTCATTCACACGAGCAAAGGAGGTAAGTAGCTTTAGATATACATAAAATAGGCCACAGAAATTATCTTATCTTTACACATGATTGATTTTTCAGTGTCACGCAACTATTACAAAGAATTTGAATAGCAAGTTTCATCGATGGCTAACAAATTGGACGTCAAAGAACGTAGCAGATTTACAACATCGATTGTGTCAAGACTGGTTAATGGGACGCTCTGAAAATTTAATTCCGCATAGGACCCGAGTGATTACTGACAACAATCAGAATCGGACTCCGTATAGACCATACAATCGATATAAAGTTGAAAGATTAAACTCCGAATCTGGAATAGAACAGTCAACATAGCTGTTCTAATAATCATTTTCTTATAGTTAAACAGACAGATACTCTGAATGTGAATGACAGAGGTTTTCTTCGTTCAAGTGCGCGTGTGTGTACATAAACTTCAAGACATTGATCATTAATTATTCATCAATGAAGATATGTAAAGAAATGTACAGTTTATAGTTTGACTTTCAACGACTTTCGCTAATACTTGGGAGATAATTTTTTTCGAATATCATTGCCATGACCATTGTTTTTTATGATTATTGGTTACTTTTATGCCGAAATCTCACGCTCTGTTGATTCGAATATTTCACCAATTATTACATATATATTTATATATTATCTTATATATAATTGATTATTTTTATCATTTATTTGCATTCCATAACCAATTTTTTATAATGTGTATTACAATCTTTTTGAAAAAATTTATTTTATACAATATTTTGTATTCATTTGATAAGAAAATTAGGTTCATTCGACTCAATGAGTATGACGATTTCGAAGAGAATAATGATGTGGTTTGATAGTAAATTAACTCGGTGTAAATTGAATATTCATTGCTTCAATTTGAATTGATGGACCATCATTCAATGAGGACAATTACCTCTTTCGATATACAATCGTATAGTACAAGATGTCATGGCCTTATTAATCAAAATATGTACAAAATATGCAACTACATATTTATATGAATAATTCTTTTCATTTTCTAGTTAATAAAAAATTGATTTGTTATTAAGTATAACATAAAGAATATGAAGATTAAAAATGAAGCATTTTGATTCTGACTTCAAAACATAAATATAATAAATTATACTAATTATTATTTGATAATGTATAATATAGTAACTAATGAAATTATGAAAAAAATAGATGACTGAATTTTAGAGGATAAATGTTCATAAATTGTTGATATAGATTTTTTATAAAAAAAAATAAAGTTATTTCAGAGTGCTTCTATATTCACATAAATTCTTTTTAGTATTGTTTATTTTAATTTTTATTCCGAATGTTTATTGCGTTTTTTTGACTCCCTGTATTATTAATATATATTATTGAAAAAAAGATACATAAATGACAAAATTTTTCACTAACTTTTTTACCTAAATCTTAATAAAAAATATTTTCATTGAGGCTAAAATTTACTTCAATCGAATTGAAAAAATAATTTTCTATATTCTGTATAAAAAAGAAGCTGAATTGTATTGAAAGCTGACAAGCGTGAAAGTATGCACACGCGCACTACTTAAATGATATTCATACGGTTAATTATCATTAAAAATGCATAATTGATTGTAATGATTCCATGATATTGTACAAATAAGATAATTATAGTTACTAAATAAGTAAATGTAAAATACTTACAGTTATTGGTATTAAAAAATTGTTGGACTACTTTTCCAGAATCATCACTCAAATTGAAACAATGAATCTACATAGGATGATCTCTGTTGAGAAGTTACATGTGCTATTAACATAATTATCTATCATTATTATAATTATAATATTTAAAATGATTATAAACATATTTTATCCCAAGGTACAAGTACCATTTCGATAAATGATTTTTTAAAAATCACTTTTATCAATGTTATTGATATGATTGGCAATGCAAAGCCTCAAGAATAAAATGATTTATTCTTTAAAGTTCTGCGATATTTATAAATTCTTAAAAGAATTAGAAACTCATAGTCTTAAAGAAATGATTTATTTGGAAGCTATACAGATGTATAAATTTTGTTTTTATGTTATATAAGTTTATTAATTACTATTAATTATAGTAATAATAATTATAATTAATGTAAACATGTAAAAAAACGAATCGCAAAAGATCTCTTGTATTTTGTACAGATTTGGATGTATGGTTGATGAGATTTTAAATGAACATGGAAAGTCAATTCAGTTTCAAAAAAATATTTATATTTGAAACTGATATGGTCTTCCAAATGACCGATAATTTATAGTGATTGAGAATATATATTTTACTATAACAAATGAAAATTAATATCATATTTTAAATAATTATTAAAATGTCTAAAAAATGTGAATGCATTGTACAGTTAATTTTATTATACTTCTGAAAAATAATTTAATCTCAGTATATTTTGCACAATTATTATCAATAAAAAATTAATATAAATAATTTTACTACATTCTACAATTATTTCATCAATTTTTTTTGTTGAAAATCGATATTTTGAAATTGGTTTTTGGGGTAATTTTTAATTTTCAAGATATTTTTTAAACCAATAGATGATAATGAATGGTACACTTCTTTATCATTCAATGGTTATCGTTTCCGCTAAACACACGCCTCTCTTCCTTACATCATACTTTCAGCCATTGTGCTCAATAGAAATCAAACAGAAGGCTTGACTTCTTGTGGACAGTTTGCTTCTGATTCTGTAGAATTTCAGTTTCTTTTAGCATCTAAATGTTCCATTGAATTAATTTTGTATGTATTACGTAAAACTCTATTAGCCTTTATTTTCCTTTAAATAGTTTTACATTAGTAAAACCGTTGTATTTTACAAGATTCATGAATAAAGGAATTGATCGAGACAATATTTTGTTCGAAAAAACAATGGCCGATGTGATAGAAATGGAAGTAAATGACGACGATGTTTTATTGGATCATGTTGAACATACCGAAGAAACGTAAGTAACTTATTTCGATGTCATGCTTTTTGTTATCTTCATTGCTATAATTTATTCAAACACGAAAAAAATCTATAAATGAAACTTTTCCCTTTTATGACAACTCACCAATACTTCACCATTACAATTTTTGAAGTATTGTTATGGAAAGTAAAAAAATAAAGCATAACTATCGATATATTTTACACTCATAAAGTACACTATGATAATTGAACACTGTCCTCGAAATTTCATACTTTATTATCAATGACAACACGCCTTCAAGGCTGTGTATTGCAATTAGTTATTATAAAGAAATAACATTATCATTTTAAATCACAGATTGGCTGAAATGGAAATAGAAAATGCTAAAAAGTATTATGAAAACCAACATTATAAACATGCTTTAGAATCTTATACTAAAGCTATTCGTGAGTACTTTTTTAAATCCTACACAGCAGTTTACCTTGTTAAGCTGAACTTAAAAAAAGTTTTAAAATGTTTCAGAGCTTTGTCCTAATGTAGCAAAATACTATGGCAACCGTGCTGCATGTTATATGATGCTTGATCAGTATCGTGATGCTTTAGCAGACGCTAGAAAAAGTGTTGAAGTTGATCCCAACTTTACAAAGGTAGGCGGTCATGTACTATACATTGTAATCTATGTTATGTGATGTTGACATCAATTGTGTTTATTCTTGAATCGCCTTATAACGGTTTCACTTTTTTTCATTACTAACTATTCATAAAACTTAAAAAAATGTCAGGGATACACCAGAGCTGCTCGATGTTGCTTAAAAATTGGTGAAATAGTGGAAGCTGAAACTTTTTTAAATAAATTCACTCAAATGAATGCAGCCAATGCTAAAACTATCACAACAGAATGGCAAGAATTGAATCATGTCCAACGTTACATTAGAGAAGCAGAGGCAGCCCTGGAAATAAAAGACTATCGAAAGGTACAATAAAAGAAAAAAATAATAATTACGGTATTTTATAATTATTCCTACATTTACTTTAGGTCGTATATTGTATGGATCGTTGTTGTGATGTCAGTAAGTACTGTCCACGATTTAAATTAATGAAAGCTGAATGCCTTACTTATTTGGAACGATACCAAGAGGCACAAGAGATAGCACAGTAAGTAGTCGTAAAATCGCTCAATATAAATATGGAACATTGATTATTGAAAATTATAACGATCAATGTTTTACAGTGATATGCTTCATTTAGACCGATCGAATGTTGATGCCACTTATGTTCGAGGAGTTTGTCTCTATTACCAAGATAATATTGATAAAGCTTTCACGCACTTTCAAGAAGTGCTTCGGCTTGCACCTGATCATAAAAAATCATTAGAAATGTACAAAGTATGTAAAATTTTAAATAATTTAAATTGATTTTATTGACAAGTATTATTTAAATTCTGATTGTATTTTTTATAATATAGAAAACCAAATCGCTAAAACAAAAAAAAGAAGATGGAAATAATGCATTTAATTCAGGAAAATATGTAGAAGCTTATAATCTTTATACTGAAGCGTTGTCTGTTGATCCTCAAAATAAAATGACCAATACTAAACTTCATTACAATAGAGCTTTGAGTGCATCCAAGTTGGGACGATTAAACGAATCAATAGCTGAATGTACTGAAGCCCTTAAACTTGATAAAAATTATTTAAAAGCTATTCTTAAAAGAGGTACCTGTTACATGGAACTTCAAGAATATGAAGAAGCCGTGCGAGATTTTGATAAGGCATGTAAGATAAATAAATCTCGTGAAAATAGACGTTTACTTATGGAAGCTAAGGAAGCTCTAAAAAGATCAAAAAAAAAGGATTATTATAAAATTTTGGGCGTTGATAAATCTGCTTCTATTGAAGATATCAAAAAAGCTTATAGAAAAAGAGCATTAGTTCATCATCCAGGTTAGAAAAAATTTATTTAAAATTCTTTAATTTTAAAAGCTGACAATTTACATTTTTATGCATATTCATAACAGATCGGCACTCGAATGCCTCAGAATTGGAGAAGAAAGAACAAGAGAAAAAATTCAAAGAAATCGGTGAAGCGTATAGTGTTCTTTCCGATCCTAAAAAACGGTCAAGATATGATCGAGGAGGAGATTTAGATGGATTTGATTATGATTTCGATTGTAAGTATTTTCAATTAGTTTTTTATAATAAAAAATTATAATCATAAACAATTTTGATGAAAATTATGTTAATATTTTAGTTTCAGGTGATTGTAGTGATTCTACATTCGCAGCTTTCTTTGGACGACCTGGTTCAGGTTGTGAATTTCAATTTACCCGTAGTTTTCCGTGTTGATATACTAGCCAACAAATTTGAAAGCTCTGAATTGAAATACTCCTTAGTTGCCGGTGCAATAAAAACATACGGATTTTTGCTCCTCACAGTTGTGTGAAGTGTATTAGACCATTTGCCAATAATCATAAGACATTCAGCTAATGATTTAAGATTCTAAAAAGCATCGGTAAAATTACAATGTCTAATTTACAAAAATTTGTGTTCTTTTAGAATACATGTAGAATGTTATCAATTAACAAAAACGATGATAGAGTATTCTCAACATCTTGACTTGAATTCATGTACCTAAAATAATCATGATTAATCCAGAAAATAATATAATTCTTAATACAAGTATATCAATTTTGTAAGTCCCTACGTATAGTACATCAGTTGATTTAAAAGTTAAAACATTTTTATTATCTTATTTGATGTTGCAGTTACATCTTATCGTAAACAAGGGTAGTTTTTTATTACGAAAATATGTCTGAATAATAACAAATAATATAATAGGATCTTATTTATTAGAAAAAATTATTATGTATATTTAACGATTTCCGTATTAAGATTTTTTATACGGTAAATTGTTATTCTTTCAGTTCTATGAATTCTAAATTGAATACTAGTAATAAATTTTTCTTTATTTGTATTCATCAAATTGACTGAGAGTTGAAATTACAATAAAATTGCGTTCACCTGTTCATTCTCCTGTATATTTTAAATGAACATGACAATTAAGGAGATTCCTTAGTAAGCAGTAATTACTATTTACCTTGTATTTATAAGATCGTTAGGAAAATTGTCAAAATGTTTTTAAAGTATTCATAAATACATATATTTCAAAATATTTATGAAGAATCTATTCTCTTGTCATGTTCTTAAAATGAATTTAAAAAAAAGCTCTTTTCGCAACACAAAAAAAATTGGGTTTACTCCAAAAATTCAAATGAACATGAGTAACTATATTTAGTTCAGTTAAAATCATAATAATAATAATATTAAGCGGCTAACTTCATTCCAGCCCCCTAGCTCCTAGCGGCAGAAAAAGGTACTATTAACGTCTTAAATTCTGTAACCAGAATCTGATATCAGAGAAAAGAGATAATATATTATTTCTTTTCTCTGCTGGTATAGATATTTATTGTGGAAAACGTTGAGGAAATATGACATTAAGATGTCTCTACTTGTGTAGATTTTAAAAATTTTGGCTCCAAAAACGAGTTTTTTTACGAGGTTTTAATTTAATTGCCAGTATTGATTAATTAGTTATGTATTAAAATTATTATATCTTCTGTTCAGATAATAGAATAAAAAACAACTAATCCTATTTTAATGAACCAAATAATCCATTTAATTAATAACAATAAATATAATGTTTATTTCAAATACATAACTGTAAATTTTGGTATATAATAAAAATACTATATTACAACAGAGTGTAGATTTAACGTAATCATATAGACTTAAAACGTATACTATAAACTAGTATAAAGCAGAAGTTCCATACAAATATTTAATAAAGAATAAATTACGTACTTTACAAATTATGTGAAAAAAGTGCTTAAAAATCAGACAATAAAACTCTTTTTATACAAATTGGATCTTTTACAACTATTTATCTTGTAATGATAGATTTTTTCTTTTTGATTGCATATTTAAAATTGTTTGAAGCAGAAATTCAATTAATTTCTTATTATTTTTAATTTTCTTTTGAAAACTACTGGAAGCTAAATGGTGGTTTGTAAGAATTTTTGACCTAATAGTCGCAATAATTTTTAGTTATATTCACTTTTTAATCACACAACAATCTTAATTCTAAAACGTTGGTATGTTATATGACGTAATAATTTACCTATTAACACAACCATTTAGTAATAATGAAAGGAAAAAATGTTTAAAATATGGTTGATAGTTATTTGAATAATCAGAATAATGATGAATTCGCTACACACTCGACTATTAAACTCTTAGCAAATATGAACGATGAATGATATGATTGTGCAATTGAACAAAAAATTGAATTACTAAACTTGCAATAAATATCAATTATAATCGCATTTAGCTATTAAAATCATATAATTTTCTGATTATTATTAAATGTGAATCCTTTTTCCCTTCATTACAATTTTCGTTTCAATATAACCCATACTATGATTTATAAAAATAAATATAGTCTATGATCTATTAAACATTCATATAATGAAGTCTCTCTCTCGTTTTACATATTTCGAGATAAATATATCTTTGAAAGACCAACACCGTATTTTTTCATTCCTATCAATAGACTGTATATCATTTCATAATTTAACAATAAACATTAATCGAGTGCAGTTGTAGTTTTACATAAATTTACAATTTTGTTTGCATATTTAAAGATTAAAGCTGCCACTAAAAAGCAGCGAGAAAACATTTGTAATATTAAGAATTCTTAAGAACAATAATTCTTCTTTTCTCTAAAATATACAACAGCAAAAATTTATGAACATTATTAATCGATTCTATCCACAATGATACATTTAAACACTGTAATATTCTCTTATATTTTACCAACTTTGAATGAATTCCAAAAAAAATTTCAAAGCATATCTATATGCATCTAAAATGTTTTAACGTGCAAAAAAATATATTATTAAGTTAAATAAAATAATATAAAAAAATAATATAGATATAGTGAAATAGTAATGACATATAATGGACGTCTTACAAATGGAAATTACTTAACTTTTCACAGTCGATTTATAGGGAATGTAAGGGTTAGGCACACATAAATAATACGCCAACCATGATAAATATTTACGATGTGAATAACAATCCAAACTTAAAATAGTAAATTAGTCCTAGCATTTTGATGTTTGGCTATCATTGGCTATTATTAACTTGAATTTTTTTCTGCTGCCCGAAATTGACTGTATTAATAAATTTATTTTTAGGATATTTACATAAATACAATCACATAATAATTAAAATCCGTAATTTATTACTCCGAGCACATGCTTGCACCAGAAATATATTATTTAAGATAAAAAATTATTTTTCTGTTATTATTTGTGCACAGTATCAAGTTGTAGCAATGAAAAAGAGAAATACTTTTCGCAATCAGAATGGCATTGACTTTACAATCAAGTCTTATCATAACTTTTATTGATACTACTCAAGAAACAGTACGTACGCAATATAATAATATCTCCCTTCTTTTAATGGAATATCTCCAAAAAATATATATCACGCTAAATACTTTGAACATATTATACTTGTCGGAATGATTGAATAGCCAAAGATGGCGATACTTTCACGTTTAACAACGCATCTTTTCTAAAATAAATTATTTTTTATTTGAAAATCTGATTGTATTCGGATAAAAGACATTCGATAACTAAATTTTGTTGCATAAGATCTAAAGCCATGTTTGCACTCTCTTCTGCCGGCCACATTAACGTCGGTCCAAAGACGATCGCAAGATTTGGTATATGCATACGATTGTAATCTTGATATGACGTTACTTTCAGCAGATGTTTTAATAAAAATTGTAAAGTATCATAATTGGGAGGTGGTAAAGCTTTAACAATTTCACGAAAACATTGAACTTTAGCAGAGGTTTTTTTTAACATACTTGCATTTAACGCTTCTTTAAAAAAACTTGATGGTATTAAAGGTTCTTTTAATTCACGAAAGAATAATTTTAACGCACCAGTTAACACATGAACATCCTCTTCTTGATGTAACACATTCAACTTATATTGATCAACCTGGAGACGTATTTTTTGAATTTGACTCAAGTTGCCACTTGCTCGGTACAAACCGTCAGTCTTCATATTTTCTTCATTACTTTCCAATACTTCAATGCATATTTTTACGAATATAGGTACTCTTGGAGGTTCCGTAGGACATACATCTTTTAAATATGAACCGAATGCTGGTTCATCTGATAATAAAAAATTTTTTCCATATTATTATTTTTTAATTTCAGGAAAAATTTCATTCTAAATGATAGGAAAAAATGCATACCTTTATAAATACCATTTTTTACTAAAGATTCAACAGTAGGACGTCTTAAGAAAAATCGACGAAGTTTGGCTTTAATTTTGGTTTGTCGTTCCGCTGGTGTAACACTAAGATCTTCTAATGAATCATCTAGCTTTTTAACAGCTAAAAAATTTAATATAATATTTGTCAAGTTATTGTGATAATAAATCAATTTTACATGCTTAAATAAAGAATAATTACTTTTCATTGATCGAGATCTGATGACCTTAGATGATTTTTTGGAATCTTCTGATTGATTCGATTCTGAAGGTGACTTGCAATTACTGACCTTCCGAGTTTCAGACGGACCAGAAGCGATTTTAGTTAAGCTAAATGGCTACATGATAAAAATTTGATTAAATTGTATTTTCTTTTTTTAAAATTATTGCTCATAAATCGCTATAAATAATATATTTTTTACCAATTTCTGTATGACTCCATGAATTTCTTGAAACCATTCAGCAGCAACAGAAGTATTATCACTTTGTATGAGTACTTGAAGTCCAAGTACTGTACCAATCATATATACATTTTTCCTACTGCTTACTCGTTCTCCAGGCTCGATTGATGCACCATTCAAGTCAACAGATATATCAGGTTTTGCCATTGGAGATTGACCACTCTTCATCATTGTATTGAATGTTTTTGAGTCTTTGAAGAAGAGTAAAAATAATTCTGTTAAAACAGCATATGAAGTATTCCAATTTTTTCGAAGCTTCTTTCCATTTTCTGTAATTTTCGTACGACTTAGAGGACCTTCTTTCAATATTCTCATGTTACCATCAAATGAAAGTTGCGGCCAGTCATTCAGTAGACTCCCTGCTTTTTTAGTTATAAGATCTCGATTAATAATACTTTGATTTCCATGTTGAACACCACTAAGCACGTTTTCGCATTGGCTAAACTCGTTTGAAATGCTACTTTCTTCTAGTGATGGATATTCTTTCTGGGCAGTTCTAGTTTGCATTTTTTCTGCTGTTATTGTTGGAAGGACCCAAGAAGACTCATTGCTATTTTCTTCAAAGAAGTATATTTTTCCTTCATCGTCATTTGAAGAAAACCACTGAAACAAAAAAAAACAAGAAAGAGAATCAGTATTTATAATCTGACAAAGATAAGAATAAATTTTTTTTATAAATTTAATATAAATATCGATCTTAAATTTGATTCATTATTTTATTCATCTTTTGTACCTGATGCATATCATCTTCATCATCCATTGCGACATACAATAAATTCCGTTTCCACATTTTAATGTCACTTGTTACGGAGCCTTTCCGTTGGCGATACTCATTAATGCTATCATTACATCTATCATCTCCATTCTTATTTTCACAAGTTTCATCAATGATACCTCCAGTGACATCAAGTAGAGAATAAAATTCTAAAGATTTTGAATCAGGAGACAGAGACGAACTATCACTTTTCATATGTACGCTCCAATTTTCATAGATAGGTGGATAAAGAAGTTTGTCGCATGAAATATTTTCCTCTTCAGTGTCTTGAAGAGATTCTATAACATTTGAACTTTCAGATCCAATAGATTTATAATTAGAATCACCAACTTTGATAGCTGAACAATTGTCAATGTTAACATTACTGTCGATGTTATCGCAAGAACTGAACAATTCATTAGAAATGACCAATCCACAATTCTCATTTTCCTGTTCGTCCGTATCTAAGTTGTTATAAGTGTCTAGCCAACGAGAAGCTGTTTTCGAACGACTCGGAAATGTCACGTTCATTTCCCGCCGCGGATGAGTTAACGACAAGTTATTTTCGCTGTCTATAAAAATTGATCCACGAGCATTGACATCGATATTATCCACTGGAGAATTAGAATTAGTTGTATGACCTTCAAAAGCATTCATTGAATCTGAATTGGTTTCATTAGACCATGCTGATAAATCTTCTAATCTACTACTTGATATATCATCACAATGACTAATGGAATTACCATTTTTCATTTCTGATTCTTCCAAGAATTTTTGACATATCATCAATGCATTATTGTCATCATTATTACCAGTAACTAACGATAGGTTTGATAAAGTTTCGTACGAACTAGTTCGGCAAGAAGTAAAATAACCACTTTTATCTCTAATTAAATTAACACAACACACGACTCTATTGGGATACATAGTGATTTGAGAGAAGGTTGTACTATGACTGGTATTCTGAAACTGCTCGAGCATTGGTTCACTATTATGATTGGAAATATCAATGTATTCACTATCAGAGTCTAATACGTCATTCGTACATGAAGACTTAACTTCCTCTTCATTTTCCTGCAGTTTTCTATCACATATGATCTCGCAAGAATCAAAATTATGATTTCTACCCCTCACAGAGTTGGCAAATTCTAAATTTAAAAATTTCTTAACGTCTTCAATACAAGAAAAATTTTGGTCAGTGCAAGTTATATTTTGCAAGCTGTCAAACATAATTCCCGACTCACAGAAATCACAATTACTTCGTATCAACTTTAACCAATGAACCACAGGATATCCCTGTCTCGTTCGAAAGTCTTCACAACTCTGAGCAATTTTTTTTCTTAAATCAACGGGTAACCAGGTGTAGGCGGGAACCTCAGCCTTGGAAAAACTTGATAAACCGTCATTACGATTAATACAATTACGTCCAGTAACACGTGCACACGTGAGGAGACTCTTCTCCTCCATAAAGCACTGCTCGTCATTCATCTTGAAATATACAACTTGAATAAGCTCGAGCCTGCCTTTTTTTATCGAAAAAACTTGAAGACTCTCGATATAATTCACTATGTTAATACGGAAGAAAACCACATCCTCATTCTCAAAGTGATTGTGGTTAAAATATTGCTCATTAAATGTTCAAAATCATATTTCCTTTTTTATTTATGTTTATCATCATTGCATGAGTAATTTAGAAATTTACAAAAAACTCTTTTAATAAATAATTGTATAAATACGTTAGTGAAGTAATTATTTTTAGCATTTATTAGCAGATAATTATGCCAATAGATCTTGGAAATGAATTGAATTATTGAACTGAATATTTCAACAAAAAGAGACAATTAAAAATGAATGATTTATAAGTTATAATATTAATTCTGTTTGTTATTTTATAATCGCACCCGTGACTCTAAACTGCTTGGAAGTATTCGCGTCACTCGTACAGACTACATCGGACTGAAAGCTCAATGTCTTCACTAAAAATGACTACACATGTTATTCACAAGTCAAAGCTAAGGCAGTTAGTAGCCGTCGTATATATCATATAGTAGAATTGATGTATTTCAGTCTAGCATACACACACACCAATTGATGTGAGATTGGGTCGTCGTATCAAACTGAAAAGCGACCAGGCGGCCCGTACGTGAGATATTTCTTACATGATCGCGAAGGCGTGCGGGTGGGACTAGAGTACAGAGGGTTCTCTTGTGTGAGGGATACGGGAAGATATCAGGAATTCCGGAGTTCGTGGCGAGTCTTCGAAATCAGTCGATCTAACATTAAACACAAGTCAATAAACTATTTTGCTAGATTAATGCTTCTGAAAAATATAAAATGTATTTTTCATGAATGAATCTTGAAAAAATAATGCGTAAATTTTAAATAATCGGACGAAGAAATACTTAATCAAGTGGTCATGAACCATTCAACCAATCGTTCCCGTCAAGAATGACCAATTCAATTTGTTGAGGTCAAGCTTGATTCCACGACCCGAAGCTTCAAGTTCTTTTAACGCATCCTACTGTGCATATACATGTTGATTCATTTCATCCAATTATCCAACATGATGTCATCAGCCTGAGCTACTAATTGCACCCATGGAATTACTACAAAATAAATTGGCTACTGAATGACATTCAGCGCCCAAGAAAACGACATGTGTGGTGCTACTGTTTACTTTTCTGCTTGTCACAATTCTCTAATGTATTTTCGTTTTAACCTTCAACTGTCACAATAAACATTTTTAGCGATACTTATGAACATCTGATGACAAGTAATAAAATAAATAATTTCTATCAAAAAAATTATACCAACCTTATTTCCTTGTTCGTTAACGAAGCAAATTTGATCTGTATGTGGATCATACTTTTGCGTCCACCCAGGCGGTAAATTAATCGTACATTCATAACCATCTTGAGCGACTCGAGCATTGACAGGACTTGGTTGAGAAGAAGCGTCAAAAGCTGCTGTAACTTCGGATTCTGATTGACTTTGTAATGCTTCAGAACTTGCATTTGAGCTGAGTATATGATCGTCTGAAGGACTATCACGTGACAATTTTTCTTTATTTTTATTTAAATTCATATTTGAACTAGATTTGTCTTGAATTTGATTTTTTATATTATCATCATTGTCATCATTGTTTGAGAGCAATTCTTTCGATTGAAGACAATTATCAGAACCGCTATCAGATGTACACAAAAGTGTTTTGAAACCGACGGCAGTGCTTGATTCGATATTTATTTCATCAGTTACAGTCATTCCATGCGAATTAAATCTATCCCAAAGATTTTCAGTAGAATTATTCATTCTTTTGCTTATTTTTCTTGGAGCTGGAATTTTCACTTGTTCTGCATTATTAACTATCTTATCATTGACTTTTGAAGGAATTAAATCTTCAGGATTAAGTGGTACTTTTGTTCGTGGTAAGGGTATAGGTTTTGATTTAGGAGATTCTTGAGGATAATTTTTATATTCTATAATAATTTCCTCTTCCAAACATCGAAAATCACTTAGACTTCTACTCTTTCTCTTTAATGCATTAATTGAAGTAGATGCAAAATCATTTTTATTTCGAAAGCGTTGATAATTATCAGGTATCGTAGTAAAATGTAATGTGGAACTTTTTTTCAAGCTACACTTTTTGGCATTTGCCATCATCTCTTCTTCTTCATCAGAAAATTCTCGTTGATTAAAATACCTTCCTTCTCGTTTACTTTTAAAGCTGTTTGAGTATTTTAAATGCCTGCGACCATTCCATGAATCTTCAGACCTGTAAGTATCTTCATGAATCCCACTGTCATCGTACGCGTCACCATCACTCATACTTTCACTTAATATAGTAGTATTTTTTGTCTTATCTATACTGGTTCTTCTTGCAGGGAGAAACTGTATTTCACTTGCAAGTTTTTCTAATGATGGAGTTAATTTAAATTCGCTAGATGAATTATTCGATTTTATTTTTGAACGCATTTTAACTTTACTCGAATGTATTTTAATATTAGAGTAACCCGACTCATGATCATTGTCTGTAGTTGAGTAACTTGGTTCATTCGTTGTACACTTGCGATAACGTAGCCGTTTATCTAATGATAATGATCGATTATCACTGAATGAATCGTCAGGTGAACAATCATTTAATATATTTGCCTCATTGTACTCATCTAATATCTTTGGCGACTTCGGTGATCTCAGTGGTTTACTTTGTGGAATTATTTCAGTGCGAATTGTAAATTTTAATTGATTTTCTTGTTTAGGAAAACGAAAAGCTGTGGAACTATCTGATATATCAGATGTTTCAGAAATATTTAAATGTTCTGTGATATCTTCATATTCATCATCTTCTTTTAAAGATTTTTGAGCAGTAGAAGAATCAATTTCAATAAAAGGTTTATTTTCTGAATTAATAGAGATTTTACAAATATTACTTGGCGGTGCATCAACTAATTTAATATCATTTGATCGATGCTCTATTTGTGGAGTATTTGTTTCAGACCTTTGTAAATTTATTTCATGCAATTCTTTTGTTAATTCATCAACTGGATTAAAATTATCTTTAATTTCAGTGCTTTTCAATTGAAAATTTGGCTTTTTAGAGATATTTTTTCTTTCTTTGCACATTTGAGTAAGCTCTGACATAAGTTCTTCCACAGCCCAAGTTCTCCGTTTATCATTAAGAATTTTATAATCTCCACTATTATTTCCATTAGCCTCTTCATCAGTTGCTTGTCCAACAAGTGTCAGCTGGCGCCCGTATGGTAGTTTTGGACTTAAACTTCTCTCAGTTCGCATGCAAAATTGTTTTGATTCTAGATCTAAACTCCGACTATTTCTAGTTGATATACTAGGATTTTGATGATCACTACTGAGTTCATCATGTAAAGATACACTAAGTTTTGACTCTGGTTTGTCTAATCTTCTAGATTTCTTATTGTTGCGTAAGAGAAATTTATCATCAATATCACTATCTAATTGAGAATCATCGGAGTGCGAAGATTTTGTTCTAATTCGTGTTTTTCGAGGTACTTCCAGATCACGACTCTCTCGTGAAAACTTTTCGTAATTTGGATTATCGGATTTCTTACGTCTTCTATCTAAGCTGCTTTCTAGTTCTTGTCGGAAAGGATCTGGTAGAGTCATTTCCATTCTTGACTGTAAATCAAAGGATTTAGGGCTAGTTGAAAAAGACCTAGAAATTTTAACATTATTTTGGTCAGCATCTGATACATTCATTGCAGTTAATGTTTTTTTCTTCTCTTCCTTTAATACTTTTTTGTCTTTTGAACTTTCTTTATGATCAGATATCTCTTTCACATTATCTCTTTCTAGTGACTTGGTTTTAATAGCTGCTAGTCCAACTTTTAACTCGGCTCGCGTGGCGTAATCCATTGCATTATGTTTATGAGATTCATCTGTCACGTATATAGACTTTGAAGCCTCTTGCTTGCCATCTGCTGATCCAGCCAGCCATTTTTTGACATTTTTCATGGCACTAGATGTTTCCTTAGGCATATTTTTATATTTAGATGCATCCAATGGTATAAATGCTTTATCCTCTCGAGAGGTTTTTCTAGATGTTTTTGATGAAACTTCTCTAACATATGTAGCTGGTACATAGAAGGATCGTTGCTGTTTGTTTCTAATAACCTGCCACCAATCAGCATTGGTTTTTTGCAGTAAATATAATTTTTCATGCTTTTTTATAACTATATCTCGACCCTCTGCTGTTTTATATTGAAAGTCGTAGAGCACTTTCACGTAAGAGTGCTCTTCCAGGTCTAATCCACTCATGACAATGCCAGATTACATTTTTATTGGATTATTGGCACTGAAATATAAAAGAATAAAGTGTTAATTGTAAAATGGATTTAGATTTGATGAATAATTAAAGTACCTGATTTGAATAACAATTATATTTATAAAGCTATACTGTTAAATTGACACACTCCATCCGTGTACTAGTTTATTTAAAATTTAATTAACATTCATTTTTCTAAGATGAAGAAAAATTTTCTACATAATAAAATTGATTCAAATAAAATGTTAATAATTTATCTATATTATAATCATTCATTCTAATTAATAACATGGATTAATGAAGTAAAAAATTCACAAAATAGATCAACATTCGTTAAGGTTATGCGTTTGTATCTTAGACAGAATATCAAAGCACTTTTATTCGTACACTGTTAATTATAAACTTCGAAAGGTAAAAGGAACTTTAGAGTAAAATTGGGTATCACTACTACTATTTACAAACATCAATGGAACTCCAATAATGATAGGTTATAGAGAATCAGAGAATTGTCATTGTTACAATGACGTAATTCACTTAGAGAAAGTTTTTTTTCTTTGAAAGAAATAATCTACGTGCTCAAATAATACCTTTGATTAAGTTAATTATTATGAAAAAAATAATTACATTGTCCTTGAAGCGTCCACAAACTCATCCCAAAAATTCTTGCTATCGTCCATACGCTAATAAGACTGACAGCACCATCATGTCAATAATACAGGTGTAGTGCTTTAAACAGGATGCACATATGTATGTATGCAAGAGGATAGAAGTCTATAGTCTTGAACAAGACAAAACTTCGAGAGTATGTCGAAACGAGCGCTTAATCATTATTCAACGCGCGTAATTTCAAATGTATAAAATATTAGTATTTATTGCCAGTCTAAATGGAAAATTCAATTTTTCCATCTTTAAGAAAAAATATCTCATAGAATTTTTAAATTTCCTTAAGCAAAAAATATCTATACTATTTTCAATGGGTTTTATAATTATTTAGTCATGATATTTTTGAATGAATTCAATAATTCTGTTTAATAAACGAGGTCATTGTTTAAAGTGCCATTAAATACATGCATACAGACAGACCATGACGTTCATCCTTGCCATATTTGGAGGATGTAGATAGAAATGGGCGTATTTTGTTTCTATTTATTTATAAAATGAGTAATTATATTGTATTGAAGTATAGTATCAATTTAGAAAATTCTATACAAATATAAATAAAATATCAAGAGAAAATTAATATAAAAAATTACGTAGTTTATTTCACATAACCTTAATCATATTAAATATTCACAAAAATGACTGAAGCTTTGACTAAAAATTTTGCCGCTGAGGATTTTAATCCTGACAAATGTAAGTCCAATTAAATTTATTATTACTAAAATAAATATTTTTTTGATACCTCTTTAATCACAATAAAATAACTTTACAGTTGTTAAAGAATTGAGTTCTCAATGTATTGGAGCAGATGAACTCCATAAACAACGAGCAAAGATTCAAGAATTAGCTGATAATACATCTGCACAGCTTAAACGCAATGTATACCAAAATTACATGCAATTTATTGAAACAGCTAAAGAAATATCTCATTTAGAAAGTGAAATGTATCAATTATCACAATTGCTCAGTGAACAAAGATCACTTCTCAGTACGTTAGGCTCAAGTAGAACAACTGGAGCAATATTTGATGATCCATCTAAAGCTCAACAAGAAGAAGAAGAAGATTCAAATGTTATGACAAAAGAAGAAGAGCAAAAGCAAAAATTAATTCAATTGTTAGAAAATGTCGAAGGAGCGATGGTATATATTTTAAGTGGTAAAACCAAAACTGACAACATATTAATTGATTTATTATTGTTTTGTAGAATTTAGTGGAAACACCAGGTCGGATTTGTTTACATGAAGGATCATTGTTAGAATTAGATCCTTTAGAAGGTACTCCATTAAAGAGAGTGCATGCTTATCTTTTCAACGATATCCTTATGATTGCCTCCTGGCTTCATACTGGTGGACGAAGAGGCCCGCCACGTTATAAAATGCAAGCAGTATATAATTTACAGAGTTTAGCAATAGTAAACGTGAGAGATTTAGGAACAGTTAAACTTGCCTTTAAATTATTAGCTTTCCCAGATACCAGGGTCTTCCAGTGTGCTTCTGCTACAAGCAAGGTAAAACTTCTATTGCTTTTTTTTTCTTTTAATTTTAACTTAACTTTAATTATTATTTATTTAATGTAGAAAGAGTGGCTAGATAAATGTGAACAAGCTAAAAGAGCACGTCTTATCCAAGATAATCAATTAGAGCCGGATTATCAAGAGATTTCGAAAGAGAATGCACTTGCACCTTCTCGTTCAATATCTCTAGATTCGAATCTATTAGGAGCGGAAGATGGTGATGAGTCCGAAGGAGGAGTCCAATTTCCAGAGTGGTTATTAGAAGTAACAGAAGATCTGGACTCATGTATGGCACAGAGACACTTTGAAGAAGCCCATAATTTATTAGAGAGAGCAAAAAATTATTTAAAAGAAGCACATACCACTCCACAGTTGAATGAAATTAAAGTTAAAGTTGAAGAAAGAGGTAAAACTCTTGTTGATGTGTTAACTCGTGAATTAGAATTGAGTGCAGAAGCTAAATCTTTACAAGGAGGAGGGTTACGAAGTGCTCGAAGAGCTGTAAGACTTTTAATACAATTAAATAGAAGTGCACAAGCTTGTCAATTATATCTTCAGCTATGTAGTGCTGCTCTGAAAGCACGGTTAAAACGTGTCAAGCGAGAAGGAACAACCATTCCGTATGTTAAACAAGTCAGCGCAATTGCTTTCAGTAATACTTCCGATATGGCCAAAGAGTTTTTGAAACTTTTTCCGCCATCAACTAATTGTACGTCGAGTCTGGTTGTTTGGTGCAGTCAAGAAATTAAACATCTTACATCGCATTTAATTAAGCAGTTGTTTATTCCCCAAGTCACTTTAGGAACACTAGTAGAATGCATCTCTACAGTTCGCAGTCATTGTGATCAACTTACTCAATTAGGTATTGATTTGCGTTATCAATTAGATGGTCAATTAAGATCACCATTAGCAAAAGCACTTCAAGAAGCTGGGGAGAAATATGTTGACGCAGTGAAAGTTCGTGCTGCTGAAGACAACTGGCATCCATCGAATATGCAAACAAGTCAAAATTTGCAAAAATTACTAGCAGAGTTGGATGACCTCGGTATTCCTGTACCAACTGCCTTCGTAACTAGTGATTGCTGGATCTCATTGACTAGTAACACACTGGCCTTTTCTCGACTTTATGTAGGACTTCTTGAAGACTGTCTCAGTGTATCTACGCCTGAACTCATACGCACTATTGACAATGTACTCATTTCTGTAATGCGTACTCAAGTTGAACATCTCATAGCATCCATAGAAAATCCTAAATTTAAACAACAGGTATGGGAAATTTTATTAAATTTACAATTTTCGTTTTTAATACATCAAATTAATTTATTTTATAAATTTTCTTTTTTAGAGAAAATTAGTGCAAGATAATGCAACATATGTTCGTGACATAATTATTGAACGTGGTTTAGAACTCTACAAAAGTACAATAGGGCAAGAGTTTACGAAGCTGGTTGGATTGAAAAGACAAATAATTATTCAACCAACAGCTATCAATAAACCAAAGCCCGCGCCTAGAACTTCAGTTCCTAAATACTCGAACAGTGAATATATATGAGTTGCTATTGCATCTTTGCTTTTTTGTATGTTAACAACATCTGTAACATAATGTAAATAGACAAAAAATTACTTTTCAATGTAACGTTTAGAGCTTAATTTTTTTAGCTCAGTAGTGTACCTCAATTGTTAGATATTTACAAATAATCTAATGATAATAATACTGATGAATTATTTATTAAGTTGTTGATTGATCGGAAAGCTCATTTTTTTGAAGACTTGCTTGTTCGTGAATTGCTTTCAACTTCTTCCTTGCTCTTATATCTGCTAGAGTTTGTTCTATACTTCTTTGGTCTTTTTTATTTTCGCTAGGTACTGAAAAATGTAATTTGATTATTAAAATCACTCTTAATCAAAGTGAATTTCTTTAAATCCAAGAACTTACCGAATCCGTAAATACTACTAGCTTCAGTCTTTCTGGCAGCTTCCAGAGCTGATTCTTTTCCAATTAAATGTTCGTATTTTTCTTTGTAATCAAAATTTGGAACAAATTCTTTCTTACGTTTTCGAGATTTGAGATCTTCTTCCAGTTCTTTAGCTTGTTGTTCCCTTTCTTCTTTTATCCTCTTAGCAACTTCATCATTCCATTCTTCTCCCCGACGTAAAACGCTTATTTGATCTTCTGAAGGGGGGTGCTCTTTCTTGAAAATCATTATGTGCCTATCCACCCCTTCTTCTCCGAATGAGTGAGCAAGAACACTCGCTACTTCTGCTACATCATGTCTACAAAATAAGGAAATTATTTTATAATTTTATCATTTTTTAAGAATAAATTATTCTCATAAATATCATTGTAATTTACACAATACTTCTGTGAACTTGATCCATAGGAGGAAATTTATATTCTTTAGCCAAATCATTCTTCAAAAATTTATTTACTCTTTCTTCCACCTAGAAAAAGAGTTACATGATTACAATGAGTTAAAATATTTAATAAAACAATTTTTCAAAACTTTACTTGTTCTCTGAACTTTTTCAGTCTTTCAGCTTCTGCCTTTTGTTGTTTTTGATGTTCTTCACGTTGCTCTAAACAAGAAAGTATTTAAATTATAAATATAACCCTGCATGCAGTTAGGATATACACACACTAAAATAAATAATTTCTATGCAAATACACAGACAAGAAAAGTTATAGACTAACTTTTTAATAATGCTTTTTGCTTATCGCTTATTGTAGGAGGTTTATCCATAGAGTTTAATATGGATCCTAACAAATCCATTTTTTATTGTAAGAATTATAAGAGTACACTTTATTTAAATAAAGAAGAAATTAATATTAATCAAATATTGTGAGAGCAAAAAAAATTCTTTACTGTCAAACAATGATATCCCGAACACATCTATAGTCAAACCGAACGGACAGAGAGGTCCGATGAAACTTGAACGTATCCCCGAATTGCAATTTCAGAGCTGTAGTGAGTTTTAATGTTTTGTTGGCAATCTTGTTTTTAAATGACGCTGTTTTTTTTTACAAAAATTTATCATTCATCTTTTTATTAATTTATAAATTATCAAAAGACATAAAAAAATAAATCATGACTTATTCTCTAATGTGATAAATTAATTAAGTATATAAAAGACTAGAAATAGATATCAATATCAAAGAGAAAACAGTCGAAACCAAATGCGAATATAATGTTCTTTGGTTGGTAATGATTTAACGTATACCTCATGCTTCGCGGTTTTAAAACGGTTACTCAAGTGATGGATTGAATAAAAATTAGATTTTTTGAAGTATTCCTTGTCAAAATAGAATTGACGAGTTGATAACAGAGAAAATAATATAATAGATGCACACTATTTGATTAGAAATAAAAATAAATTTATATCTCAATAATAAAATTATTGTGAGGATTATACACATAACCTCTAAAATTATATTATTGAATCAATGAATTATTCTTATTCAATGCAGATTAAATTTTTTATTTGAAATATGAAGGAGTTGAAAGATACTCATTGCGAGGTAATTTATAATCGATAACTATAAAATAATAAACACGAAGTTCAAATTAGGGAAAATAAAATTTATTACATGGCTAGGGTTAAATTTTCATACCGCCAAAAATCATTGAATTAGTAATTAAATGTACTTATAGATTGTATGAATTTATTTGATTAATTAATTTTTTTTTAATAGGTAAAGAAAATTGTAGATCTGCAATATCCTAATTGGAATTTTTCAAAAGCCCTCGATGATGAAAGCTCTGAAGCAGGATCTCCACGATCAAATGGATATTCAAATGTATTAGGTGGTTTTTTAGAAGATGCAAATTATGCTTGGTTAAGTTCAGGTCCTAAATTAATAGTTTTCAATACAAAAACTGGCACGAATATAAGTTCATGGACCTTTAAGGAACAAATATCATGCATATCTCTATTTCCTAACCAACCAGGACAACTTCCATTGCTTCTGGTTGGAACTAATAATAATGCATCGAGACTCAAGGATTCTTTTGGGATGGTATGCATATTTAATTGTACTACATCTCAAGTTGTTCGAGCCATTAAAGTGCCAACTGGTGTTGAACAATTGTGTGTGATAAATGGAGGTGCAGAGTGGGAAGAATTAAATGAGAAACGAGTGAATAATCCTTTACTTGAAAATAGCAGTGGGTTAGCATGCGTTACTTTAAAAAATCTTGATCATTTGATGATTGATTTAAGACGTAATTCATGGGACAATCCTTTGAGATTTCCCTGTATTGATGAATCCAATCCAGCTGAAATAGATTATTTGGATTCTGGAAATACTTCGAGACATAGAACGAATCGAGAAAAACATTCAGCATGCAATCTTATGAATGAACTGATTGAAAGGCACATTGGATTTAAACGTGATGAATTTGAATCGTCTATTTTATATCAAGAATCACTTACAACCGTACTAACATGCTCACGAAAAATTGGTTGCCTTATTTCTGGCTGTTTAGGCAGAGTAATAATTTGGCAAGGTGATGGAGTGGTCAGATGGATAAGTCCAGCTGTAGAAGATAATTTAATGATAAGTCATTTAGCTTTATTAGAACCAACTGATGATCCAAGACCTTTCTGTTATTTATGGATTGCGTATCAAGACGAATCAACGCTGTATTGTCCGATTTTGAAAATGTATGCAATGCTATTTGAAACAAAATGTTCTGACAAAGGAATTAATTTTTATTTTAATCTTGAAGGAGAACCAAGTCTTAAATTTGAGCTTGAATTAGAAGAAAAAAGTAAAGTCATCAGTTTAGATCCTATTGTTAGAGAAAGTAATCCAGAGCAGACTGAATCTGGTAATAAACGTGGAGAAGACAGTCTTTTATTAATAAATATTGAAGGAAAATCAATTCTATTCGATTTAAATCAATGGTACAAAGAACAAATGCCACGTTTTTTAGGTGAATGCCCAAATATTCAGGCAATTTTATCAAGCTACTCCACTAAATCTGAAATTCCTTCGTCAGAGAATACGATAGTAAATTGCTCTTATATTTTACCTACATTAAAAGAATTTTCTTGTTCAAATTCTACTCCACCAGAAGAATTTTTCTTTCCAAATTCATTAAGTTTTGAATGGATACAGTTAGGTACAAAACAATTAATTAGATGGATGACGAGAGGGGTTCAAGCTCAATTATTACGAGAACTTGTTATAGCAGGTCCAATTATTATAATTCAACCCACAGAATCTTATCATCGTTGTATTACCACAGGTTTAATATCGTTTAATTCAGACTTGCCTTATAATAATGACTTAGACAGTCAAAGAGATGCAATTTTAACTTTATGTTTGGAACAACGCTGGACTACATTTCTATTAAAATGTGCTAAAGAATGGTCCGATGGTAGTGCAGCTTATTTATATCCAGCATTTCTTCGTTGGAGTATTCAACGAGCATCAACAATAAAGCTCAGTACTCACGAGCTATGTATTCCATTGTTTGATCAATCAGGAAACAGTATTGGAGAAGCTGAAGTAAAAACATTAAGGTTTTTTTCTCAACAAATGGAATGCTTGTGTAATGTCATAAATAATCTCCCAATTGAAACTGAAGACGTGGAACAACAAAGACGCGCACTACGTCGTATTTCCATGTATCTCGAGATTCTATTGTGGTTCTACGACGTTGGTTTGCTACCTGAAACTCAAGATATGGACGAGGAGATGTTACCTATCTCTCTTATATTGAGAATTCCTTATCCAGTAGATAAATTAGTTTCAATATACAAAGAAAAACGTGAACAATTCGCCAAGAATGTGAGAGTTAAACACGAGAATGAAGAAGATTTATTTATAGATGAGTTGATAACAAGAGAATGTCCTGCATTGAGAAGGCAATGGGAACAAGAAAGTAATGAAGTTCATTGTGGAGGTCACTATCCTCCACCATCTCTTCAATCACTTCTGAGGAGCTGCTTAATCGATTGTTATAATCCAGACTCTAATGAAATAGAAAATAAGCATCAAATTATCATTTATCTTCTTATGGATCTTGTGATGCTGCTTCAAGGCTCGTGTCCAAATGTTGATCAATTAATTAAATATCCTTCAGCTTTTAAATTCAGTCCAGGTCTTATTAAACTTACCCAAGCACTCTTTCTTCTCGATCATGAAGATTACCAAGGCTTCCTTGATATAATGACTGGCCAATTAGTTTTTGATTCAGACATCAAAGACTGGCATCATAGGTTGGTGATGAGAACACTTTTAAGAAGTAATCAAAGTAAATTGGCACTTATATACCTCAGAGTAAGAAAACCTCCACTGTCTTCCATTGATGATCAAAGTATTGCAGTGATTCTTTCAGTTGAGCGTGGTTTAGTTCAGTCAGCTTTTCATCGACGACCTCCTACACACTATACAGAATTATTGATGAGATTCTTTCGAGCTTGTAAAGTATATGGAAAGCTGAATGATATTTTGCATTTAGCTTTAAATAATGAAGAAGAAGAAACTTTTATTCATTTTCTTGAACAAGAAAAATGTGATGAAACACGATTGCTGTATTATCTTCAACGTTGTAGATATACTGATGCTAACACTATTGTTCTAACAGATTCAAATATAAAAAATTTAGCCAAGACTCAGAAACCAGCTTCTATATCAATATTTCATGCTTACAATGCCACATTACCTGAAATTTCTCGTCGTTTAACTTCGAACTTCATTCAAAATAATATAGAAATGGATTCAAGTTCTAAGTGCCCACGTCCTATGTCTCATCAAAAAAGTCGAGTAAAAACTCGTGAAATTTATGAAACTGCCATCAGAAAGGCTAAAGAAACATACCTCCGTCGACCTGTGTCAGATAAGTCAAGGGTACCATTTTTAAGTGCTCCTTGTTTACTATCACAGCCGACACTAGAAAATACTGATTTAAATTGTGTGATGTTTGTCGAGCGGGCTCGAACATTCCATGGAAAACGATCATTCGATGATATGAGAGGTGAAGATATACATCGAGAAGAGCGCTTAAATATGAGAAAGCGTCAAAAAATTTCAGATTTATCTGAAAAAGTAAATGAAAGTGTAGCAGAACTTGGAACAATGTGTCAAACACCTTTGATAAAGAGAAAAAGTCAAGTTCCACTTATGAAAGAAATTTCAAATGAGACACCACAATCTATTTTAAAGATTCGTCAATTAATTTGTGATTCAACATCACCTTCAGGAAAAGTATCATCAAGTGAAGATGAAAGAGCTCCAGACAAGGAAAAGAAATTAAGACAAATTCGGTTTAGTATTAATCAACCAAAAACACATGATTCTACAATTGAAGATATGGAAATTTGCGATGGAGAAGTGACTCAAAAGACTAAAGATGAAAGTACAAAACAACGAGTAGCTTCTGAAGATCAACAAAAAGCTGAAAGGAGTCCGAGTTCACAACGTACAAATCTTAGTCCCAAGAATGTAAATCAACCATGTGATGTATCAATTGAAAGTGATGATTATTTCAGCCCTAATGCAAGTACTAAGTCTTTTCATGAAAGTGCTGTTTTAACTGATTCATCCACTTATTATTCCAAAAGTATTTCTGGTCCAAGATGTAGACCTAGGCTAAGAAGAAGTCAACTTTATAATTCTCAAAATGATATAACGAAAAAATCTTCAGGTCATAATACATCATCAGAGTCTATTACAGATTCAATTGAATCTACTGTTGATGCTTTTTTAAAATCCGATATTGTTTCAAGTACTTTCATAGATGGTTTTATACCTAAAACACCAAGATCTCGAGCACGTTTATCTGCTTTTTCACAATGTGCTTCCGCAGTTTTGACGCCTGATACCAGTGTTGAAATTCCATGTCCTCAACCAAATCGAGCTTTAAAATCACTTTCATTTTCTCCTAGTACAGCTAAAAAGGATGATACATATTCTACTGATTATTCAGATAAAGAGAAAAGTATTGTAAACAGTCAACAATATTCTAGTACAAAAATGACTGTAATGAAGAAGAAAAGTTTTGAAGAGGTTGATGATCAATCAGATGAAAGTGAAAGTGTCGAAATTGTTGATGAAATTCAAAAACAAACTGAAGTTAAATCTGAAGTAAAAAGAGAAACAAAATCCCTAGAAGTTCGGAAAATAATTAGAGAAAAACACAATGTAATTATCTCTTCTGATAATTCCACAGGCACACAATTTTCAAGCGAAGAGAAAAAAGATGTAGTTACCAATGACCAAAATGATGAAATAATATCAGAATCTCATGAAGATGAAGTTGTTATTATTGAAAATAGAACTATGGTTGCGGAAGATGATAAAGAAAGTTTCAAAGCAGTAGATGATTATGAAGATGAACTAGTAGCTTTGAAATATGAAGATGAAGAAGAGAATGATGTATACGAAAGTTTACATAATTCAATGGAAATAGAATATCAAGATGAATATCTCGCTAATAATGCCTCTCAAGCGCAAGTATCACCTAAAAAAACTCCTATCGGTAAGTTTTATGAAGAATTCAATATTACGGATGATGAATCTTCGAGAAGTGTTCACAGTGATATGATGGAAGGAATGGTTCTGACGAAAAGTGAATTAGTACAAAACTTATCTCAGGCCACAACTACTGTACTTTCAGATAGTGTCAATATTACAGATGATGAAACAACCAATAGCATTGATTCATCACATTTCAAGAAATCAGATAGTGATAAAAAAACAAATGATAATCTAAGGACTGAAACAGATACTTCTGTACTTGATTTGAAAGTTAAAGATCAAAAGTCTTGTGATAACATGAAAGAACTATCTCAGCCTCAAACAGTTGAAAGTCTTAAAGAAATAACATCATCAGAGAATGTTGAAGAAATAGTTATTCCTGAAGATACAACACCTATTAGAATGACGAGGTCAAGAAGAGCTTCATCAGTAGCACCAAGTCTTCAAGAATCTGTTTCTGAAACACCAGAAACTCGATCAATACGTACTCGACGTGCTAATTCTCTTGCTAAAGATGTTTTTTCACCATCTAAATTAACTCCAACAGTATCTTCTGGTTCAGATAGTCCAGTTGAATCACCTGTAAGAAGAGGAAGAGGTCGACGATCGGTATCGCTGATAAAAGAAGTGTTAACAACATCGATACTTCCTGAACGGATTTTAGGAGAAATTAATGAAACAACTCCAACTCGACAACGCTTGAGACGAGCAGTATCTTTACAAAAAGAAATTATGGAACCTACGAAAAAAATAAAGTCAGCAGAAGATGCTCCGTCAGCTGATGAAAAATCTGAGCAAGAGCCCGACATACCTAAGAAAACGAGAGGTAGAAGAGCAGCTTCTGTTAATAAAGATATTGATAAAAGTACTGTAGTACCTAGGAAAACAAGGGGAGCATCAGTTGCAAAGGAAGATGACGATGTAGAGAAGAATAATAAATCAAAACGAGTAAGAGCTGCATCAACATCAAGTGAAATTGCCCAAGAAACTATAGTGGAACATTCTCACCCTGCAAAGAGAACAAGGACTACTTCAGTTTCAAAAGAACCTGCAAATGGATCCGTAGTAAAAGAGACTAAATCTAAACGAATACGAGCTGCATCAGTAGCACAAGAAAATTCAAAAGAAACTACTGAAGTTGTTGAAGAAAATTTAAATGAAGTTTCTATTCCTCGCAGAACTAGAGCTGCTTCTGTGTCAAAAGATAGCGTTGAAGAAACATCAAAAAAAAACAGAGGAGGTTCAGTATCAAAGGATAGCATAGGAGATATTGTTAGAAAAACTCGTGGGGGATCAGTTGTTAGAGAAGATATTGGAGAAACATCAAGAAAAACTAGAGGAGGTTCAGTATCAAAAGATAATGTTGAAGAATCATTAAGGAAAACTCGTGGGGAGTCAGTTGCTAGAGAAGATGTTAAAGAAACAGCACCTCGTAAAAAGAGGGCTGCTTCAGTTTCAAAAGAATCCGCAGAAGAAAGTTCGATGACATCGCAAAAAATAAGAACTACTTCAATGATAAAAGATAGTACTGAAGATGTAGAATCTACTGGCAAACGAGTTACTCGGCGTAAAGGATCTACGAAAGATAAATTTGAAGAAAAAATAAAAACGAAAAAAAGTCATATTCTTAATGATGTTATTATTGAAGAAGATGATGATGATGATGATGATGATGATGAAAAGGAAACTATTTTTGATAAAAAAATCACCCGAAGGGGGTCTAAAAATATTGAAGAAAATGTAGATATTGCATCAACAACTAGAAAAATTCGTACTACTTCAATAACTGCAATTCCTGAAGAAAATGAGGAAGATCAAGAAACACAAAAGAAAGAAAAGACCTCAGGCAGAGGAAGATTGAGGAGAGCTGCAAGTGTTGATCTACCGACAACAGAAACCAAACGTCGTACTCGTGGTCTTGCTAGAAGTGCAATATCCGAGGAACATAATGAGGAGGAAGAGTCTCATCAAATGCAGACTGATACTGAAATGAAGAGTAAAAAAATTCCTACTAGGAGAAAACGAGCAGTGTCCGAAACGAAAGATGTAAACAATACCGTGATATCTGTTAAGCCGAAACGAAGTACGAAAGGATCACAAAAAAAAAGTGGGACTGATTCCCAACAATCTCCACCACAAGAAATAGATAATTCGTCTGAAACTGGTAAGAATAATAGATAGTTATAAATTGAAAAATTGTTTCTTCTGTTGAATGTATTCATTAGCAGTAGACCTGAACTAATTTATTTGCATTTTGTAGAAATGAATAATGATGTCTTTTCACCACCAACTGTTAGTTTAAACACCAGATCTACTCAACCTCGTAGGTAACATTTTATATACAATTATTATTTAAAGTTTTAATGATTTTAAACTATGTAATGGTTTTTTCAGGCCGATAACCACTTTTATTACTCCATTAACTAAAGAAGAAGAAGAGAAAGCAGAAATTGAAATAAATAAATCTACAAAACCAAGACAAACCCGTCGAACTTTGAGTTTACTTGGTATTCGCACAAAGTTCGTGATCCGGTCGCAAAATAATTGTGAATAAAAAAATAAATAAATGATGTTGATTAATAAGTATAAAAATTCACAAGTTTTAAATGATTAATATCATGGTTTACGAACGCATAAAATATAACAATTAGCTTTATTTTTCAATAATTGCTAACTTAAAAAAAATCAAAAATTTTTGCAACGACTATTTAATTTCACTTTCATATAATAAAATCAGAAGCATGAAAAATGAATATAAAATTTTATTAGAAAAAATGAAATACTAAATTTTTTTTCTAATTAACACTGTACAGTAACAAATCTTTTCAAATTTTGTATTGTATTGAAATGTAAGAAGATTTTAAAGTTTAATAATACTAAATTGCCGTTTAATTCGTTGTTGATCAAAAGCATAATCATTTTAATATTTTAAACTCCATCCAATGGTAATATTCTGTATTTAATATAATAAAGCGATAAATTATTTTTTCATCACTGTTTCAGTACTTTCATAAAAAAATGTATTGATAAGATTTAGGTTAATTGATAATTCATTACTCATATATATTTGTTTTTTGATTGAGGGAAAAGTTTCTCTTCTAAGTAGATGGTTGATATTAAAATTACATTGTAAAACACAAAAGCTTTCTTTTTTTCTTAATTTATGTTATTTTTGTTTGTTGAAAAAAAAATGTATCATACGGTTGTAAATAATTTATTGGATATGCTCATGTATAACTGTAATAATGCAATAAATGTATAAGAAAATTATACTTAAAAAAATCTCCAATCACCATCTTAACACTTATTATTTATTATTCATCATTTATAATTATTAATAAAAAATTAATGTTATTGATGATGATGATCATAATGATTCATATGTAAAATAAACTCTTTTTAAAAAAGTCTAATCAAGTCTACAAATTTAAATTATTTTTTGTATATAATAGTTTTTGTCTAATTTTTTGATTATTGAATAGATTTTTGATATATATTAAATATACTTCATTAAAAAATTATTTAGTGTTGTATATATATATGTATATATAATTTCATGATTTTGCAGACTTTGATTAAAAACTTTCTACATTCCATACTGTTGTATACAAAATATGTGTAAATAAAAACACACAAGTTTAAACTTAATAGCAAAGAATTAAATATTTAAATAATTCTAATACAAAGCCAAAATTAAAGTGTCACGTCTTTGGCAATGTTATAAAAAGTCATTACTTCTTAAGTAATAAAAGTAAATGTGATACTGATGTTGGAATACAAAATAAAATACTTATTTCATCATACATTATTATATAAACTAATTGATTTCTGATATTCATTACTTTTATTCTAATTAATATTTTAATTTTTGTAATAATTTGAAATAAATTTTCAATAAAAAATATTTCTCCAAGTCAATTAAAAAATTCATTCAATATAATCGGGTTGGAATGAAAGATCGAATGGTAACTCTAAGTATAAATAAAGCATTTAAATCTCCAATAGCTAATTAATTCAATTTGTTTGTAAAAAAAATAAAAAAATCATGTTCAAATTGTATGAACAATTATTTGAGCACTCGTACTGAGAACTTGCCTCATCCAAAGGCACAATGCTATCGTCGTTTCACTATCTAGCAAAATTCCATTAACAATATCTCTATGGCATCTATCTCTTTTTCATGTAAACATAAAAACTTGAACATACAAATTCAAGTTTTCTACTTATTATTTCTTTTCTAAGGCAGTTGTGAAGTTGAAAATGTTTTGTAAGATACGGTCACATCTCATCAAAGGGTCATTAAATATTTATGATCATTTAAGTGCGTTTTTTTATATTTTCTTGTGCTATTTGAACTCCATTTACTAACTATGGAGATCAGCCTGTCCTATTGGGTTTTACATCCATCCTTAACTCGACGCTTGTGCTTTTCTTCATGGGATAATGATGGTGACTGCATTTGCGTACGACGTTGGCCTTGTATAGGCATATAACAAGGCACATCATCACCCATAAGTTCTTGAGGAGGGGTGGGTAATACATAGGCAGGACTTACAGTGTTACTGGAGCTACTTGAACTGCTTCGTGGACCACTTCCAGTGTACGTTGGATCAATAATCGCCGCGACATTTGAGACTTCATGCGTTTCATTGTTTTCTTCTTCGTAATCGTCTAAAACTTGAATTTCTTCAGGATCTGGGTAATGTGGAGATTGATGAGAATGATTAACCGAGTGTGAATGATGGCGAGGTTTTTTATCATAAGCTACTTTCAAATCCAACTTGTCTGGTCGTTGTGGCCTGTCGACTTCATTTGGTTGACTTTCGAGCTGTTGTTGCATCTGCTGACGTTCCAATTTCCTTTGTCTAGCTCGCTCACGTGCTCGACGAGCTTTTGCTCTCTCCTTTTCTTGAAGCATTCGCGCCAATTCTGCATCTTGAGCCTCAATAGCCAACTTTTGGTCTCTTAAAAATTGCTCGTCAACTGGGCCATCATTAACATCGACTGCTCTCTCTTCTTCTTCTTGTAACTTTCTCGCTAATTCCTGCATTTATTAAAGTCCCAAAATTTTTATACAAGAATAAATATATCTAAAGAAAGTAAGTAGCCTATTAATTGAATATTTGAATCTTAATTTGTGAATTCATTAATTTTAATTGATTCACTGTTTACTAAACAAGATTGATACAACTTTTAAAAAGAATTAATAATAAATATCTCAATGAATTTTAAAAACCAATAATGAAATGTTTACAAAACGGAATCACGATTTTTTTTACATTAATTATCAAAAGATATTAATCAAATTTCGACAAAATTCTGGAATCAAACAAATTTATTCTTTATTTTTATAATAATATAATTTACCTGATCTTTTTCTTCTTGTAAACGTCTTTGCATTTCCATTTCTGCTTCTATTCGTGCTGCTTCATCATCAAGTCTGAGTTGGTGCCTCATTCTCTCTTGAAGTTCTCGTTCTCTCTCTTCTCGTTCCAAATTCAATGCTACTTGACGTGCAACAAGTGCATCTCTTTCCTCTCTAGTATAAAACAATAAAATTAGTTTCATTTTCTAAGAATAAAAATATAAAAGTCTATTTATTCTAAGGAAATTACAGAATTGACACAAAAGAAGCCATAAAAATATTTTCAAGCAATCAATTTTTTTAATAAATATTTTATGACTGGCTTTTACATAATACAATTTAATAAAATTATTAAAGTAGTTGCTAATAAAGAGAGCTTACTGCTGACGAATTAATGATTGATATCTCAATTCCTCAAGCTCCTGTTCTACTCGTGCACGAGGTAAATCTTCTCTTACTTGAGCGTTTCGTACTTTATTTCCAGTATAATGTTCTTTAACTAAAGAACAAATAATAATCCAATGAATTCATGGATAAATTAGATAACAAAAGTAATTGTACATGAAAATAAGTAAAATAAAATATTGGATAACATGTATCGAGTATACATATTTATATCACTTCACGAGAATCATGATTCATAAAACAATTATTATCGCAAATTGTAAGAGTCACGAAGAAATAACATAAGTTCTGAATACATACTCTCTTCATCCTGTAAGCGATAAGCTAATGCTCCATCCTCGTGAACAAGCCATTCTCTACAAACTATTAAAATATAAAATTATTAATTATTTCATTTAAAATAATCTACAATTGAAAATTGATAACAAAGAGAGATTTTAATGCGCGTGAGAAAGAACAAAAACATTGATAAGTAGCTGCATAAACTTACCTTCATTGACTCGACCAGCTTTGGGTAGAGTATCTGAACTTAGCACTGATTTAGCCATGACTTTAATATTTCTTCAACGTATATTAAATCAATAACTGATGACGTTAAAATAGAAAACACTGATTTGTTTACTAAAACCTTATGGAATGTCTCGTCTGTTCCACTCCATCTTGAACGGTGATCATTTCCTGACGACGCGTTGGTAAGACTGACAGGGAGAACGCGTAGCGCATGCCAAAGCCAGAGAAGTGAGTGTGTGTGGTTGTCAATGACAGGTACCTACGATCCCTATGGTTCACTAACAATGGGTGTTTGTAACAGTTGGGACTGGAGTGCACTACTTGAATAGGCTTCCATAGGTTTACTGAGAGGCTTCTTGAAGCTTCTCTACTTTGTTTGTGCGTGTGCGTAGGTGTTTTAGAGTATTTTGATGCGCAAAGCACCAGAGACTTTTCATGAAACAATGTATAAAAACTCGCGATAATAAATAAATGTGTAGCGAGAGAGCTATTATGTATAAGTACAATACACCGTTGAAAAGAGACACGGAAGCGAAAGAACTCATGCGGCAAGGTTGTGTAAGTCCGCGGTAAGCCAGAAAGTAAACCGGGAATGTAATGCAAGTCAAGTCATAGGGTATAAAGTAGATATATGTAATATACAATCTATACTAGTAGTGTTGGAGATGCGGTTTTTTTTCTTCTCATGTAGTTGTATATATGAAGTATATACAGAGTTTAGATAGTAGTAGAGTGGTTAGTAGGAATATTGATAATGTTGGTGAAACGGGTAGTATGTTCCACTTTCATAGTAGCACATTTTTTTCGCTTGAATGAGCATCAAGTGCGTGAGTATCAGGAGGGGAAAGTATCTTAATTTAAAGGACATTCTAGGGTCAATGCTATTATGCTGGGATGCTGACGAACAACATAAGAATGCTAGAACAAAAAAAATTCAGCTTTAAATTTTGTCTATGACTCAAACTAACTTCAATAAAGAGGCTTGATGTATTATTTATTATGATTTAAAATTATGTTAACCATAAATTGGTTCTTTTAAGAATTTCAATTTACAAAAATATTCCAAGAAAATGATAAATAGTTTCTAGATGAAATTAAAATTATTTCATTCAACCCTTTTTTAGACAATTAGAGAATACATTTAATTATCTTTATTAGCTCTTCTTATTGGAAGACAATATCTCTCTTTATGACAACCGGTGGCATTAGAAGGATCAGTTAATCTTCTAATTGTTTCATTTTCGATTGGCTGCTAGAAATCAAATTTTTTTAACAATGACAGTATAAAATATACAATATTTTTATTTTATACATAATTTAATTATGATAATTATAATAATTACTGTAGCATTTGATAAATTAGGTGTGCCACATGAAATTAATTTGTGAATAATAAATTGTGGATCAACGTCCTTACGCTTAGCCAAATTGTCAATAAAAATCTGATATTCTTTAAGATTTAAACTTTTTTTTCTACAATGTTATAATCATTTTTATGTTTTACATCGAAAACAAAGTTTATTATACCCCAGTTACTTGAATTTGTTGAAGCAAACAGCTGTATCTGCAGTTGTAATTTTCGAATTAATTATTCCAGCTTGTTTCATCCATTTATCACTTTGTGATAAAGTTATAGATATTCCTCCAGAACGTGTGTCACCTAATCTTGAAAATATGAAAAATTGTTCTTCAAAACTCATTTTATTAAATATGTATCCTTTAGCTTATATTAAACTTTAAATTTTATAGTGAAATTTTGATCATTTCAATATATTTTGCAAAAATATTAAATTATATTAATTAATCTTCTTTTGTTAACAGTACATATTAATATAATATACATCTATTCGAGAATAACGTTTCTATGCTAAATAACAATAATTTAATTAGTTAAGATCGGGCTATAATTTATTTTTAAGTTAATTAGAATACTGTATGTAATGATGACCGGATAATTAACATTATTGAATTAACAGAAATCAATGACACTGATGGAATACATATTTTAAAATCAATTAATTTGGTCTCGCAAGTTCAAAAATAGTAGTTGCCATCAAATAAATATCTTTATGTTTGATATCTATTAGCTCAGCTAATTTTTCAGTGATACTTATCTGTCTTTCTTTCTTTACATTAAAAAAAAATAAAGTGCACACAATTATTGATGCACTTAAAAATAACATGTCTATTTCCATAGTCATAAAAGTAATTTTTTCAATCTTAGTCCTGGCAATAGAACCTATAATCATGAGTTGTAATTGGCCATATAAATTTTGGTGCTAAAAAAATAATGTACCAAAGAATTAAAACAATAAATTAAATTATAAAAAACTATTTTTTGGTTCATTTACTTACCTGTAAAAATGTTAAATCCAGAATGCTAATTGTAGACTCATAAAATTTAGGTAAGTCTCGAAGACCTAATGCTACTAATAGGACTTCAAGACAGTCCAATGGAGTAATTGATGGTATTCGATAATTTAATGTTTTAAATACTTTTATTTCTGATTTGAATATTGTATTTGGTGAATATTCAACTTTTTCATTATTTTCAGGGCTCATTAATTGAAGACCTGCGATAATCTAAAATAATTTTAATTTAAAATAATAATCATATGAATAATAACAATGAACAATAATTTTAATTTAATATTTTTTGAGTAAAAGATGAAATATTACTATCAAAAAGTAAAATTAATTCAAAGCCTATATTTAGATCTCGATAATGTTTACTTTATCAAAACTTGTTCAAACATAATTATGGAAATGAAAAAAATGAAAACAATAACTTTTAGGAGTAAAAAAAATTTTTTTTTATTAATTATGAATTATTTGTTACCTGTGCTATACCAAGATGCTTGTAGTGAGAGTCTACTTTGCTTGCAAGTTGAATACAAGACATCAGTCTTAATTTAATTTCATTGGAAAATTTATCAGTAACCTGATTCCAATTATGAGTATTATTTTCAGCATCATTTTCATATTTTTTATAAATTTCCCAAAATTTATTACACATGTACTTATCGAATAAGTACAGTGAAAGATATTTTGTTCTTGGATGCAAATTAAAATATTCAGCAAGTGTGAATACTGTCTTAACTACCGTTATTGAAGTAGCTGAAAAAAAAATTAATAAGTGCATTTATTACTTTAAAAAATTTTTACGTGAATGAAATTGTAAATATTGAATTCATTGAATACCTATAAATGGCATGTAAAATTCCGTGCCATTTTTTAAAGAGAGTTCTTGTTCATGTTGAATTTCTGTAATGTATTGAATCCAATCTCGAATCATCATATCTGAATAATATTAAATAAAAATTATTACAGGTAATTCAATAAAACTTTACAAAATCATATAAATAAAATTTATACAATAAATAAACCTGAATAATTCTCCATGTTTAATTCGGAACTATTCAATTTATTATTTCCACAGAGATATTAATAAAATAAATAGTCGATTGCAATAGAGATATAACACTTAAATATTTGATGTTTACGATTAAAGATTAATTGATAAATAATCAAAACAATGTTTTCAGTATCATAATCAGTTCTGGATTGGACAATAGTGAATGAAGCTTTCCCCTCTGTTTACTGGGTATAAAGTATCTGTGGAATTTTTTGTGTTATCAGACAGAAATACTTTATTACCAAGTCAATATAATCTCATGAGGTTGTAATAATCATACTATTTAAAACAGTACAAGGTACACAGTAGTCTAAAAGCATATTGTATTTCAAGTGATTAGGCAAATGTTGATTGACTTTAAATTTAATGAAATCAGATAAATTATTATTCCCAATTTCTAAGTAAAAATAATTATTAAAATTTAAATTATCCATTTAATTACTCTATAGGAAAATATTTTTATTATTATTTATAACTCATAATAAAACTCGGACGACTTCATTGTTGTTTTTGTATTAGTGGTCAACTTCAGAGCTCAGAAGATTTAATAACAACAAACATGAAACGAATATTATTGATAGTATTTTTAAATGTTCTTTTAAATAATCATTTATTCACAAACGCTGCAGATAATACTCCAGCTAAGTTTCCACTTGTAGTAATTACGTGGGACTATTTATCCGCTACTCAAACTGGTAAGAGCAAATTTATTAAGTCCTCATTATGTTATGATTTGATTCATTTTAATTTAATGATCTTCATCAATTCATGATGATGTCGGCAGCCTGGAAAATATTAAATGAACAGAAGTTGAGTTCAATTGATGCGATTGAAGGTGCTTGTGCATTGTGTGAAGAGCAGCAATGTCGAACAACTGTAGGGTATGGTGGAAGTCCTGATGAAGCTGGCGAAACTACTCTCGATGCTATGATTATGGATGGGTAAAATTTATTTTTAAAATATTCAACACTATTTGCTTTACTTGAAGTTATTAGATTAAAAGATTCTTTCTTACAATTTTAGAGTTACAATGGATGTAGGAGCAGTAGGTGGACTAAGGAATATTAAAAGTGCAATATCAGTTGCTAGAAAAGTATTAGAAAATACCAAACACACATTATTAACTGGAAGTCTTGCTACAAAGTTTGCTATAGATATGGGGTTCAAATCTGAATCTTTGACAACCAATGTTTCATTGAATATGTGGCAATCTTGGAAGCAACAAAATTGTCAGCCTAATTTCTGGAAGGTAAGAGGTCAAATAATTATTACAAAATCTTTAAAAAATATCAATATTAACTTTTTGATTACAGAATGTATCTCCTGATCCATCAAGATCATGTGGACCCTATACTCCAAATAAAGTACTAACAACAGAACAAAATGAACAATCTTATTCAAATGAAGAAAATCATGACACAATTGGAGTAATAGCAATTGATAGTCAAGGAAAAATTGCAGCAGGAACATCGACAAATGGAGCTAAATTCAAAATTCCAGGACGTGTTGGTGATTCTCCTGTACCTGGAGCTGGATCATATGCTGATCAAGAAGTTGGAGCAGCTGCAGGAACCGGAGATGGAGATATTATGATGCGATTTTTACCCAGGTATTAGTTTAACTATTTCATCTGATAAATTGATATTCTAAAAGTTTTTATGTGCTAAGAAAATAATAATCACAAATTGTTTAAAGTTTTTTGGCAGTAGAAGAAATGCGAAGAGGTGCATCGCCAGCAGATGCAGCAGCTACGGCAATTAGAAGAATAGCAAAACATCATTCACAGTTTATTGCTGGTGTTATAGCGTTAAACAAAAATGGCGAGTATGGAGCAGCTTGTCATGGTATATATAGATTCCCATTTTATGTAAGCAATCCAGAGTTTGGGAGCCCTCAATTTTTACTTGCTGATTGCATTAAATCAGCATCACCTGAAGTGAAAAATATCTAAAAATATTTTTTATCAACATAAAAACCTTTTGAAGCTAAGTATTTTTTTTTAATTTATGATATTTATCAATAAAACTGTATCGATACTACATGAATTAAAAAAATATTTTGAAAATAAAAAGTTTTTAAACATATTGTTATAGAAGTATTTATTTTTTTAAAAAAAACGCGTTCATTTGTTGGTAAAGTAGGTTTTTTGATTATTAATTGAGTGAATTAAGTATGAGCTTCGTGAAATATTCACTAAGCGCTACTTTCAAGTCATTGTCACGTGACCTTGACACAAACGCCATAATTTCCAATATGGCCGATAAGCATCGGCTTTGTAATTTTCTATTTTAAAAAAGTCTATTATATTTAAATAATTTTAATTTAGCAAACAATTATGTCGGATTACTTAAGATCAGCGCTTGGGTATTTAAATGGTAATTCTAGCAGTAATGAATTCGTAGGGCAAGTGCTGGAAATTAATAATGTGAAATTACGAGTGAATAGATTGATTGCTGAGGGTGAGTAATGCTTTCCAATCCACCCACTTTTTGTATTATTATATTTTTAATTTTAATTAATACACGTGTTAAATTTAACAAAAATATATAGTATCATATTGATAATGTACAACTTACATATCTTGATCATTTTCCATATGTTATTATTGTTTGATTTTTTCTCCAATTATTTGTTTATATCTGTCAATTAAATAGTTTACAAATTTTAATAATTGATTATATTTGGATCATTTATACTAAAAATATTCCCGTATTTATTTTTCATCTTAAAGCTGTTGAAGTACATGCTTTCCATGAATTAATCTCTTTATTCAGAACTAATTTAATGCTCTAAATATCGCAGCAAAGTGAAAGGTACAATTATCGTGTATAATTTGTAAAAGTGAATGTTTTGTTTAAAATATTATTAGTATTATATGAAATAAACATTTTCTTTATAATTAATTTTATTCTATTTGAACAGGTGGATGGGCTTTAGTATTTGCTGTAGAAGATATTGCAACTGGTAAAGAGTATGCATTAAAGGTAGGCCTTTATTAAATTTATCAAAAGTTGTAAATAAAATTGCTATAATAGTAGAAAACAATTTTCTAGTATATAGAATGTTTCATAGATAATTAAAATATCGTTTTTGCAGAGACTGATAGCAGTAGATGAAAAAGCTAACAAAAGTATTATTCAAGAGATAGAAACATTAAAGAAATTATCAGGGCATCCTAATGTAATTCAATATTTATGTGCGCAACGAATAGAAAAAGAAGATAAAAGAGGATGTGAATATTTAGTAGTAACAGAATTATGTCCTGGCGGTAATTTGGCTGATGTACTTCGTGGAACAACTTCAAATTCATTATCTCTAGCTCAAATATGCCGAGTAGCTTATCAAGCAACAAAGGCAATCCATCATATGCACAGTCAACAACCTCAACCAATAGTACATTTTGACATAAAATTAGAAAATTTTTTATTTGGAGCTGACGGACTTATAAAACTGTGTGATTTTGGTAGTGCTTCCACGCAGCAAATCTTGCCAGATCCGTCATGGAACGCTCAAAAACGTTCTATGTTAGAAGATCAATTGGCGCAATTTACAACCCCGATGTATCGATCTCCAGAGATGTTAGATACTTGGAATAATGAGCCTATTGGCCCACCAGTTGATTGTTGGGCTTTAGGTTGTATATTATACTCTTTAGTTACTCTTCGGCACCCTTTTCCAGAAGGTAAATATTTATACAATTGATTTTCTTAACACTTTTCAAATGAAAATTTCACTTTTTTAGGAAATAAATTAGCAATTCTTAACGCAAAATACTCACCTCCAAATCCAAATCCACATCTTTCATGTGTTCATGAATTGATAAAAGGTTGTCTAGAGCCGTCACCAATTAATCGTATGACAACGTCAACTCTATTAGAAAGATTAGCTGCTATTGCTGAGTCAAATAATTTTGATCCACGAGAACCAGCTAAAATAGAGGTTAAGGCTGCGCCACCACCAAGACCTGCCCCACCGCCACCATCAAGTCCTGTACCGCCGCCAAGACCGAATCCTCCATCAGGACAACCATCATCTAATGCTCCACCACCTAGACCTACACCTATGTATCAACCTGCACCTCAAAAAGCATCAGGAAGCCACAGTTCTGGTTTATTTAGTTCTTTAAAAGGCGGAGCAGGGAGTATATTTCGTAATTTGAAAGATACTTCAACGAAAGTTATGCATACTGTGCAACAGAGTATGGCAAGGACTGAGTTAGATGCAAGTTATTTAACATCAAGGATTTTAATTATGCCATATCCAGCTGATGGTATAGAATCTGCTTATCGATCAAATCATGTGGAAGATGTGCGAGCATATCTTCAAACTAGGCACCCTCCTCCAGCGAAAATTCAACTCTACAATCTCTCTCGTGGACGACCTAATGTTATTAGATTACCTGGTAAACATATTGACTGCACTTTTGCCTATGCTTCGCCAGACTCTGCAGCTCCCCTTCTTTCTGCTCTCTATCAAATTTGTCAGGATATTTATAGATACCTTGATGCCGATTTTAATCACATTGTAGTACTTTATTGTACAGTAAGTTCATTTCGTTGTTTTTCTTTAAGCAATAAGAATATAAAAGTTCAACATTCATGTAATTTTTATTGTAATTTTAGGATGGATGTCGAGCCAGTGCCACTATAGCATGTGCTTTGCTACTTTATGCTGGAGTTTTATCAACTCCGGAAGAAACAATTACGCTTTTTACAACACGAAGATGTCAACCTCCTCAATTACAGCCTTCAGAACTTAGATCAATTAATTATATGAGTTTATTACATTTTGGAACACTTCCCCACACAAAACCTGTAGCTCTGAGATCTCTGCTTTTACAACCAGTTCCTTTATTTACCCGAGCAAAGGATGGTTGTAGGCCTTACGTTGATATTTACAGTAATGGGGCGTTAGTTTTTTCTACTAAAAAAGCAGAATATGAAGATATGAAATTATTCGACATGATGGAGGGAAAGGCATGTTTAATTTTAGGTGATGCCACTGTTCGTGGAGATGTTACAATAGTTGTTTTTCATGCAAGACAACAACTCGGTCGTGTAATAGGAATAAAAATAGCATCGTTTCATTTTCATACGGGTTATATTTCTCCTTCAGAAAATACTTTGACTTTTGAGAAACAAGATTTAGATGATACTCCAGATGTAGGAGGCAAATTTAAGATTATGCTGAATGTTATTATTGGTGAAGAAAATTCGAAGCCTTCAAGAATTCCAGCACCGTGGGAAGTAGAAGCTTCAAATGATCAAGATTTAAGACCAGATCCACTATTTGGATCTACTTTAGAGATGGAAGAAACTCTAGAAAACTTTAGAACCTCAAACAAAGGAGAAGTATCACCACCACGCCGGCCGTCTTTGCCAATGGAAAGAGAACCTCTCGTGGAAAAGACCTCCGAACCAGAATTGAAATTAGAAGAACCAGTAATCGAAGAATCTAAAGAGGAGAAATTTGAAGAGGCAGTTCTTTTAGACTTTGGCTTACCGTCATCTCAAGAATCTTCTGTTCCGAAGCCATCGTCTTCAGTACCTACTCCAAGTATGGATATATTTTCTAACTCATCACAGAATGAAAATGACCTATTTGGCGGATTTACTTCGTTTAATCCAGCTACATCAAACGAAAGTACTCAGCCGGAAACAAGTAAATCCTCAAATGATCTATTCTTTGGAAATATGCAAAACTCGATGAGCAATGAAAATACTAATGACTTATTGAAAGAAAATCAATCAAAGAAAACAAACAGTGACTTTTTATTTGATCCTCTGGGAGGAAATAGTTCAAATGATCTCTTAAACAATTGGACAAATAATACGAAAAGTATGGGTGGCTTAAAGACTCCTGGCGAAGAATTTCCCCGCAATGCCAGTGTACCAAACTTTGGAGCACAAAACAAAGATCCATTTGCAAATTTAGCTGGTTCAATGGGAGCTGGTCTCAACGTCAGCTGGAATGGTACACCACGTGAATCTAATACTCCTCAATCGACTAGTCCAGCAGCTGGAACACCAGTCCATTCTAGTCCACGCATGCATAATAAAATTAATCCATCAGCTGATATTAATTTTGATTCAGTGAATTCTAATAATAAACAAACTAAATCTGGTGATGCTTTTGAAGATCTTCTTGGTAGTCAAGGTTATAATTTCTTTAGTTCAAGAAAAACAGATAAAGATAGTCCGAAAACTATCAATCAAATGCGTAAATTGGAAGCAGCTAAAACAATGGATCCCGATAGATTAAAAGTTTCAGAATGGACAGAGGGTAAAAAGGGTAATTTGCGAGCACTTTTATGCTCATTACATACAGTTTTATGGCCTGAGGCAGACAGATGGCAAAGATATGAGATGCATCAACTTGTCACTGCTGCAGATGTTAAAAAAGCTTATCGAAAAGCTTGTCTTGCAGTTCATCCTGATAAGGTATTAACTTATTTTAACCGTGATTATTTTATTACTAGATTGATATCAAATTTCGTACATTCTACTCAAATAATTATTTAATTAGTATTTTATGTATTCATTTCAATAAGTATTTAAAGAATACTTGCATTAGTCGAGCGAATTAGTTACGTAAAATAATTCATCATTTTTATTTGATTTCAGCAAACTGGAACTGCAAATGAAAATATGGCAAAACTCATCTTCATGGAATTAAATAATGCTTGGAGTGCATTCGAAAATGATGCATCACAACAGAATTTATTTAGCTAATTTTATGATATTGAAAATAATTGTTAAAATGAATTCTACAGATATTTAAATATTTTTATCAAGTTATTTTATAACTTTTTTTTTCAAGTTAAAAAGACTTATTTAGCCAACTGTGCGCATTAGTAATATTTTGTTTAAACTGTAAGATAAATCTTATGACATTCCAACAATATTACTATTTATCGTAGTCGTGTTGTCTCTTATCAAACTGTTAGTCTTATAAATTACCTAATGGATATATCAATCAATGTCCATTTACGAAAAGTTATTGTAATTTAATTTTATTGCAAAGATAAATTACTGTGTTCGTTTTATCTTTAAATCTTCAAAATCATGTTTAGGAAAAATAATTATATGTATATAATGCAATGTAAATTTACCAGATCCCGAATATACAAAAATATTTTCTGGGTGATCATAAAGTGCATTAAATTCCTTCATTAATATTCAATCTACTTAAGAGTTTTTTTTATCACAGCTCTGGACTCAATGTCTGAATACCTAATTTTTTCATTTAAGTAACTAAAAAAGAAATGATGTTTTTCACGATTTTATTGATTAATTTACCGCGATAGAAGAATTATCGAGGTCAAAGCAAGGACAAAAGGACACAAGTGATGTTGTATTTGCGCTACCCCTCCCGTAAACTAATCTGATTGCGTTTTTTACGAGTAAAAAAAATACTAAAAAAATCTGAAGATTAAATTACGTAATATCAAGAAGAAAAAAAGATTATTACTGGAAAAGATACAATTTAGGGTGGTTGCTAAAGATCAAGAGTTTGGAGAAGAGTGAATTGTTATTTGCTTTCAGTATAAAACGAGATTCCCTGCTAGCCAAGTGGCATCTCTATGACGTTCGAAGTTTCACCTACAATCACGCACGCGTACATTCTTATCTAAGGGTTGGCCGGTTCATGTATCTGTGCTGTTTGATACGGGCAGGGGTTGAAGACTCCAAGGGAGGGGCTGGAGCAGCCAAAAATGGCTGTCACGCACGGGACAGAACGTCCGAAGGAGGGCGAGTGATGCTTTCAAACTCCTCGTCTTCCACCACACTGACCAATTGACATTGTTTTGCAACAATCGAACGGCATTTAGTCAATCGATAGTTATTATGTTGGAATTGAAGAGTTATTTACGTGGAGTTCTTAAACCACCCCCGGCTATCGCAGCTTTGTTCAACTATGTTAAGAGGTAATCTTTAAATTTTACAATTATATTAGTTGTGTTGAAATACAATTATTTCAATGTCAGTTGTAATTCAGTATGCTTAGTTTATTTTTAAATGACATTTGTTTATTGCAAAAATCTATTTTTTTTGAGGTCAACAATTTTTTTTTCTTTGCAACATAGTTGTCTACGTCACAAGAGTGAATTGGAAGGAGTTTCAAAACAGTCGTAAACTGCTGAATTATAAATTGAATTGCCGCGTTCCGGGGTTGTTTATTTTATCAGTGTATATTTGTGAAGCAACTCATAACTTTATTAAAATTTTTTCATCACCACAGGAAATGATTTTCAAAGATTCAAAACTGTTTAAATGACATGTTATGTAAATTAGTGTTTGATTAAAAAGTTTGCGATTAATTCTTTATTATTTGGTTATGTAAATTTACATTTTTTCAATTAAAAAAATTATTTTTTTAGATTAAAGCTCTACCAAAATGATGTAGTACAAGCGGATTAAAACTTGTGAGAAGTTTAGGAGACTGAGAAGATGCGTGGTATTTCGCTAAGGCTGGTCTTGCTTTTGTTGTGGATAATTAATAACAATTTATCACACTATTGTGCAGCAAATACAAATAAAACTGAGAGAGCAGCAAAGAATAGATTGCGACCGTCACAGTCTCCATGGCGCCTGGTGATATGTCTATCGCACTCTCAGTCTCCATCCAGAACGGATGTCCAGCAAGCATGGGAACAAGCAAGGCTGGAGTCTTCCCAAAACGAGTTGGAAGTGTCTTATATAGAAGGAAGGATGGTTCCGATGACAGACTCGCGGTCATATCCTCTAGCTCTTGTCAACAAATATTGCGGGGAAATTGAGCGTGGAAAAACTATATTAAGTTTAGTGATTGGTGGTGGTTCAGCAGCACGATTCTTAATGACAGCGTCTGCATCGTTCAACCTTCCATCTCTTTGGCTACCAATGACTCATCGAGATTTCCTCCGGCAGGTGAATAATAAATAAAAATAATTTAATTTTGAAGTTTTATTGATTTGTGTGATAATAACTTAACACAAAAACAATATTTACAGGGGAGACCGGGACGTTTTGAAACTCGCTTAGGTTCTGGGTCTGAACAAGCTGGTGCAGCAGCAGTTGCTTTGATGGATAAAGCTAACTGGCATGCGTTTACTCTTTTTATTGACATAACGTTACTTCCATTGCATCACTTGTTACCGAAAGATCATCACAAGTTACTGCCACGAGCAATAATATATCTACCAGCCAATGATAGAAGTCTTAAGTTAAGACTGAGAAGAATTTCAGAAGAGGGAGGGTCCGGAAGTGTTGTTGTGATGGCTTGTGACTTAAATAATGCTAGAAAAATACTTTTAGTAGCTAGCAAGTATCAGATGCTCAATGGCCGTTTTTTGTGGTTGTGGTTAGACCTCAGAGCTGAATTAAGACCCAATGAGCCAAGCTTAATAAGCTCTCATATTATATATAATGCTTTAACATCATCAGTAAGAGTTGAAAACAATCCACCAGTGATTGAGAGAACTGTGAGAAGTGCTGCCACTTTTATTCATAATGATGATATTACGTCCAGTCATAACATTCATTCTCATACAGTATCCAATTTAGCCAACGATATCCATCACCTTCAAGAGTACCGTTGGCATCAAGAAAAACCCATAAAAAAAAGAGAAGATAAAGCTTTTACTTTTGATGACGATGAAGAAACACGCATCACTGATAAAACCCTAAACTCTAAGACTTTTATGCCCGCTGGAATGCTTGCTCTTAGACCATCGAGCCTCAAGATATCCGGTGGCGATGCCATTCTCTCACGAATGTTGAGAGAAGCCTCGCAAGCGCTGGATAACACTTTCCTAGAATACAAATCATCATTAAATCGCTTGAGGGATAGTCAGATAAAAGACTATTTCATTCCCACATGTTTTTTCTCATCAGATAATTCCTCAATAGCTGAGATAAGGGAGAACGTTTCCCGAAGCTTAACTAAAAAATTGAGAGAATCAATGCGTCAGATATCTCACGATAAAGCGGAATTCCAATTGTTGAATTTACAGGCTGTGCAATTTCCTGGAAATAAAACTCAGTTAAGGTAACTTTTACTTTTCTATCAAACCATACAGCTTTTTCATTTGCATTCGAATTTTTTCGTATTTTGTATTTTTTCATTCGATTTTAATTTTATCGTTTTATTCGAATTCTATAAAAAGTTTTGCTATGAATATTTGATTCTTGTATTAAATATACTTTTTATTCGTTATTTTCATAACATTTTTATCGTCATCTGATAATTATTTTTAGTCTTAAGCTCATACTAAAACTTACTTTTTATTGTCAATGTAATTCTCGTTTTTTTCATATTGAAAAACTATAAAATAAAAAACCAATAAAAAAGGTAACATGTTTATTATTGGAAACAGAACATTGAATGAAGATAATTAATAAGCGAATGTTTGCCACAATAATGATTGATAATAATATTCATTTTTATAGTTATTTTTTGTCTTCATTAGATGGACTAAAGTGGGGACAGTTCGAGGAGGAAAGGACGTACGTTTAGATACTATAACATGGCCAGGTGGTGGAATAGTACCGGCTTATATGGCTCATGGAGGAGAAAAAATAGGAATGCCAGAATATCGAATAGTAACAGCACTTGCACCACCATTTATCATGGTTACGAGTCTTCAAGAGGGCTTGTGTCTGAGAGGTGCATCTTGTAGACAAGGGGAAACTATCAAGTGTTGCTATGGATTAACAATTGACCTCTTAATATTGGTTGCAAGGGAATTAAATTTTCGATATGACTTGTACGTAGCTCATGATGGTTTATTTGGTAGAAGAAATGGGCTAAACGGAACATGGAATGGAGTTGTTGGAGAATTACTTGCTGGTAATGCTCAATTAGCTTTTGCTCCGTTGAGTGTATCTGCTAGACGAGCTGAAGTAATTGACTTCACAACACCATACTTCTTCAGTGGCGTCAGTTTTTTAGCCGCTCCCAAAGTAAATTCTGATATTTCTCTATTAGCATTTCTTTTGCCATTTAGTCCAGGACTTTGGATAGCAATATTTACATCATTAAATATAACAGCAATGGCAGTAGCTGCTTATGAATGGTTTAGCCCATTTGGATTGAATCCATGGGGTCGACAAAGAAGTAAAAACTTTTCGATTGCTTCTGCACTTTGGGTGATGTGGGGATTACTTTGTGGACATCTTGTAGCTTTTAAAGCGCCAAAATCTTGGCCTAATAAAGTCTTAATAAATGTTTGGGGTGGCTTTTCCGTCATCTTTGTAGCATCGTATACCGCAAACATCGCTGCTCTCATTGCTGATCTTTTCTTTCATTCTGCAGTTAATAATTATCACGATCGAAGTGTAAGTATTTTGTTCGTTTATATCGCTCATCATTTCCAGTAGATTTACCTCGATCATAAATATTTTTTTACTACATTTCACTACCAAAATGACTTCCAATTTAACGATAAAAAATGTGTTTATTGATGATCATTTATGTAGTTTAGTGATAGTAAGAAAACATTTGAATACTTAAGTTAATAAAGTTTAGATAGTACATTATTCTATTAATGATGCGATAATGAAAAAATTTTTGTAACAGTTATTATCTCAAAAAGTGGGAGCACCTCGAGCATCAGCAGCAGAGTATTACGTCCAGCGTGCTAATCATCACTTATCGTCCCATATAGCTCGATTTTCCATCTCTAATGTTGCTGAGGGTGTTGAGAGACTGCGAAATGGTAGCCTGGACATTTTGATAGCCGACACCCCAATATTGGATTATTATCGAGCAACCGATGATGGCTGCAGATTAGAGAAGATTGGTGATACCATCAACGAAGATACTTACGCAGTTGCTCTGACCAAAGGTCACCCTCTTAAAGAAAGTATTTCAAGGGTCATTGCAAATTATACAAGTAACGGAATGCTGGATATTCTTCAAGAAAAATGGTGAGAAAAATATATTTCATATTGATAAATTATAGTATTGAAAGATGATATTAATCAAAAGTAGTTTTATAATATTTTATTTTTATCTAAAATTAATCTAAATTGATATTTTTCATAAGTTTTTTTCCACCAAGTTATTGATCGTCAAAAAAAGTTTCATATTCACTTTGAAGCTTAAGTCTTAATAGCAAGGGAACAATTATTAGTGAAAAAAACTTTTATGGTAACTTATATGATCGTCAGAGGAATAATTCTCGAGAAATTCTGTTTTTCTCATTTCTCTTTGATTCAATTTACATCACATTCTATTGAGTTCAATAAAAAAACTTATAATCATTATTTTCTCTTTTATATGTTACATTATTCAACTTAACAAGAAATTGATAGGAGTTTAAATAATTTTAAATGTCACGGATGTCATGTTTGTAAAATATTTACAAAGTTTCGAGATGATTTATCGATTTATTGTAACTATTTGCGTATAAGATTTTCTTGACAATTTTAATAATGTCCGTAGTACAAATGACTATCATTTCCTAATAAAATTTTTAATTTGTATCTTTTTGTAGGTATGGAGGCTTGCATCCTTGTATAAAAGGTAGAGAAGGAAGAAATACTGATTTTGGTTCAGACACTAGAGGACAACCAAGACCTCTTGGAGTTGCATCCGTTGCTGGTGTCTTTTGTCTTCTAGGCCTGGGCGTTGTTCTAGGTACAATCATTCTCGCTGGAGAGCATTTGTTTTACAAATACACATTACCTAGACTGCGACACAGGCCAAAGACTTCTATTTGGAGGAGTAGAAATGTCATGTTCTTTTCGCAAAAGCTTTATAGATTTATTAATTGTGTGGAGCTGGTCTCACCGCATCATGCTGCTAGGGAATTGGTACATACTGTTAAACAAGGACACATTACCTCATTATTTCAAAAAAGCGTTAAAAGGGTTTGTATGCTGTGTTTTTAGAACTATTCACAATATTGATTGAATTACAAGGATCCTTTGTTTCAGAAGGAACATGAACAACGTCGTCGGCGTAAAAGTAAAGCACAATTCTTTGAAATGATACAAGAAATTCGTAGGTGAGTAATTAACTTCATTTTTAAGAACGTGTTAGTAGCATTTTGAAAAGTTTAAATGGGTCATTTTTTAAAGTGATTTTTTATTCGTTAAAGTCGTCGAGAAAAACGATTGTTGACAGTATAATGGATTTGTAAATCTCTCTTTAAATTCTAACTGAAACTTTCATTATCTTCATTTTTCATAAAGTTATAGAGAACAGAATAAGAGTCATTCTCTAACATGCGAAGTTTTTTCAACTTTTTTCTGGAATTTTTTAAGTAAAGAAAAACCTAAGATGAGTGTTGTCGAAAGAATTTTCAAGAGCAATTTATTCCACGATTAATCTAATTTTGAAATTGTTCGAATTTTCGGTTACTTTACTTTAATTAGTTGCTGTCAATATAGTTATCGGTTTTTTTCTACAAAACACTAATTAAATGCTAACAGTTTCTTATTTTGTTTAGTTCTTAATTAATTCTTACTTCATTTGTTTTATAAATTGGCATTGTTAGAATTTTTAAATTTATAAACAGTATTTAAACTGATCATTTTGAATATGCTAATGAGTTAATTAATTTTACCTCGATATTTCTCTAGAAAATTGTTGATATTAAAAAAATCATTTTTTTTTCCTCAAAGAAATGACTCATTCAGAAGTGTATTTTTATTCAAATAGTTAGATTATCAGACAGTAATAACCATTAAGTACCCCTAGAGTACAACAAGAAGTGAAAGAGGATGCAAATGCGAAAGAACTTGAAGCAGCGAGGAAGGAAGAAAAAGCTAAAAAAGAAAGAGAGAAAAGTAGAAGCAAGAGTCCACTAATGTTACAGAGTCCGAAAAAAGCGGAAAAAAGTAAAAGTTCTAGTAATTTATCAAGTTCTCGTCTTGGATTGTCACCACTTAGTTTGGACACGCCAATGAAACCTAGAGAATTTACATTAAGTAGCACGAATCTTAGAGCTAGAAGCCCGCTCGAGACTGTGGGACGAAGATTGAGTCATGGAGATAGTGGTTCACCACCACCTCGTCTCAGTACTGCAAACTTTGGAGGAAGTGCAACTCTTAGACCATCAATGCCAATAAAATCAGATTCAGTGAGTGGCGGTGTACCGACTCCAAAGCATTCGCGTAGTCCTGCTAAACGAGGTCAGTCTTTTCCTGTGTTTGCAACACTCAGGCGTCCACCGCCTCCACCAACGACAGCTTATCCATCTGCTGCTATATCGAAAAGTCCGCTTTTATCACCAAATGAACTCACTGCTGCAATTGGTCGTAAATTGTCAAGAGAATGGGGATCGGGGACGATCGATTTAAGTCGTTCTTCAGAAGCAATTGGATCTTTTTCTACATACAGTCCCCGTCAAGAGAGCACATTTACATTTACAGTTGAACAACCAGCTCATAAAAAAAGCCAAGAGGATATTTTAGCTCCTGCAAAGAAGCCAGTGAGACGTGCAAGAAGCCATGAAAATCGTGATATTAGTGGTAAATCAATCGGAGAATCTCCATCACCTCGTTTGATGGCTCAACCATCAGTTGGCGGTAAATCAGTGAGCGAACGTACGAAAAAACAACTTGAGTCTGAACTCAAAGCAATTTTAACTGCTAGAGCACATCATCGAGATCTACATCCTCCTTGATAGATCACTAACAATTAGCAGTGGCTTTATTTTAAAGTGTTGACATCTTTATATCGCTGCCTCTGAGGGGCTTTCATTGATTTAAGCAATATGAGATTTATAGGTCAATTTGTAGACGATCTGGCAGTTTAATAAACAAATATACACTTGCATATGTATAATGTCATACACAACACATGTACACATCGATCTTACACCAATCTAGTGCAGATAACACATGGAGCGATCATTTATAATGATATAGACAGCCTTGATTGATGATAAAAAAATAAAGAAAGCTAATGATGTGTCGTGAGACCTTCTGATCCGTTAATATATTGTTATATAATTAATAATATAGAATATACATATATATATACATGAATGATAATTAAAACATAAGTGCTATATACTTTTTAGTAGAATGTGTCTTAAAAGCATGGCATAGAACGTATGTGAATATTTCAAATATTTTCTTGTTGGCATTTTAATTCTACGAAGACCTGAAATCCAAACAAGTCTCTTCATAGATTAATTTATCCAGTAATTAACGGAATTAATTGATTCTATTGTCAAACACTTTATTATATTGAACATGGTATATGTGCCAAATTTATTCACTTTTGGAATAATAAACCATTATCATCGCTGGTATTTAAATGAAAAACAAAGGTCTGTAGTAAAGTGATATAAAAATTATCTTTCTAATCAATGCACTATTGTATGTATTTTTTTTATTCTCACGATACAAAAAAAAACGAAACGATTTTATGAAAGTTTGACTCACGGAAGATATGAATAAGGGCCGCACACTGCCATCAAGTAATTGTAATTTTTTGGACATATATCTCAAAGAAGAGACTTGAATAGTTGGCTTTCAGCATAGAAAGACCACTCATAAACCAAAAAAAAAATACGTGTATTCTAATTAAATTCTGGCGCCTATTGCGGATAATATAATATTTATCATTATAGATATGACACTTTATCAAAGTCACATTTTCACAAATCGATATATTAATGAAGAAAACATAAAGAATGAAATAATTAGGGTACATTGAAAACTGGTTCATTATAAAATTAATAGGAAAAATTGACAACTATTGAAAGAGAAAAAATTAAATATGAATTGTTAATTATTGATGGGTGTATAAAGAGTTTAAAAGCTAGTTAGCTGAGACTGATGGAAGATTAGAAAGTTAATTTCTGCCAAATAAATCAGACTGATTAATTGGGCTTTGTTGGAAAGAGGAATTGTGGTTATGATTGATTGGAATTGAATGATGAATAGCTTTAATCCATGAATGTTGATTAATACCTTCTCTATCTGAACTCATTAAGAGATGTGGTTGTAGTGATTGATCTAATTTGATCCTATAATACCTATTTATCTTTACTATTAGATCATTAGAGAATGAATATCTGGGACTAATAAAATATTATCTAAAATATTCATTTTTAATAATTCATAAGCGAGGCCTTAGTAGTAGTCGTATCCGCCCAATTTTCATTAGAAAAATTACTGTTATTCAATATTTTAAGAGTGTAGACATTATATAGATCGTTATGAATTTTATTTCATAGTTTATTGTTAGAAATGATACTTAATATTAATATTAAATTCTTGAAAGTCATAGAGGGAAGATTTTCGTGTGCATGCTAGAACCTTTTAACTATTCATGTATTCTATTTGATTATTATTCTTTAGAAATAAATACTTACAAATATTATTATATTTTTTACACTATAAAGAGAAGTTTTTAATTAATTTTTCGTCAAATGTTGAATATGCATTTGATTAAATCATTTCGTTTTGTAAAATAATATCTACATTCAATCATTCGTAATGCAAAACTTATAAATATTCATGGAAATACACTGTTATCTGTGAATTTTCATAAATTGAAGAAAAACAAAAAACTAAAAAATGTAGAAGATTACAGTCAGAAAAATTATGAATCTATCTATAGCCAATGCCAAATTCATGTGGCAAATGATTTTAAATGAAAAAAACATAATTTTAAATTGATAAGAAATTTCATGAAAATGATTTTAACAGTCCATAACGTATTTAACGTCTAAAATGTATGGTAAATTACCACTTTTAGTAGATGAAGTAAATAAAAAAACTTGAAAAAAAAAGAAAAAGGTAAAATTATCTAACAAAGTTCATTACAAATGATCAAAACAAAAATTATAGGGGGCCATTTCAGAGTCACCCAAGCCTAAAGAATCAAATATAGACTAATGTAAGAGAAAAAAATACATTTTAAATTCTGTTCTTTAGATGGGGAAGATCAATCTGTGATTTGAACAGGTGGCTATTTCGCACTTTTCTTCGTGTGACAAATATTTATCATTATAAGGATTTATCCTTCTTAAAAGATTTAATTTTCCATTTAAATAGTATTTTTCTTCAACTTTCGTAGAACATCCTTCACTACTTGTATATAAATATAGCATTATTGTAAAAAAAAAACATGCACGCATATTCGTCAATTGTCACAGTTAAATCAAAGATGGATCAGGCCCAAAAATCTCTTTTGTGCGCCAACAAGATTTTGTATAGTTGGGTCATGACATAGAGAGATGAGAAAATTATATTTAAAGATTATAAATAAAAATGTGAAAGAATGTTCCGTTTCGATCCTCGTTCTGTCAGATACAGTTTTCCTAAGGAAAAGATAATTTGATTGTGACATAAATCAGTAAGATAAGAGATGAAAATGAATGAAATATAAATTTAAGAAAGTCACAAAAAAGCGTCATATATAAATTTAAATATTGTAATTGTAAGACGGCCTACTGACTTGATTTTCAATTTAAATTAAATGCAAGCATATGCTGACGTTTGTTGTATTTTCGTCAAGTAGAACAATATTCGGTTATTCAATAAGTTCATGAGAAAGTATTCTCATTATTTGTTTCATAACGTAATCTAGTATTCAGGAATCACGAATGTAATGTTCGATTGTATAGTAACTGAAAAAGTACTTGAGATATTCTAAATTTTAATGATGGACTGGTTTTCTCATAAAAATTGATTTTAATAATTTGTAAAATTCATTATTCATTATTATTTGTTAAATTTTATACTTTGTTACTATTTGTTAATTTATTATTTACTGCAACTTAAATATTTTGATAAATTAATTGAGCTCAGTTCGCTATTGAATATAGCAAATTTTATTTCATGAAATTGTATATCGAAGTCAAGGAATGCAAAAAAGTGTGAGTGTTTAAAAAATTAGTTCATCAATGGCAATAAAATATTAATTCTATTCTCTACAAAACACTGCCATAAATTGATCTGGTTATACATATTGCATTGGATGACCTGCCAAGTTAGTTAATCACAAATAATATTGTTGATCGAAAAATTTGAACTAAAAATATAGAACGAAAAACATATGAATTTTAAAAAAATATTTCCATTAAGATAAGTAGATTATCGATATGAGATAACTGTTATAATTTTATTTTGCATGTATATAAAATATTTTTAGTGTTGTAAAATACAATATAATTGTACTTAGAAACATTCTTAACTAACTTTAATGTCAACAAAAAAGTATTAAAAAAAAAATTTTATTGTTATTTAAATAGCTCAAACTACTTCACTATTATTTTGATATGTATGTTAATTAATTATTACCATTGATTGCTGGTTAATTATTCTTTATAAAAGTTCAATCCAAGTTTCATTGAAAGCTATATAGGAAGATATTGAGGGATTGGAACTTGAACGATGGATCAAATTAACTAAAGCAATGCGTACATTATGTATAAAAAAATATGTAAGAAATAAATATTATATTATTAATTATAATAATATTATTGATAATGATATGATGATAACAATGAAATGAAGATACAATGGAAATCCTGCTGCCATAGTAAACTTGTTGGCGTACAATATTAGGATAGGTTCCTTGCAACCTACCTCGTCTCTCTTGTTACGCCTACTATACTATACTTACACTGTTATTGTTGATCAAAACTCCATAATAATAAGAAATAAATATATTGTCTGAAAATTCTTCTTTCTAATTGATTTATTAATTAAATCTCACAATATTTTTTATATCGCTATAAAAAAAGATAGATTTATTTTTTCATTATTATTTTACGATTATGTGTTACGATCTTTATTTTTATGACGCAATTGAATAGAACAACTTGACAGAATATTGTCAAATAAAAGAAAATTGGATTTTTTGCAAGTAATTGTTCTATAGAATTGATAACAAGATTCTTATGAATTGTGATATGTTCTATCAATAAAACAATAAAACATTCATTATGAAGAATTTTTTTCAGGATGACTTAATAAGAAATACGCATTGAATTTTCTTGATCATAAAATGTTTTTATCAAAAAACTAACAAAGTAAAGTTACAATAATGTCAATTCGTGAATTAGCTTCATAAAAATCTTATGATTTAAAGAAAATGATAAAAATGAAATAATGAGATAATCAGCATGAGTAATCAAAACCGTAGTTAAGGTTTTTTTGCCCATAAATTAATGAATTAACAACTATTGAATATTATTGTATCGGAAATAATGATTTATTCATTTTTAATGAGATAAATTTCTGAGTATCTTGTTCTATTGTGACAATTGTAAGTTTGTTATCAAAAAAAGATCAATTTTCATATTATCACGTGCTACCTTGATTTTTCATCATCACATAGGTGAATCTTTAAATGCTGTGTCATTGTTTGCAAAAAACACAAATGCATCGTCAATTGAGTAAGATTAAAGAAAAAGTTTTACAAAGAAGTAATAGTAAATGAAAAAATATTTTTATAAATTTATACCAATCACATTTGCTAATACAACAGCGTCATCATGACAATATCATTGGTCGTATCATTCTGCATTAATGATAAGTATAGAGAAATTTAGTGTGATTTAAACTAGCTAGTAATTGAACGTGCTTAACTTATAAATGTTCAATTTTTTCTTTCAAAAAACTGTAAATCCAGTATTAAATATTAAATATTTTAATAGACATGTAAAAGATAATAAAAAGTGCTGTATCAGCATGACTTGTATAATATGTTGAACATGCTTAGTAGATTAAAATCAATTAATAATCAGTCAAAGAATATCTCTAGTTATTTCAGTGAAGGAATTTTTGAAAAATAAAGAAGAAAAACACACAAATGTTAAAAAAAAAACAATAAAATACGTTGTGTACATTTGGATGTCACGTCAAGAGGAACGTTTGAATTGGAGCGTAATTTGTAGTTGCGCAATAAGTCAATCGTATTGTTAACGTGGTTACATTACTTTTACCGGGTGTATGATACAAGATACTTGTTTTGATGTTGACTTCAATATTTATAACATGAGCGTTTAATATTTTATTGACACAAGTAATAAAAACAATTATTATAATTCAATGGAAAATATATTTGAACATGTGGAAAATAAATAGTAAGAGCACTTATCACGTTTTCCACGATTGTGACATGACAAAGTGAATCAGTCAGCTGGTCAACGTCATTACGATTTGCCCCACCTTTTTTACTCTTGTTTTATTGTTTTAATCATATCAATCACTGTTGGAATAATTTTCTACTATTTTGTGAGGCATGAAGTCTAATTGTTATAAAAAATTGACAATATTTACTGCGCATTATTTATTTCATAACTTTTATAACCTAGTGATCATACTGAACGAATCTTACAGTTTTTAATCAACATCTTCACACAATTTAGGTAATTCAATTCTAGTTTCCTATCGTTAACTAAATAGATGAATACAATCATAACGTGTTGTGATGAATAATATTTAGTGACATTCTTTATTAAAAAAACTAACAAAATTTAAACTTTTAAGTTCTTAACCTGATATTGGAGTTAATGAGAAGCATATTTATATTACTAGAGTTGCAATAATTTAATTATTGCCAAGATCAAAACAGTTAATTATATTCTGGAATATATTTACTATCATTGTGATAATTTTATAGAATGTAGTGAGAATGACAATGAAAAAATGCTAAATATGGTGACAAATATAAGTGTTAGCAAAGTTATAATAGTAGGTAATAAAGATTATATATATTGAGTATTACTAAGTGATAATTTTTTTTAATGCGCATAAATAAGTTTGTTCGTAAGTTGCGAATCATCACATAAAATACTTAACTAACATATTTTGTATTGTATATACTGAAAAAAAAGTTCATATTCATTCTCCTTATGACTACAATTTGTTTATTGTTGATAGTCTAAATAGATAATGCAATTAGTAATTATTAAAATATACAATTAATTCTAATTATTTAAATTAATATAATTATTGCAATTATTCAAAAACATACACATTCAGTACTTGATACTTTATTAATTTATTTTTTAAAGTTATTTATTGTTTTCGTTCAATGCTACTTTCATTGATAAATAATGAAAGATTGGTTTTGTTTTTTCAATTAACAATGTAGTATATGAGACGAGTATTAAATTATGTTCAATTGTAGTTTAATAATTTTAAATAAATAAATTTTGTACAAGTCGTATAATCAGTATTTATGCCAATAAATGTTCAATTTAAATTTTAATTATTGACACTGAAAGAATATTTATTCTGATTAGCATTAATTTCAGAAGTTGATGTTTATGTATTTCAATTTTGAGGGAAAATCAACAAATTACAAATAAATGTTTTACAATAGAAGAAGACATAAATATAATGTTTTTCTCATATTTTTAATACGTACTATAAAATATTTATAATTACAATAAATTAATATTAATAATTACAAATTAATTTTTTCAGATTTAAATAATTTATTCATTACTGAATAATTTTAATGGATGAAGCAGAAGATAATGCATCATCAAAAAATCTTGGTTCAGGCTCAGGAAATCCAATTCTTAATCAAGTTTCATGTTTTGACATGGATGATGAAGGGGATTGGGAAAATATCCTCAAGAATGAAAAATATGGCATTTATGGAGACATGACATTTTGTATGGCTGATCATATTAAAGACACAATGCAAATGATGTTTATGATGAGAAGCCATCATATGCTCACTGATGTGTGTTTAGAAGTTGGCACTGAGTTATTTTATGCTCATAAAATTATTTTAGCTGCTGCTAGCCCATATTTTAAGGTATTTAAATTATTCTACTATTTTTGTTGCTAATATTCATTTTTATAAGTTCTCATTAATAAATTAATAATCACTTTTTTAGGCAATGTTTACTGGAGGTTTGAAAGAGTCTGAAATGACAAGAATAAAATTACAAGGAGTTTGTCCAACAGCCATGGCACGACTAATTTTTTTTATGTATACTGGACGAATCCGAGTAACAGAACTGACAGTTTGTACTTTACTTCCAGCAGCCACAATGTTTCAAGTTTGTTCATCTTGTTAGAAATACGTTTGATATGCACATAAAGAATCTTCATATATTTAAATTCGTCCCTCGTGGATTTTAGGTGAATAATGTAATAGAAGCTTGCTGTATCTTTTTGGAACGACAGTTAGATCCAACAAATGCTATTGGTATTGCTAATTTTGCTGAACAACATGGATGTAAAAATTTGTATCAAAAAGCAAATCAATTTATTGTACAGCATTTTAGCCAAATATGTCAAGAAGAGGAATTCTTACAACTATCAGCTATGCAATTGATTGCTCTTGTCAAAAAAGATGAACTAAACGTACAGGAAGAACAAGAAGTTTACAATGCTGTTCTGAAATGGGTGATGTACAATGAAGAAGCAAGAGGTCCTAAGATGGCACATATTTTGCAAGCTGTTCGTTGTCAATATTTAACTCCAAGTTTTTTACGTGATCAAATGAAAAATTGTGAAATACTGAAAAAAGCGCCTGCTTGCAGAGAATATCTTGCAGAAATTTTTAAAGAACTTACATTGCATAAAAAACCAGTAGTGAAACAAAGAACTCCAAATACAAAAAGAGTCATTTACATAGCTGGTGGCTTTTTAAGACATTCATTAGATATTCTTGAAGGATTTAATGTAGATGATAAAATTTGGACTCAACATGCAAAATTACTTGTACCTCGGTCAGGATTAGGAGGAGCATTTTTAAAAGGAATGTTTTATGTGATTGGTGGAAGAAATAATTCTCCTGGCAGTAGGTATGTTCTATTTTTGAAAATATCAATAGCTAATCATCGAACGAAAAGTTTCGTTAACATGAAAACTATGACCGTATTAATAGAGAATTACTTCTAGGTATGATAGCGATTGGGTTGACAGATATAATCCAATTACTAATCAATGGAGACCCTGCAATCCTATGACTGTGCCTCGAAATCGAGTAGGAGTAGCAGTAATGGATGGTTTATTATATGCTGTAGGTGGGAGTGCTGGTGCAGAATTCCATAATAGTGTTGAATGTTATGATCCTGATCAAGATATCTGGAAACGAATAAAATCAATGCATGTAAAACGACTTGGAGTAGGAGTTGCTGTAGTCAATAGGTAAAATTGAATTAACAAAGAAATTCTGTTATTTATTACTTATTTTTCGAAGAATTAAGTATAAATTTTATTTAAACAGATTATTGTATGCAGCTGGTGGATATGATGGAACAGATCGTTTAAACAGTGTTGAATGTTATCATCCAGAAAATAATGAATGGACAATGGTATCTCCTATGAAACACAGTCGTTCTGGTGCTGGGATAGCAAGTTTAGGACAATATATTTATGTAGTCGGTGGATATGACGGAACTGATCAATTAAATTCTGTGGAACGTTATGATACTGAACGTGATTTATGGGAAGATGTTAGTAGTATGACAATAGCTCGAAGTGCTTTAAGTGTTACGGTACTCGACGGAAAGCTATATGCCATTGGTAATTAACTTTATTTTGGTTCTTAATTATTTTTTCTATTGATGAGTATGCCGATATATGAATGTAATTTGCAGGGGGTTATGATGGCTCGACATTTCTTAGTACCATAGAAATTTATGATCCAGCATTAGATAAATGGGAAACAGGTACTCCAATGACTTCAGCAAGATCTGGGCATGCGAGTGCCGTTTCTTACTATCAATGTCCTCTTCATTCGTCACGGTCAGATGGCCATACCTCAGAAACTGATCATGAGCCTACGTGACACACAGAAAAAACTTATTTTTTTCTAAAAAAATGTAGAAAACGACAACATGAATAAGAACCGGTTGTTTTTAATTAATTATTTAATACATCGAAAAAATTAATTTATTTTTTAAAAAGTACTATAAATATTTTTTTCGATGTATACATTTGGTTTTAATATTAATTACAGAAAACAACTCATAGTTATAATTTACTTTTTTATATTATTTTACAAGTTACTTACTTCTGTCATGTAACAAATTGTTGCGTCCATTAGAAACAAAGTGACATTTATATATTTATCTCTTTTATAATATAAAATTTAATTTAATTCTTGTATAAATTAAGAAAATGTAAATATTGTATTGTTTATTTAAATTTTCCATAATGAGAAAAAATATCTTCGCGCGCAAATATTTCAATGTAATGCGCTTCATTGAAAAGCTTACAGAGGTCACTTATGTACCTTAGAAATATGCGCGCGTTCATGTAAACAACATGCCAACATTAAAAAAGTAATAATTAATTTTTACGACAAATTAATTAACATATTAATTAATGATTTTTATGTGTTATCTTCAGGAGGATATAATATCTAATAATTATGATAAAATATTATTCATTGATTACTGAAATTCATAATTTTGTAATTCTCATTTCACCAAAAATTTTTTTTTATTTATTACCAACTTGTCTTGTAAAATGGCAAGGTTACTAAATAATATAGCTAAATCAAAACAAGGACACGTACTTTGGACATGTTTTTAAAACTATTTATTTACAAAAATATCTTAAATTTTATTAATAAATATAAATAATAATTATATATGCGTCATCACAAATTTTAACTTATTAATGTGAAAATTAAGATACAATCATTATTGATCAGAGAAAATAGAAAGGAAAATAGAAGAATATAATTTGGGTAAATCTTTACTATGGACAACGACAGCATTAATATACACATGGGATACATGGAAGATTTTTTGCTCTCTAGCTGTCATGAAATGACTTGCTAAAACTTGGACGATGACGCAAAATACTTTTGTAAGAGTAACTCAACTGCAACAATATTCGTATTTGTTCTCTTTATTTCTTAATAGGAAGTTGAAAGTTGATTATAAATTTTTTAAGGTATTTATTGTATACAAAATTATAGTCTTTATTAATAATATTAACAAATTATATTATATTAATCAAGATAAATTTTTGATTAATTATACTTACTTTTTCATCTTAAGTTGTTATAGATTGTTATCTGAGAAATCAGAACAAATGGATAGAGATTCAAGAGAGTTAAAATTTACTGTGCCTTGGGGTCATGTAGCAGCAAAAGCTTGGGGTTCTCCTGAGAAAAAACGTGTATTAGCTGTTCATGGTACCCTTGATAATGCTGGTTCCTTTACAAACCTTTGTAAATTATTACCCGATAAATATTTTATAGTGGCGATAGATTTACCAGGTCATGGATTTTCTACTCATTTTCCTCGTGGAATGAATTTGGACTTTTTCAACTATGTCTATGCTATAAAGTATGTTTTAGATGAATTAGAATGGAATAAATGTCTCTACATTGGTCATAGCTTTGGTGGGCAACTTGGAACAGTATTTAGTATTATCTATCCAGAAAGGTTAGAGAAAATGATCAGTTTAGATGCCATACTACCAAGAAGTATTTCGAATGATGAACTATTGATACGAATAAAAGAAGTATCAGAAATAACCTTTTCACATAATAATAGTAAAGAAGAAAAAGCATATTCAAAAGAAGCCATTTTAAATGCTTTGAAGACTCGAAGATACTTCAGTTTAAATGATTCTGCTATTGAAGCATTGTTTGAGAGAGCTGTAACAAAAGTAGGTGACGATTTATATAAGTACAATCGTGACATTAGAATGAGGATTTTTTTGGTTCCAAATTTAAATCGTGATCAATATGCAGAATTAATGAAATATGCTCAAACACCAACTTTGATAATATTAGCTACGAACTCTTGGTTTAATATGACAGAAAAACTAGAAAGTGATTTGAAATTTTGTAAAAAAATTATGCCACACCATTATGTGATTAGTGTTGTAAATGGCAATCATGATGTACATAATAATAATCCAGAAAGAATCGTATCTATGATCGTTGATTTTTTCGAAAATGATAGTACAAATATTAAGAGTAAATTATGATATAAATACATGACTATTTTTGTTAAATAATTCCACTTATAGTTGCATTCCAAAGGTTGACTTAAAAATTTTAAAAGCACTGAAAACTATACTGTACTATGTTGTTATTGTCTTTAAGGTATTACTCACAGATATTTTATTTATAATACTAATGATTATAATAAAATTATAGTAAAAATAATTTCAAATTCCAAATAAATTTTTCATACTTTCGATTTTCACATATATTCGATCTCTCGATATCACGTGATTTCGATTTCGAGATATCGTAAGTGATTGCTCCAAAATTGCTGTCATTGTTTTCGATGATAAATAATAAAATAAGAAGTATATTTTTTGTATAAATCAGGTAAAGTATTCATTAAGTACTATTACCATTACAATAAAAGTGAGATATTATTAACATATTATTAATTTCCTACCTAATTTAAAATTTAAATGACAATTAATTCATACGTTACTATAAAATAAAAGTCATTTAATACACCTGTATTGTTTTTTTCTATTATTTAAATTAATTCAATAACATACCTGTTTTTCTTTTTTAATTCTTATCAGAATTAAAAGGTTAGAAACAACTATGGCTTCAGAAATGGTGAAATTTACTCGACTACGCACAGCAATTGAACCCAGCTTTTGGGCTAAATTGTCTGAACTCAAACTAGATAAATATAAATTAGAAGATAAAACCAAAATATCTATTTGGGGTAGTTATAGCTTGGATAAAATTTATGAAAAAAGGACAAGTCCATTAATTCTTGACTGCACTTCATTTAACGAGTAAGGTTGTCACAGTTCTTTATTTTTCTTCTTAATTTTTAATTTTTTGATATGCTTAGTTTGATACAGAAATATTAGATTAGCTTTTGCTAGATACAAACTGTAATTATGTTTGACTCTTCTTTAGGAATATTGAAACAACATCTCATAATGGAGCAGTTGCTTGTTCAGGAATTTTAATAAACACTAATACGTTTGAAGCCTTTCGACAAATACAACCTGAAAAATTTATCAACGTACTTGGAAAATCTCTTGTGGATGCTATGACTGATGGAACTGCATTAAAACAACCTTGGAAACTTACATTATTTCTCTTATTATCGTATGCAGATTTAAAAAAGCATAAATTCCATTACTGGGCTGCTCACCCAACACCTTTTAATTTACCAGAAACTTTCTATGATTCGCCCTCACAACGTATTGTTGAAATTTTTTCTAAAGAGTATTTAGACCAGCTTCAAAAAGATTTCAAGAGTTTAGATTCGAGATTAAAATGTTTCTTTACGATATTTTTATCAGCCAATGGTAGTTTACAACTTGTTAGTTTATTGGAAGGAGTAAAATACGTGAATTCTTTAACTGGAAATAGTGAACATGAAAAATCCGTAAGTATTATTGATTCATTTAAAAAATTTGTTAAACATTTTATATGAAATATTTTCTGATTATTAACATCGTTACTGTAGGTTCCAAAAACAATTTATTTTGCATTTTATGATCCCTGCGATAGTTCAGAACCTGGATGGCCATCAAGAAATCTTCTATGCTTGTTATTTTGGTCTTGTCCTCAATTTGCTTTTACAAAAACAATGAAATTTATGTCCATTCGTGGTGCGGATTTACAGTCATCAATTATTTTTTCAATCAAAGCCAAACAAGTTTTAAATATACAAATGAAAAGAAAAGAAATTATTGAAGGACAGTTGATAGGATGGGAAACTAAAGTAAATGGTAAATTGGGACCTAATATCGCTGATTTATCAGAATCAATGGATCCAAATCGGTAAGTAAATGAGACAATTATTTTTCGAGTTTAAAAACTTTTAAAATAATTTTTTTTTTTTAGACTAGCTGATCGTGCAGTAAACTTGAATCTAAAGCTAATGAAGTGGAGACTGGTACCTGATTTAGATTTAGAAAAAATATCTAAACTTCGTTGCTTACTGTTAGGGGCAGGAACTCTAGGATGCTCAGTCGCAAGAGTATTAATCGGGTGGGGAATAAAAAATATTACTTTTGTCGATAGTTCAACTGTATCGCATAGCAATACAGTTCGACAAAGTCTTTATACTCATGAAGATGCAGTAAAAAGACGATTAAAAGCTGAAGCAGCGAAAGATGCTCTTTTACGAATATCACCAATATTTGTAAGTCTTCGTCCATTTTTAATAAATTCCAAGAACATCAGTTAAAATAAATAAGGTCAAATAATTCAATGTCCATTCATTATATATTTTTATTTCTTTGCATATTTAGAACGTAGGAGCTGAAGTTCTGCATATTCCGATGCCAGGTCACATTGTAGGACCAAGTCTAATTACCTCAACTCAAGAGGCTGCGAAGAAACTTGAAGAATTAGTTAAAAATCACGATGTAGTATTTTTATTGCTCGATTCGCGTGAAGCACGATGGTTACCTACACTTCTATGTGCAGTGTATGATAAGATAGCAGTCAATGCAGCACTTGGTTTCGATTCATACACGGTTCAACGTCATGGAACTCGCAATACAACAAATCCTTCATCGCCTGATTTAACTGAACATTATCCATCTGGAGAGGATCTTGGATGTTATTTTTGTAACGATGTAACACAGCCAGGAAATGTTAGTTTAATTAAATATATTTTTTAGTATACATTAAAAAATGCAAAATATAATTTTCTAAATTAATTCGTTCATTAACTGATTAATTTTTTACAGTCACAAGTCGATAGAACTCTAGATCAACAATGTACAGTTAGTAGACCTGGATTATCATCAATTGCTGCCGGTCTCGCGGTTGAATTAATGGTTGCCATTACTCAACATTCTAAAGGGTAAAAATCATGACCGTGATTAATTGTTATTAATCTTGTGGTTTTTATTATTTTAATTTAATCATTTATTATCGTAGGATTGGAGCGAATGCTTTCATGGATGATGGCAGAAGCCAATATCGAACAAGTGAACGAGAATTATGTGAAGGATTACTTGGTGCTGTTCCTCATACAATTCGTGGTTCTCTTTGGAATCACGAGATGCGTTTAACAATTACTCATAGATTTCCATCATGTACTGCTTGTTCTGTACCACTTATTAATGAATTTCGAAAACGAGGCTTTGACTTTATTTTAGATGCTTGCAATCAACCAAATTATCTTGAACGACTTGCTGGTTTAGAGGATTTGCTTAAAAGGCCTGATCTGGATCAAGTATGTTTTCACGTATATCTAAGTTAATTAAGTGAAATGAGTAATGAATCACTCACTTTTTTTTATTTAATATCTTAATTAAAATTGAAATATTATAATTTATTATGGATAGATAAAATTAATTGCTTGAATATTTTTAACGAAATAATAACGAAAACTTTTTTTTACAGTTGTGCTATTCTATTGAAAGCTCCGATGAAGAAAGTGATGAAGTTTGCTTGAAAAAGCTTTAATATATCAGATTATTAAAAATGTCATACACTCCTCGCTTTACATGTGAATTATTTTATATTTGGGAAGTTATAGTATGTATCAAATTAATTTCCAACACATTTATTAATTATTAGCAGTACAAAATATAATGATTATTTTTTACTAATTATAAAAAATACTCAGTTAATGTGAGTAACTTTAAAAAGAAAGTTGGAAAACTAAGGGAAGCAAAGTACAAATTATGATGAGTATTAGAGTTTTTACTGCACTTATCGATAGATTTCTAATATTCTTATGTGGAACTTTTTATATACTTTTCCATTGAGAAATAAATGATTAGTGATTTTATTACCAGATTTATTTAGTTTACTGCTATTTACAAATATATGGTGACTTTTCTTTTTATTATTATCTAAATCATTTTAAAATGCTGAATGAAAATGAATTAGTCTAAGTTAGCATAGATATTTTATTTTGGAGTTTTTTCCTTCACACTTTAAATAAACTCCCGGGCAATCCATCATATGAAAAATGACCAATCAGCATCAACCAAAGCTTGGGAGTTTTGTCAGAAGGTGGAGTTGACAAAGGAAAATACCAAACATTCCACTGTAACGTATAAGTGGCAAACTGGTGGGGAAACTGTGGATACCTCTCGTGTCAGACAGCTCGTGTTCTGTGTGTTCGCCCGCATACCATTAGATTTTCATCATTTTCAATGGGAATAATCGGAGTGCAACGTCTAATTTTAACTAGAAAATAAAACATTCAGTGGACATCATAAGCATTTATAAGTGTCATCATTTTATGTATAACAAGGTGAGTTTTGATATTTCTTCAGCGACATTATTTCGTTTTACTAATGGAATGCAAGGCCTTACCTTTTTAACGCTACACCGCATTCCTCTATTGATTTGTACCGACAAGAGACGTGCTTTCTCAGGATATCACTTTAACTTATCATTTATTTTATATTTGTTCAGCTACATTCTTCGTCTCTTCCTTTATTGTAACATCGATGATAAAGAAAGTAAATTTTACTTAACACTCAAGGCAATTATTACTTCAACCTTTCTGTTGAATTATTGAGTTTATATTTTTACCAAATTACTAAAAGTTGAAATTAGTACAGTAGAATTTTTGATATTGTTGTTGATGCATCCAGTTATTTTACAATATACGAGCAAGTCTACACGTGATCACATGTGCGCACTTCTGCAATCGTGCATGTCATCGTCCTACGTTCTGAGGAATTTTAGTTGACGCGTAGTTTATTCAAAAGAATAAGCTTGTTAAACTTATTGTAATCCTATTTAATTTTTATTTTTCATCTCAGAATATTTATTTACAATAAATTAGATTAAATAATTGTAGAATTTTTTTTGTTCAACTTGAATGACTGCTGCATAATCTATTCAATGAAGGAAAAAAAATATTCAAACAATTTTCTCTTTGAAAAAAATAAATCAGAAATCAAAAGAGGAATTCAAAATGAATAATTTTTTATAAAAACTTGTTGAATCATTTTTTTTTAAAGAAATAATTGGAATTATTCTGACAGTTTAATTTATTTTAAAATTTTTTCTGACATCAATGGAATTCAGATCTTCAATCAAGAAAATATAAAAAATTAGAAATTATCTTCAACTCTACTCTCAGCAATAATTATAAAACAGATTTAAGCAAAAGTATGATCTCAAATATAAATAATGTAATATAACCGATCTGCTGTTTACGTTTCTTATCTCATTAAAGTGTGTTTTGAACAACAATTATACTTAGATAAGTATAGATAATAACAATGGTAGAGTACAAAATGTAAAGAAAATGTAAAACTGGACCGCAACAAATGAAATGCGGAAGGATCATTTGAATATTGATATAAAGGAAGTAAAACTTGGGTTGTTTATATTATTGCGAATGAAATTGTGAAGTTTAAAAGCGTGTAACATCAGTAGTAGAAGGGATTCACTCACATGATGATGATGACGATGATGGTGGTGTTTGTGAATATGATGTTAAAGAGGGGCAACACGAGAGGCGAGGCAAGAACGCGTTGTCGGAGGAGGAAGAGGGACTCTTGGTGAGGGGTCCGCATTCCACAGACAATGTCACGTTTTTTAATCCCCATTTTACTTTATTTGTACTCTGTCGTTTACGGCATCAGATCCCGCACGGTATATAATATCTTTAACTACTTTATTGTCTATTAATTGTTATTAAACAGTTTTATTTACTCTTTTTATTTTGATTAACAGAAAATCATTTATTTTTTAATTCTTACACGTACTTTATACTGCTCTAAATTATTGAAAAGAAAGTGAGACATAATTTATTGTGAAATGTCAACAGGAACAATCGTATACAAGGACAATAAAATAGCTGATTCGAAGGTTGATTTTGAAGCAACTGAGCTGAATTTTTTATCATAAAGAAACGAAAAAATCTCATGAAACAATGTCTGCTGTTGAAAGTGCATTGGACGTCCTTTCCAGGGCTGCCACGATGATGCAAGGTCAGTATTTTGACACCACTGTTTTCTCTTGATATTTTGCTTGGTTTTTACTTCTTCTCTTTTTGGAGCTCTAAATTATACAGACGGTCGTCGACTTTCTATAGAACTATAGGCAGATGAGGTCAGTTGTACATACTATGAATCATTTTTAACTAGACTGCGTTCACATTCTTTAAATAATTTTGGAAATAATCTATAAGCGTTGTTGTTATTTTGTAATTTTGTAAATTAGTCATGTCTTTTTTTTTTAATTATATAAATGGAGTTTAAAGCCATTAAATATTTCGTTTCGAAATTAAAGATGATTATTTACTTCTTGTTTTGGAGTAAAAATACTTTTTCGGTGAGAGAAGTAATTCTTTTTCAGCAAATGATTATTTTTACCAACATGAATTTCAATGGAATGCTTGGTATTTGAGCACAAGAAAAATGTGTAATTACAAATTCCATGTTTATCTTTGAAATAGTTGCCTAAATATTTTCGAAATATTTGTTTTATATGATATTATTAATGATCTATCATGAAAATATTTGATTTCAAAATTGTTGATTAGTTATATTATACAACCTATATTTCAATTCGATTATGATAAACGTTTATGTTCATATTTTATTCATTTAAATTAATTATAGCGATGTATAGGAATATTTTATTTACATTGTAATTAATTCTTTTAAATTACAAATATAATTGTAAATTTGATTAAATTAATATCAATTGCTATTTTGAAATATTTTATAATAAATACTCATGTAAATGATCAGTTCGGTTATACAATCAATAGCTAATAGAGACTAAGAAGTAGAAAAAACATAAATAACACTCCAAATTACAGAGAAATTTTTCTAACAATTTAATGGTCTAAAATTGCACATTTTTTCCATTAAATACTTTGAGACACAACTTTCATAAATTTATATTGGAAAATTGAACAATTAATTCAAAAGAATTAGTAGGTATGTAATTGAAAAATTCCACAATAAATTGATTCACATTACAATCCATAGTGGGATTCTTAAGATAATTTCAAACCGCTTTCATTTCTCCCAATTATACAATCATATAATTATCATTTGTGTAGATTGTTAAGTACACGGAATGCTGTACTCTCACCTGATTTCAACTGCACTTTTTTCTTCAAACAATAGATACTACACAATTCAATAACCAGAAGTAGATTTCCTTCTTTGGTATTTACTAATAATATCTTGACTTCATTCTATTCTATTGTATTTTAGTTTCATTTATTTCCTCGATGTTGAACAATTAAATAAATAATTAATCATAAATTGATGAAGTAGAATTAACTATAAAAACGTTTATAAAAGTAGGTCATGAAGCTATTAGAGCGAATAGTCTTACAATTAATTTTACAAGAATTTATTAATAGCACTTTTTAATTATTAGAAATTGAAACAATTGAACTTATATGTTTATTAATACTTTATATTATTCATGGAAATAAATGAATGATAAGAAGTTCTAATAATGGAAATGTATACTTCTTCAATTTACTATTGAAATAAACGGCTCAACGTATTTCTGAGTATATCATTGACTACTTATTATGTACTTATATTAAAGTCAAAGATTCCAAGTATGCATGAAATAGCTGTTACTAACTACTCATTTGCATTTACATTTATATTTGTTCAAGTAGGGTCGATATCTTACCGAATAAATGTTCACGACATCTTTCGATGTCTTATCATTAATTGCTAAATAACTTTATTGACTTTCTCGTGTTCTCGAGTACCATTTTTTAATAATGGATATTATTGATAATAGAGTTATATCAAGTATGATACTGTATTTAAAGAGTATCATTTTTCAGATTGAAAAATAATCGTATTTAAATTGACCTTAATTAATGTAAATTACTAATGATAATTATTTTTGGTTTTATTGTCTTTTGAATATTTTATATTCTTTATTTATAATAGAGGAGTTAATTGAATAAAGTAATCCAGTATAATTAAGAATTTCATTTATTTGATTAGAAAATTGATGGAATTGTAACAATTAGTCGTAATAAAAACATGATAATGTGATTCAGTTATTTTTTTTTCATTTGCAGTTAATAATGCAAAAATTAATTGGAATATAAGATCTTTATTGAATCATCTTTAATTGCATAGAAAAAATTTTCCATGAGAAACCAATAAAAATGGAAATTGTTATGACGTTGATCATTTTTTTTAACAATATTTTTTCGTATTAGACAATTATTTAATATTTGCAAGTTTGTTAGAAATTATATTTAATAATTGAACATTAGATTTTAGATTTGTTATTAATCTGATTTTTAATATTGGTAATCTATTTAGCGATAAATAAATATGCAAATAATAATACATTCAATATTAGTCTAACAACTGATGAATTGTTCCTTCAAAGAAGTTTCTTTGATAGCTGTTTCATACTAGACCAAATAAAAACTGGTGTTAAAAAGGAAATGTGACACAATGGTGCATGTACGTGTACGTATGTATAAATAGTTAGTAAAAGTATCATCATCTTCACCTACCTGAGTATACCGTGGCACAGCAAGGACGCATAAAAGGGCCGCGTTCGAGTCAAGAAGAGGAAGGGGTGATCCGCGGGGTGGGGCAGTCGCTGAGGCAGATGAGACCGTGCTGGAGATGAATGAATGAACGTTTAAGACAGTCGTAAGAAGGCATTCACGAAACAACGCCACTATTTTCAAACTTTCGTCTTGACTTTTTTTTTCTACCCTTATATATTTTTTGTGATACAATTGTTCTCAACCCTTTACATCATTAACGGCCTCAAATTATTGCACCTGGGTGGACAAAAGGGCTGTTGTATAGCATATAATGCTTGCGGTTTTTTTATTCTATTAAATCTAAACCACTCACGATCTCACAAAGTGTAAAATAGCTTTTGATTCATGTTTTTTGTCTCAAAATTATTTCAATCGATTTTCTATTGTGTTTTAATCAATATTTGAATTATACTTTATTAGTGATTAAGTTGTTGTTGTTGTGGGATTGTTAACTTTTGTGATCAAACAAAAAATTGATAAAATCATTCAGAAATCTTAAGAGAGAAATGCAGTCTCTTGAGACATCACGACATGTACGCATGGGGATGACGTCTAGACGAACGTGCTTGTGGCAACCTTGGCTTGATGTTGATATAAAAAATTTCCGATTTCCATATAAAACTGTAGGTATGTAAATTGAGCTCCATTCCCACATTTTTGTCACAAGGGGGGGAGACATTTTTTTTTAATTTGATACAAAATCAACGTCTCTCTTAATCATCATTAATGGATTAGAAAATTAGGTAAAATAGTTGAATAATAAGTTTTTGAAGTAGAAGAAGCAAGATATGAGATAGTTACTCTACATACATTCCCGTAATCTTATAAATTTGAGAGAGTCAAAAAGTTAATTGAGACTCGAAGAACAACAAGCCCACCTTCTTCTGTTCCATTCATCTTTTCAGCTTCCATCGTCCTTTTCCAAACCTGTTTCCCGCCCCACTGCGCATCCTCTCACGGCTATTAGGCACTTCCTGTCTTATCCTGGGAACCGAACGCTGCTTCAAAGTTTTAACCCTCTCCTTCCTTTCCTCACCCTTGCTATATCACTTTCATTTTTTTGCTAATTTCAGTTTTTTCGTTTTCTTTCACGCAAAGCAAAATATTCAGAGATTTTAACCATCAATCTTCTACCATCCTCTTCTTAATCTTCTTAGAAGATTATTTCTATTTTTGCCTTTTTAGTGATTAAGATCCTTTAATCTTTAATTAATCAATAATATAATGAGCCAGAGTCTCTTTAAGAGACCGAAATATTTTTAACAAACTAAATGATAAAAATGTAGCCTATATTTTTTTTCTTTGATGTTATTTTTTTTAATATGTTTATAATTCCGATCAATGAAATTGTATGTAAATATGATGCGATCAATGTTAAAAAAAAGTATACAAAAACTATTTATTGTAAATTTTAATTTGAGATATCTATTAAAAAATATTTTTAATGAGATGATGAATTCACTTGAGATGAATGAGTTGAAAAAAATTTAATCAAATATTTTTATTATCAACTCTAAGAAAAAAAACTTATTTCTGAAAGAGGAGGAATTCATAATTCTTATTTTCAATTTAAATAAAATTGTCTCAAATAAAAAATTGTAATGCTTAAATTCAAATGACTTGAGATCTGAATAATAAAACAGAGCGAAGAATAATTTAATCAAAATAACACAGCAAGTGTGAATAAAAATTAGAGTCGTAGAAGAAATAATGAATTAGGCACGTCATTTTTTGCAGAAGAAAGACCAAAGGCTACAAATCTGCATAGAAAACCAAGCAGTGCATGGCGAAGGGAGCGTAGGAGGGACCCGATTCAAAGTGAGGCCCTCGACATGTCTGCTGCTAGGGTACATCACAACCGTCCCAGCGTTATCGTTCCGGCTGCTCCTCAACATGGTACATCATCTAAAATTTAAAAATTAATAATTGAGGCATGAGAAATATATCATCATCGCAGGAAATGATAAAAAAAATTCGATAAAAGTCCAGGAAATTTTCATTATCATAATTAAACCTGATTATAGCAAATATTTTATTTGAATTTCTTTTTTTAATTAGGAACTACTATTGAAGATACTGCTGTGACACCCACGCCAACAGCAACGCCTTCAGCAGCGATAGGCGGCCAACGAACTGGAATCAAAAGTTCTGGTATCGTGAGTGATCCAGCGATAGATGAACACTTTAAAAGATCTTTAGGATTAGAAGAATATGCGGCAGTATTTAATGGATCCTCTTCTACTGTAGATAAAGAACCTGGTCTAAGTGGTATGTTTACTATTATTTTTCCTCATTTATTTACTAAATATTCAAAAAAAAAAACTAAAAATAGAATCATTATATCCAAACGGATGTTTTTTTTAAAAATATTATTTATTATAAGATTTTTTTTCAACGCATTTTAATATTTTCAGTGGACGATCACTTTGCAAAGGCTCTCGGTGAAACATGGACAAAATTACAGGCAACGAATAGAAGTAAAGAATCAACGTCAACATAACATCAACAAATCTTGTTTAAAAAAGTCAATGAAATCAGTTCTATACTTCTTTACAAGTGTTGCAGTTTTATTAGTCGCTCATTAATTATAATAATTAATTATAAAACATTTTTGGTGATACTTACCAAGTGGCTGGGAAATTTTCTTGGTGCTTCCAAGTAAAAAGTCATTTTTCACTATCGTTATTTCACACGAAAACATCATTTAGATTTATTAAACAAATTACGTCATCATTAAATTAATTTCAACAACGAGCGGGAAGTGTATCTTATTAGTAAAGTATTGAAAAAAAAAATCTTTTCAAGTGAGATCAATGGAAAAAAGTGATAAAAAAGATGTAATATGTTAGATTTTAATGTATATATGGTGATCACTCAAGAAGAGTTGACACAACGCCACAGTCATTGCCGTAGATTATGTCGTATTTTAAAATTATAATGCAGTTATTTATTATTAAATTTTTACTTCCTCAAATTTGCAATTTTTACACATTACGTGTATTAATTGTGAGTATAAGTAAGTTTATAATAATATTAGTATGATAATAATTTTTTGTTATGCTGAAATAACAAAATACATTTTGTGAATATATTTGGATTGTATTCTATAATAATAGAATACTTATGTAAGAAGTTTTCGATTTAATCGATTAAATAATGCTAAGATTCTACATATTTATATGAATAAATTATAATTTTTAAATCTAATATATGTAACTTCAAATTAATCTTATAACTTTGTTTTATTTAATTCTCTGGAGGCTGCTAAGAGGAGCAGTACTGATTTCAAATGGTGCTAGGTCGTTTAATGATTAGCCCAGCACACATAGAAGTCAGTACCTCTACCTTTTTAAGCAGTTTTATTACTTAAAAAAAAAATTAAAAATTTCCTTTGCCCCTTTTTACAGCTTTAAAAGTACACTGAATACTATTCTCACTTCACTTTTGGTCTTCTAGCATCGACAATACACAGGCAAGCACATTTTCTCCATGTATTTCGTGAAGGTTTAAGGGAATAATATCTTTGTGGTCTGGCAGAAGGAGAACAGAAGTAATGACTGAACTATAGGCTGTTTATAAATGCACTAGAAGTCTAAAGAGACAAGACCACGACAAGAACAACATAGGTGGGCCCAGACGAGTGGACGAGACTGTTCCAGGAGCGCTCGGATGGCTTCCTATATGCTGGCAGCCTGTTCACTTGCCGTAAAGCAAAGTGGTAACTTAATATTAGACTTGAATATAAGTACGGTAATCCCACACCTCAGTTCAAAGTAAGTCTACACCTACCCTGTCGCCATACTCTCCTACCAGTTCCATCTTATTCTTTCTATCTTTTTCACCCGCACTGCAACTAGTTTTGCATTTCTTCCTTAGGAAGACTCTTCAAGACGTAATTACAACACTCAACATCGGATCTTCCAGAGAATCTAGCAGACAATTGTAAGCTTAATCTCATGCTTCCTTTTATGTTTTTATTGTAAGCTTTCATGGGCTTGCTCTTAAACAAAAGACACCACCAATGAGCAACTTACACCATTTAGTAACCGGATGTTGATATTATTTATTAATTTTTTGCTTTAAATTATCTCTTCTGTTAATGCAACTGATGTTGAAGTTTGTAGAAATACGTATGATCTTGAGTAATTGATTTTTATTGTCTACTTGTTGAAAAGCAACATAATATTATTTGTATGTTTTATTTATATCCCAGGCGTATCTTGTTTCGGTACCAGAGCTAGTTGACCACAGGCCGCGGCATCGTTTTCTCGTTTTATTTTTCCTCCTTGTTACAATGTTCACTCAAAAGGTTGTGAATGTAAATTAATATTTAAATAAAAACAAAAAACACTAAAAAAATATGTATAAAAGTAAATAATAAAAACAAATAATTCTGTGTAAATTTTAAATATAATCATTGCTTTTATTACTTTCCGTCTCAACGCCGTTTGCTCTTGCATCGAAATCTCTGACTCTTATTCACCCTCCTATACTATGACCAATGTTCGCACACACACTTATTGCCATCCCCCAATGTTTAGTTCATCTGCCGCCTACTCCTTTGCATTTTGCTTTCACAATCCACTTAAAAACTTGATAAAATTGTTTATGAATTTCAATCATGAATCAATCAATATTGGAAGTTAAAAATGAGACGAGAAAAATTATTTTTTGATTATTTTGATGATGACTTATTACTTATCGAATATTTTTTCTCGACTTGTCACGGAAAAACAAATATATTAATATGCTAGTCACGTCATCAAGGTCGTATAGAAATATTAGTAACTATGTACTTATATTTTTTATGTATGTATATCATTCAGAGCTAAGAGCTTTGAAAGTTTACGTTTAATCATTGACGTAAAAAAATTAAGAAACAATGACAAATTTCTTAATAAAAGAAAACATATTGATGAATAAAATGAATATTTTAACAACATAACTTCCAGTTCTGATAACCCACTTTCGTGTTTGGCGTCTTTTTGGAGCACTGAAAAGGCGCGTGCGTCGGTGCGATTTGAATTGAATGTGCAACCCGGAAATGAATAAACAAATGATGTATAAGAAAGGTAAAAAGTACTTAGGTAAAAGAATAAAACTAATTGGCGATTGATAGACGAATCAATAGCCGATTAGAAGATTAATCACAATGACGTCGAATGTATTGCGCTGAGGTTTACGACTGCATGGTACCCGGGACACGACTGATCGAGTGACCGAGGGGGTAACATCGCGGGAACATACCCCTCCTGCTGCTGTATAGAATTACGCGTGTGCTGCTGCTCTCTGAGGTCCCCCTTGGTCAGGAGCATATACAGAATGGAATGGTTTGAGCACGGAAGGCATCGCACCATGAAGGGGAGAAGTAGCGTGGTCCGCTTCCCCTCCCGTACCCCCTTCTTCCGCTCCCCATTGGACTCATGCTCGCGTGAATCATGCATATCGATTTTCTTTCGTTAGTACACGGCCCAGAACAGAGAATTCAACTCTATAGGACTTGTGTGAAGGTGTAGTGTGGTAGTGGTGGCTCGTATATTCCCCCTTGAACGTCAGAAAAGCCATGAGCCCCCGGGTTGCAAACCCCCTTCTTCAAAACTCCCATCCTGCCCAATTCTTTTTGCACAATGCTTCGCATCCCCCTTCTTCTCCTTTTCTATATCACCACGTCACTCTCTTATGTCCTCCAACATGCTCCAAGCAGAATGTCCTTTCGTACGCGTGCGAGAGGACAAGCTTATTGCTTATAGTCTCGCGCATACATCCTGCTGCACACGAGAGAACAAGAGCAAGAGGTCTACTACGAGCACCACTGCTAGTAGAGCCTTTTCTTTCTCTTTCATTTGCCCCTGTCTATATATAAGAGCTTCAATCTTGCCGTGGAGAAGCCACTCCGCTAATAAGCTCTTTTGTCTTCACCACTCCTTCGAACCGATCTGTTGGCTCTGATGCTTTACGTTTTTTTTAAAGGGTATGTTCTACAGTCTGTACAACTTAAATGAAAATAAAAAACACATATCTTTACAAGAAATGAATGGGAATATGATTATATACTTGAAAAAACTGTTAGACAATAACAAAAAACTTTTCAAATCGAAAGATTGGAAAATTTATTGGTTTATTTTGCTTGAGCATAAAATAGCTGAAATATCTACATATTATGTTTTATGAATAAACATGATAATAAATTTCAACTATTTAACATAACAGAAATAACATTTCATAAATATGACATTATTAATATATTACAATAGTTTATATATTACTTATAAGTAATTAATAACATAATTTTACATGTATTTAAACATCAAATTTGTTTTTTTTATTAATAATTAAAAATGATAACCAATGATTTGAATTTTGGATCAAAAAGTCTCGAAATAAACTTTACGTATTTTACAATGTAGCATGTTTTTTGTGATCCGTTGAAAAAACTTCCAAATTGATGTAAAAATGTTAATTTATCTATTATAAAAAATTAACATAATTATATCAGTATTAAATAATTGAATGTAACAGATTCAAATAGAAAACTAAAATAATAATTAAAAATAATTATTTATTAATATTATTATAAAGATAAAAACATAAGGAATAAAAAAATATTTTACATCAATTTAATCTGCTATTCACAATAGTGTATTTAATAATTCTTTTTTTGCACATTATGTACAGACAATTGCAAATTCTCAAATAGCTTGCCGAATAATAATTTAAAAAGTTTCTATTAATGATAAAATTTTACTTTGTAGTGGAATGACTTTAGAGTACTTCAGCTTAAAAAAATCGTATATAATATAATCACAAATATATTATTAGTAATTTATTCATAATGATTATAATAATACCATCATAATTAGCAGCCTGCAGAAGGCAATATCAAACGTATTTATTTATTCATTGCGTGAATTTTGGCCACTTGTTCATCATTTCAATTTTGATGATTATTTTAATTACTAAACATGTTATATGAGAACTTACTTCTTCGGTTCTCATTTATAAATATTCTATTTCGAATTATTAGTTTTTAAATTAATTATTAAATTATTGAATTGTAAAATTATTTGAGATTCACTTTGTGTAACAATTTTTTAAAATCACAATTGGTTTTCAAAGTAAAGTGTAAAACTCTTAATAAAATATAGATGCCTACTATTAGTGTTCCGAGTTTAAATTTTCATTACATAAAGTCAATAATAAATAAACAGATCTGTTAATAAATTGTGTAAAAGATGAAAAAAAATTTAACATTATATTTACATTGTAATCTAATGATTAAAAAATGAATAATTGACAATAATAGAATAAAAATTCTAGATTAACTTTAACAGCCGAAAGAGGACATTAAATTTATCAGAGTATTTATATATTTATAGAAATTATTAATTCATACTGATGTAAGTAACTATAAAATAATATTTTATATCAATTAATTATTTTAAGCATTAATATCACTTCAGGTGACTGGATTTTTACTTACATCAGGCATTTTTTTTGCTTTTAACTCGCGGCGATACTGAATACAATTTTCTAATGATCATTACTAAATCATTTTGAGGGAATAAGTTTTCAATTATACCTTCGAACAGTACATAAAGCAGTCTTCTATTGAGTACAGGTCGTTGAAAGAGTTCAAAGACTCGTAATAATCCCCGTCTTGTCGTTTCGCTACCAATGATATGTTTGAGTTCATCTGAGAGACAGGAAAGGAGAGCAACTTTTGCAGCTACGCGTGTTCTGTTCTTTGTTTCATTATCACGAGGTGGCTTTGCTTCAGCTCTAACTCCATTTGGCCAATGGCTTTGTCTTTAAAATTTAAAACGATCAATAGTATGGACAATTTATATTCATGAATATTCAAAGTAATAATTAGGAACTTTTTCACTTTAAAGTTATTGTTATAATTAAGATAAAAAAATTCACATAAAAAATTTAATAAAATAGAAAAAATTAATTACTTACTTAAAAAGTCGTAAATAGGTTGCAACATTTTTTGGACTCGTTAACAAAGAGACATATTCTACAATTCTGCGGTTAACAATATCACCAAACATCGTACGGATTATTTGTCGTAAGAGCGTGACAATTCGACGCCTCAACCATTGATTTCTCACTTTCAAATCGAATACTTCGTCCATCAATAATAGTATTATCCTTAAAGGGATGTTATCATCAGTCTGAAATAAAAAAATTGAAAAATATAAATCAATCGTTTGTTTCAATACTATCATAAAGTTTAATATGACCAAGTTATTAACCTCAGTATCTATACTTGCTCCAACTTTTACGCTTTCATAAAACATGCTATTTTTTCTTGGATTTCCAAAAAACTTGCTGATATTATCCATTACACCATCAACTGTGTTTAACATGTTATCAGGCATCGTTTTTACAACTTGTGTAACTGTTTTCATAGATGTTTTCAATGGGTTTACTAGTGTATCAATCTATAAATAATTATTAAAATAATTTAGTCTTTTCATTCATGAAAAATAATTTGGAAAAAAACAATTTTTAAGAAACAATGAAAAATTCCAGTTAGATAAGAGAAATTGATACTAAAAAAACTAATGAATTGAATCATTCAATTTTTAATCAAATCTTCTTTTCATTCCTATTCGAAATGGCAGAACTGAGTGATCAATAAAGTTCAATAAATGGGTTTTTGTTTTATTCTTTACTGAATCAACAGTTCAATACTTTTTTGAACGTAATCAACCAGAAAGATTGAAAATTAATTATCAATTTCCTACCGTCTTTGAAATGTGTCCACCAGTAACACCCTTGTCGTAATCTCCCTGTTCTAAAAAGGCGAGTAATAAATTTTGCAATCCCATATGGCCATCCATAGTACTCGGCTTCGTAAGTCTGTACAACCATGCATTGAGCATAGCCATTCTGCGTTCAAGAACTGCACGTTCCATATTATGAAAAGCTTTTTTTGCAGGGAATGGTAATTTAGCTAAGTCATAATATTTTTCTTTTATCTTTTGGTGCAGATCATGGAAGTCTGAATATCTTCTGTATATGTGCCACTTTTCTTTATACCCTGAATCGTAAATTTTATTAACGGCCACTGCATAAATTCCATAAGTCTTTCCCCTGTCATTAACGACACCAGTTTCAATTATTTCAGCAGTAAGTTCAAAACGTCCTTGCTGCAATTTACGTATCACATTCTGGTTGTAAGTATTTTCATCAAGTTTAATAACTTGATCTGTATTAGATTCGAGATAGAATGTAGCATTTTTTGCATCTGTTATTCGAGGATCTGAATCAATACACGACGCACTTCTTATTCTTTTTGGGTTTTTATTAGTACCTATATCAGCATCAAGTTCATCATAACTTCCTTCCTTTCCCGACATGCTCGTTAAACTTGCAGAAGAGTTTGAATTGGATTGAATATTCTCTTTTAATGATTTCATTTTATTCTGATCGTTTCCACGATTTTCTTCCTCCGATTGTTCTAATTCGTTATTCATACTTGAAACACTGATCCCATCCAAAGATTTTATATCATCTTCAGAAGTCGGATCTTTTAATAAATCTAATTCCGCTAAAAGTTTTACATAAGACATAGATCTTTTAAATGAAGGTAGGAACCGATCTTCATTTTGTAATTTTTCATAACAACAAGCTTGTAGCTCATCAAACCACGTTTCTTTAACCACTTCTGTTTTAAATTTTACCAATAAACTTTTGACAAGACTATCATCTAATTGTAATTTTACAGATGCTTTATCGCTTAAATATTGTTGATAAATTTTAATTGCTGCTTCTTTTAAATTTTCTAAATTAATATTTTTTTTTTTAGAACTACCTGAATGGGCTGATGATTGATTATTTTGTAATTTTTGTAGCTCGATGTCAGATATTTGTTGCTCGGCTGAAACTTTCCATCCATAAATATTTAAATAAAAATACAAGTAAGCTTCGTCGTTGATACTTGTCATGTAATCAATAAAATAACTTAAAGCAATGTTGTTTTTAAGTAGTTCATCGAGTGGCAGATTAACTAATTTATGTCCTGGCACTAGCAAACGATTCCAATCAGGATGTGTACCGATTCCATCAACTTCTGAATCTAAACCTTCTTGCATGCTAATTATTCGTGTGTCTAATATTTTTTGTACGTACAATAAACTATTCAATTGTTGTTTAACAATTAAATCATCATCACCACCAGAGTCTTTCGATCGTAAATGGGATATTTCATTACACACAATATTTTTTGTTGCTATCAGTTCTTCTAAACTGTCTGTAATACGAATCACTGTTAAAAACACATCGCTAGGGAGACTTGCATCCTTAGTGCACAGCCATATGCATGCTTGATTTATGTAATCAGGATCTGAGAATAAATTTAAAAGGGGTTTTATTATCATGTTAACTAAAAGTTCTCGTAATATAAATCTCACTGTTAAACAATCAAAATCGGCTTTTGGCAACAATAAGTATAACAAAATTTCAGATATTTCACCAAGAAATGCTAATTCTTGTTCCTCATTTGTACACACTAGATCTCGACATATTAAATTATTTTCCATTTGAACTTCAAGATCAAAAAATATTTTTTCAAGCTTTTCTTCATCATTTTCTGCTGCATTTGAGTCTATTGGTTCTGTTAATGATGTTAGATTCGGGATGTAGAATTTAGATTGCGAATACCACGATATATCAGTCTCACTTTTGTTTCTTCGATGGGTGGGCGATTTCTTTGGTGTACCACTCGAAGTGCTTGAACTACTACTTCCCTTGCTACTTTTTATTTGCTTCATTTTTGCACGTGCTTGCCGATAAAGTCTCATATGAGATGCTGCATCGTCCACAAGACGTGTCGTCAAGTAGGGAATCCAATCGACATCTTTCACTCTAAAATTTTCATAAAAGATCATGTTTTTTTTTACCAAGTTTCACTACAGTGGGTAGACAAAATCTATTGAAAATTATGTTTACCTATTTGCAATATTTATGGCTATTTTCTGAGCAGTATCTCGAACTGATTTAGTAAACTCTTCATCATCGGTTAATACGCCGTACCATGGTTCCACATAGTCTCTCATAATAAAATCTAGAATTTCCTAAAAGATAAATAATCATGAAAAATATTTATTTTTGTTAAAATATACATAATTTGTAAAATAATAATCATATGAAATGTCAAAGATAAAAGGAATTAATCAATAGATCAGATAATGGAATATGCCAACAATTTAGGAATGTTATTTTTCAATTATACATTCCATTATTGTATCAAGATAACAGTACAAAATTCTATTAATACTTACTTGTAACGATTCATCAATTATGTGACTACCTGTGACTCTTTTATCTAGAGTAAATGTCACCGTAGATTTTGAAAACTCTCTGAGATTCTGATAAAAAAAATAATGAAAATAAATAAATATATAATTGACATCGAGTAATAATTCATGATTAAATACACTAGTTGATTCTTACCCTCTGTATTTTTTCAGTCTTTTTGTACAAATTCTCTCTAATAAATTTGACTTCATTTTCAAGATTTGGTACATATTTTTTGTATATACAAGTTAATATTCTAAAAAAATTATTGTATAATGATTAATATTAATTTGAAATTCGAAAATTTAAGATAAATAAAATATAACAAATCTGATACCCTAAAATCAATGCAAGTAAACAGATAAACAGTTTAAAAACTGCTACTAGGCCAAATACTGCTATGAATAAAATAGCGCAGGTTCCAATACCTCCGAGAAATAGAAGATTCATCTGTAAAAAAAATTAAATTGTAAGATAATTGAAAATTTAATAAATAAGTAAAATAATTGATAAGCATAAGGAACATGATTATTTAGCGCGTAATGGTTGACTGCGAATTATCATCTGAAGCAATTTTATTTTTTATTTTAATTAAAATGTTACTTTTTATAATATAGAATAAAACATTATTGGAGTATTTAACTTTGAGGCACGACTACGGTTTCCGTGGCGCCACGAAATGATAATGAATTTCGATAGAACAGTCCAAAATAAGACGAAAATGAAGAATAAAATTTTTTCATATCTCACTTAGTTTTCGAGATATTGATACTTTAAATTTTGGGTTTATATGGGCTTATACATGGGCATAATTTTGGACTACAGAATTAGAGGGTTCTCTCCGGTGGCGGCCTTCGGCCGCACCGTTTAATGAAAAAAAATCACCCTGCAAGTACATTGTACCAAGTTACAACAATTTTGCGAGGCAAAAAAAAATCGCGGCGCCACGGAAACCGTAGTCTCCCCAACTTTGAAAAAAGTGACATATGTGTAACAAAAAAACCCGTAAGTAATTGAAAAGATTTATTATGTATAATAACATCGAACTTACCTTTGGATTCTCTTGTAATCAGAAATCTTTGTAAGCACACACATTATGCAATTAAAGAGCTGACATTCACAAGAATTAGTCAGCTAATCAACAGTTTATTTACTTTTTCTCGTAGTATCATTATCAAACTACACATGTTCGACGACATTTCTTATGACTCCAAATACAAACACAAGGAGCGCTTGAGTTCTCAAAAAAATCCCAAATCGGTGGAATCAGGATTTTTCTTCGGAATTGAACCACCAATAAAACAGAAGTTATTTGCCACCATACGGAATGTAGTTTACATTCTCACTGCTAGAGGCGCAAATAACTGAGTGTCTAGCGTGATGTACATTTGAAAAAAAGTTTTTTCTTTAAAATAAATAAATATATATGTTTTAATCACATTATTGATTTACATAGTAAACTTTAATATATTTTTATTAATTGGAAATTTATTTTCACATTGCAGTGTTGCATACCACGTGTATACAGAATTCATAGGTTTCATAACCTAAAACTTGTGAAACGTGTTGACACACGTGAACTTCTACTCCATTTCATCAGCGAATTTATTTAAAATAAATAAATAAATATGGCTAAATTTTGTCTAAGTAAGTGTTCTTATATATTTTATTAATTTCAAATGTTCAAAGTTATTATTTAAATTTATGAATTTCAATATTTCGGTAAAAGAATGTAATTGTTAAACATAGATTAGCATTTAGTAATTTTTTAATAAAATGTCTCATTTAAACATATAATTAATTTTAATCAACTTTCTGATATCATAGAAAAACCGAGTAAGCGGATCCAAGCTCGTAAAAGATATAAGATTGAAAAAAAGGTCCGTGATCATAATAGAAAACTTCGTAAAGAGGCGAAGAAAAATCCAAAAAGTAAGTTAACAGTCGCATATATTAATTTTAAAGCGCCATACAGTTTTCTAATATTATTAAAACTTATCATTTTTTATCAGAAAAACCTAAATTGATACAAGTTCCGAATCAATGTCCCTTCAAAGAAGACATCTTGAAAGAAGTAGAAGCATTAAAAAAGCAAAAAGAAGAAGAAAAACAGAAACGACGTGAAGAAGCAAAAGCAAGAAAGTTAGCAGAACGTGAAAAAATAGCGTCTGGCGATCTTCAATCATTAGTATCATCAACAGAAAATAAACAACAGAAATTTGAGTCCCGAACGATAGAGAGTATAATGAGCAATAATCCAGAACTTGTCAAAGAGGAAAATTCATTAAAAGCTTATTTCAAAGAATTTAAAAATGTAGTTGATGCTGCAGATGTAATTTTAGAAGTTGTAGATGCTAGAGATCCTTTGGGAACGCGATGTAAACAAGTGGAAGAAATAGTGAGATCAGCGAAGGGAAATAAAAAATTAGTTCTAGTATTAAATAAAGCAGATCTTGTTCCTAAAGATAATCTTGAACAATGGCTTAAGTATTTGAAAATGAGTTTACCGACTATTGCATTTAAAGCATCTACTCAAAATCAATCAAAAAAATTGGGTCAGAAACAATTAAATTTAAAAAAAGAAAATATAACACACAATAGTACGTGTTATGGAGCAGAATTATTACTTTATCTATTGGGAAATTATTGTAGAAACATAGGAGGGCTAAAAAAAAGTATAAGAGTAGGTGTTGTAGGTTTGCCGAATGTTGGAAAATCTAGTATCATAAATTCTTTAAAGCGGAGTAAAGCTTGCAATGTTGGGAGTACTCCAGGAATCACAAAAACCATGCAAGTAGTTCATTTAGATTCAAAAATAAAATTACTTGATTCACCGGGTATCGTGTTTGCGGACTCTCATCCAGATAATGCTAATGACTCATCAGTTGCGCTTAAAAATGCTGTGAAAATTCAATCACTGAAGGATCCATTTACTCCTGCTACTGCAGTTTTAAAGAGGATTCCTAAACAACAAATAATGGAACTGTATGACATGCACAATTTTTCTACGCCTGATGAATTTTTTGCAAAAAAAGCTTTGAGAATGGGAATGTTTAAGAAAGGAGGAGTGCCAGATCCCGTAGCAGCAGCCAGAAGTATTTTGAATGACTGGAATTCTGGAAAAATCAGGTAATAATTTGTTATTAAATAGAACACTAAATTTTCATAATGCGAAAAATATTGTAATTAAATAATATTTTCTTCTTATTGAAGGTATTATACAGTACCACCAGAATTGCCATCTAGTGAAGTGTCTGCGCAAATTGTCAGTCAAATAGGAGAGGAATTTGACATCGAAAAATTTATGGCAGAGGAAAAAATGGTACTTGATTCGATAGAGCAAGCATCATCGAAAACCAATCTAACTGTCGTTGATCCATTACAAATTGATAGTACTGGACCCGTAGATGCGGCTATTGAATTAGAAAAAAAGGTACATTATAAAACTCTATTGTTTACAAGCTATATAATCCAATTATAATAGTTGATAAACAATTTTTTTTCAGGAATATAAGTTGCAACAATTAAATGAAAAGCAAAAGAAAAAAAATGAAGTCGAGAAAAGAGTAAAAGTAACAAAGAAAACCCAGAAAATTGATCCAGTTTTCGAAATCGAGGGAAATCAAAAGTTGAATAAACACAATAAGTTACTTTTCAAAAAACAGAAAAAAGAAAAAATTAAACGAGGTAATTTTTGTTCGTGATTAACTTGGATGTAATAAATAATAGACATGTCGTTATCACTAATGATATATCATTAACTCATTTTCAGAAAAAGAAGCAACGAAGCTAGCCAACCAATTAGATGAATTCAGTATGGAAGATAAAGAAGATGAATATGATTTCGATACTGACTTTAATATGAGGCAGTCAAAAGAATGATTTAATTGAAAATTATTAAAATTCATAATGACTTTGTTATAAATAAATTATCTAAAAAAATTAATACTGTATTGTGTTAATTTTATTAATGGACTATTTTAAAATATCAGCACGTATCAGAATTTTTATATCATCATTCTATGATAAAAAAAGAAAAATAAGACGGGAGTGTTTTAATTTTAATGTACCTTACACAATCAAAGTAAATAAAAAATTTTAAAAAACATAATAGATTAATTATAAACGATTGGACTAAAAGCTACTTGATGTTAATTTCTGTTGTTGATAAGATATCATATGTTCAAAATTTGAAACAGTATGATTGGTTATTCTAACTAATATAGAAGGGATAATCGTCAGGGAAAAATCAGTTATGTGGTTGTCACCCTCAAATCAACTTGTCACAACTCGTAGTGGTTACCAATCGTAAGTTTCTTTAACACATTTTTCTTGGCAACAATTTTAATCAGTACTAATAATTTCGATTATTATTTTCAATTAAATTCAATGAATTACTGTAATTTTGATAAGTCCCCTCTCACAGTTTCTTCATAACTCTGTAGATTGCTACTTGCAGCATAGCATTCGTCAGCACAATAACCGAGTTACGTAGCTATTATTAGTCTCTGATAAGTTAGTATTGCAGAAAGATGGTTTGGTCACGTCCTAATGGTCCTCCCAAAGTGTGGAATACTGTGGAAATAGTTAAATCTGATGGAGAAACAATTCAATTCACTATTGAAGAAATTCCTGTAGATAGATACGATGAAGTTGTCGAACACATGTGTTCCATTTTCATTCAAGATGAAGCTATGTGTTCGAGTATGAGTAAGTTTGAAAGTTTTAACATAAAATTAACCATCTTTATATACTTCAGGTCAAATATAAGGGCTTACTTATTATCTCTGTCGAATGGAGCTTGAAATGGTCGATTATAGACCGGTGATATAAGTGTCATTCAAATGAAATTATCAACAAACAATTATCGGGAGTTCTTCCCACCTTGTCTTCAATCGACCTCTTAGAGCTCCTCTCTATAGCTATAATAATTAAGTCCTTATATTTGACCTGTAATATATAAACAATCGTATATACCTCGAAGCTTAAGTGAGATATTATTGCCTTGGACCGATGACGTCAGCATAAGACGTGCAGCAGCACAAGCCGAATAGAAGATGAGTTCGCACCGCATGTCTTGATTGATGCTGTCAGTCCGAGGCAATAATACTTCACTTAAATTCCTAAGTGCATAATATACTGTTAATAAAATAATATACTGTGAAACTCGTTTTAAAGATGTTATAGACGATCCAACGTCACTTGAGCTACTTCGTGCTTTTTGGAAAAAAATTGTAGCTGAAGGTATTACAATTGCTGCATTTGTTAAATCAGAAAATGAAAAACCTATTATTGCTGGCATTAATGTGCTATCAGTTAGCGATAAGGATAGTGATAAGGAAATAAAACCAATTCTCGTAAGTACAGTGAATTAATTACAATTATTACGTGATGTTTTTCTCAATGATTGAAGTATTTTTTTTTCATAGAGTTCAATGTCCAAGGCTGAAAAAATAATAACTTTTGCCATTAATAGCAGTACAGAAGCTAATCCTTGTGAAAGATATGGAGTTGATGCATATTTGGGTGCTGTTGGATTGAGTGTAGATCCTCGTTACCGCCGCTTAGGCTTAGGGCAACGACTGTTAGAAGCAAGGTACTCAAGTATTGATAATTTTCGCACAATCAAATTGTGAAATTAATTTAACAATAAATATTATATTGCAGACATAAAATAGGTGAGGCTTATGGTATTGCTGTTACTTCAACTTTATTTACTTCATCAGCGTCACAGGCAACCGCAGCTAAGGCTGGATATAAAGTTCATATGGAAAGACTTTACGATGAAATTATAGATGAAAAAGGTGATGTTGTTTTTCCTAATCTCAAAGGCAAAATATACAAAATGATGGAAAAGAAACTATTTTAATATATCTAGAAGAATTTCATATATAAAAATTGTCATTGAATAATGTGCTTCAAATTTCCGTCATAAAAATTAATGTTGATATTTTATTCTAGTTATAATTTCAATGAATATTAAATGTATGTAGAACATTCTAATAAAGTAAGAGTGAAACTCATTTTTTTCTCTTTAAAAACAAATCACAAAGTATCATGAATTTGGTTCATTTAAATTACATACAAAATTGATTATTCAATAAATTAAGCAAAAACTAATTATACAATCAAGAACGAAGAGGATTAAAAAACCAAACACGTGGTAAAATTTTCATTAGAATAGAAATTGAAACAAAAATTAAATTTATTTTAAATTTTAATTCTTGTAATATCTTAATAGGATATAAGAAATATAAATGAATAATAATAAATGAAAAAATTGCACCAGTGGCTACAACGTTCCTTTGCGTGTTTCCTATTCTTCAAGAGTATCAATTCACGTAGTAAAACGTAATTTTTTGTAGTGCACATCAATGAAGGTCGTAATCGCTGTCGCGCATTTAACTCAAAGACGTCATATTCGTATACTCAATACGTATATGATAGAATGTTTGTGTATGTGCATTAGAGTACGGTACAGGCGCAATTGGTAGTGGCTGCGTATACTATGTCTCTCAGGACTGGTTGGTATGGTTTACGGATGGGTGGTTGGGTGGTTTTGGCTTCATGCCTAGTTTTACTTTAAAAAAATGTGAATGCTCTACTGTATTCATTCAAATATTGTTCAATCTTTATGAATATTTAAGTTATCGTAGTATCCAAGTATTACAATAAGAGATCATTACTGTCACAATTGCTCTCTATTCTCTCTCCTAATGCTTTACAGTTTCAAGAGCTGATTGTTTCATTCGATGTAATGTGGGTCATTCTGGCGTCAATTATCCCTTACCATCACGTGTCATTCTAAGAATGGAATCGAGTTGAAAAATCTGTGTTATGAATTTAAAATAAATTTGGGATTAGTACTGGAGGTTTAAAGGTTTTAATGTGGACGATATTTTATTAATATCCTGATATATATTTTTTATCAGCATTTTTATTATGACATTACGCATTTTTCGCCTGCGGTGTAGGTGAAGTAAGCCACAAGTATGAGCACTCAAGTATCAGGGGAAGAAACGAGAACGCTTGCGGGTTATATGTCTGAGGACGTAACGAAAAGTTGGAGCACGCGCACGCATACTCGCGGGGCGAAAGCCACGGTGGTACGCACGAGCAGCCAGGAGAACTTTAGAGGATGGTTGAGCCTGCGCCTTTTGCGCAACAAACATGTCCGCCCTCGATGCTTGGAGTTAAGGGATGCGGCGCGCCATCACCGCGTTTCCCTGAAATACAGTTCTAGTGGACGGTGCGCGTTCGTGGGCGGCAGCAAGTAATTAATTCAGGTGATCAGTTTAACTCGCTACCTTCGGCGAACGCGAATCGTTGACAAGCTAAGAAGAAGAATTGTTTTGACTTCTTCCAACTGGCCAAAGTGAGTGCAGGTGCACACTCAGGGACGTAACCCGGAAGCTTTTGTGCAGTTTACTTGGCTTCCTGTGTTTTCTAGAAGTCTATTGATTATCATCGTGGTTATTAACACCTTGGTGCTTTATTTGTGGATGAAATATCGTCCACTAACTTGACATCGACACAGGTATGTACATGACAGTTCAACGTAAAGCTTTTTTACCCACACTCCAACCCTCTGTAAACCATTCACCTCAATCTCTTCTTTTTTTTCTTTTTTCTTAATATGAGCTCATAAACATGAATTTTTAGTTGAAAATTTTTATCTTACTCTTCTCTTCGCGGCTGTTCTCATTCTCTTTGGTGACTCTTGAAAAAAAGGGTATATCGATCCACGACTGGTCCGGGACATCGGCTGGCATGCCACCACGATATCGTGAAAGCTCCTTTGGAGCCTCGGGCGCGCGCGGTGTCCCTCTCTTCCCCGATCTCGTTTCTTTACAACTCATATATATTTCCTCTATTTTCTATCCTAGTATTTTTTCCTATCGGCATTTCATCTGTCTCTGGTCTGTTGTCAATTATTTTTTTTTGTATCGCAAACCTTCTTTCCTACGGTTCCGTACTCTAAAACTCTAGACTTACGTGGGGGAGAACTGTTCACATCTCACTCACACTCATTCTCTTTCTCGTTCTATATATAAGGATAACGGGCACGACCCTTCGAACGCCGGCGGTCGACCTTAATCTACGTCGTTTATCGATTTTGTGTACTACGCTCCTGTACACTAAAATTTCAATATACAAAACGTTATGACCACTTGCCGGTTAAATGTTGTATCATATAAAATTTTATAATGTTTAGCTACGATCACCGATTTCGTTAATCACCATTCTAATAGATGATATTTTTTCAGATAAATTCTTGAAAGTGGCTAACATGAGAGAAATCAGTGACGATTGGTCGATCAGGGACTGATTGGCCCGTCTCAAAAGAGATGATTTTTAGAAGGTAATCTCATCAATAATAACAGTTCATTGAACAAAGTTAATTGTTGAAAAAAATTTTCTACTGAATTAAATAGAAAATTGTTATTTGAGGTCACTATTTATAAAATTTATTAATTTAACTTGATCTCTATATTGATATCACTTTAATTAACAAAAAAGCTTTTATTATTTTTCCATTACATTTGATGTCACGTTCGATAGGATGGAGTTATTGAAAAATGAAATTACCATTTTGAAATTGTCATCATTCTTCAGGAGTGTAAATGAAAAAACGACATCTTTAAATTTCTAAAATAAATTCTTTCAATCAATAAAGTAATTTTAAAACCTTCAATACAAATACTAGTGTATGATTTTAAAAAAAATCGTGACCCAAAAAGGGGAAAATATTGATTGGTCCAGTTTTATTTAGTTCTCAGGATTTTAATTAAACAAAAAAAAATTCATTACCATTTTTATCAATGTACATGAAAATGTATTAAGAATTTGTATTATTCAAGTGATAAAAATATAATGGAAATACAATTTGATGTAATTAGAAAAAACTTTTCAACAATGTAACACATTTTATATTAAAACTATCCTAGAATTCTACTATATACTAGGATAATAACAGTTGATTATACCACTTAAATCACAAATTCATAGAATGTCAAATTGAAAAGACACAATCACAGGGCACAACGAATTATAGGATTTATAGAAAGTAAAATAAGTGCACGTGTCTCTACACGTATAAACAGATTATAAGAGGAATTGTTGAATGTGTCACATGGTTCTAAGAAAAGCTTATATACCAGCTAATTTTTATGATTATTATAGGTAGTGGGTATGACGGGCCGAACTAATGCAGTGGCGAAAACACGTGCGCATCAAGTACGGTGGTCGAGTTGGTGTCGGTCAAGGACAACGAGAGGAAGGCCAGCTGCAGGTGCGCGTGGTGCAGTCGCAGGGAGAAAGGGGTGCTCGGCTGAGCTACGTCTGTCATCAGCCTCAACGTCGCAATTCCAGCCCGACAATAATGCTTTGTTGTGGCCGCAGAAAAGTGAGTGATGTTGATTATATAACTTTAAATCAGATATTATTCTATGAGACAATTCAGTATTTAATAGAACACTCGGCTGGTGAATGAAGACAATTGGTTGTTATAGAATGGTCTGTAGAGCAGGCAATGAAAGTAATACAAATGAAAAAACCAAAGACAAATGAATAAAAAATATGAGCAGAGAGAAAAAGAGATACCACCTGTGAAAAGAATCTACTCTTGTCAGTCTGCACGTTCTCTTCCGATTATCTAGCAGAGTCATGACATATACGCCAACTTTTTTCCTAGCTAGCTTTTCTGGGTCGCTGAGCGTTGAATCGTAAAAACTTGCCACCGAATAGCAATCATCCTTGCCAATTTTCTTCCACTGAGTTACTCGGCAATGATTACTAGTATTGCTTTGGAAATATATATATATATTTTTTTAACTTCTCGTTATCATTTCTTTCTCTATGACGAATAGGAGATTCTAAAGATTAGAAGAATACAATTCACTCACGGAAGCATTTCAGACTTGTTTCCATTAGGATTATTCTGGCTATTAGGCGCATTAAAAGTACTTCCCGTGTGCAAAGCAAAATCGGATAAGCCTATTGAGAGCTCAAACTGTCGCGTTATACAGGAGAATAGGCGGATGCATGATCGCTCACAATCGCATTAATTTCAGTCAGAGTCATAAATGAAAATTGTCTGTTGATTAAGGTTAAGATAAAGGTACAGTAGGAAAAAAAGTTATATGACTTGTTTATCAAGTAACCATCTAGGGTAACAGCAGCTGACAGTAGTATTCAATATTCCATTTAGCTCAAAATGTCTCTTTTTTCAACAACTTTCGTTGATAAGGTTTTAATTGATAATTAAAATTAAATTTGAAAATAATTTAATTATTTTTTGGATCATTGGATAAAGTGTTTTGTTAGTCAATAAGGTAATAGTTATTCAATTAAGTAATAAACAAATAACCAAAGATAAATAAAGATTATTGGGATACTTAAAAGTTATTAGTTGAACATTGATTTTTACAATTGATGGATTAAATTAAATTCTCATTATAAGTACTATTGGTAAATGCGTTATCTCTCATTGAGATTGGTGGTAAAACGTTGAAGATACTGCATAAAATTTATAATGAACCTTATGAGTTAAATGAAAATTTTATCACGTATTTATGCATGCTTCAATCTCTTTAAATTATTATTCATTCAGTTTAAAGTATTGTTTTTTTGTTAAAACAGTCATGATGTACTAATTTATTTTAATTTCTTTAACGATGTAGTTAAAATAACAAACGACATCGTTTATCAGGAAAATGCAGTGTAATACGAGAATTCTTGTTTGGAAACTACATTGACTTTTTCCGTAGTGTATAGGTATAATCATAAAGCATAAGAATGAAAAAAATTTTTTCACTGTTGTTTGTCTAACTGGAGTAATGGCTAAAAATAATGAACTGTTGACTTTTTGCTTGCATACTTTATATATATGTAGCACTTTTTTAGAACTCGATATTATATATACGTTCCTGGTATTCTGCAGTAGAATTTTCTACTGCAACTTCTTCGAAGTAGAACATGGAGTTTCGAAGCACGCGAAGCGGATGTTTTACGGTCTGAACGTATATATGCATGGTATAAATTGGAAGGTGAAGTTTTACTCCACCCTGCTAATTTCAGTCTCTATATATTTGTTCAATGAGTTAAAAAGAAGCTTCTTTAAATATGTCTTCCTCGAAAGAATATCAAAGTTGTCTTCATCGAAACTCGTAATTTTTTTTACTATTTCAATGAGTATTATTTTTAACTAGAACTTGACTGATTTATCATGACATCGCTTGTACCTGTACATAATTAATGACATAAAAGTTTGTCATGCAGTTGATGGAATCGAAGATTGGAGACAGATTGAATTTGATAACGCTTTCATTTCACTTAGATAAAATAAAACCTTTATTTAGCTCAGCTCTTTAATGCAGAATCAATATCAAATTATCTTCCATCACTGAGATACCGTTGGTGCTTTTCCACCTTTTTATCACATAAATATCTCTCTCTTTTGGCTATAGCATTTATCCTCAAGAAGAATTTCTAATACTCATTATCAGTAATTAAGTTCAATAAGATTCAATATAAGTACGTTTCTAAATGTACTAATGACTATATTATTGTAGTTAACAATCGTTAAGATAGAATATTAAAGTCACAGTTAATTATCTTATGCTATTAAATATTTACTTATCTATTAAATTGTGGGCCAAGTATCCGTAACTCTACATGCTAGAATTTCTTGATCTAATCAAAAGATTTAATGACGAAATTTCTACTTGCTAAACTTTATGATTGGCTTATGAAAATATTATTCTGCTATTTATATGCAATTGAATATTTTGAGGTTGGTTAACGCTTTGCTTATTATTTTAATAAATAAACTGTTTGTTGCATATGTTTTTTGGAACTGCATAAAATAGCAATAATTCAATTCACCACTACTTGTTCCAAAGTTAGACCATGATGCAAATCTCCATCATACTGAATCAATGTACTCTGTCCCTTTTGCAGTTTATGGAAATTATTATTCTTGCATATTCACAGGTCTAGATGATTAACATCTCTACTTCATAGCCTGAAAAATTCTCAAAATTTGTGATATTTTTAAAATTTCCTTGAAGAGATTCTTCATTAAATTTTTCAAAGCTAAAATTCCCGTCTTTAAATTCTAGCAAATTGCTTTTACATAAATACTATTATACTCATCTACGTTTAATCTTGTCTGGAATAAAACAAAATTGTTTCTGCATCTCTAAGTCTTCTTGTAATTTTCACTTTCAGAAATATTTATTCAATAACAATAATAATAATAATAATAATAATAATAATAATAATAATAATCATGAAACCTTGGATCTTATCAACCAGTAGATATTGTAATCCATCATAATTATATAAGCTATTATTAGGGATCAGTGTAATGTTTCTATGGGGTGAGGGAATAAAAAATTTCTAAAGAAAATGTCATTACTTGCATAGATTTTATGAACCATCCAACGATTAAGGCTGATCATTAAATATATAGTATAGATGAAGACAAAGAAATTTGAACAAAGACTTAAGAAGCCGGTGAATTGATGAAGATTGATCAAACTGAACATTTAAAAATGATTTAGTTCTATAACACAACAAAGATTAGACCCCGCCCTTTTGTAGATGACCGAAACTCTCGTCCATCCTGAAGATTATTAATTTCCCGGATCCCTGAGGTATATAATAGGATAGGTAAGGGTGTCCGCAATAATTCTGACGATGTTTGGTATCTGGTTGGTGAATTTACATCTGAGTAATTCGACTTGATTTTCATGTCCTCCTTCTCCACTTCTTGATACAAGCATGTCGGCTTGCTAAGAATTTATCAAGTGTAAACGAACAGGAAATAAAAGTAGAGAGAAGATGAAAGAAAGATAAAAGAATGCATTGACATCATAAAAATGCGTACATGTCCGTGAAATCTGTGGCATGCGAATTGGAATAGTGTAGTGGAGGTGCTGACGATGGAGGTCGAATAAATGTCAAACCACAAACGCGTTCAGACGTGAGAATGTGCATTTGTGTGTATTCCCCAAACGTTATCTCGCAAAGTAATATACGAGAAAGTTTCTACTTATTTACGGAGACTGTGAAACGCAAGCGCATTTGATAAAATGAGACTGAAAAAGGACTAGCCTGCCTCTGGTATTAGCTTGACACTCTTGTATACTCCAAACTCCGACCGTCAATGCCTGCCGGTTTGCGTACGCCTGCGTGTACGCCATTACGATCTCTTACACTACTAGAAACTGTCTGCCATAACAAGTACCATTACTACGTCCGGTACTACGACCGCTCACAGCCTTCGCTTTCCACCGCTCCTTTCATTTGCTCATCTCTTCCTTCAACATTTTTCTCTTTAGAATTACCAGCTTAATGAACATGTTGCAGAAATCATGATGAGAACAAAGTTATCGTTGTAATCAATGGTCAAAGTTTAAAGTGTAAAAAACGACCAAGGGATATTTTAGAGAAGAAAAAAATACGAATGAACTGGTGGGAGGAAGTGGATTTAAAGATAGATATTATGACGATAGAGGAAAAGAAAGATTTAACGTAGCGGTTGTAGGATATCGTACTCGCGGCATCGATGAGTTGAAAGCGAGAAAGCATGATAAATGACGTCACGACCGGTCGATAGTTATCCCCCACACCTTTTACTCGAAACGAGTAGTTTGAGTCTTGAGTATGCGCAGACCACAACTCGGATTTTCTTTAAGTCCGGAGGCTTCCCGCCATATTAGCCGACATGGGGAAGCATGATGTGTGACAGGGGTGCCACGGGGTGTTTTTTTTCTCGTAAGGTAATTTGCTCTATTTTATGCATTTATGCATTTCGCTTTTGTATTGTAAAAAATAGTATTTTTCAATACCCCGCTTATTTTATTGTTGACAGTAATATATACAACTCAAAGTTAATATCTGTAGATAGGTTATAATACCGAGTAAATAAATATACCGAATATTGTATATTTAGCTTTGAATACAATACAAAAAATTGTAGAACATAAAAGAGAAATTTCTTTCTCTTTTTTTCATAGGACTATTTATTTAATTAATTAAACTTACTTCAGAGAAATGTATTTTCGCTAGTGGGATTATTTTTAATTAAAATAAAGATAGTTAATTATCAAAATTTATGAGATAACAAGTTTAAAATATTTTATAAATAATCTGATAAAAAATAGAAAAGTTAAAAAAGGATATTTATATTTCAATGTTTATTCAATACATTTATTTCATGGGCTAATTTTTTAAAAATTATCTGCGTTTCTTTAAGCATCAATAAATTTTCATTTTATTCAAGAGAAATGTTATTTGTGTTGATGTTTAATTACAGAAAAATATGGAAAAATACCTATGGCTAAAATTTTATGAATGATTGAAGCAGAATTAACGTAACAGTGATAAATATTTAATATAAAAAATGAAATAAAAGCTCTCGGAAATTATTTTATGTATTATTTATCTCATGAATTAAATTTTTTTAATGAAATTACAGGAGGGTCGAGGGGAAGTTACGGACATAAGTGCAAGTCCTGGTCGACAGGCGCCTGCCAACCAGTTGCGTCCAAAAGAGCCACCTCCTATGGTCATTCAGGGAGACTTCAGGAAGGTACTAATTACATTTGAATAAATACATTTCTATCATCTCTAACTTGGCTTAGTCCACATTTTCGACTGCTATTTAATCCATATATAAGCAACATTTCTATACACCTATAGTAGAGAATTTCACAGGTGAGCGGAATCAGCACGGAAATCTTCAAACAAATCGAGACAGTTGAGAACGACCATGATGCTTCGACTGCGGCAGCTCTTGAGGCGGTGGAACGACGCGGGGAAATGGTGGTGCGAGTCATCGAACCTCGACAGATGGGACGACAAGCTGCAGAGACAGCTAAAAAATTTGTTGCTTCCCAAGTAAGGCTTCGCTAGACATTATACGATATCTTTCTGTCAGAATCCAATGTATGTGTATAACATTCGATTAATATCTTAGGATCCTAAGTACCCCATTTATTTTGTGGAGATAATAAAGCGACCAGGCCAAACATTGGGTTTATATATTCGTGAAGGTAATGGCGTTGATCGTAATGATGGTGTCTTCATATCCAGAATAGCTGTGGAATCAGCAGTTTACAATAGTGGATGTTTAAAGGTCATTTTTAATTTTTATTTTCATTTACACTGAAAGTTTTACAAACTGATTGGAATCATTTGAAAAATTATTCATTTTTTATTTCTTTATTGATCACAAAGTTTTATTCAACTACAAAAGATAAAAATTTTAATTATGTATTTAAGTTAGAAATCAATATTTGATTTTAATCATTTGGATTCTTCATTTTTGTCGAAAACTTTGCGTATGCTCAATTAAGGACGATTAATGTCATTTAAGTTTTATTAGGAAAAGTATTATTTAAAGTTCAAATCAATTGAAAAAATGTTAGACTCTAGACTGGGCTAAAAATCACTAATCCTGAAGAAACTTTTTTTATATTTATAAAAAGAAAGGCTTTCCTTTTGACCTACATATGGATGATTAATGATAATAATCTATTGATTTCCAATCTTGTTTGTACTCTTCGTGTAAGATGAATGATAAAAAGATTATCGAAAGAATTAACTGGAAATGTGATAATAAAAAAGTGTAGGTGGGCGATGAGATTCTAGCAGTTAATCTTGTGGATGTGACGCACATGAGTTTGGATGACGTAGTGATAATTATGTCCATTCCAAGGCGGTTAGTTTTAGCTACACGGCATGGTCCGCATCAACCAGCATCTCAAATTCGCCAAAACGAGCACAAAGCACCGCCAGTGGTGGTGATCAAACGAGAGTTGAATGAAGACGAAAGTGACCATACAACAAGTAATCATATAAGGTATACTAAAAATTAAATAAATAATATCAATGTGAATACCTTATTATACTGAATTATAATTTTGGTTATCAGAGATAACAATAGACGAAGAGTTGATGGCAGGGAAATGCTTTCATCTCGATCACGGCTTGGTTTAACTGGCTTAGAGTCATCTACACAGGATCTTGGTGCTAGTAATGGTGATCTCTATTACAATTCCAGACCTGAAAGCCACTGGTCTTATCAACCACCGCCACCTCCAGTTATTACACATCAACCCAAACCCGCAGCTACTCAACATTTCCAACCGTACGAGAGAGCATATCCAAAGACTTTGGAAAGCCTTGCAGAAAAAGTAAGTCAAGTGTCTATCATTTTCTACGAAGACCATTTGCATAATACTTTAATAATCGTGACATCAAAGGAATTGCTTAATATTTCCTATCATCTAGAACGATGTGAATCTTTGTTGAAACACAAAAACAAAGACTTTTATGTCATGATGATCATAGAGCTTGGCTTTAAATTATAGATGTTCTAGATGATGTGAACTAACAACGCACTTTTTTTTACAACTGTCTGCACCATTTGACATTTTTTTTGCCCTCTCTTAATTACGGGAACGTCCATCCGATTGTCACACAACCATCGAAATTGATTGCTTGTTTTACATCGCACATTATATGCAGTCGGTGTACACAACAGCTATTGCCTCCGAGTCGTTTGGATGAAAAAATTTACCATTGATTCATTTTTTCTGTTAAATGTATTTTTCATACCTCACAGAAAGAAATATTTTTCTTTCAATAAAAAATTCTTTTTAATCAAAGTCAACATTTATTATATTTACATAATATAATGTAGCGGACAAATAATGAATGTTTATTATATATTTTATTGTGTGAGTTTTTCTATCAGGAAAAAGTTTAAAAGTATTATTGAAAAATTAAAAAAATACATGTTTGATGAATTTAATAATATATATAGAAATGAATTACTTGAGGGCTTAAAGAGAATGTGGTGGTTCATATATTGGAGTAAACACCATTTAAATAATGTTACCATGCCTATAAATATTAACGTTACAAAATTATTATTTAAAATTGCAGAAAAATTTCATTGAAGTAATATTTTAGCCATTTACTTTATCGGGTGCCTGATAATTGAATTATTTTTAATTCATTAAAACACGTAATATAATAATACACATTCATTCATATAGATCTGTGGCATATTGAAATCACTATCAAATCAATAATAATTTTTATTTTTCCTCATAGTCGTTAAGTTTATTTTGATAATGTTAAAAATATTTATTAATAGTTCCATTAATTCAATACGATAAAACAATTATTCCATAAATAAATGTTTCAAACAGCAGCAAATGATAAATTCTGCTTTTATGTATAAAATTATTCAATATTTTTTGCGAGTGTCTGGATGAATATTTTGTTTTGAAATGAAATATAATAATTATTATTGAACCATAAGTATTCCCAACGACCCGGAAAAATATCAAATATAACTGTGTCCCCCATGACGTATTCGACGAGATTTAATAACTAATCGGTTCTCAATAAATGCTTCGTTGATATTATCCAGGATTTTATGAAGGTAAAAATAACAATAACTTTGCTTGATAAGTATAGCCTTCGTAACCGTATATTAATGTTTACATCCGTATTCATGTGTATATATATATATAATAATAATAATAATGACAATGATAATAATAATTTTATGTGGCGTGTTACCCTCATTTATGTAAACTACTGCCAGAGCTTTATCGATATTTTTTTCTATCATTTTTCAAATTGTCTGCAATCTTCAATGCACTATCTATATTTCCTTAGCTATTTTTCTCTTTCATTTTACATTCCTTTTTATCTATGTCGATACGTCATTGACTTTAGCTCCAAAAAATATTTTTTTTCTAAAATGCAAAAAGCTTTTTTCGTCTGAGTTAAGACAATGGACGCTTAAGAGGCACTTGGAGCTGAGTTTATGATGCTACAGGCTTTTAGATTAATATTAAAAACAAATATAGTACGTCAGTATCATTAAATAATGGTATTTCACTTAGGTGCATTCATTTTATACAAGTCCAATGATGCCTAATAATGGCAATCGCCGAATGTCATCCGGTGGAATGCAATCTTCAGTAGGAACTCGATTATCAGGTCAACCTCAAGGATATGGGTATTCTCAACATACACCAAGTGGAAGGATAATGCCAAGGAGTGGCTCAGATCAACATCTACCACGAGTAGACTACACCAGCATCACAACGCCTGCGCGACATACACTTTTGAGGTCAAGTCTAAAATCAGGTATGTCATTTTATTCAACTATAGAATTCCAATTGTCTCATCTTTATTATTGTCATACCAGAAATTATTTGATTGCTCTTTTTATATTTTCCAATAAATGAGAAAATATTATTTTTAGTTAAATTTTTATAAATATCTAAGTAAATTTAACTTTGTCAAATTCTCAGAAAATATTTGAATATTGGTAAAAGATTTGAAATAAAATACTTATAAACTCCGAATTAAATAGTTGATGATTCGTGAATGTTTAATCTCACTCAATCTTTCATGAGAGAAAATCCTGGATCAAAGCTTTAAAAGTAAAATTAGAGTAAAAAAGTTAATACTATCTCGTAGAGTAAACTATAAATCAATAACAATTGTAGAATGAATTTAAATATTCAATGAATTATTCAATTCATCCAGGATCAGCAGCGTTACGATACAATACGAGATATGCAACACAAACTGATAGTACATCGGCATCTAACAGAAATCCTAGTCAATTTGGAACGCTTACGAGGAGACATCGGCCTTCTTTGGATTATGCATCAGACACAGAAGCGACTTGTTCTTCATCACCTAGATCAGCTTATTATTATTATAGACATAATATGAGGGAGCAAACACCAAGCAGTGCTGTTTCTCATCTAGCTACACTTTCGAGAACTCAAATAGGACAAAGCACAGGTGGTTTAAGGTCTAATTCACTTCCAAGAAGTAATAGAACGTTGCCACAACAACCACCTTTAAGACCCGGACTTAGTACAGTCGCTTCGGGACTCATTGATCAAGAGGACAGTGATGGAGCACTTTCAGCACCTGAACTACCCGCGATTAGGAGAGACAGAGGTATAAGACAATAGTAATGACAAATGTCATGTTAATTGTTACTCTTATTTTCAAATTTAATGATGAATTGATGCAAATATTTCATTTATCTAACATTTTATTCAATCTTTTTGATAATTAAATGTTTAAAATAATTAATTATTCATGCGAAGAAAATTTCCATTAATTAATATTAAACAAAAAACTACTTTTTTTGTTCTTCAAATGATAATATAATAAATTTTAAATGTAATTATACTAAATTTGAAATGAAATATAATATATTTAAAGGCTACTATTTTGCAACAATTTTTCCATTTCAGTTAAAAGTAATGTGTAGAGTGATTTATTGATTGATTGTGTAGGGAGAATACCCTCGTCACCGAGTGTATTTACTTCTGATGAATATCGAGCGTGGTTGAGCCGAACACCAAGCACAAGCGCGTTATATGAACAGATAAGAGCCACGACCACTAGACCACCACGATATACTTACAGTGCTGAAAATATTCATGCGGCTGTTAATCAGGTTAACGTCTTTTTTAATTATTAATAAATCATAAATGCTAATGTCAATTATGCTAATGAATACTTAATGTTTGTTTATATTTTGGGGGCTCATCAGAAAGGGGATTATGGAAGTTATGGGTCATATAGGCCACTTCCTAGTACGCTTGATAGACTGTCTACAAGATCAGCATCTGCGCAACAAGTCAACTTGGCAAATTTGAGAGCTTCCACGGCAATTAGTTCAACATCTCATCGACCAGGACCAGGTCAAAGACCAGCTTCAGTAGCTTCCAGTGCAAGATCAGTTTTAAGCGGTCAAAAGCCTTCTTTAAATACGACTGCTAGTCAACGAGCTAGCTCTGTAAGACGAATAAGAAATTTTTTGGAGCTTGAACAAACGAGAAATATTCCTACGCCTACACCAACAAGAACTCAGGATCAAAGACTGTTAGATATTAATCCTGCGGGTAAGTTTTAATTGTGTTTAGTTAACAACCATAAAAACTTTATTACCTAAATTTTCCCTTATTAGTTTGATGAGAAATTTTAGCTTTAAGGTACAGACATTAATAAATGACATATTAAGGAAGAGTTAACCACTACTTGCTGTTAAAAGACATATGCTTCAAGTGTTAGCTATCAAATAAATTTCATCATTTTTTATTATTCAAAATAATTTCACATTTAATTAAGCTAAAGATAATATTATCTAGTAGCGTGGAGAATATTCATATAAGGCATTTTTTTTTAATAAAAACTTATTTCATTTCCATAAGTATTACCTCGGGATATTATAAGGAATAAATCTCATGGCATCATAAACTTTCAGATGAACATCTTTTTACGTAAATATTATTTGATTTCTTTGAAAATAGAGAGCAACTTTATTATGCTAAAAACATTGTCTGGACATAAGAAATTATATATATTTTGAAATATTGTAAAAAGCTTAAGAGATTTTTGAGAATTTTTTCAAAGTTAAAGAGCATACAGAAGTGGTTACAAAAGAATTGCAAGGGATTTTTAATAATAGTATATTCTCATTAAAATGAATTGAGTTGTTAAGAGGATGATATACATCATAGAACATGCATATATATATAAATGCATTTTTTTTTTACAGAGTTTCTAAAATATAAAATAGAAAAGCCTCCAACAGTTGGTACGCCCAGTTCAACAAGTTCTCTATTGAGTTCTCTTGGGGAGACTGCCGGTAGTGATTTTGCAAGCGGTGTCAGTGGGCTTTTATGGGTTCATCTTTTAGCAGGCCGTGGTCTTCGATCGACAACTTCTTCCTCAGCAGCAACAACACCTTCAACTCCATCGGGGCAACCTAATTTGAATACATGTGGCTTAAGAGATCTCTACTGCGTACTTGAGTGTGATAGGGTACATAAAGCACGTACTGTCGTACGCACGGGTGATCTTATGTTCGATTGGGATGAGACTTTTGAACTTGATTTAGTTGGAAACAGACAACTTGATCTATTAGTGTACTCTTGGGATCCACAACACAGGCATAAATTGTGTTATAAAGGATCAGTGCACCTTGCAACATTACTCAAAGAATCTCCAATTCATCAATTAGCTTTGAAAGTCGAACCAAGAGGAACTATTTACTTGAGACTCCGGTATACGGATGCTTATCAAACGTTCAAAAGACGGGGACTTCCTGTCATATCTTTAGCCACTAGACTCGCACCGCTTTTCGGTGTTGATTTAGAAACTGTGGTAAGTCGAGAGAGCAAGACTGGCGGAGTACCTGGCGGAGTTTCGACAGCTTTAGCAATGAGTACTACTGCTAATATTCCAATAATTGTATGGCGTTGTGTTGAAGAAGTTGAACGACGGGGTCTTGATATTATTGGATTATATAGACTCTGCGGGTCCGCAACAAAGAAGAGGATACTCAGAGAAGCCTTTGAGCGTAACGCTAGATCAGTTGATTTGACTCCTGATAATGTACCGGATATTAATGTTATTACCGGAGTGCTCAAAGATTATCTGAGGGAGTTACCAGAACCACTTTTCACCAAGTGCCTCTACCAGATGATGGTTGATGCATTGGCAGTATGTCTACCGGATGATCCACAAGGCAATGCAAAATTAATGTTTAGTATTCTTGACTGTTTGCCTGCCGTAAATAAGGTTAGCATTCCTTAACAGACAAATCCTTTTTTCTCCTTTGAACACTAATAATTAAATGATGAATCATTATTTCCAGTGTACATTAATTTATTTATTGGATCATTTGGCATTAGTATTACAACAATGTAACAAAATGTCACCAGCAAGTTTGGCAATATGTTTTGGACCTGTACTGATGCTTCATTCCGATACCGACTCGAATTTGGATTTCCAACAACCTATTGCAGTATTAAAATATCTCTTGGAAATCTGGCCAGTCAAGTCAGGTAATGTTTTCATTAAACATTACGCGATAACTCGGTACGAACCGAGTAATCAGCGGGTCCTTTCACAGACAGTTCGGAAGATTTCTTCAGTCGGTTCAACACTTCCTCGAGTTACGCCACCAGTAGGGCTCACCAACAGTACCAGCAGCAGCAACATCATCAGCAATCATCAGCCATTACAGCATCAACAGCATCAATTGCCACAGCAGCAACATTATCAGCAGCTACATCAGGGAACATTAGCGCGAACCGGGCTGCCTTGGCAGCTTCCACCCTCACTTCATCATCCGCCACTCATTACAACACCAGGGGCGTACGCCCCATCCACTCGTCCTCCATTACCGGTCAAACCGCGTCAGGTATTCGATTATTTCATACAATTTCGACCCTGAATAAATAATAGATTAAGGAACATTCAAAAGAAGATCAAGTTTTAGAACAGAAATAAACTTGATGCATGACATTTTCATTCCCCATTTCATTCATCATTTAGCTAATGCTCGTACGGAGATTTTCATTAATTATTTTGGTTACTATTGTATTGATTCAAACGTTTTATTTGATACTGCTTTAAAATTTTTCATAATTTCACTTTTATTGCTTTGATTTAATTCAAAGAAATTTTTCTTATTCAAAGAAAGAAAAAAAATCGTACTGCAGACTGCTTTATCTATTTTTAATTATTCGTTTCTTTTTTTTTCACACTTATTCAGAGCAAACGCAAATTACCGGCTCTACCGAATCGCTGACAGCACAGAGACGTCGCTTCTTGCACAGGTACTCAATCCTTATCGTTTTTTCCCTTCAGATTTTCTCGGATTTACTTCTCTCCTTGGCTCAGCTGATAGTCTTATAAGTTATAAGACTTATAAGTCTTATAAATCTTTTTTCATCGAGAAACAATGAATAAGTGAAACAAAAATTTTCCTCACTAAATTGTGAACAGATGAAGAAAAAATACGATTGTCTTGCGCCTGTGAGAAATACTACTGACTCTATATTTTCCTTATATTATTTTCCTTTGTTCTCTATGCCTCATTATTCACGTCAACTCTATTCTATATATTTTTATTCCTTTTATTATCTCTCCGTACGATACATAACTTGAATTGTGACGTTAATTCATCATTCATATAACCATCCTAACGATATTGTTATAGCATATCTTTCATTGTTAGACCAAATTGCTATAATTGTTTATTCTGATTATCTCTCGATCACCAAATGATATAGAAAGAACAATCAAAATTGATTTTAGAACTTGGAAATTGAAGAGCTTGAATTTTTCAGAAAATATTTAATATTGATTTCAAACACTTGGTGATTTCGTACATAAAGTAAAAATTTATAAAAAATCATCCAGTGTTCAAGAGTACGAAAATAATAGACACAAACTTTCAATACACACTTCAATAATAGCAGATTCATCAGAATTTAAGTTGAAAAATGTATGTATGAAACTTAAATAAATTGAGTCTATATTGCTGTTACGTACTATATTGTAATATCGATTTGAAAAAAATCAAAACAGTAAAAATATTTGAATTGAAGTATATAATTTTTAAAAAATTTTTCTCTACTAACAATTGTAATAAAAATAAAATTTGGTAATCAGAAAATATCATACAATATTCAATTGATAGATGTGAATTAAAAATGAAAAAAAGTAGAAATTCAGAGTACGATGATAGTGATATTAAATGAATTTTTTCAGATGTAGGGAAATAACTAATTAGTGAACAATCAATGATTGAATAGGTTCATTGATGACTAATTATCTGAATCTCATTCTAAAAAAGCAATAATTATATACAGGTGATAGTATCGTCTCCCGGTTCACCTAGCAGCGAGGAGTCAGCTTCTCCAGAGCCAATTAATAAAGACAATCGTAATGGACTTGGATTGACGAATGGTGCAGTGAAGCTGATAACTACAACGTCATCAATAGTCACTACATCGTCAACAACATTATTGAATTCAAATCCAACTGAACAAGTTACTCCAACAAGTAGTGTTGATACGGAAGAAGGAAATCCTCCGCATCTGGAAGAACGTGAACGAGGTGTAGAAGCTGATGTTGAAGCAAGTGATGACGATCTCATTTCTAAACGCAATAATAAATCATAAAAAGCATTGATTCAAGTACAGGTGAGGATCCGAACGACAAAAATTAGGATGTAAGATGAAAAACTACGGAAACAATAAATAATCAGCGAGGTTGCATTATAAATCAGTTGATATAAGCTCGTTTAGTCTTGATCAGAAGCATTAATGAGCCAAATTTCCGATAAAACCGTATTTCACAACGGATATTTAAGTATCATATTACCAGTAATTACATTTCATATTGTAACGATATTAATAATTCATAAACATAAAGTGGATTGAACCATATTACATTTTCCATTTCTCGTCTACGTAATTTTTATTGAGAAAAAAAACGTATTAAAAAAATACCTCCTATTAAAAACATTAGATGCTTTGCAATTATATCCATTCTTACCAATTTATAACAAAGAAATATTGATCGTTTATAATAACGATATGTTATTTATAAAAAAATTACCTGTTATTTCACACGTTTTTTAAAATCTTTACATCTACTTCGAAGTGATTTTCTTCTTTGTAAAAATGACTTTTTTCGTAGAGTCTTTTTAACATATAATTAAACAAACAAAAAAAAACACACCCACACTCAGTACTATGTTGTTTTTTGCAACTAATCGCCAAATAAACATTTTTACATCTTCAAAATAACAAAAAACAAAACTATTAAATTTTACTCAAAACAACTGACAGTTGGTTAATTAATCATGTAGTTTGTTTATATGACAAACCAGTAGTTGTAACATTTTTCTGAGTGGATTCATTATTAATTATAATCCTAATAATGTTAATGATAATATTGATTCAATGAAACGAAACACAAACGATTTTAGGAGATCCAACGAACCAACTTTGAGAATAATTTCAATGACAAAAAACACCTAAAGAGAACGTGGAAGGTGACGTAAATAATTTATATGACAAAAAATTGTATACATATTATATATATATATATATATAAAGAAAAAAAATAATAATAATACATATATATATATATATATACCTATATATATGTATACATATATATGTGCTTTTGATAATGATTATTAATAAAAATAGCAGTCCGGTTCATAAATAATTACAAAAATTATAGCATTAATGATTGATAGTTGATATACATAATTAAATAGAGCGGGAAAAAATAAACTATATAAGATGCATATAAATGTATACTTGAATGTATATAAATAAATAGAGCAGCAAAAAAAGAGAAACACTAATAAATAAATCTTGATGATCGTTATATGTCTTGATAAGAACAAAAATCGTGTGAAGTTCATCAAATAAAATAATATGATTAACAATAATAATTATGTTGTACAACAAAAAACTATTAGTTAATTAATAGCCAGTATTATTATTGCATTTACACGAAAGCAGTTGTTGGCCGTTGCAATTATTACATTCACACGAACATATAATCGATCATTTAAACGACTGTAATTGAATAATTGTATTATAAATAAATTTATAAAATTAAATTCGCACAGTTAGGTTTATTGCAAAACAAAAAAACGTTATTGTAGAGTATAATATTGTTGTATAGTCAGTGTATAATAACAACTTGTGTAGCTAACATTTTAGCATAGGTAATTTTTCCTGTTGTGATTGATTTTTTCTGATGTCAATGCGAGATTGAAAGTTAAGTAGAAAATATTCATATTTATATATAAATGATTTGGAAGTTTTTTTCTTTATAGACGCTTTTTAGGATAAATTTTTTTTTATTCTCTTAGCCATCAAGAAATTTTATTTATGTACATTAGATAGGCGGATAGATCGCGTTATGTACGTACGAACTAAAAAAGTAAAATCACTAAAATCATAACTTTAAAAAGAGTGTGAAACAAACAAATAAATAAAATTATTATTAATAACAATACGAGAAAGCACACTGCCGCAATTTTATAAATTGATTGTTACTAATCATACAGGATAAATTATATATTATAAAAATCATATTAAATATTGTATCTCGCTGCAAAAACAATGTCTCGTTATAATAGATTTAACGAAATGCTGTCACAGTTCCATATGAATTTTCGGCTTTCAAATAAATTGATGGTTTTGACAGCTGATAAATAAAAATTTGAATAACTTAATCATAAAACATAGCGGTATTTGCGCGGTACCTGGAATTTATAATCGGTGCCGACGATTTCCAGATAGTTTTTAAGTTATTAGAATTTATTGAGCGCACATTTTCGATATTCAATCGAACTGAATTTATTTATACAAGCCAAATCATGCGTGACTTTTTTTGAATAAAAATATATATATATATATAGAAAATTAAGAATAAGAGTAAATATGATGATATTGATAACAATGTTACAAAAAAATGACGAAATATTGAAAGCAAATAAAAAAGTAATGGTTTAAAACTGATAAAAAATTGGCAATACTCATTGAACTGTATTCAGATGGAAATTGTAGAATATAATAATGAAAAAATACAGAGTAACATGGTATACTTAAGATTAATAAAGAATGATGATTACTGCAATCGTGAATAATTGATTAACATATTGAAAAGTAATAAAAATGATGATTAAAAGAAATCATGAGCTACCAGAGAAAAATCAGAAAATGGAGATACTGATTCAAACAAATAAAAATATAAATGTAATTTTTTTATTATATTAAAAGCCATTGGCGTTATCTGTTTGTCGCGTACAAATCTCATTGTCAACTCATAACTTACTTTTAGAGTGAAAAGTTGAAGAGAGACTTTACCAATAATCGAGTGAGCAATGGCTCAAAATCAAATGTATTTTGGATTTATTTCTATAGTTATGAAATAAATATATATATAAATATAACATTATTATAACAATAAACAAAAAAAAAAGATATTTTTGAGTCATTATTTTTTAAAGTAAAGATAAACTGGACGAAATAATTTTGACATATATATTTTTTTCTGCTATCCAATTGCTTTGATTTTTAGTCAAGTTGCTTACTCGTACAATTAGAAAAGAAATAGTATTAATGCTAATATTTAGATGAATAGGTGTACAAACGAATGTTTTCTATTTGAATGATTTTCTACATATTTGGTTAACAGAAAAATGATTTGACAAAATTAACATATCAAGTAGTTGAATTTTGATATTATATGATAATTTTTCAATCGAAAATTTATAAAAATTTTTTGTACAGCTATTTAAATAATATGAGTAGACTCGATTGATACTATTTTTTTTCTCCATTCGTTTTGAAAAACTTATAGCCCTTAAAAATATACACTATGGACCATGTATGTCATATTAAGCCGTTTTTAAAAACAATTTAAATCATATTTCAAAAGAGCGATGAGGAGAATGAGTAACAAGCGAATGAAATTTTGCCAGAAAATATGATTAAAAATATTTCAAAAATATTGCATTCAAGTATTTGCTTGCACTAGATACTTCATTACTACATCTCTGACTTTCACATTCGCCAACATTATCTTACATGATTAAAAATAATTAAATATATCTATATATATGATTAGAATATCGATTGGTACAGTGCAAGTGTGTCACAGCTTCTCATCTGTGCCTCTTCCCAAATGCTCCGAATACATATCTCCCCTAATATTCTATCCAGCATATTTTATGGAAAAAGTAGTCGTCAAATCTCATGATGGAGAAATAAAATTTTATTTATCATTAAAAAATACAAAAATACAATTTACAATATACGTATTAAATTATGTTTAAAAAAAATTGAAAAATTAATGAAGAAAAGGTAGACGATTGACGAGATACCGATCTGGTAACATATCGATCTTCATACTCAAAAAGCAGAAATTACTATTCATTGAAGAGAATGGATTTAAAGTTGCTATAGAGTTTATACAGTTCCAAATTGTTTTGGAATATAAACAGTAGCGATAGTTCTACCTTATTAAAAGTAGATTATGTCCTACATATCATAGACGACGGGGAGAAAAGCAAAAAAATGATAAAAGCGATAACGCGGGCCTACTGCGCATGTTTATTACAAAAATCAATGCCGATTTTACTGTACTCAAGAACGAAATGTTAAAACGAATGAAAAATGATTTTAAAAACTATCTAAATTAATTGTAAAGAATATTGAAAAAATTAAAAGATAGAACAGCTGGCCTTTTATTGATAGCATTTTTAATTATTGAATTACTTTGCATTTATATTATAATTAACTTTTGTCAATTTTTCTATTTATACATATCTGTTTTTAATTGATAATTTTTTTAAGTGACTGAATGTGTCGTAAATATGACTTGACTGTGTGTAAATCAAGCATTTATGAAGGACAATAATTAACTCCTCTGCTGTGTGTCGCGTGAAATTAAAAATTATTTTAGTTTGCATACCATCATATTTTTTATTCATACGAATCATTGTTGCATGAACATTTCAAGATAATAATCAAAGAACAAATGAAAAAATTCAATTGGTTAAAATACAAGTTTACGAGGGCCTAAATAGTTCAAAGAACGATAATAGCAAAATTTTGACAGATAAAATGACTGGTAAAAAAATGTTAATTCCATTAATATGTAAACAATAATGGCATCGATTTTTCGACGCCTATTAAACAAAATAAAATAGGCAGTCATACATTTTATCATCTTATTTTTGAAAATAAGAGAAACATTGATATCATTAACTACATCATTAATTAAAATATTATCATTGTCATTTGTCATCATCACCGTGCGAGTGGAGAAGCGTGTATTATATGTACCGATAATATAAAACTTAATTAAAGGTGATTGATAGACACTTATAACATTTAATACGTGAAAACGATGAGAAAACATACATAAGAATGGAGGAAGATTAATGTTAAGCAAGTGCATCGTACTGCCTCTTCCTCGCGCCACGTATTTATGTGTAATGTATCAAGATAAATAGGTTTTTCCTATGCATAACTGTGAAGAATGAATCATGAGATGACGAGTACGAAACAAAATAAGTCATATTAATCTAGACAGAAACAATCAATAATGATAAATAATAATATTGTAGACAATTGTACTATGCTTCGAGGACAGAAAATTTTTAAATTAACTCAATAATTAAATCGCATGTAAATCGATGTAATCGATGGAGAGTAGTTTTGGCAATGTGAATTGATAATGAATCATTTAAAATGATTGATTGTACATTAACTGTGGTATATGGCAGCTTGGCTTCATAATGCGCCTGAATGAGCTCGAGAATTGATAAAATCAATAATGAAACAAATTACACAAATAATGTAGACATGAATTTAAATATATATATATATATATATATATATATATATATATATACATATCTAATTTGAATTATTTATATATGTATACATATATTTGAATAAAAAAAAAAAAATAATTTTAAAAATAATGGTGCCAGTGATGGCTGAGATGACAACTATATCTATCAGTATTTATACGATTGTATGGATTCTCTTATTTATAAATTTTCAGTATATAATATAAGATATAAAATTCTAAGTGACGATTAATGTGTTGAGTTGTGAGAGATGTGGAAATGACATAACAATTAATAATATCGATTATTTATGTCGTTTACGCAATTCCGAAAGTAGAAATTTTAGTAGTTGGTATCAATAATATATATTTAATTGTACAAGCAAAATAAAATATTTAAACAAAAACAAATTAACAGTCAAAATGTAACCGATTTTCGATCGCTCTGTTTCAACGTAAATTCATTTATACGAAAAATTGGATACATTGTGGAAATGTATTCCTTTTAAAAAAAAGTCAAAAGCAAAAATAAACAAAATGGACTAGAAATGTGGAAATAATAGATATGGGGGTAGAAAAAAGATTTTAAAGCAAAAATATATGACAGTGCTCTTATAATAAGTCGATTATGAGTCAGTGTAGAAATAGTGCCGCATATAAAAAAAATGATTAAGGGTAGTTATATCGTTGTTTTGTTGATTGTTTTTTATATAGACTTTATTGAAAACCGTCTCCACGTCTCGTACGATACGATTAGTTCAGGAGATCGATGCGCGATTTAAATAAATCAGAGAATATTATTTTATTCTTTGGAAATAAACTCGATGTTCAAGCTAGTGGAATTTCTTATAACGAGAACAAAAACAACTTTTATCAATAAACGCGCTTTATAGGAATTTCGGAAACGGTGCTAATTATAATTATAAATATATCTTAATCTTAATATATAATAAAAGCAAAAGCATTTAATAAATAATAGATGATTTTAAAAACTGAATATACAAAATAAAATAAAAAAATTTTTAATATAATTATTATATACGATCATTTGAAACGGATCGATATGTTTATCAAATAGAAGGAATCATTCGATTGGCAGTTTTTAAAAAAGATTGTATCGAATTTTTTCTAGAAAAAAATATCATTAGGAAATTCATAGTCAATAAATAAATGAAAAAAAATAGTCAAAGAATTTTGCTTCAATTCAACCGCAATCGTTAGTAAATTTTAATTGTGGTAATCAATAAAAAGTAAAGTATAAATTTCGTCCCAACCCGAGTCGAAATTCTAGTCGCATTTTAACTCACTACATACGCTATTGAAAGTTTGACGAGTTGTATTACATTCAAAGATTTAAAGATAGGGAATTATTTGATAGTTTAATCTTTAAATAATCCGCGATTTGGTAACTTTTGCCACAAAAGACAAGTTGCGGAGGAAAAAAAGACTAATTGATGTCAGTATAACACGCTAGACCCTCTCAATCAGACTTTCGATAGATAATCTAGCGGATCTTCAATGGGGTAAACGAAAAAAACAGAGACAAATGAAAGATCAAAGAATAGCAGGTTTAGCAGCTGAAAATGCTACCAAAATTTCGACTCGGGAAGATTTAGATAAAATATGTTAATAGTGAATTAAAAATTATTTTAAAGAAATTTTAAAATAAATAAAATAGAAATAACTAGTCCCGAAAAACTTTATTACAGCTCTTTTAGAGCATAATTATTAGTGTAAATTACGTATTTAAATGCGTAATAAAATCCCAGTGCAATTAATTTAAGCCCCGTAGCCCGGAAACGCTCGCGATCAGTTAAAAACTCGTCACGAGACGCGGTCACGGGTGCCATGAGTATTTTTCTAAGTTGCAAAGTATAATAAATTAAAAAGTCGTTGCATTATCGTTATTAGAGAGTATATTAAAATATATGTATATGTAAAAAATATATATATTGATATTTTAACTAGAAAAGTAAATGAGATAATGTTATGGAGATTATAAATGCTATCGCGTAAATATAAAGAATCAGAGCGATCGGTGATGATCGGTTGTAATTAATTGATTATGTTTAAAATAATATTCAGAAACTTAATATCAATGTAAAAAAAAAATGCGCGATGAAAGAGGCGTATGACGAAAAATAAAATTAAATAGTAAATTATTTATTATTGTGATCAACGTAGCCTATTGTATATGCAACGTTCGATCAAATCCGAATGGTATGTATAACGAGCGCTTACGGTGATAAGTCCTGGAGCAATTTTTAGTGCGATAAATAATTATAGATGTGAATGAGAAATAACGAACATATAGAATATTAAATTATGTATAACTTGGTTCCGAAAAAATGCTATGAACATACGTCGTTCTATCATTCACCTCACCTATAATATACGATGTCATAATACTATGCTGCCATACATATAAATTTATGTCTACAATAAGGAGTATATGACTAAAATATTTCAAATAAATATGTTATAAGTATACATTTATTTATCTATTCCATCCAACCATCTTTCAATAATCTATTTATTCATTCTGTTATCTTATTAAGTACTAGTTGTCAAAATTTAATTACATTCTTTAGACACTGAATTAAGAGATTATAAACAACAAGCAAACTCGATATTAATGAATGGCTATTTCTTCTAATGAAATTTTTAATTGAGTACTAAATTTCAAAAGCAGAGAATAAATTAATGAATGAATTAGAAAACTTTATAATCAGATAAAGAGAAAAAATAGAAACTTACAATTATCTCTGGTGTTAAATTCGGACACTAGTTGGGAAAACTATAGTTTCAAGATTTTACGAATTTTCCTGTGTATCTCGTATAATCGATCGACAATATTGATATAATACAGTATTTTTTTGCTGTTAACAAAATCTTTCGTTTTTGAATTTACAAGGAAAAAATAATTAGCTATTCCAACTTGAAAATACATTTTTGGATTTATTAAATGAGGACAAAGTATAGGAGTTCCCAGGTATTGCTGTAAGTTCAAAAATAATATTTTAATGCTTTGTTACCAAATTTTATAATGAAAGAATTTGATAAATACACTGACCTCATCTGTATTATGAAAAATCTGTATGTCATGATCTTGGTTTGAAATAAACTTGTATAAAGATGTTTTATTTTTAATCTTAAGAAATTGTGGGTTTTCGAATGCAGATTTTGAAATAAGAGTAGTTTTATCGAACTTTGCTTGATAATTGAAGGCATCTTTATTAAATGATCCGTAATAAAAAATAGCTTCATCTATATCTTCTGCACAATTAAGATATCGAATAAAATAGATAAAAATAGTGCAACAAAAAATATTTTCCTTTCATACTTACGTGAATTTCCCGGTTTAACATGTACACATTGAGAAGTTATGAGATAGTCAATTTTCTCTACGATTGGAACTAATTGAATAGAATCTTTCAAAATAAACGGAGTCTTTAAAATTACAATAGCTATGGAATCCATATAATTTTTGATGTTATTATCATCATCTTCAAAGATAATTTTGGAAACTTGCTTTCGGATACAGGAATTTGATGATAGACTTATTTTTTTCGTAATTTTTCTGCAGTTTGCTTCAATAAACACGTCATTTGAATTTGCACTAAAAAAATAAAATTTTCAATTATAATTATTAAATAATAAATGCTGTAATTTTTTGTATTATTTAAAACTTTATTGCAGTATTACTCAAAAAGATAATGTGGTGTTGTAATAACTATATGTTCACGAAGGAGAGTGCCAAACATCAAATCTGTAAAAAAAAATCTATCAATTATTATTTTTTATAGTCAAAAAGATTATTAGACAAGAAAAAGTTATTTTAAAGTAATATATTTACAATCATCTTCATCGGATATTCTTCTGATTGTAACAGTTGTTGCATCCACTCGAGGAGTAGCTCTACAACATTGAGATAATTGGATACAAACTAAAGTCAATATCAGTAATAAAAATATAAAAAAATTCATGATCAATTCTAAAACTATATTGAAACTTCAAGATTTCTAATTAACTTTATTTCAATATTTGAATATTTTAACTTCAAGATTTTTAACAGTTATTTCATCTAATTGCAGGTAATTAAGTAAAAGAAGAGCGTCTTAGAGAGTTTCAACTTTATCAGGAATTATATAATCAAAATTATAACAAAACTTAATTCATTTTTAGTTAACACTTAATTATAGAAAGTTCATAAACTTATCGGTAATTTAATATGTTGATTATATATAAGTACAGCAGGTAAAATAAATCTTAATTGTCGTTCAAATTTGTTTAATATATCGTCCAATGACCTTATTGTATCACGTGCATCAAGTCGAAATTAATTCTCCTTTCAACAGATTTTTTATTAAGTTAATTATGACACATTTAATATTTTTAATACTTTTATTCAACTCAAAAAAAAAAAATTTTTATGAAAATTAACATTCAAGTCGCATTTTACGTTCAAGATATTATGAAATTAACGATAATTTTAAATATTAGCATAAATGGAAAATTATTACTTTTAAAAACTAGAGATTATTAAAAACAACTTTTTAGAAATGCTGTTCAACGGTTGACTATTTCCAACATTTGAAACCCTTCTAAAAAAACCTCAACTATTTAAAGATCATCGTTCTTTCATACTCGTTCAGGTAACTTGATCTTGAAACTGGCATGGCTAGTTTTATTAAACTTATTGAGTACGGTACTCAATGCCAGATAATCCGAGCTTCTTTAAACGCTAACTTGTTCAACAAATATTTTGTGGTATGTCTCTCAATTTGTTCATAGTATCAGTTGATATATATAATTTGTACTCAATTAAAAATACTATCAGACAAAAACGAACAAAGTTATATAACTAATTGATGTGCTTTATAATTTTTCGCTTTGAATTTAGATGTAATTGAACCTACTTTTCCAGTTTGAATAATCCAGAAAGCTTTTTTATAAAATTGTTTATAATGCTAAGTAAAGGATGCAGTTATGTACAGTGTATATGGATAAATAGTGAAAGGTTGAACATCATATCGAGTGATTGTCACTCTCTACCCCTCGTCTAGTTGAGTTCAAGCAAAAATTGCATCACATGAGCGCACAAATGACTGTCAGCGAAAGTATTCATTTACTGAATACCGGAAAACGTAGCTTAGAAGTCTCATTACCTAGTTTACCCGTGACTAAGTATAAATGATGATAAAAATCTGAATCTGAATTGTCAGAGATGATAAATCGTTTCTTTAAATCATTTTCAAGTTAAATAAAAAACTTTCAATACTATACACCAGACATTTGTGTGCTCTCAATCACTATGTATGTTGTTCGCAAAAACATTTCGTAAGATATATGGGTACGTTTTGTAACGGCAACTCTATAAAGACCACATAATAGCTTCTTGCATCGACAGCAAAGGATTGAATAATAAAAATCACTTTTTTTAAAGAGTTCGTTGTCTCATGTATACTAGGCATTCTAGTAATTCTGATCTTACTTACCACAGGTTATGGGGTCAATTTTCTTCTGAATATCAAAAGTGTCAGAGTATTCTAACATAAGGTGCGGCAACGAGAAATTCCACGGAACACACGAACATGATAAATTGTCATTTCTTAACGCAATGAAAATTGTTTGGTTTTACTTTTTAATTTTTTTCATTTTCTATACATCCTACGGCATTCAGAACAATGGTAAGATATTATATTCTGATTTTTACTACAAATCAATGATTAATAGGTCACCTTGCTAGATTATTTGAATATCAAAATCGGATGAATCAAAGACGATCTAAAGGGACAAGTCTCCAGCCCAAGATATGTTTTGGTAAGTTATTTAATTTTTTTTGAAAGTATTGGCATTCACATAAATTTTTTAATTGGAAATTTCAGAATTTGTAGGATGTTTTGCTGATTCACCACAACGTTTATCATTCAAAAGATTACCAGAGCATCCAAAAACAATTCAGACGAAATTTGTTCTTTACACCAGAGCAAATCGGGCTAAAAATAAGGAACCAGAAATGTTATACTATGATGATAATTCAAGTTCCATGATTAACTCGCTTTTTAACTCTTCTAAGGCTCTTAAGGTCATAATTCATGGTTTCAAAGGTAGTGGAAAAGATATTGGCGTTGTTACTGCAGCCAACTTGTTGCTTGACCTGGTAATAATAAAATCAAGACAATAAAAATTCACTTATTATCAATAGAATATTTTGAAAAATACAGATTTTATTTTAGGAAGATATAAATGTTATCATATTGGATTGGACCAGAGGTGCTGGGACAACTTATCAAATAGCTGTAGCAAATACTGAACTCGTTGGTCGTCAGTTAGCTGTAGTTTTGCTGGGGGCTATTAATTTAGGAACAAAAGTAAAAGACATTCATGTCATTGGATTCAGTCTTGGAGCACACGTGGCAGGATGTGCATCTGAAGTACTCAAGACTAAAAAGCTCTTGATTGGTCGCATAACGGGACTGGATCCAGCTTCTCCATTCTTTCGTCGACATGTATTACGAGAAAGATCACAAAAGTTGGATTCCTCTGATGCCAATCTTGTTGATGTCATTCACACTGATGGAGCTGAAGATTTTACTGAAGGTTTTGGACTTCTTAAGCCTATTGGACATATTGATTTTTTCCCAAATGGGGGAGTTCAACAGCCTGGATGCAATGATATAAAAAATTCGATTGTGTACAGTCATTTTCACGGTGAAGTATAATTTATCTTCAGTCTGTTCTTCATTCTATAAAAAAAATTATTTTGTGATTAATCAAAAAATAATTAAAACTTTGCAGAAGATATTTTGGATAGAAGTATTGCATGTAGCCATGCTCGGGCTTGGGATCTTTTTGTAGAAAGTTTACAAAGTCAATTTGGAGAATGCAAGTTTATTGCTTGGCCGTGTACTCAAAGAGATACTTCATTTGAACAAGGCACTTGTTTTCCACCAGAAAATTTAAAATTTTCCCAAGAAATGGGCTATGCTGCAGATGGTGGTCCTTTGGGAATTTTTTATCTTCCAACGAGAGCTGAATATCCTTTTTGTGGTAAACTTACTAAAATCAATGATCTTGCCGTATTAAATATACTGGAAATTAAAAAATATATTACTAATTAATTATTCATCTTTGTTAGGCGATCCTTTAAGAGCATCAGTAGTTGTTGCTAAAAGTGTTCTGAAAACATTAGGCTGGCTATTTATAAAAATTCAACATAAGAATGAATCAATTGTATTTAACATATTATGCAAGTGAGTAAGATAAAATCTACATAAATTATTGATCATAAAAAATACGTCATTGCTTTCATTAAAAGACTTTTAATGATTTGATTGAAATTTTCATTGATTTAAATTATTTTTATTAGCCTAAAAAATCGTTTCAATAAGCCATCGATGTTTTATAATATTGCTGCAGCTAAATTTAATTCAATAACAGCGGAAACAACGTCAATTGAAGCTTTGGTGTGGTATCAACCAACAACTAGAGAGCAGGAAGAAGCCTCTACTCAACGTTCTCGACAAGAAGTATTAGTAATTGACAAACTTTCAATTGAAGATCGTAAAGAGAACAGGTATTTTAATGCAAACATAATGCATGTTTTATTCATGTACATTATTTTCATCGTTTCTATGCGTTTATAATAATGATATTCTATGCGTTTTTAGATGGGAATTTTGCAGCAACAATTTCTCAATTAATCTTGATGGAAAGTCAGTAAAATTTGAAAAATATGTCGATGGATAAAATATAATTTTTTTATTTAAATCATTGTATAGTTAGTTGGTAATCAAAACATTTAATAAAAATTAAACAAATTGATTAAAGCTGATAATTTAACTGTATTGATTTTTCAGAATCTCGAAAACCAACAAAAAATACTTCCTCTCACCTTTAGTTTAAATAATTAACTTTCAAACCAGGATTTAATTTTATGACCAATATAACCAGTTTCTGTTTTCAATAAAATTAAGAAAAAAACCACAATTATTTTAATTATTTAAAAAATTTATTCAAATTGACTTATAATTATTATCGCTGATTGATAATAATTTTTTAATATTTTAGGATTTTCCCATTATTTACAATTATTCTTTAACCTCAAAAACTATAGTATACTCCAAAAAGCGACAATATAATAAGATGGAACTATAGTAAACTACAACTAGAAGGAGAGTGATCAGGTGGGATGGAATCAAGATGACTGGTACTGCCACCAGGTGTCGCAAAGTCGAGAGAGCTGTGTGAGTATCGCATTTCTGTAATGGCCACCGTCTAGCGTTGTCGTTGAACTCGTTTTGAGTGCAAGAATGCAGAGTTAATTTTTATGCACGCGAATCAATTGTGATTAGTGAATTAAAAGTACATTCCTGATAGTTGCCAACGTGTGAAAAAAGTGTCGATAATAAATATAACCTAGAAAATAATTATTTTATAAATAAATTCGACACATTCTTCCACTGTTTACGCATTGCAACAGTTTTTTTAGTGAATACAATTACTCTTATCTTTCATTATCTAGTGAAAAAACAATTATGGTGATAAGGAATGGAAATTACTTTTAATTTTAGGATAGATCTAAGTAGTATTTTTACTTTAACAGTACTCCAAATACTCTCTCAAATCTGCTGAGTAAACAAAAGTGACAGCACGCTGTGTCGATTACGTTTGGAATCTTGAAAAAAGAGCTCCGAGTGAACTTCCCAACTTCGGGGTCATTGATTCTCCTCGAATTCTATTTATTCCCTTGTGTAATATTGAACCAATGATAACAAACTGTTGGCAGAATGTGACAATTGTATTGCAACACCTTGGAACAAATATGTTTTACGGTGCATCATTAATGTAATAATGATTATACTGCACTTTTCAATAAAATTATAACATCAAAAATAAAATTGAAAAGATACAATAGTGGAAAAATATGAAATTGTATTTTGTAAAATACTTCTGACAACAAAAAAAACACCAGGAAATTTTTGTTTTATTGAACATTTTTGATAAAGAAAAAAAAATGACAATGAAAAGTCTCAGAAGTTCTATTTGCTCTTGGCAGTCCAACAGTCTTCCGCAATAACGTTAAAAAATGCTAGGCAACGTGTCTGCATCGAATGCCCCTGGGCCTCCTGTTAGTGTATTAAATTCAAAGCCAGGAACTCGGACTTCCGGCACGTGTTTGTCGTGCTTTTCAACTGATGAAAATACTGTTGTGAACAGTGAAGAGAAACTCAAATCTTGGAGAGCTAAGGATATGGTGTCTGTAGTATCAGAAGCACCTACCAATATACAGGTGCCAAATACTTCATGTGGAGGAACTCCAGAATTACAGTGGCCTTGTAGGACAGAAAACACAAGTCAAAAAAATTCTTCCAACGTTTCCAAATTTTCCAGTGACTCAATCATGAGCCCAGTTAATAAAATTCCTTCGAGACCAAAGTCTCCACCAATTATTATTTCAACAATACATAAATGCTCGTCAAATCCCAATTGTCCCGAGCTATCTGCTAAATCGAGAGGAGATTTTTCCCACAACAGTGCTTCCAAAACAATAAAAAAATCCTCTTCTTCAAGTGTTAATTGTTTGCATGAACTTAATAGCAGAAAAGAAAAAAAGTTATCTGTTGTCCATCAAGATTCTGTTGCTAAGGAGCAACGGACTTGTAAATCGTTAAAAGATCAATTCACGAATAACGTGCCAAATTCAAAATCAATCTTAACTTTAAGATCTCATGAAATGTCAAATAATATTGATGAATTAACAGTCGGGAATTGTGAATTTTCAGGACCTATGACTTCTAATAAAGAATCATCGTCTTTGAAATCACATCTGATTTCATCAAAAGAATCTTCCAATAATATTAATAGTAACAGTATTGTTTATCGATCAAGTGCAGCTGAAAAAAAATCTTCCATACCCTCGACAGAATTTTTAACATCAACATTTTCCAGAGAAGAGCGAAGACTTGATGAGGAAATTCAACAAAATTGTATAAACTTCTTACCACAGGATTTACCTACAGAATTACAGTCTTCCCCTAAGAGCTACAAGGATAGGGAAAAGTGTCGTGATCCTTGGAGGCCCACTGAGCTTGATGCTAGTCTATCTTCCTCTATTGATAGATCAGCAGGAGATAACCTTCAGGAGACAAACACAAAGAGAAGAACTGGTGCTTCTTGTCAAGCATTAAGGCATGCTGTCGCATCGCTTAATAGACTAGATGACTTTTATCTTGAGAAGATTGGCGCTGGTTTTTTCTCGGAGGTTTTCAAGGTGATATTTTAATCATTATTATTCCAAGTACCATTAAATTAACACAATCATTTTTGCAAATTGATTTTGTTGATCAACAGCTATTAATTATTTATTCTGACAGTTAGATGTCAATAAATGGTTTCAAAGAGATCTTCCTATAACAGTCATGAAAAAATCTTTGTCATTTAGATATGACTTCTGATAATTTTTAAATAAACACGCAAATATGATCAGCATAAAATTAATATTTGATAAAAAATTTTCGTCTAGATGAAAACAATCTCTATTTAATTTACTGTTATCTTTTGTGATAAAGTTACTTAAGATTCCTTGTAATTTCATTCTATCTTTTAATCTAATCAAGATTGTATTTTTTTCTTGTGTTATATAAGTTTTAAATGCTCAACTATAAACGAAGGGCTTCTAAAAGGATTTTAAATTATTTTATTACTCAATTTAAACCTTGAAGAGATTATTATTCGTAGAACATTTTTAACTTTATCATTTTGTAGTTATAAATTTCTCGTTACTATCACGTTAACAAACCTGTCTCTTATCTTTTGAATTAATCTTCTTGTAGATTAGATACCCCTGATTCTAGTTGTACGTACAGACACTTGCGATATTAATTACGAATATATTCACGTGCTTAGATATTGTCAGAAGGACATTTGATGATTTTAGAAACTCGTGTAAATAATAATATAAGAATCGATTCAATAGTAGAGTCATCATTTCATATTAGGAACAAAATATTATTTATGTTGTAATCTTATCATTTTGCTTTCTCTAGATAATACTCGATTTTTGCATGTAGTTCTTTTTTTGTTACTCTTTTTTTTTCTTGGCTCGATAAATTTGTGAAAAATAAATCGCAACTTCTGGCTTTCATATTTTTGGCAACTAGCCTTGTTTTCTTCTGTTTAAAGAGCTCAGAGCTTATAACATTTTTTTATCTCGAATCATTTGCAATAAGATATAAAAAAAAGTTACTTACCTTTTCCAATAAATTTAACACGAATATAAAATATTTTTAGTGCTTTTTTATTTATATATTTACTTGTTTTGATGGAAAAAATATTTATTAGATTTTTTTTTAGATTATTGAAATGCATTTTTTCACCTTCTAAAAAGATGTATTTTTTATGGGATTTTTATTTTTCAAATGAAATAAATAAAAAACTCATTAGTTATCTATTTTTTTGAGTTATTTATACATTAATTTTTCAAGTTATAATTTTTGATAAAAATTTAAAGAAAGAAATATTTGAATTTTTTAAAATGAATTAATAAATTTATATTATCTGTAATTTGGCATCCAATCCATTACCTGTCTAGTGAGGTGCCAGAATTTAATTAAATATTTAACTCAGCAATGGACACGTGTTTATAGCAAGAAAAAATATTTAAAAACAAAAGTAAAAAACTCCGAGAAAATAATTCTGGTTGACATTTTAGTACGTACGACTAATGTCTTTATATTTACCATCTAAAAATAATTGAAGCCTTGAAGTGTACAAAGTATATTTGTTGGGGAGTTAATTCAGATTCAAGATAATGAAGCGTAAACTCGAAGTCAATTGATCTTGAATCCTGAAGAATGCGCGCAGTTGAAGTGATCGAATAATTCATCTAGTCACGATCGACTGTTCAAGATGATGATCGTTGATCTGTAACGCCTATATAATTTGTCTCGCACGACCGATGCTTCATGAGTGGAAGCAAAAGAAGAAGAAGAAGTTAAAAGATAATTTGCAATGTACTGCATCTGCGTAAATGAGGGAAGAGGATACCCAAGTCGACAAGAGATGCGTTACCCACGCAATCTATTTTCAAATCGCCGACCCACCTCTTTGCTATTTACTGTCGACTTTTCCTTTACCCCGAGAGCTTTCGTCCGGCTAAAATCTCATATTTTAATGTGCCGATCATCATCATTTAGACTTGGCACTTGTCTTCAAATTTCACATGTCATAAAAGATATTGAAAAATCAGTTGGTTTAAATAAATCAACTTATTTTTCATCATTAGCATTATATTCTTCATCTTCTTATTTTATTCAACTCTACATTGTATAACATTTAAATTTTAACGCTATAATAGAGCCCCGACCTCTTTAAACATCTAGATTTTGGCGGAATGTTGGAGATTATGCAACTACTGGTTGTCTTGCACAATGTAGTATTTAGCAAAAGATTTAGTTACACTTTCTTCAGGAAATAATACCTGAATTTTTTTCATTTTTTTTGTGATACTCACACGACTCGTGTGGCATCTCAAAGTCTAAGGGGTCATCAAAAACTGCTATATCAACATGCATACTCATTAAAGGAATTTATCGGTGATGTGGAAGTGAATTTTTAACTTCCTGAATAAATAATTGCCGCATCCTCGCACACGAGAACCTCCGATGGATTATCGCAACAGTCACGAGCGTGACGAGTATCGGTTCGTTGAGCGAGAACCAATTGATCCAAATATCGGCTCTTGTCTCATGATTTTTTTCAACTTATATATTCTTCAGGCGGTGTACTGATGTTAAAAACTCTTGGGAAACTTTAACGTATTATTATTTCTGTTTCATCTAATCATAAAAATATACGTGAAATATAGTTTATCTTTTGGAATGTGATCTATAAATAGTATTGAAAGTTTTTATTGAATTAACAAAATATTTGGATAGATAAAACAAATGATAAAAGTGTTTTATTTATAAATAATATTTTATTTTTAATCGATGTTTATCTGAGAAAATAAAAGGATAGATTTTGGTGTGATAATGCAAGATGTTTAAATGGTAGAAATTTTTTCAAACTAAAAAAAATTTCTACAATGCATCGAATAAAATGGTCTTCGTGTTGAAAGTAATTGCGATCAAAACAATGGAATTATTTTAAGTTTAATTGAACTTTCTATGAAGATAAACATAAATTTTATGAAATAATTTAATTATTAAACCCCAAAAAAATTCTCAGTTGCTATTATTATCACTAATAAAAATGAAACTTGAAGAATTTTGCAATAATTAATTGCTGAACTTCTTTAAAAGTCTACAAATAATTTCTTCAAAAATAAAAGAAAAAGTTTTTTTTTTTCATCATAAAAATAAAAAAAATCAATTTTTCGTAATTTATTAATTAAAATGTATCGCTGACATAATAGAATGCGGCAAAATTAGCATCGACCTCATCTATCATTTTAAAATTAAATATGTAGTTGATTAAAGATCATTACAAGCACGTGATCGGAGTCTCGATCGAATGAACACGATCAATTCTTACGGATAATGATCACTAAGATGTAGCAGACGTAATTCGACCCCGCGGCTGTTAGAAACGACCTTGTCGGTGATTCAAGAGGAGAAGCTGTCGCGAGAGAGGAATATGCAAGTGGGGATGACGCGTTTTCGCGGTATTTCTTCCTGGCAATAAGAATGTTGAGAATAGACGTGAAAGCCGGTCACGCCTGGTGGTCATGGAGTACGCGAACACTCTCTAATGAGCCTCTTACGCTCGTTCGCTCATTTTCGTTCCCAACCGGCAGCTAAGTTTTGCCACACGTGGAACAACTGTAGGATGCTCTCTCGAGCACGAGGTGTTGTTAAAAAAAAAAATTTTTTTCAAGAGTTTGTATACTTTTGCTGCACTTATTAGATAGTTAGGAAAAAATCTATACGCTCAAGTGGACTCTCATCTCGTCAAATTAGTCATGAAATGCATCACTTTTAACTCGAGCTTTTGACATTGCCTGTTATAAAAACCAAGTTCTTTTTCATAGAAACAAAAACTTGCTTGTTATTCAGAAAAATCACGAGTGGTAATATTACGACGATTTCAATTATTTTTATTTTAGTTATATAACTTGAAAATCATTCAAGATGTTTTATTTTTATTAAAATAATTTTTATAAAGGTTAATAGATTATTTTCAAAATATGAAAATTTTTTTTAATAAAATTATTATCAATTAAATTTTGTTGAGAACAAAAAAATTATTCTCTCGTGTGATTGCATTAAAAAGAAAAAAATTAAAATTTTTCTTTGCGAAATAAAAAAGAATGATTGAATTATTTAAACATGGACTTTTAACCCGTTAAATTAGATGCGGATGCATTGCTTTCGAGTCAGTAGTTTTTGTCATTGTTGATATATAAATGCACGGGAATGCCTTTTTTCATTGTTGAAAAGAAATATTGTTAAGACGACCTTCAGAAAGAACTGAAGTATAATAAGAAGGAAATAAAAATTCTAGACACGCGTGTATGAGTAATCGTACATATTTACTTGCATTTATATAAAGTACTCTTGAGAGATTTCGCAGTACATGCGTGTTTCCGGCCTGAAGAATACTCCAAGCCAGCGCTCGGAAGTCTGTTTAGAAATCGCAGGAAAGTTGCTAATTCATTCGTGTATTCCCTATCTTAGATACAGATGATTGTACATCTGTGCAAACACGCATTCCATCGCCATTGTGTTCCACTAAAGTACAAGTTAAAGACTTGCAATATGCTTTTATAGCACACCAGAAGAGCACCAAAATGATTCGCAATACCCTGGTGAAAGTCTGAATGTGTCACGTCCCACAGGATATCAATCAAAAATTTTATGATCTCGATTGGTGAAATTGTTTATTTTAGGGTAAGCTGAAAGTCGATCAATTTCTCACGACATTCCTTTGCTACCACGTGATACTTAGGGTTTCCGAGAGGAATTAAATATTGGAATTTTATGCACGCGTTGTTGATAAAGCTGCTTTTTAATTTCCGCATTTTTTTTTACCAGATTGAAGAGGAAATAGATGATGTAATCATTTGAATATTGGAAAAAAATGAACTTATTTATAAGGTTTTTCTTAAACAGATGCAAAACAATTTTTTAAATTTATTTTCAGCTGAAGGAAAATACTTACATTAAAGAATGAATAATTTGTTTCTAAATTAACTATAATTTCGAATAAATATTTTGATATTTGATTTTTAAAATTTCAAATTACATAAAATCTTCTATCTATTCTAATAAACATTCATTTATATAATTTTTGTAGCAACTTTAGAACAAAATGATGTAAAAATTGTTTTTTTTTTAAATATTTATCTATAATCTTACAAATTTATTCACTGTATAAAATACTTGTTTCTTAAAGGTAATAACTTATATGTTAAAATAAACATTAAAAAAAAGTAATTGTAAAGTTGAAGATATAGAAAACTAAAAATTTTTTTAAAGTCTTGAGTAATAATCAGCAACATAAGATGCGCAATATCTGAACTTTTAATTTTTAAAGATACATTTCAGTGTGAAAACTAGTAATTAAACTGTTTTTCCATTGTTAATTATAATAGAAACTTGCATATTAGATAATATCCAATGCTTCTAATTAAGAAAATATGTATAAAAGAGTAAACATTTGTAGATAACATTTTAAAATGTTTTATTATGCAAGTAAAAATTGATGTTTGATGTGAAAGTTGATTGATCCATCATATATTACTACATCAAAAATTGGAAAATTATTTAACAACGATACTGAGAGTATCAGTTAATAAAAAAAACATGATATTTTTTTAAGGAAACATACTATCAATTGAGTTGCTTTTCCTACTACTTATAATCATCATTACTTGATCTTATACGTTACATAAGAATTGTTTTTTTGACTTTAAAATATAAGTGCATACAATTAACGTAATTTATTATTCTATTTAATCATTCTGATGACATTTTGATTTATCTTAGTATTGAATCACGAACAAAAAGGAATAAAATAAGTTTTATTTATTATAAAGATACGTTGAGAAATAAAGAAGAAATTTTTATAAAACTTTTATATAATTAAATAATATAAAAGGCAAATTTATGTAAACCAGGATGATATAATTAAGTTTAAAAAAATGGTTCTTTTTAGACTTCAATAGTCGTTATCAAGTCAAATTACTGTACAAAGTCTACAGAAATTAGCTATTAGGTCATGTAGCAAATATTGACAGAGTACATATTGATGATGTGTATTGCTAAATGGTATCATATGAGTTGATATAAGAATTAATTGATAGAAAATTTTTGCTGGGAACTTCTAGTGTTTATATGAAATTGATGATGTACAGTTTGAGTATTCGTCATGATTTGGCTGGCAGCCAAGTAAGTCAGCTTTGCCAAAGAATTTTGGCCGGATAGTCTTTCGAATTCAGGATTCTTACATGCTACATGTCCACGCATTTTCCTAGACAGACTTTAAACTATAGATTAGTCTTTTCTCGCGTAATACCAGGAGGTCATCGTGCCAACATCCTACATACATATAAATGTCACAGTTGAGTCATAAAGCACGTTGCTTTCAATTAAAGGATGTGATGACAAGCTTTTTGCATTTAAATAGATTATTAATAGTCGTTGATATTTGACGTAAATTACAAATGTGGAAAATTTTTTCAACCTTGGATTTACAATTATAAAAGCGTGTTCTGAATACAGGGTTATGTTTATTAGTCGTTACTATTTATATACTGGTCAAAAATACTAAACTCATCGCTTATAGTTCCATTGAAAATTATATTCTATTCACTTGAATGGAAAGTAAATTGAATAAGTTAATTAAAGTTTTGTCAATGGAATGAAAAATATATCTACTACAAATTTGTGTGTGTGTTTTTGCTATTAAAGTATTGCATTCCCAAACAATAGATCAAATATTTGTTCTCTCATAGTTTCATTAATAACAAGTTTCTCTCATGTGAATCACTTTTAATTCTCACATTTTAAGTAAGGCATACATGACTGAAGTGAAGGCGACATACCTTTCGCTTCAAATGGAATCTAGGAGATCCTTTGTTGCCCAGGGGAACTTGATTATTTGGGAAAATTGTTTAGAATACGAATCCCATAGATAATCCAATGTGTGAGAAAGCATTAAACTTTCTCCAAGAATTCTTGAGCGTGTTGTAGCATGTGATAATACGTAAAATGTAATCCAGATAGGAAGGTACCTTGGTTCCTCGATTTCTTCGGCATTGGAAAGTACTTTAATGGTTTGTTTACGACATCTAATATATTGGAAATCGATGATGTTAATTTTTTAACAAATTATATTAATCAACATCACCAATATAACATTAATAAATTTTATTATATTGCAAAGCTTTCGTTATTTTTTCTGTTCGAATCGCTTCGTTGATGAATATTCTTTTAGCTAGACATTAGATTGCCGTAAGAGGAACAGAAAGTACTTGTTCCATCTCGCGTAACAATCTTTTTAAGATAATTACTTGAATGCGAAGAGAAAATCGTATTTTATATACACATCTGCTGTATGAGCATGCAATTAAGTCTTAGGATGCCTTATGGTACTTGACGTAGCGTATTATTCTGCAGTTTCGAATGTTTAATTTTAGATTAATATTATCTTTGCAGGTTACTCACAAGGTAACGGGACAGGTGATGGTTCTCAAGATGAATCAACTACCTGCAAATAAACCAAACATGCTTAAAGAAGTCCAGTTAATGAATAAACTCAGTCATCCTAATATACTTAGGTAAGTTTAGAGCCACTCTAATCATCATCCCTTAATTTAATTATGTGTGCCACACAATATTGATCCAAACAGTTATACTTGTTTTTCATTGGTCTCCTAATTTTTTTTTTATCTAATTTTGTTCTTCGTTCTGAAAAAAAATCTTATCTATAAAATATTAAATGAAATTTTTTAAAATTAAACTCTAGAAAATACGTTGTTTAAATATATCATAAGATGATTTATTCTCATCTTAGGATGCATGGAAAATATTTATTTAAATATTTAATAAATATTTTTATTTGAATATATTATTTTGTAATATACGATTCAAAGGAATTTCAAATTGACGTTTATTTCTTTAATTCAACTTTCTATAAGATTATTTAATTTTTATTGTTGAATATCAAGACTCTACATAAATAAACAGAATAATTATGTGAAAAGTGAAAAATATAAATGCTGTTTATCTCAATTAAATACTCCACAAAATCAGGCCAACAACCTTTATCAGTAAAATTATTTTTAATATGTCATAATTTCTAGAGGTCATTCAATGTCTGCTGGACGTCTAACCTAATTTGATACTTGTTCAATTTATTGCCAAATGATCGAATGATGTTTATTTTTATTTTATTTATTACTATCATATTAATTTAACCGTCTCATTTTAATGTTTTATGTCTTCAAATTTGCGAAATGCTCTAAAGAGGTTTAATGCACCTTAATCCCATAACAGATTGCTTTCAAAACATTCCATTGGCTTCATAGTAGTTAAAGTCGTTCGATGACTATCGCGTTTTTGCAAAATCTATGCCACTAATACCTCCGTAATTACTTGTGTCCCATTTCTCGTTGAATGGTAATTGTAGTATTATATATTTATATGTACTCACATTTTTTTTTAAAGCTTCTTGTTAAAAAAAATGTTCGAAAAGGCTTTGTAACCATTCGATCTATTGTGTAGATGGTCTTGAAAAAATATTTTTATTTCTACGATATACATGAAAAATGATCAACTTGTCCTAGTTTATCATGATGTACTTGTGTCTCCCTCATTGCTTCATTGCTGTTAATTTTCACAACATGCACATAATGATAAACTCTCTTTACATATGCGACGAAAGAAGTTTCACTACTCGATCGACGGAAGTATATAATTTCCTATAAACATTCAGAAAATATTTCAACGATGAAATCGTCAATTTATAGTTATAGTTATCGATATTTTTACACTGAATACAGCTTTTTACCACTAGAAATCAGGACGATGCCTTCTATCTAATTTTTTAATTCACTATTATTAGTTTTTTTTAATTAGTGTTTTTAATTGTTAATCAATCAATCATGTAGACATAATTAACAGATTTAATCACTCAACAATTTTCTTGTTATCTCTCATGCGTGTTTTATTATTCCATAAATTAGCTAAATTGTATACCGTAGTTTTTTTTCGTCTTAAATAGAGCATGTATTTAGGAATGATCAAGGTATAAAATGGATTCTTACACTTAAGACGCAGTATTCGTTGATATTGAATCCAAATGACTGATTACGCAATGACCAATACAGTTTGTATAGCAATCAAAGATCTACACCCGTGGCCAAGTGGGTCACAAGCCTTCAATTCTTGACCATACTCGACTACCAAGGTCACAAGGTTTTATACGGAAGAATAACGAGGAGAAGTCGTACAATTTATCAACAGAATGAAAGATCATGTTGAATATATACATTTCAAGTCATTAAAAAATTTTGGATTCTTAACACATTTTCTATTTATGGAGAGAATACAAAAAAGAAACTTGTGAATTATGTGTAAACATCCTTTTTTGCAAGGTGTTTCCTTGCGTAGAATCAAAGGTTCCGAATGATAATATTAATTAATTTATTCTTACTTCATATGCTAATTTTTTTTTCCTGCCAGATAATAATCACTCAGTTATTTTTCATGCTGTCTATCATGTGATCTTTTTGTGAGAAACAATTATAATTACAACTGAATTGAATTCATGTATAGAAAACAATTATTAAATTCTTCAAGGTATAGATTTTTTTCTGTTAAATGTAAATGAAAATAATGTGTAAGAAATTTACCTTGATTTTTTCCAAGACAAAAATATCACCCACTTCATACGAGGACGTTTTGGGCCATTACTCTAGAAATGGAAGTACTAAATCCAAATATACGTATAAAAATTTCTAGATATAAGTTTCCTTAAAACATTTAACTCATGTCTAAATCTCTTAAGTTAAATTTTTTTAAAGTTTATGAGCTATTAAATTTTATACTACAATTTTTTTTTAAATATTGATGATAATAAGGTAAAAATTATCAGGCTATTACTATATCACTGACTTTATACTTATTACCTATTGTTACTGAAAGTACAACCATATTTAATTTTTTGTATTTTTAAATTCTTTGAATATATCAATGTATCGTTAGATCTATCTTTTACCGTCTACTAATCAAACGTCACCGTAAATGCACTCATTATCCACTGGTCGTTGGTTAATTATTATTCATTATAAAAGCTAAGGCTCTGTTTATATGAATACAGGTCACTTATGAAATTCTTGGTTCATTCTTTAAATTAAATGTACTGAAATATCACTAAACTCATTCTTTCACTAACCATTACTCGAAATTCATTGTATTTATGCTCATTACCCACCTCTAGTCAACTTATTATTATTCATTCCTGCTTATTATAAACATAGTGCCAACTCCAAAATATTTCCAATCTAATGATTTTTGTCACGCTTCCGTTAACATTAAACTCTATTTTACTAACGATAAGGGTCTTAATATTAGCTTTCGTTGTTATATACTTTTATTATAGAAAGTAAAAAATAAACATTCAAGGAAAGTGAAGCACTATCATTAATTAATGAAAATTTTTAAGCTGGTTATTTGTACAAAACTTTTACATGCACTCAATTAAGTAATTTATTCACAGATATAATTTAAAATCAACTAATTAGGAGAAAATTAAAACAAAGTATACTGTTATTGGTTTTATTTATGGCAAAAAAATAGGTAAAGTAAGTTGAAAGCAGTTAAAATTTAATTTTTTTAAATGTGTCAGTTAAATTGTTTTCTAATAATACTGCAATATAAATTACAAGTTTTGTTGTTTGATGCATAAATCTTGTAGTAAATGTTGTTTTCAACCAACCTTTTCTACAGCGAGGCATCAAGCTTTAAGACTTTCACTGTAGAGAAATAAAATAATTAAATTATTAATTTCTCGACAGGTTCATGGGCGTTTGTGTGCACGAGGGTCAGCTACATGCGTTGACGGAATACATAAATGGCGGCAGCTTAGAGCAGCTTATAATGGCAAGGCATACACCGCTGAGTCATCTGACGAGGATGAACCTTGCCAGAGACATAGCTAGAGGGATGGCATATCTTCACAGTCGAGGAGTCTTTCATCGAGATTTGACCTCGAAGAATGTCTTAATCAAGCGAGACGAGGCAACTGGTGATCTCATGGCTGTCGTTGGAGATTTTGGATTAGCTGCTAAGATTCCTGATCCCAGTTCGGGCTACAGACTCAGTACAGTTGGTAGTCCTTATTGGATGTCACCAGAATGTTTGAAAGGTCAATGGTATGATCACAGGTCAGATGTCTTTTCTTTTGGAATTGTCGTTTGTGAACTCATTGGGCGAGTTCCTGCCGATCCTGATGTGCTTCCACGTTCTGACAACTTTGGCCTCGATTATCTTGCAGTAGCAGAAATTTGTGCTTCAGCAGATCCACCACCAGCCTTTCTTCAACTTGCTTTCAATTGTTGCACGGTGAGTAATTTTTAGTGGTCATGTTTGAACGACCTTCGAGTCACTGCCAACATTTACAAGTCATGTTTATTTGATATTCAGTCTTATCTTTCTTCTTGTTACTAGTTCGATGACATTTGTTTATTCATTTACAGTATGAACCGAAATCCCGACCAACTTTTCCGGAGATTGTCTTAACGTTGGACAACTTAATATCAAATCATGACGATCAGCTGAAGGTTTCCATTGAAAAACGACAATCTGCTGATCCTGCTTTGATAACAAGTTTACATGAGATTGTTAGAGAAGGCAGAAATTTCAGACGACGTCCAGCAAGACAGAGAAGTCATTCTGCAGATGCGAGAGGTTGCGATAATGCTACTCCTTCAGACAAAGCTCGATGCCATTCAGCAAGACGAGTGGCTGAACTTGCAAGCCGTCGAGATCCTCATTATCGACCAATGACAGCTAATCCATTTCATGCACTTGGTGGAGTTAAAAAGATCTTGGGTGATCTTTTTTCTAGTTGTCTTGAGCTACCTTCACTCGAAGATGTCAGACCTAGTGTTACTGATGGCGTTAATACTAAATTTAAACCAGCACAAAACGATAGCATCGCCAAAATTCTTGATAGAAAGAAACCTAACTCTGAGCCAAGCAGTCCAACTGCCAGAAAAAAGTGGGAAAAGAAGGTGAGATGACAATGTTTATCTTACCGTTTAACACAACATAATTTTCTCGGTTATGGAATGCACAATTCTTATATTATTATTCAACACAAAAATAATCATCACAGTTTTACACGATTATTATTGTTTGTATATAACCTTTTTATTTTATTTTACAAATGTATAAATGATTCGGACAATGGTAATTGTAAGTAAAGTGTCTCACCAAAGTTTATTAAAATAATTATAACGATAATAAATAGCTTGGTAGTTGTACTCGTGTAGTAGAATTATAGACGTGATAATTGTTAAGGTAAATTTGTGTCATAATCTCCACGTGACATAAAGTTGTTTATTTTTTCTTACAAATGATGAAACCATAGAAATATGATTGAGCGGATTACCATGATAAATCCTTGTATAACACATTAATAGATTAAATTGAATTTCAAAAATTCTACTTTGTGTGTTGTATGAATTATTTTTGCTTATAGTCAATCCAAGTAAAGTAATTAAAATTATTAGATACATAATTTAAAAATATCTTAATAATAACCATTTGTCGATTGAAACTCTTGTAGCATTATGAAAAAAAATATAGACGTTTTTTGTTCATCTAACAATTTTTTTCATTCTTTTAGGTGGCGACGAAGGTCGGAGCTGCAAGTCTGTTTGCTCACCCACTTTTTAGAGAAGGTTGGGAACCTCGAAGGCGCGGAAGTTGTGAATCAGGATTTTGGAGTTGTGTTGGTGAAGATTTAAGTCCGGAACCTCCTAATCGTCGTCATGCATCTACATTAAGTAGCTCTGCTGCCAGTAGTTTATTTCTCTTGGATGATCATAGAACGAGTTCCATCTATACGGATTCTTCAGAGGATATTGCAAGTCTTGGAGGTGGAGATACTTCTTATTGGGAAGAGAAATTAGGAGGTATTGGATCGTCGAGTAAAACTATTTCAAAAATTGTTGAGTATTTTGAGAGAAAACAAGCTACTGCTGGAAGACACACCCATGAAACAGCTCCCAACAGAATTGCTTTATTAAAAGCAAGTCTTGAAGGTACTGTGCCTCTATGTAGTATTTCTGCTGCTCAACGTTTAGTAGTTTGCGAAGGCGCTGTGCGGAGTAAACTTCCGCTTTTTGATAAGAAATGACTTGGATACTTTCATCGGGTAAATGAGTATTAGCTAAATTATAATGATATTTCTAATTCAAAATTTTTCTACTTGTACAAGTCATATAAAAAATTTATTTAGAGCTGTGTTAATTGCAGTTTTTACATAATCAAATTCATTGAAACACTGACGTGATTCATTTGTGTTATTCGATATTATTTTTGATGATTAATTATTCAGTGTAAATCATGTTTTATTTTTCTCGCTTTTTTTTTCTCGAAAATCAATTGATTCCATTGTAAAGTTCTCTGTGAGAATGCAAAAAATAATGAAAAGAAAGCAATTGGTATATATACAACGCAACTGTGATTTTTGATAATCTACAATGTATCCATAGTTAATATAAAATTGTCCAAGTCGATAATACTTATAAAAATAATTAGATCATGAGGTAATTTAAAAGCTAAGCTTTTACATTATAATGTTTCCCATTTAATCACTACCCAATTCCGTCCTATACATTTTAACTATTTACTAATTTTCGAGAAATAATACGCGAGTTAATTGTTATTCAATGTAATTCTTTTTTTCATTATTAAATTGTTGCAAAAATCTTGACAAATTAATTGCAGTAAATAGATAAAAATCTTTTAATTATTAATGTAATAAATACTGAAAGTAATAATTCTATTAATTAATTTGAATTTTGATAATCATAATTGTACAGTATGATTTTTCAAATTTTTGTAACAGTTAAATAATCAATTGGTAAAACCTCAGTTATTATTAATATTTAATTAAGGATGTAATTTTCGGTCGAAAAATATAAAATACTTTTCAAAAATTGCAGAAGCCATATATCAGATTACTCTCATGTGTTCCATTCAATGACGTTGTTGCTACGAATATAACTAATCAACAATATTTCATCTTTACAATAATGAATTGCACGTACAAAATGGATGCATGCGATATTTAAAGTGCAGAAAAAGTGAAAAAGCAGTATATTTTATTGATGGAAAGTAATCTAAAATATTTCGTTTGGCAAAAATGGGTATAGGTAGCCTTAGAATTAATAGGATATCGCTATATTTAAAAGCGTCTATGAGAAACTGGTCTAGTCAGTATATTATTGTGGCGGCCTTATATTTTATATATCACATTAGAATTAAATAAAATATTAATAACAAATTAAAAAAAAAAATACTTAGCAATTTGCGAAATACTGCAAAACAAGTATTGAATGTATTAATTAATTTTTAGTATAAATGAAGAAAAATGAATTCAGAGTAATTAGAAAAAAATTTTAATTAGGAATGATATGTATTTTATATAAAAATAGGTAAAAAGTTTATGAAAATAATTTTTTGTATAATTTCATTATTTACATGAAATTAAATGATGAATAAAAATGTAGATGAATTGATTAAAAAAATGTATGCAAGTGCGAGATTTAATAATTGAACGAAAAAACACCAATGGGATTTAACAATGTACAGAAAATAATGTAAGTCCATGGGAATTAATAGCTATGTACCAAAATAAATTTTAAACAGCTACAATTTGACAGAATAAGTCGAACCAAATTTTCTGATAGATTAAATAAATAAAAGTAATTTTTTTTATAGTCGGGGTCCTACAATGAGGCTCTGTATCAAAAGACTGCGCATTTGTTATTATATAAGTAGGCAATTTTTTTTGGTTTATGCAGTCGTTTTATTAATCTTGCCCGACAAATAATTTTTTCACGTTGCCAACACGACGATCTTGCCCGTTTATAATTTATCATATATAAATTTAAGCGGGAATGTCACGGGTTTTGATCCGTACCTGAAAGAGTGAGAGCCTGAATGTTAATTTAGTATACTTGATGAAAATAAAAAATTATTGATAAAAATGATGAAAAGAACTGTGTAAAAGGTGCATGAAGTGAATGGACATATCACGAGTGAGCATATCGTGGCATTCGTTGACTGAAATGAGAGAGTATGAGACCGAAAATTTACTAGAGCAATAAAATACCGGTATCTCGTTACAACAGACGCATTTGTAAGAACAAATTAAATTAAAGTATGTATTGTAAGAGAAAAAATAACAGGTAATTGTAAGGATAAATTTAACATAAACATATAAGTTATTTCTTCCATACGCGTTTGACTATTGTTCATTATACAATACTACCATTGCAGTACTCACAATTCATTATTATTATTATTATTATTATTATTATTATTATTACATTGTATATATGTATAGTTGATATATACTATTAATAAATGAGATTCCGTAATTTGGCTGAGCCCGCTTTGTCTCATCATCATCATCATCATCATTATGTGATGTATATGTACAAGATAAAATTGAAATAAATAGTTGATACAAGGTACAATTTAAATTTTACATTGAGAGGAAAAATAATTAAAAAATTTGTTTTTGCCAATAATGAACACGAATAATTTATTTCAATCAGTCCTACGAATTTCATTGAAGGCCGTAAAATGAAATATTTAATAAATACCATTAAAACATAATTTTTATTGTCAAAATTTTGCATTCCATTTGAATGTAGATAAATATAGATAAAATGATGAAAGATAGCTCTTATGTTTATTGCTCTTTGTTGACAGATAAAAAATATTTCATTCGAGTAAAATAAATTATTTTACTTTCCAAAATATTATTTTGTTAATTTACATAATCGCTTTAGACATAAATATTATTTCATCTCCCAATGTCATACGAATAATAATTATAAATAAGATACGATTAATAACGAAAATATCTGTAAGTTTTACATGGAAAGAAACGTTATTGTCTAATTAAATTCTTCTAATGAAATATGATTAAATTACTAAAAAAACTTCATTATTAATAATTTTGGCTTCTCAGAAAATTTGGTTTATCATAGAAAAAAGTAATTATAATATTTCTTTCTTTGTAAGAACTTTTAATATTTATCATAACAGTAAGATACAATATTAAACATTCAACAATAGTCATACAAATTAATTAGTAAAGTATAAAAATTTTAGAAAACGCTATATTGTAAAAATTTCTATATACATTTTTTATTAGAATTCCTTTGAATTAAAATCAACAATATTTTCTGTCGTTTTTTTTAAACAATTGATATCTAATCCTATTTTTTTACATCGGAATCACTTTAGTATTTTTCTTATTAATAAACGAAATTAACTATCTCAGATTTTTCCTCGTGTTTTATCGTTATATTTAATTCGAACTATTCAATGATTCATAATTTTGTTATACAAGATTATTGAATATCACGCTGAGATAATTGTAGAGTTTGTCATGGATTTGAAAAGTTTTCTCAAATATTCAATTCTCTTAACCTTGGTGTACTTATTTTTGTTTACTATTTTTTAGCATTTCTTGTTTCCCCAAAATATTTATTCATATATTTGATATAAATAAATTTTTCTTAGTGTAGTCAACATATTTTTTATTTAATATTTATTACAAAAATATTGAAATCTTTAAAGTTCACCAATTTACATTGAAAGTCATTATTTAAATATTCCTCGATGTCACAGTATACTTATTAATACTCATAGACTTTATTAAAGTTATATCCCAAGAAAATACTTTTAACAGCATGAATAAAAAAAGATTTGAATTCCTGATATCTTTAGTTATTGATCATCTTTATAAAAAGTGGGAAATCTTCCCATCTCTTCTTCCGGAATAAGAGGTATGTATCTTGAACGTGGATCTTTATTCCGCTCATATGCATATGGAAAGATCGTCGACCTCGAAGAACTTTTGTTTTCTTCATTTCTTTTACTCTCTCTGTTGTTGGGTATTCTTTGTATATGAGATGAGTTGTCTCCAGGGGTTGTTTCAGTTGATGTAGTCTCTTTATTATCATTGGCTACTAAAGGAGCGGTAAACGTTTCATGAGCTTCACTATTATCAGAGTGAGGAATAATCCTCTTATCAACTTCCCTATTAGTTACAGCTAATTTAGAAGCCTCTATTGTTTCTGTCGTAGTAAATACCTCTTTGGTACTTGAATCAACATCAAAACTATTTATCTTTGTCTGTTCTATTATTGGCACCCAATCATTTTCACTGTTAATTCTAGATAGAGTATCAAAATTTCTTGGTCTATCGATATTGTCTTCTTGGTTCATCCATGTGTTTTCATCATTTCTGGTTGGTTTAAATGTATTATAGCTTTCTAGATCTGATGCTGATGTGCTAGATTGCTTATTATCAATTGGAATCCACTCACTTTGTGATTTTATCGTTAAGTTTTCAGATTCCGTGCTGTTCCCTAGGCTTTCTATTAATTCCAATCGAGCAAATCCTGGAGAACTATTTGAAAAAGAATTAAAATGAATTTGCTTTTCAGATCTGGATGAATTTTTTACTTCTTCCACGTCTAAGACTTCTTGTTGATTGTTTTTATTAGTGGTAGAAGCTAAGGAGAAATTATCATCTATAGTACTGCTTCCTTCTGTGGCAATATCGGTCAGTGGAGGAAAGTATTTGAGTCTCTCCTGTCGACCGCCAACGAAACTTGGTGTATACTGTGAAATAAGTGGAAGAAATGTTTCTTTAGCATATTTCTCAGCTTGTGCCAAAAATCCTACAAGACGTTCTGGCAAAAATTGAACTGTGAATCCCTTATCCTCTTCTTTGGTTGATGGCCTTTCTGTTAGTTCCTGATTTATTGCTTTACCCTGAACTTCTTTTTCATTTTGTCTTGTTGTGCGTGGTCGTAAAATTGGTTCTGTTATCTCTGGCAAACGCATCGATCTACCCGTCTCATACTTCGTGACTTGTAGTACTGGTTCTTGAATTTCACTTGTAAATTCAATTGTTGTTGTTGAATCCACTGACGTTGCGGAACTTGTAGATGTCGAAATAATATACTCGGCACCTGAGAATCCTCTTCCACTTTCTATTTCTGAAGTTTCCACTGAGTTTGAACCGGTATCATTCAAGTCGTCAATAAACCAAGGATAAATTATTACTTTCTTATTATCTTTTTCAAAAGAATATGAATTTCTATTGTCATTTGGATTCAATTGTAAATTTTGTGATTTTATAAAAGGGCCAAAATTTCTTCTTGGATTATTACTTTCAGTGGAAATAAATTCTGCAGTATATCTTTCGTTTCGTTCAAAATTATGTTCTTTTGTGAACGGACCAATATTACTGGAAGTGGTCTCAGCATTCGAAGCTTTCTCCAGTGACTCTGTTTTCGTCGTTGCCAAGGGCAAGCTGGTATTTACTGAAGTGGAGTTTTCTGATTCAACCGGAATGTTACATTCTCCAGGATAGAGTGGTAAATAGACTGGACGTCCTGATTCCAGAATAAGTTCTCTTCGGCAAACAGAATGACTGTTACCAAAGCTGTCTAAAATAGATACTTTGTCGATACTCCAGGAAACAAGTCCTGACGATATCCAGCCACTGTATGCTGTATATTTCACCTGTAATATTAGTTAGAAATGAATTTGATGAATTCTTAATGATTAACTGAAGCTATTTATTCATATAATATATTATCTTTCTTAATTTATATAGTAAGTAACACGTCATAAGAGGGGAAATTTTACCTCAATTGCTTCTAAATTGACGATCACTGGATGAGGTACAACAATTTTATGAAGAACAGATCCGACTAAGAGTTCTTCATCATCCTTCCGGGTCATAGTGAAAGTCTCATTAAAGGAATCCGAACCAACTAGTGTAACTTGAAGCTTTCCATAACTTCTAGCTGGTCGTTCTCCACGGCTGTTGAATACTTTTATTTGATATTGATAGGAACAAAACGGTTCCTCTTCTCGCGTAATTAAGTACAATTGTCCTCGAGCATCTGATGTATCACTATAATAGCCCATATCACCGCAAGGTCTTTCTGAGCTGCAGGGGAAACATTCGCCTTGAAGAAGACCATCATAACCTTTTTCACATGGAAATGCTGGAAACCGGCATTTTGGACTCACTGAATCCGTAAAAAATTTATAAGCCCTCCGATGATTACAAAGCGATCTTCCTTCAACGGTTGATCCAGCTGTAAAAAATGGTTCATTATTAATTATTTTGTTTATTGGTCATGTCAAACATTAATTGCAACTCTTGATTTACGTAGAGGCATTATGACCTACTTTCTGATTGAATTTCCATCGTGTAGGAGGTAAAACAATCTGTCGCATAGGGAAAAGGTAAAAAAGCCGGTTGCTTTCTAATCAGTAATCGATTATAATTAAATATTCATTCTCATCTGACGTTTTTTTCTATTTATTATTTTATTAAATATTCAAAATGTTTTAAATATTGTTTATGGCTCATATAAATGAATAAAAAAAACTAAAATTTTTAATAAAGATTGTATAAGATAAAAAAGAAAGCCTGAGTGGGTATCTTTTACTACCATTAAAGAATCTGTGAAGTATAATTTAAAAAAATTTTTTCATTTATTGGAATAATAATTCATTTAACAGTAAATTAAATTTAATGGATTTGATATATTTACTAAGGAAATAAAAATAAATTAAATATTCAATATTGAGTGCGTAAACTTACACCAAATGAAATCAGAAACCGCACCAACAAATAGATTGGAACAGCCAGTCTGCATTCGTCCACCATTTGGATAAAAATCGACATCTCCCATTGGTTGCCAAGATCCAAGACCTCCTAATAAAAGTTGTTCACCATTGCTGTGTATGACGTCAACAAAGTTTGCATCAGTGGCATCTAGCCTTGCCCGTGGATCTTGAGATTCAAACAGGGGTCCCGCGGGATCAAGACCTATAAACAAGTTCACATTTAGAAATTTCTCTTGGTTCTCAGACACATAACTTTTCCTTTTCACCCACAGTGAGCTTTCGCAATGCCATCTAAGCTCATTCTTTCATTCATTACCAAGCCTTCAAGGTGAAAACTATGAATTAATCGAATGAAAATGACTACTATATTATATGAAAGCATTTGATAGTACTGGAAAGTGCACTGAAGCATTGCAGGTTGTAAGTAAGAGGTTTAGACTATACAATGTCACGCATATAAACTTGTTGCAATGACCGGTATGTCCTAGTCTATCAGATCAAATGGCCTTGTTGGTACTATACACTGCAAAAACTTGCCCCTTTGGACTTTCATACAACTTTACATTCTATACATATCATTTATTCTCAATATTAAACGATAAAGAAGTTGCATTATTTAAAAAAAAATACTTCGTAGATTTTTTATTTTTGTTTGCCGTTATAAAACATGAATTAGAGGTGTACAAATGAGGTGCCATTAATTTTATTCATTTTATGAGTTTTCATAAATAAATATATAATGGATGTAATTAGTTCTACATGATAATTTTTTTAATTATAAAATTAAAAATTAACTGAATAACAGTAATTATTATAACTTTATACGGAGAGTAATTTTTTGTTATTAATTCTTCAGCTATCCCTTCAGTTCAAGATTCAAAATAAAATACAATTGTTTTTTATACGTCAAAGTTGATGGAAAATTCATTGTTGTTTGTATTAATTATTAAAGGACTAACTTATCAGAGAAATATCATGTTACCTGTAATTCTTGACACATTTGCTAGTTCGGCACCAGCAAATCCAGCCACATGTGCACCCAAACTAAATCCTATCATATGAACTGTATCAAGTGATACATTTAAGCTTTTTATAAGCTTGGCAAGCTGTCTTCCTACTAATCTAGTGTTCGCTGCAGCTCTCACATAATTTGGTATTGCACTTCCAGGACTCCAGTCAACGCAAACTGAAAAATTATTTATTTGATAATTAATGAAATAGTATAATTAAGAATAATCATACTAATTATTTTAGATTAGTAGATTAAATACCAACCAATATTGCAGTCATGTACAGACATGAGTGCAGACCGCATTTCATACACCCAAATATGTTCACAATCGGATCCAAATCCATGAACAATTACTTTTGTCGGAAGTTCAGGATCAATAGCATTACTTACTCTTTCATTAATGTCATCAGCCGGTACTTCTGTAGATATTGATCTTGGTTTACGACTTTGGTATACGAAGAATCTAATTGACAAGTTTCAACTGATTATAAATTTTTATTTATTAACTTTTAGATATAAATTTTTGTAAACAGGTTTTTAATTAATTTTTTATTGGTTAATAGAGTATATTAAAAGATATGGTTTCCAGAAGAAAGATGGAATATTTAATTAATTTTTTTTTTTTTTTAATTACAAGAAATTTTTCTTCATTTTCAGAATTACAAAGTTTTGTAAGAAAAAATTTCGCCATCCATAATTGCGCAAATAATAAATAAATAACAGCATGAAAAATAGTTGAACTAACTAGGTATAAAAAATATCTTTTTTTATCGCTCAATTATTATGGTTACAATATTCATCAATTATATATTGCGTTGAGTTACTGTGTGGGTCATCACTCATTGGCAATTTATTACGCTAGACTTTCCACGAGACTAAGCAATGTTGACTGAGCAATAAGAGTAATAATTTAGTTCTCAAGTATGATAGACAAAATAAATATGCATTTTCGTTCATTTAAAGTATTAATAATAAACAAATTACAGTCCAATAAAACAAATAAAATAAAAACGGAACCAAATCATATCATTTCTTCAACTGAAGACCTCTATTAACAGCAATAAAAATTATTCAACTAGAAATTTGTACTGAATAATCTTTTTTTACCTTGTACCAACATCTTTCGGTGGAGATGGAAGCATCTCCAAGTAGCTGAAGGGTCCAGCATCTTCAAAACACCCCACATCTTCATAGCATACTCTTGATGCTTCTCTTTTGCTCCTAAATGAATGTTTCTTGTGTAACTCCCATTGATGCATTGACTCCACTACAGCTCGGAAGATTTCAGCATCATGACGTTCATCTAGTGATTCGTCGATCGCAGGTGACCATTTTTCCGCCGCAACTGGATTACCTTTAAATGAATAATAATTTGCATTGATGTTTGTTTTCACCCGATCGAATCAGCTCTTGCAATTAAGGTTCACGAATAAGAATCAATATCAACTGGAAACTATTTCCGGCGAATGATTCATCTCTATTAGTCTCAATAATCATGCAAAAGATATCGGATTCGTGAGAAGAATGAACAAAGAAAGTAAATTAGGTGAAAGACTTAACGGTGAAGAGGACAATGAGGTATGAGGGAGTGAGATGCTCAGTGCAACGGTATATCGTCTTTTCCATCACTTTTTTTTCATTTAAATTATATATTCTCGTGTCACAGCCATAAAAATAATTTATAATGACAAAAAAAAATAAGTATTCGAAATTAAAAGCCAGACTAGTATTTAAAAGGATGTTCATTGGTGATGCCGATCAACTCGTTGATTGCTTTTAACCTTGAAGTCGACGCAACGATGCTGCAATAGTTCTTCCATCATCGTAACGGCTTCTACTTAAGTGTTGCGTTAGGCTAATTGATCTTCCAAGTACATAAAGCACTCAAAAACAACAAGAGTTGGTTTCTGGTCAGGAAACCAACTGTCCATAGGGAGTTACCTCGAAATCGCCTGATGATGACATACATTCTACTGACCCATAGCGCGTTTAGGTCACCGAACTCCAAAGAAAGACTGCATGTGCTACTAGAATGATGCATCTAGAGGCCATTGTCCGCCATTGTCATCAATTTGCGCGGAAGTCATTGCAATACCTGTCTGCACAGACAGGACGGTGATATTTTTTAGCACTCTGTGGTAAAGAAGTCCGTGAGAATAAGGCTTTTACAATTGGTTGGACTCTTTTCACTCTAGTGGTCTACTCTGTATTCTATAGAATTTGTCTTGAACGTTGGTCTAATTTGCTTTATGGTAGAAATCAAATGCAATGAGAAAAAATGTGGTGGGAGAAGATCCCGTGAGACTTGAAGAAAATATTACAGACATTTAATGCATCACCGAATAAAACGGTACTTTCCGTTAGAATTTTAAAAGTATTTTCAGAGATGGATATGTTAATTTTTCTATGAATTGATAGATCGAAATGTATCAATCTGATTAAAATACTCTAAAATTTTTTTTCTAAATACTAAATTAAATATTTATATTTCTTTAGAGGTATTTCTTTGATAAAAAATCATTTTTAGATGTCAAATAATTATTAGCAAGTTTGGATGTGGTTGAAAACAAATCAATGAAAGCTTGTAAAAATAGAAAAAAGTCTTGAGAATTTTATTCTGATATTTATCTATTCAAATTTTCGCATAAATTTAATACACATTTTTATATGGCATTTTTTCGTCTTAATTAAATCTCATGAATTATCTCTATCCCACAAGAATTTATAACAACTTCCTTCAACTAAAACGGCTATTCTCTCATACAATTTTATAAAGAACAAATAAGTAATAATATAAATTTGTGAGAATTAATAATGGAAAAAGTCCTTTTAACATAAAGAACAAATGATAAAATTATTAAATATAATTGGATATCCTTTATACTATTAACCATTCATAACCATACAAATTAATTTTGCAATTAACTGGATCAAAAATAAGCAAAGGACGAGTTCATTTATTATTTGAGTAAATGTTCTTCTTTAACTGACATACTTTAATAACTTGATTAATTACATAAAATTATATAAGTAATGATAGCATTTATGATTTCAATAATTCAATTTATGAAATTTATTGATAGTGTTTTTTCTCAGCAATGTTTAAATTAATCTAACATCGCTTCAAAACTTTCGCTCGGCAATTGGAAACATCCAAAGTGATCAGAATCAACAGTCTCTTATTGAAAGTCTGCAATATTTTTCATGAGTTAAATGATCTGCTATCAATATAAGGTAGCATTTCTCCCTGTTAACGTTTTTAATGATTTTTTTTCAATTATAATGAATTTACGCAGATATAAAGTAAATGAACAAAAAAAAAAAATCATGTTACCGGACAAGTCGGAGAAAGTCTTAAATCCATAGAAATTTACAAGGGACAAGTCGTCAGCCTGTCACCAATTGAAAATTCGTCATCGTTAAAAATACAAAAAAACAGAACAAACAAAATAAAAAAATTGATTGAAGAAGTGCTTAAAAAATATTCTTTATACAGAAGACGTAACGAAGCTTTCATAAAATACCTAAGATATTAACAGAAAAAAATCTTGTTCTGATTTACCCGAAATAATGAGTTAATTTTCTACAATATGAGCTGGTAAAATTAAAGTGTCAGAAATCTTCTTCCTTATGAAATGACAGATGCTTCCAAATGTCAGTTTATGGCATCCGGTGAAAATTATGCAACATATTCTGAAACAATGCATATTGTTTACAGTATTATTCTTTTGAGTTTTTTTAGAAACTTTGTTTACTAATTAGAAAAGTTTCAATCCAAAAGATATCTAAATTAAAATGTTATAATGAGAAAAGCTTAACTTGTCATATGTCACACAGAGTTTTTAACATTGAAAAGTTAATGAGGTCACGGTTAGAATTCTTCATTGATTGAAAAAGTATATAGTAATATAATCTAAGAAAAAATCTAATTAGCTAATGAATAGAATGAGAAATGAGATATTTAGATAACTCGGGGTATCGTCGAATTTTAGTGTTCTTATTTGATCGAGTTTAAAACTGGATTTGAGACTCTAAACTATCTGACCTCATTGTACTGGTTGGATAGAAAGGCTGGAATGGATTTTACGGAACATGGACCGGATGCTAAAATGATTCATGAATATTAATGAATATATTTAAATTAAAATAATAAGAAGCATAATAATTGATCAAGTAGTAATATGATTTAATTGTTTATATAGTTAACTTATTTCTCACTGATAATTATACACGTGCAAAAGATTAAAATTTAGAAAATAGTTACAGCATTGCTAAGGTCAAAACGAAGATGAAGAGAGATGGTAATACGTTCCGTTAGGTTTCTGGTTATTAAACTGAACAGCGCAAAAATTAATTTTACAGAGAAAGCGCTAAAATTATTAACAATTATAATAACAAATTTTTTTTACAAACTTCCTAGTAATTTATCTCATTAATCTACAACCTGAAATTATTTTAAAAAAATAATAGTAACATATAATAACATAATGACATATAATATCATATAACAATTCACTAACTTAACAAACAAAATCTCTACAGTCATATATTACATAACTATATTGTGATGATTTAATTATTTCTCACTTCAACTAAAGGACATTCTAGAATGTCTTTCGTGAGCAAATTCCAATTACATTTTCCAATTGTTTGACAAGTTATGATATTTGAAATACAAGCTTTATTAAGTAGATATATTTTTAAATGTATAATATAAACAAAAAACCGATCACAAATGCAAGTGGATATAAATGATCGGAGGACGTGTGTATAATATGGAATTAAGCATAGCTTTCACTATTCAAGCGTAGTATATCCTTGGAGTGACAGGCGATGACCATTCTAGGGTAGGTAATAACCAAGCAAGTCGTTTTTATTGTAATTCTTCTTCTTTCAAATTTTTGCTTTAATTTATTGGCTGATTAGGTGGAGAAAATAAATAGCTAAAATGACCAGATAAATCAAGGCCAATATTCTAACAATCAAGTCTTTCAACTTGTAAATAATCTAGTTCTGCATATTATGTAGCCGGAAATATTCATTTCTTCAGTTAAATGACATTAACTTAACGGTACGATGTGTAGATATAGAAGTAGTAAGTATTCTTTCTACATAGAAAAAATTTTCCAACGTTATTTTTACACTTTTCATTAATAAATGCTAACATTTCATTAACTTCAATTATTATGTTTAGAACAGTAATAGTGAGAGCTTAAACAAACAATACCTGTTCTAGTAAACACTTAGAAAATCTCAGGAGAATTGCATGAAATATTTTTTATTTACTCGATTCAATCAAACAAGTGTTATTTTTTTATTATAATTTTTTTGAATGACTTTTAAGAAGTAAATTTTAAAATTAGAACTGTTTTGTCATATGTGAATACTGATTTTAAGATACCTACCAAGTAAATAGAGGCAAGAAAATGACCAGAGCAAGCAGAAAAGTTTAATTATCATCGCACAGCTGAATGCGAGTCGATTTATCGGTGATATAATGAATAGTCATTTGCTAATGTCACCTGAACCACACAATTGAATTTGAGAAACATGTGTCTAACTAAATGTCACTAATTAAGTATATTCGAAGATTCTTTAATGAACTTCTTTTTCACTTAATGTTCTATCTACTCAAGTTTTTATCCTGACAAAAACTTTATGTTATATTTCATAAATAAGTTCACACTTTTATAGAGTTTATTTGGTTTGTAAATTTTTCCTCTCTCTTTATTGACTAGCACATATATATTTTTGAACGTAAATTTTCATTTAAGCGTGATTCATATTATATATTCTAACTCAATTAATTGCTGCAACATAGCAATAGGTTGACATAAGTATAATTTTATGCATTTTTTTCTATAAACATTCACAGGTAACCACTGGTATTAGAAACATTTTCAATAACTCTACACAGATTTATGTGTTGTGTATAAATTAACTCTGATTTTGCACGCGGTTAGAGTTCATCAAAGTTTCACACTTGTAGCTCAACTGAACAACTTCAAAGAAGCCTTAATCCAACGAAGAGAGAGTTGCGAGCATGAAACCAGGAACGTAACTGCTGCTTTGTGGCCTACTATAACAGAACTGACTGCCACTAACTCGATACCGAGACTTTACCTGTCTCTTATGAGCACCTATACGTATGTTTATGTATGGAGTAGTGGACAAACATTCACCACTGACAGGATGTACCATAAAATACATCTTCGATCGAATTTCTATTGATATAATTCGCTTATTTAAAAAATGGTCTTCTGTTAAAAATAAAAAAATGGCATTTCCAATTAATTTGATATTTCATAAAATACATTTGAAAGGATTAGAAATTTTTATAGTTCATCAGTCATGCAACAAAGTATCAGTGCAACTGAAAAAATGGAGAAAAGTCAAGTCTGACACTTTGATTACTTCCGGGGGTTTTCATAAATTAACACCAGAACGATTTCCCTGAGATTTCGACATATTGAAACATTTTTTATTATCGTTTTTCTATGAGAAATTTCTTAAAACATAAAATATCTTTTATGATTAGATTGATATTTCTTGTCATTTTTCTTTGAATAAATTACATTTATATTTATTATTGACAACTTCAACGTGCTTTAATAAACATGCACCTAATAAGATTCTTCAATTCTTCCTATGTGCTTTCGCAACTAAATTTCACTGCGATCGAAAGTGACGATATTATATATCTATTCTAAAGTTATTTGAATATAAGTAATAAAATTCTCAGTATAATCGAAAGGTGAATTGATAATTAAATTTTTTTTTATCTATCAATTTTCTCCTGTTGTGATGAAACATTATATTTATTCAATTATGTGTTTATTTTGTTTAATTCATTTATAATTGCGGAATTACTGTACTCGATCAGTGAATTCAATGCTGTTTAACATAAAACAAACTCAAGTTCAAATTTTTAGAACTAACTGTAATCATTATTGTTGAACCAATTTCGAATGTATCACATTAAATGAAGTTTTGTTGAGAATTGATTCTAATTTCTATATTTGTGAAATCAATTATATAAATCAAATTTGTTAATTTATATAATTTTACTTTTCAGATTATTTAACAGTATATAATGTATATACATATTTATTGCACTAATTTTCAAATTTATTGATTTCCAACGGAATAATTTTTCTGAGAAAAAAGTTTTTTGTGGCATAAATTATTATATTTATTAATTATAGTTTTCTCGGAAATTGCATTTTATAAAAAAATATATTAGAAAAATAAGCATGCTGTTGATTATCAAATGTTATGAAAGAGGAAGTTTGACAATTGCTGATTGGATTACCAGTGGAATCATAGACATATTTCGATGAGAAAAAAAAAATATTGCTATTTTTCTACTCTTTGTGAACATTTTTTTGTTTGAACTAGAATTAATTTCCTGTGGAGATAATTAGATGTCAACCGTATCAATACCATCATCATAAAGTATCAAATGATTTAATCACAAACTTACATAAGATCATCATAATTATTTCCTCAAATAATAATAATAATACAATAGTTATAAACTAACAATAAAAAAAATATAAAAATACCTATTTCTTTTTCACTAAATTCAGGTATTTAGATACATTGAAACCATCATCTTCAAGATCTTCCTCAATTTTAACTTTTTGCTTAGGTTTTCGTCTCTCCAGTACCAATTTCTTTTCTTCATCTGATAGTAATTTGAAATTGAGAGGTAAGGTAATTATTTTTCTTGGTATATGGTATTCAATGTTGATACTACTTCCATCAGGAAATACGAGAATTGTAGGATACATTCTTTCATAAACTTTACGATGTGTTTTTGTGATAGCAGCTGTCCAACAGTTAAATTTTCTACTGGGAATGAAATTAGGTTGGATTGCTTCCAACAGCATAAATAACTTTATCTTCATCCTGTAAACAAGTAAATAATTTAGCTGTGTTGCATATTGATTTTTTAACCACTTACAAAAAATAAATTATATTTTTGAAAAAATTTGTATAAACTATTAATAACTGGTAGTGCTGTTATGATAAGAATAAAATTGATTGTATATTGTTATAAAAAATTGTTTTCAAATTTATAAATACAAGTAGCTATCGATTTATTTTATAAATTTTTTTAACGAACTAGTAAATATTGTATTTCTTTAATTTATTTATAAAAACAGCAGTTGGAAATTATAGAAATCACATGATTTAAATTTATTTACATATAAAATATATTTAAGAAATTTTTCTAGAAGTGACTTAAATGTAGATTTAATCACAAATAAGTTATTATCTAATACCGTTTAATAAATAAAAAAATAAGATATTATCAATCAATTACAATATTATCAATTTCATAATTTATTTAAAAATATATTCAGGATACAATTGAAGGTTAGTTTGATCTTAATGTTGAGTCTAGCCTTAATTTAATATGTATTATAAAATGATAACATAAATAAATAAATTTTAATAAAAATTCATAAAATTGTATTTACAAAAAATTTATTTTTCGTAGCAAACGACATTTACTTGATATAAAAATTGATTTTTTACCTGAAAAATTTTACAAACTCTACAAATTGTTCTATAGCTCGTGTGTACTAATTTTCTATCGATAACATTAATGGAACATACCATGAGTCGGTATATTTAGCAGTGAGAAATGTTCTGAGTCGTTAATTTAAAAAAATACTTCCCGCGTTTTTGGATCACCGTCGTCACACCTGGTGTTTGTATTAAAGCGTCGGTGTAATCTTCTCGTATGCTCTAGCCAATCAGAAAGAGTTGTTTTAAACATTCGTAGAAGCAATAGTTTTAAGGATACTTATTGTTTAATGTGCAATAGCTTAGCGTTGTGGTGTTTAGACGATTAAAAAACAATAATTTAATGTAATTTTATTGTAATTTTTCGAAGTTAATGACATGGTATATGTGTGTGAAATAATAAAGTGTAAATAAAGTGACGAACAAACACAAATAACATTCAAAATTATATTGGAGTAGAAACGCTTATAATACCAGCCGGTAAGAAGCATTCTTATTTTTTAAATTTAATTAAAAAATGCATAAATTTTTTTATGAGAATTAGCTTAGATATATCAAAATAATATTTTCATGAATATAAAAATATAAATAAGAATAATTATTTTCAAAATCAATTGATAAATAAATTAGCGAGTCTTTAGGAATATTAAGTAAAAATTTTCGACGTAGAGCTTGTAGCTTCTGATAAGTCTGCAGGTTGGCATTCTTCATGACAGGTTCCAGGTAGTTCAGTATACTTTAGAGAATCCCTGTAGAAAATTTTCTATTCAATATATTCGCATTTATAATTAATAATAGTAATGATTAACAACAAAATGCATGGGAAAAAATCTAAGCTCCTGTACTCATATATTTCAGTGCTTAGCAATAGTTTGAAAATAATTGAAAATAATTCATTTTGTAATTTAAAGCTTTATTAACAAACAAAATGAAATATGAAATATCTCAATTAATTATATTTCGTTCATGCATTTATATATTATACAAATTTATTGCTGTCTGTATATATCATGCATCATGCCTATATTGAATCTTATTGTAAATAAATATATAAAATTCTAAACAAGTAAAAATATTGTACAATGCTTTGACTAGATTTTTACATTCATTTTTAATTAAAATATTTTATGTTTGATTAAAAAACATTTCTTACTACCAGAATGAATTGATTGGTGAGGAAATGTAACACTCAGTACAAACATGATTCGTTACAATGATTCTTCTACAAATTCTACAAAAATGCGTATTTTCATTGAATAACTGGAATTCAGTTTATATTCGCCCTTTAAGATCAATCATATTTCCACTTTGAAGCCTGAAAAATTAAAAAGCCAGCTTGTCTAGCTCCCTACTTGATCATTCGTATTTATTGAATTAATTTTCATGTTAACACCTCAACGAATGTATTAGATTTTAGTAAATCAGATTCATGCCTGGAATGATCGATATTTGTCAATTTTTATATACCAATACCACAAATTTTACGTAACACAAGCAAAAACTAAGCTTCATTGATAAAACAGTTAGTAAAATTTTAATGGGTTAATTAGAATTTTTAAAAAAACATGGTGCTTTTCGATAAAAATTTCATGCATGCATGGTTTAAATAAGCTATAGAAATCAACTGTCAACTTTAATCATGCAAATAATAATTATTAGGAAAATTACTTAGATTAGAAGGCTCATTATCAATTACTCGAATGAAGCTATTATCGAGGTTGTTATGTTTATCAATTTATACATATTGTTACACAAGTATTTTGTTAATGTTAAAATAATCAACTTTGTCTTTGAAATATTGCAGTTAAAAATTTAAGTAAAATCGTTTCTAATCTAAATAATTTATTTGCTTTTAACAAGTCTAATTTATTAACTTCATAAACCAACCTGTATAGCACATAGTGCTGGAAAATGAAGAACACATCAAAAGCTACTGAAAAAAATCCCAATCCGAATTTCGTCGGATCTCCAAAAATACTTTCCCAATCATCTAAAAAAATGGTTTTAATTATAATTCAATTTTTTATTCAATGTTATCAAGTATGATTATTAAAATTTTTTGTTATTTTCATGATGAACATTTTTCAATATCTTACCGTAATTATATGCATTGAGAATCATTTGAAGCATAGATAAAATTCCACCAGTGAAATCTAAAAATATGTTCCCGATACTCCATCCAACTGTCGATTGTCTTTTATAGTTGTAATAAGCTTGTGGAATATATTTGATTAGCGTAATAGCAAGTTTAATATAACTACAAAAATATAGGAAATCTAGCCATGCAATAACATGGAATATTCCTAGGAAGATCGATACTATGATGAAAATAAGGAAAAATGAGTGGATAAAGCGTGCTGTTGTTGAGACTCTTTGCGTACCAGTCTAGATAATAAACATAAAATTATAGATTAGTATGAATAAATTAAGTTAATGAAATAATATTCATTAAGTTATTTACCTCATAAACAAAACATTGCCCAATAGTGAAGGCAGTTGCACATAAAGCATGTATTGCAAAAAAAATATCATTAACTTGAACTGGGTTCAATCCTTTTGGATATCTTTTATAATACTCAAGCTGTAAATAAATTGAATAGCTTAATTAATTTTTTCTAATCAGGTCATAAAAGTAAGCTCATCTAACTTTCATCGGATTTTTAATTTAAAAAATTTAGTCGTCAAATATTATTGATCACGATGATATTAAAAATATAAAATCTATGCTAAAAATTAAATTGTCTAGAATTATTGAAAAATTGTTTAAAAAATTTACTTCAACTTCTGGAATCCAATAGAGTCCACAATTAAATAGGGAGTACATAAGAAACCCTACAATATTTAACGACAAAAAATCAAAGTTTAATCCCACAACACTTTTTCTTTTCCAATTAATGTAAATTTGTGGATAAAAACTTATACTCCAAGCTAGGAAGTAAATCCAACCCACAACTTCACTTAATAGGTATAAAACAGGAGATCTCTCCACTGTCACTCTCACAAAGGCTTCAGAAAAACTGCAATATTAATAAAATTAATTAATTTTTAATTTCTGAATAAATTAACAGTTATGGATTATTTTATGACAAGTTGTGTTAAGCAACATTTTGTAAGAATTTAATAATTCAAATAAAACTGCTGGTTTATTCTGTTTTTACACTTGAAAAGTATTTTGATAATTCACTAAAAATATATTTGTTGATTAACACGTTTACTGATGAGATACCCGTCACTAAATTCGTACTTTAGATGTGAAAAATTTCTCAGTTCATCTTGAGGAATAATAATTATTTTAAAATATCCCATTTTTCAATAATAATTATACTGCAACTGATTTTTAGAAATACTTAATTTAGTTCTATTTGACTATATATCATACTAAGTAGCTATTGACACTGCAATTTCATTACAAATGCAATCTTTGAAGCTGTACACTTTATTTTTAAGTAAACTATTCATTTATATAATAGTCTGAAAGGTCAACGATATGACATAAAGTGTTAGAGGGCATAGTCTGTCAAAATCATTGACCACATTGAACGTCTACATTGTTGATTACACATTTTTGAGTCAAAAGGCTATCGCTCCACGGTGAAATTACTTGTCAGTTTGTAAATATGTCAATATCAGATTGTAATCCTTAATAACAATTAAAACAAAGCTAAAAGATTATCTAAATCTTTTTTATAATTTTTTAATCAACTTTTCATCAGAAAATTTTCCATATTTCAATTAACTTTTTGCTTTCTATCATTGAACCCAAAGCTTTCAGTGAAAATTTAATTAAATTTTTCTTTCAAATACTGATTTTGATTCTTTTGACAAAAAACGTAATGTTGAAATAGTTTTCAATATTTTTCACTGTTGAACTTACTCAGTCACATTTTTAGGTGTTACATTGGCACTGACTGTTGAATATCCAGGAGACACAGCAAGGACAGTAATACTCCATTTTAATCTGGAATCATTCGCTGTGATATTGAATGTTGGAGGGTTTATTTTTACTAAACCTGCATGTTGAGCATCAAAAGTCACATTGACTGTAGTAGGTAATCTATTTCTGTAAAAAAGTTTATCAATCGTTCATTCGCCTATTCTTAATTTTCTTTATTGATAATTTTTATTCATTAAAAAAAATACTCACTCTAAAATAACATCAAATGATTTATTTTCATGGATAAGGATCCTTAAATCTTGCACACTAACTCTTAAATTAGCATTAGCAAATTGGACTGCTGTAAATAGACAAAATATATTTTTCATAAAAAAACCCAATGACTGCATGCATTCAACAAGAATAAAGATTGTTAAGAATAGATGTCAACTCACCCAAAAGCATAAACAGTGGTATAAATAGAAACTTCTTCATGGTTATAAAATATATCATCTGCAAAATAATAATAATTTTGATTAGTAATTGACTATCATAATTTTTAATCCAGGGTACCTACAATTGTTCTGTCATAACCTTAACATTTCATGATTTTTGGCGTCTAGACTTTTTTAACGAATATGAAATATGATAACTTTCCATTTTCTCACAAGGCTCAATATCCTTGACATTTTTTATACTCAACGTACTCAATTCTATCACAATTTGTTTACTCATAAACACCTAGCTCTAAAATCTTACATGTATGCAGTTTAGTTGTCATTTAGCAGTGGTACTCAACAACTTAATGTGTTATTCATTGATAGTGGCCTTGTAAAGTCATATAAGGCTATTGGAGTCACCAACACGTGCTTACGTGTTGATTGATAACTTTATTTAAACTATTTTATTTACATGATGTAAAAATAATATTTTTACAGTCCTACTAAATAACATAAAATATTTCAGGAAAATACACTGATTCATTACATTTTTTTAAACTGTAAAAATGTCATATACAAAACTGTATCGTGATAATTTAAGAATTTCTGAAAGAAAACATTCGAATTAACCTTGAAAGATCGTAGCATTGAAATCTGTAATTTACGGGTTGTAGAACCAAATTTTATTATAATTTTTATTGCTTCAATTAGTAGCAGTATCACGAAATCAGTGTGTTAAAAAGAAAAAAACCTTCGTTAGGTAACATCAAAGTTAGAATTTGTTATGTTTATTCGATGTAATTTTTAGAAATATTTTTTTTAAAAGAACATGAATACATTAAAAATTAATTTGATCTTCATAGTAATTTAGAGCTTGAAGGCAAAAGCAATTTTCTTAATTATATTTGTTATGTTAATTTTCAAAATAGTTATTTTGAATAAGTAATTTTTCAAAGCTGATAAAAACATCATAAATTGAATTAGATTAAGATTATTTTTAATTTACTGAAATAATTGAGTGAAATTTTTTTATTAATATTCTTTGGAGTATTTGGCTGATAAAGAATTTAAATAAATGTATTTATTAAATTACATTCTTAACTATTAAAAATAACAATAGAATTGACAAACATTAATGAATGTGATGCAATAATTAAATTATTTTCATCATGATTTGTAATCAATTTAATTACAATATGATAATAGCTGAAAATTATTTCATAAGGCTATATTGTATATCGTACGCTTGTTTAAAATATTGCTGAGAGAAAAATTCATGCAAATCTTGATCTGACAAGCAAGAGAAATGTCTGTGAAAGAGATAATTGTGTATAATCTAAACATTATCAGTCACCTATCAAACTCAGTTATCAAGAGCGATCATCGACATTTATTTAAATTCAATTTCAGACTAAATATTTTTATATTTTTATCCCCGACATTTGTAAGAATTCTTGAGCAGCACGTATACATGTCAATCGATATGAATTAGCACGTGATATTTGATATTTAATACAATCGAAAAAAATATATTTTGTTTAAAAAAAATCGTAGAAATGTTGATTACAAAAATCGATTATCAAACCAGGAATGACCAATCCTTAGATTATTTTTTCAATGAGTCGATGTGTGATTAGGATAAGCTACTGAAAACTTACGCCATTTTCTGAAATTATTTTAACATTTTTTGCACTAATATTTGACAGGTGCATTTTTATAACGAGACTTACATATTAATTATCTTATAACCGGTTTTATTTCCATTTTAAACTTATTCAATATTGGAAATTATAATATATTCCATGAACTAAAAATTTCCTCGTGCTTAATAATTAAAAGTACGTCAATTTTTTCAGATCCAGAATAAATTGGTAAATAGGTTTCGTTCCTTTATGGTAATATATAAATCATTTTTAAGATAAGAAAATGACACCTGACAGGATATTTTATTTATTGTTTCAAATTTATAGATAGTTGACTCAATAAAAACCAAACTAAATTAACTCTGATTGCTTAAAATAATGAAATACTCAATTTTAATTTTGACAATTATGCAAGTCTAGCTAATTTTAATTATTATCTTGATGGATTGAAATAAGTCTAAGTGTATTTAACTATTCTCTTTATCATAACCAATTGAGTAATTCCATTTTTTCTTTAATCGTGTATAACTATTGACTACATTGTTTGTCGTTAATGTGGTTAAATACTTTTTATCTTTAACGCTTAAAAAAGAAGTTCCGTTACTTGTATATTGATTTCAGTCAAACACTTGATCGTTATTCAATACTTGTGCGATTTTTTAACTACTCTTTTTTTCTCAATGAACACGCATTTATCTTTTCTTTTTATCATTAAAATCGTACCTCAAATATATCTCTCTGCTTATTTTCACGTTGTAAGAATTAAATATCTTCAAACTATGTCACTTGAAAAATTATTCCTGTTTGTGAAATAATTTAAAAAATACTTTTCAAATCACGTTAATGATAAAAACACTAAATTAAAAATTATCACAGACCATTTCTTCATGACGAGTAATTTTCAACACAATTTATTTTCTGATCAGTTGATACAATTACATTCTTTTAACTTAATTTTAGAGCTTTATGCGTTTCACTTGCAAAGGCAATAGCAGTTATGACTTGAATACTTCAAACACGAGGTATATAAATTGGTCACCAACCAGACTTCAACTACCGTACGGTGTCTTTCCCACTCTCTTTTCAATCTTGTACAGTAAATTGTTCTTATACTGAATCCCTACTCTCTCAGTGTTCAGAAATTTTGCACGCAAGTTAACTTGTGTGTTTAGATTAATCATCTGGACGTACACAATCGTCATTTCCTCCAGGACATATATGATAATGCATTGCTAAAATCCTTCTTTTTTATCACACATATAAAACACATCAGGAAATCAATGACTTTGTTCTTTTTCGTTTTCATTTCTCTTTCCGAATAGTAGACTTATTTATCCTTATTTTAGACGTCAGCAGCTTTTTGTTATTTTTCTTCCTGAATTATGGAAAAATACATGCAATCATTCATCAGTCTTAAACCAAGATTACGCAATGTTCAATTAGAGGAAGGAAGAATGCTTGTTCATTATGATCAACATTACTGATGATTGTGGAATTTCTTATCCCAGAATCATGACGTTAGTTCTATTTTTGCAATGGTTTCTTATTATTAATAAGCCAAATGATCTAGCATTAATTCACTTTAAGACAGGTTCATCTATTTTACCAACCTATCATGACTCAGCAATATAAACTAGTGTTCCTTGTGTTCAATAAAATAATATAGAAATCATCAAGGACATATCATGATGAATTAAAATAAATTTCAATGAGTATATGAAAGTGTAATGAGTGAAATTCAGCACTTCAATAATATTTTATGTGATAAAGAAAAATCAGTGATTTTTGGTTTATACAAATACGTAATTAAGCTTTGACACAAAGACGAGATTCAATACACCAGTGATAATTATTATCTGTATGCGATCAACTCTTTGTAATGATTATCATTATTGCCAGTCGTACGCAATGTACATATCACGTTAGTATACGGAATCTCTGATAGTTGATATGTATTTATTTATATATATGTATATATATATATATACTATATGATAATGATCTATTGATGACGATCAAATTTTTTAATTATATATCAACATTCCGACTTTATGTATATTATGATTATCTTAATTATTGCTGATAATATTTCATTTTAATTGATGTCTTACACGTGATATGGTGATGATTAAAGATGTCAATGATGAAGATATCAAGAGAGGATGTTGAACTACGAGAGATGAACAAGTATTGCCAGATGTTAATGCATTTGCTACTGATGCGTCAATTTTGTGGTTCACAACCGATTGATTTGCTGAGCATTCATCTGCAAAATAATTGTCCTACTTCCTCGTTGCAGAGTTCCAATGTAATATAATCTGCTGATTATCGATACATTCCGTTCTAAGCATAGCCATTGCACCTGTCAATATCAAACTAATCATGTCTGATTTTGATGTGCTATTAATTCGTGTAAATTATTCTAATAAAAATAAACTTGATGATTCGAATTTTTTTAGTCAAATTTTCAATTAAATTCATTAGAGTCGGTTTTTTTTTAATTTTGATCAGAAATAACATGAAAAAATTAAGTTTTTACTAAATAGGAATTTTTTTACTGACTCATTTACGATAAACAAATTTTTCTATTTAGAGTAAATTAGATTTTTCCCGGGGTTCCACGATCTCTATAAACGAGTGAGTGGAACATAGGTTGAGCACCTACCGGGCGCGTCTCCAGGTGGCGGATAGGAGCATTGTCCGGGTAGTACCGAGTGGAGGCCTCGGGGGCCGCGAGGCGTACCGAGTGCAAACACGAGGGAAGCCGCTGGCAAGTGCAGCTTGGGTGTGTACACACTTTAAGAGGCACCGTGGACCAACTCCCCAAGTCAAGGTGTAAGCCATCGTGCTGAAGACTGAATGGCACTGGGACACTGTGTCGCAAACGATGCCCTTGGGGTACCAGGCGACCCCCCATTGTAGCTAGCCTTACCTGTGCAAGAGGCTCTGCACAGGTGGACCTTTATTTCCTCATCACTCGTGGGACTCGAATGGATGATCTTGACAACATTCGGAGTAGTGGGGGTCCTATCTCTTCTGACGAAGAAATAGGACTTGGAAAAGCCGAGGCGGGACGAACCAGCGAGGACGGCGAGGTGCAAACCGAGCTGCCTTGTAAGGAACGACCTGCTACCGGCAAGGAGGATCAGGGGAAGAAATTCGATAAACCTGATCCACCATCACGCCCCAATAAGAAAAAGCTTTGCGGGGCAGCGAGGAAGAGGTTGAGGAAGGCTAAGCTGCTGGAACTGGAGAAATCCGGGGCTAGCACAGCCGGAGCGAAGGCTGAGCCAAATCAGAGGAAACCGGGGGCCCCTGTGGTAACCGGCGGAATCTCTGGAGGCAAAGCAACTTCCTGTGGTACCAGGACTGACCCTAAGGTCGAGACCGGGGCCACTAGCTCCACCAAGTCGGGGTCTTCCACCGAAGCCGTGGGTAACACCAAAAGGCAGAGGTCGGAGGATTGCACCCCCCCCGACGCAAAATGTCGAGCGAAGAAGGCTCGCGTAGCACCTGGGCCTAGCAGCTTTGCTGAAGCGGCTGCGGGAGGCAAGAGGGTGGCCATCGCGCCGGACCTCTATCCTTCTGCGACCCTCAGCAAGCAGCAAGGGGAACTAGTGCTGGCAGGACTTCTTCGGGCCCTGGACGATGCCATCAAAAGTGGCACTGTTCTGGGATTTGAGGGCCACAAACTCGACAGAGGGCTTCTGTGGATCAACTGTCCTGATGAACGGGCAGCCACATGGCTCAAGGAGACAGTCCCCTCCATAAAGGTCTTGGAAGGAGTAAACCTCGAGGTTCTCGAGAGGGAGAAAGTTCCAAGACTCTCCAGGGTCACCGCGACGTTTCCCGGGCCACCGGTGGATCCAGCGGTGATCTTGAAAAGACTCGAAGGCCAAAATGCCGGACTGCATACCAACCTCTGGCGGGTTTGGAGCACGAAGGCAACGCCAACACTGACTAGCTTAGTCATTGGCGTGGACGACGAGTCATTAAAGCTCTTGAAAGGGTTAGGAATGAGTCCTTACTGCGGCCTAGGCAGAGCTCGATTTTTCGAGGCGCCAAAGGCTGTGGAGGGGAGGCAGGCCGAACCCGGAAAGAGGAAATTACCGGTGGCAGGGACCTCCAAGGTGGTACCCCCTCCGAGAGGAAAGAGGAGGCGGGCGGAAACGCACGCAGCCTCTACCTCGAAGGAGAAGGGAGCACCAGGAGGGCCCACCAACCCTCCACCTCCGAGGGAGCCATCACAGGGGCTTGAGAAAGCGAACTGTGAAGAAGGCAAACCTCGGACCAGTGGACGGGCTACGCCAACTCCTGGGGCACGGGGGAGACCCACGAAGAACCAGGAGTTGGCAAGGGTGGGGAGGGTCCTGTCTCAGATCAGGCTGACCGACATGGTAAAGCCTGGAGCAGAACCTACGGGTAACCCTCCTACGGGAGAGGGCGCAAGAAGGGACGGCGACATGGCTGGCCCTTCTACGCAGGATTAACCTTCCTCCTACGCTCCCGCATCCCAATCCTATTCCCAACACGCGAAATCAAACGGCGCCGGAATCCCTGTGATATCGGGGCTGTTAAAGATTTCGCAGATTAACTTGCATCACTGCTACACGGCCGCGGCACTACATTGTCGAGACCTAGCGGTGAAGCACACAGATGTTTCCCTGATCCAAGAACCTTATTGTAGGGAGGGAGAGGTCTTGAAGGGAGACGCCAAAGGCGGATCCTTCATAAGCGGTAAAGGTGATAGGGACCCTAGGGCATGCGTTTTCGTGAGACGAGAACTAAACCCTGTGGGGCTCAGCCAATACTGCACAAGGGATCTGGCGGCAGTACAGGTGAAAATAGAGCTGGGAGGGGAGCCGATCAAAGTCGTTATCGGCTCGGCATACCTTCCTTATGACTCTGATGAACCACCACCCACTGAGGAGGTCAAACGACTCGTGGAGTACTGCCGAAGGACGAACTGCGAGCTCATATTAGGATGTGATGCTAACGCTCATCACACCTTTTGGGGCAGCAGCGACACTAACGAGAGAGGGGCTAGCCTGCTGGAATACCTCACTCGGCACGGCCTAGAAGTCCTGAACAGAGGGCACAAACCTACGTTTGTTACCTCGGTCAGGCAGGAGGTCATCGACATAACTGTCGCCACGGCGAAAATCTATGATTTCGTCAGGAAGTGGGAGGTGGACGAGGAGGAAACTCTGTCGGACCACCGGCGCATTAACCTCACCCTGACAGGGGAAGTGGGCAACGTGGTACCGCAACTCCGTAGGGACCCAAGAAGCGCTGACTGGGGCCTGTTCAAGCAGGAACTAGAAAGACTCATGGGGGAACCCGGAACGGAAGGGCGTGTAGGGTCTCCGGCCGGCCTCGATGAGGCAGTGCTGGACCTACAAGACGCTATTGCAGGGGCCTATAGTTGCTCATGCCCAGCCAGGGTGATGCAGGAGTGCAGGAGGGTCTCATGGTGGAACAGGGAGCTTGAAAAGGCTCGTAGGGAAACCAGGAGACTCTTCAACAGGGCAAAAAAGCTCAAGACGGATCAGATGTGGACTGAATTTAAAACCTCACGGAGAAGATTCAGGTCTATGATCAAGTCAGTAAGGAGGCAAGCCTGGAGAAGCTTTTGCGAGAGACTGGAGGCCCTACCTGAGGTAGCCAGAATCCGCAAGCTGATCACCCCCGGCAGGAACGTGGCGCTCCGAGGCCTAGAATCTCCGGAGGGAGAGATGGTCGACGACCATCAAGGCATACTGGAGCTCCTCATTAAAACGCATTTTCCGGGATCGACCCCGGTGCAAGAAACCACAAGCGAGGCTGATAGACCAGGCGGGCTCGTAAGGGCCGACTGGGAAACCGCCAGGCGGGTGGTGACCTATGATCGGGTAAAATGGGCAGTCGGTACCTTTGATCGCTACAAGAGTCCAGGCACGGACGGAATCTATCCGGTTCTGCTGCAAATGGGCGGGGAGCGACTATGGCGCAGACTGGTACATATTTACCGATCTTGCCTTGCCATGGGTTACATACCTAAGGCTTGGCGGACGGTCAGGGTGGTATTCATACCCAAAATGGGGAAGGACCGCTATGACCAAGCAAAGGCCTACAGGCCCATAAGTCTAACCTCCTTCGTCCTAAAAACGCTGGAGCGGCTTGTGGACTGTTACCTTAAAGAGAGCGCATTGTGCACCAGGCCCTTGTGCTCAGCACAACACGCCTACCAAAGTG